CAACTGAAAAACATCGCTTATTTTCACCTCTAGTTCCTTTTAAGGATAGGAAACTGTTTCCCAGATCAAATTTGTGACTTAATCAGAATAATACATTAAGTTTCGGTCCTCGATGTTTCCCGGTTAGATTAAAATTCCGAAAGAAAAATAATTTTGATTACCATTTGTTTTAGTTTTTGTTTTTGTTTACAGCATGTTGCATCCGTATCTTAGAATCCAGTCACCAACAACTTATTTTTGAAAAATGTGTGATGTTGCGCATTGATGATCAAATATTCTTTCTCATATTTTTAATTACTGAGCAGTAGTATAGTAATTAAGCAAAATTAATAGTCACAATGATTATAATCATATCTAAGTGTCACTATCCATAAATGTGATTACTATCATTACTTTAAAAATTGCACGGTAGCAGATAAACAAAAAAGATAATTATTTTGTTACGATTGTTTGTAGACATGTTTGCATATTGTAAAGTTAACAGATAATAATGTGTAGCAATAGAAAGTAAGTTCAAAAGCAATTATTTATTTTTGGGCAGTGAAATGTATAAAGTGGCAGAAATATCGCCTGGTTGCCTGGGTGGCAAACAAAAGCGGTGAACAGCTATTATCAGAAATTTGCAAGAGTTGTCAATTATTCCTGAAAAATTATGTAAATACAGTGTTTGCCATGACACCAAAATAACGTTCGTCCATTTTTCCGAGAAAACTCTTAACATATTAAAAATGTTCAACAACCTTTGGCGAATATGACATCCCCGCCCCCCCCCCCCAAAAAAAAATGGTCTGCAATAGTGCACTACTGTCATAAGCTATTCTTCATTCAAGTGGTCTGCAAACGTTCTTTTTAATCGACAACTATTATTCAATTATTGCCCACCCCCCCCCCCCCCTTTTCCGGAACGTATCGAATAGTTCAAGGATAATTACAGAATAGTTAGCGAATACACCGAATGGTTGGAAAATAATAGCAGAATAGTTTTGTCGATGAATTGTGTAATCCATCTGTTAATTCTGGAAATCCATCTTTAAATGTAAAAGGGTACTGCTTTTGTCAATATTTTGAAAATGCTTAGCTCTGATTCCTCCGAGAATGAAGAGGAAGGTTGAACTTACCTTTTTTTAAATAGAGATAGATGATTGAAATTCATATTTATTTCCTTCTCACTGACACTACGTCAAATAATAAACAAATAGAAGAGTTTACAGGAATCAGTAAATAAATTCAAAAGCAGAAGGAGCCAAAAACCAAGAAGGTAAATGCTCATGTTTGGAACACAATTACACGTAAGGATAAGTTACAGTATATACTGAGAAGAGAGTTAGGCATTGGTGGATAACTTAGGTTCATTTAAAGCCCCACTTTCTTACTTGTACCTACTTGCTCCCTCTAGATAGAAAACTTCCCCAATCGGTGCCTGTTGGTCCCCCATGATCCTCTATTTCTTATCTTATTTGAGAGCTGAGTTGATGAGATAGCCACCTGTCAGTGACCTCGCTGTGTGGTCTAATCCCTCCTAGCCACACTAGTATTGATAAGCTTTAGTTTAAATGTTACAGTGTCCATTGCTTCGAAGCTTCTTCACTATGAGGTGTTTGCAATTTCACCAAACATACTTAATATATCAGTGTACTAGAATGTTATTAATAATAGCGACATACATCTCATTTACAAACCGCCTGACAAAACAGTCCCGAGGCGTATATAAAAAAAGTATATAATAGGCCATTCATAAAAATTATCAATAAACAAAACATGGTTTGTCTTTAAAGAAGGTAACTGACGTAGAATAAAAGTAAATTCTTCTGTAAACAGTAAATTCGTCAAAAACATAACGTAAATACAAGAAAGGGAATTAGAGGGTAGTAAATGTTATAAGATGATGAAGCGGATCATAATTAAATGATTGGTTGAGAGCGTACACGTGATCAGGCATTTATTTTGCCTAACACGTAATTTTACTAATGACTGGTCATTAGTAAAATCATGTTATAAAACATTCTTTAATAAAACAAATCAAAAATCATCTTATAAAAGAAATAATACACATCATCTTATAAAACAAATAAGACACATCATTTTTTTTTTCTCCAAACAGTGTAATTATCGCTATGCATTTGCCACATTCGGCGAAATGTTCTTTCAATTAATTCGTCCGCTATTCGTCAAATTGAGTTTTTCTTTAACTTTGCTTCAATTTGTCGCCTGATGTTCTTCAAAATACCTCTACTAAACATGGCACTAAGCATTAATCAATTATTCAGATTTGGACTCTGACTGACTTGCAATACTTTGCGGATAGTGTAAGGTAGCCAAAAATTCGCCCGTAAACAGTTTGTGACAAATCGCTATTAGCCGCTATATAATCCCACTATCGCCAAACTTTCGCCGCTCAGTGACATACAATCTGAAACAACTTCATACTTTGAATGGGTTGAATGTTTTAATTGCCTTAATATCGTTTTATTCGGGTAGCAAAAAGCCTGAATTCTTTCTAGTTTATCTGGATGACGAAATAGCATTTTACCATTACTGTAGAAGAAAAAAATTACTCGCTCCCTTCTCGAAAAAAAGAAGAAATAGGACGGTTAATGATCTAGCAAGAAGCCTCAGACCCCTTGCGGAAAAAAATGCGCACGTACTCCTATCGGATTAACCAAAAGTTTGCATATGCATAGTCGTGAGTTAGAAGGTGGCTGAAAAGTTCCCAAAATCCCTTCTATGGTGTGATATCTTACCTTTACTCTATGAAGAAATTGCAGCTTTTAAATGATAGAAATTAAGCTTCCACACAGGTATCCAACGCGACTTTATATGGCAGATAGTAACTTAAACCACAAGCACAGTTCTGCAAACACGACCGAACTGTTCCAGAACCAGGCTGCAAGGAGGTGCCTGTACGTGACAATGCTTTGCATAAATATATGATTTGCACGCATGCTGCACAAGATCAAAACAATTTTAGCACATGTACGACGGCGTTCAAAAGGAGGAAACTTATCAAATGAGCCCACTATTTGTTCGTTGTTGTGTCATGAAGAGGAAGTATTTGAGAGAAAAAAGTTAAGTGCAAATTAAAAAGTTTTTTTTTTTACATGATTAAAAAAAAAAAAAAACTCAAAGGGGCAGCCATGAGGCAGAAGTGAATAGAAATTACAATCCAAGAGCAACAAATTAACGTCCATTAAAAATGATGTAGGCGTACATTAAAATTTGATTGACTGAAATACAATAATATAAAAATAGAAATAACATTGGATAATACTGTACTACTTGTAGCTTTATACTTGCTCCCAGGCGCGTACGCAGGATTTTTTCAAGGGGGGGGGGGGGGGGGGGTTTAACATTTATAAATCGGTCCGAAAATTTCGCAACGACTCAGCCAGCCGCTGAATAAGCCGGGGGGGGGGGGGGGGGGGGGGGGGGGGGGGGGGGGGGGGGGGGTAAGAGGACACTTTTTTTTTTTTTTTGGTCTCGAAATTTGGAAATTTGTTATTTTGCTCAGTGGGGGGGGGGGGGGTAAGGTCACCTTTTTTAGGTCGGCCGTGGGCATAATTTTTTTTTTTATACAAAAAAAAAAAAAAAAAAAAAAATCAAAAGGGGGGGGGGGAAGGGTTTTTTTAAAGTTTTTTTAGGGGGGTTTACATACATAAAATTACCAAGGGGGGGGGGGGGGGGTTAACCCCCCCAAACCCTCCCCCCTGCGTACGCGCCTGCTTGCTCCCTCTATAGAAAACAATGCCTAATCGGTGACCATTGATCCCCCATGATCCTCTTTTTCTTATGTTAATTGAGAGCTGATTTGATGAGATAGCCACATGTCAGTGATCACCTTGTGTGGTCTAATCCCTCCTAGCCAAACTAGTACATACGGCCTTTAAATCACGGTGGGTTTGCTGCTCCAATAGCGGTCTCATAAGTATGCATGGTCAATCAAGCTGTAGGCGTGTGTAAACTTCCCACGATCACTCCGCGCGTTCGAGGAGGGGATCGATAGAGCAGCAAAGCCGCCGTGATTAAAGGCTACATCAACAAGGAAATGAAAAAGAAAACCCACAGGAAAATGAAAAGGACAGATTAGAAAAAAATGAATATAGAAAGAAGTAAGAAGGAGAAATGGGAATTAATGTAGAACAATTGCATAAAACCATGAGGATTAAGTTTGGAACTACATCGAAGTCAGCGAGGTATATTCAAAGTCAGTTGATCTGTTGACTTTATGAATTGAGATTTAGAATAAAAGATTAATTTCAATAGTGGAGAGGAATAGTCGTGAAAGTACAAAAATACATGGGCAAGACATATCAAGCTTTTATTCTAAGTATGACATAATTATTGTTAATCTATTTTAAATCGGGGGTCTCCTTGCATCCCAAAGAGCTATAATGTATTTTGTATGGTCATGTTTTTGCCCATATATGCTATGTATTACAAGAAGAGCTGACACCCACAGACACTGAACGGATGCTCATTTCGTTATTAATGGTCATAAAGAGATAAAGATGGTATCAAACTGTTTGGAGAAAAAATTGAAATTTCATGAAAGAGAAAAAGGGCGATTCTATGTTGCGTACGGCCATGGCGAACGAAAACGCGCGCCATGCTTTTTTGCGCGATTTTTAAATATTTTGAAATGCTCACAATGGCCTGTAACGTATGAAAAATGAATTTAAGATGATTTTGAGCATTTTGAAATTTCGCTGTACGCGCGCGTTTATTGACCTGAAATTGACCGGACGGATATTGACCTTGATCATGCAGAATATGAATGATAATTGACTTTCCGTTATGAAGATGTGATCATGAGTTGATTTTCAGAAAATTTCCACAAAATGGCACCTGGATGACGTCACAATGACCTGATGAACTTGAAAATGTTGCTTATACATATACGTGAAAGAAATTGGCTGTAACGATCTTGAGTTATCTTATACACGAAAATCTGTCGAAGAAGACAGACCACCTAATAATGGCAAAGAAAAATCATGACAACTCAGTTTTGTAATAGAGAATAATGAAGAACATTTATTAGGCATGATATATAGATAGAGAAGAGAACATATTTCATTAAAACATACTGTCACAGAATTGCATTTGACAGTATCTGACTAAAATCAATCACTTTACATGTACACGTAGTTAAGAATGAACCAATAAAAGTTTCATATTCTCTTGTGAGAAAGATTTCTATGCCTAACAAATCATAAAATATCTATAGACAAAGAGAAAAGAAATAACAAATAAACATGCAACAAAATATGTTCAAAACTATTTGAAGTTGTTGGCGGCTTTGGGTGAAATATTAGTTTCAAACTGCACTATTTGTCAGGAAGAATATGTACATTGTACAACATTGTAAATGTAAAGAGAAAAAAAAAGAAGCCAATTCTGCCATTTACGATACATGTACAAACAGTATATGACCGAAGCATCTTCTTACAGGCAGGAAAAAGATAATATATCGTGTGCAATTAATCTCTTCTTCTTATGATCACAAGTAAAATACTGCATTGGTTTTAAGCCTAATGTAGGCTTAGCAGTCAACTTCAATATGATGATGATAATAATAATAATAAAAATAGTAATGATACCGGTCTCTTATATAGCACTTTACCATTGACTGACGCTTACAGTATTATCATTACCGGATAACTGGATGCAATTACTATTCTTAGTACATTATAGTACACATTCTCCACTTCCTGGGGAGCATTCCAGGTAGTCGCCTTTTCATTTTATTTCATTTTACTCTTATGAAAAAGAAAAGAAAGAAAAAAAAAATGCTTTTGCTAGAGTCATGGAATTTCTATTCAGACAGACATTAAGATTGAAAAATGATATAACAATTAAAAATTAATTACTTTTAATAGTATCAGTGAATTCTAAAAAATCAAGATTAAATAATTAAGGAATGTGTTAAAACCTTTTAAAACAAATATTTCATGCTCTAATAAACACATCCAATTCTAGTTTGTCATGACTGCAGAATATTTTGTTGTATTGAAATGAAAAATACAGCCATTTACTGGTAATAAACTTCTCTTGTCATATCCAACATAAATTACATGCACTTGATTTAAGAGCATAATACAAGATGTTAACCAAAAAGGAATTTTGTAACTACACATTGAATTTCTTTTGTCAAATTTTGTACAAATTTCTTGAATCAGATGACTTCAAAATTAATCATAGATCCCCATATGCAATTGTTGTTGATTGTTTAATGCACAGTGATAACAGATGCCTGACTATGTAACAATGTTAATGTATACTCCTTTTTTATACTGGAATGGTCAAACTATAGCAGTGAGTTGCCATTTGGTCTACAGCCAGTTTGTCTACTACCCAATTGGTCTATTCCCATATGGTCTGCACCCAGTCCCTACTATCCATCCACATGGTCTAATATCATTTGGTCTTATTACCATTTAAGCCAATAGTCATTTGGTCTTTTGTGCATTAAGTCTAATAGCCAGTTGGTCTCATTACCAGTTTGTATAATGCCCGTTTCGTCTACCATCCCTTAGGTCTAATCATTTGATGATTACTATCATTAGACCATATGGATAGTAAACCAAATAGGAATTAGACTGACTGGAAATTAGGCTAAATGAGCAAACGACCAAATGGATAGTAAACTTATTGGAAATTAGATAAAATGACTATTACCCTAAATGGTCATTAAACCAAAGGATAAGTAGACAAAATTATTATTAGACCATATGGATAGTAGACCATACAAGAATAGACTGATTGTGAAGTAGACTAGTAGACAAACTGGTAGTAGACCACATGGCAATAAACCACTATAACATACAAGTATAGGTGCAGTTTAATTAACTGCAAGAAATTGTAGATTTATGGATTGAACAAGTCAAATTGTCAAGCCGAATAATCTGTTGACAATGGAATAGATACTGCAAATTTTTTCATCACAGGGTATTCCTTTATTAACATGCAACGTTTGAACAGAAACAAGTAAGCACCACAGGACAAAATAAGTAAATGAACAAAGAGAATTTTGTTCTTCTATAATGTTCTTTGATCTAAATGTGTGAGATGGTCTCCTTATACAAGAGTTCCTTGATCCTAAGGTATGGTGAAGCTGAGCCCTGTTTCATAAAACTTGATATCAATAACAAGTTCGGGCTACTGTTATAAGCTACTGAAATCATGGCGTCTGATTGGCTGAGAGCAAATTTGTCATAGAAATTTAGCACTTGTTATAGATAACAAGTTTTATGAAACGGGGCCCAGATCTAGGATAACTCCCCACCAGGGACAACTTACTTCTCTTCATTTCTATAGATTTAATCTAGATTTCAAGTAGTGAACTAATAAGGATCATCAAAATTGAATTAAAAAGAAATGAAGACAAAACCCTGAAAATCTACTCCTAACCAAAAAAATGTCATATATCTTTTCCTATCTCTAACCTCATTTCTTACCCCCACCCCACCAGCCCGAGAGGAAGCCTCCGATACCACCCTTCGCGTTGGCCGCCTTGTTAGTCTCGAGTTTATCCTCCAACGACGGGAACTCTAGATGGTTGAGGGCAATGTCAAAGAAGAGAGGCTTGCATGGTACAGGTTTGAAGGCTGGCGGGAAGGCCACAAGGTTAGGCTTGGTAGGGTCCACCTCGGAGGCCGGGCGGTAGTCGCCCAGACGCTCGCTGACCGGTCTGGAGGTGTCGGACGATGACGATGCGGTGATGTTGAGCTTGGCCATGCTCTCGTTGACCTCGGATGAATCTAAGGTTGAAAGGAATATGGGGGGAGGGGGTGAGGTCAATCCACTTTGTCTTGCAGTACACACAATATACGACCGTGCAACTTACACAAATCACAAGCAAATGAAGTTTCCACGACATTACAGTTGTCACTGCATGGATGTACAGTTAATTCTGCACAAGTTCAGTTTTCTCTGAGACACATTAATTATTCTGACCAAAACATGCAAAAGATGAGTTATTTACACTTTTCAAGTCAAGATTACACTTTCTAAGTCAAACTTTCCTTTTTTGTGGTCCCAACAGATTAAACTTATGCAGAGTAAGCTACATGCAAAAGTACATGAAATTAAATTGAACATGTCAAGCATTCAAATCTTTTTAAAGATTCTGTAATGTAAGTCAATTACTACAAATGGAATCAAAATATCAATTAACAAATTTCCTTTATTTATTTTTTATGTGAAATTGGTAGTTTAGGGTTAATAACTTTGAAGGATGTGTGCACTACAAATAACTAGGAAAAGTTCCAAATAAAGTCAATGATATAATTTCATCTGAAACGCTACATGTACATTTAACATTACACTGTAAATCATCTCTTCAGAAAGTTTTTAAAAAATCTGTACATGAAACACTACATTCTCAAATGACACTATAAGGCCTAAAAAAAGAAGATAGTGTATTGCCCTTTAGGTGCCAAAACATGGGTTGGTCGGATGGAAATCTTCTTCTTTTTTTTTACTTAAAAAAAAGAAATTCCTCTTTGGGCTGGTATATATCAGTTTTGAATGCTAAAAATACTTTTTTTCTAAAAAAAAATTAAAGAAAAACCTTTTAAAAAAACCTGATTGTAGATTTCAAGATTTTTGGGTCGGTCGCAAAGGGCAATACAACATCTTTTTTTAAAAGGCCTAATACTGATATTTTTAACTATCAAAGATCAATATCAACATCCTAATCTTTTTGGCCAATATGGTTTTATAAATGTGAAGACTTAACCACTCTGGCATCCTGACAGAGAGTGATTTCTTACCTAATATGGAAGCAGCATGAGCAGAGTACTTGACACCATTTATTTGTTGTATTAGCTCATCCAATTCAGTCAACTCCGCCTAAAAGATAGACAAATTCAAAAATACTGTAAACCACGTCATACTACTAGCTGTCTACCCCTATTATATACCAGCTCTAACTCAATTATTTCACTTTACAAGAGAGTAAAGAGAGAACCATTTACTCCGATCTTCTCTATTTGTACAATTTTTGTCAAAAATCGCTTTGGATTGCATTCATTCCATTCATTTGGACCTAAAGACTGAACTTATGAACCCAAAACCTAATCAATTCATTAGCTCTGTAAGATACATACATTACTTAAGTTTGGCTGTCAATCGGTTCTTGAGATAATGCGATCAGGAGAACGGGACAACCAGAAACCATAATGCCTCCGCTTCTTTGTAGCAGAGGCATAAAAAAAGCTATATCCTAAGACCCCATGACTAAGAAATGGCTAAGAAAAAACTGACAAAGCATGAATATTATATGTGTGCATCAGAGCGTATATTTGAATAACCACATTGAAGGTCTTTCAAGATATTTTCATCACTTGCAAGAGAGATGTGTGGGAAAATGCTGCAATCAACTACGGAGCTCAGAGACCTTGATAGATGGATAGATTTGCTGACTACAGCATGGAAGAGGGTAAAGAGAAGGTTGTGTTTACGGAAAGGTGACAAATAATTTGTGAGCTTTTACTTCCCTACCAAGATGCTAACATCATTTCACAAGACACTAATCTGCATTTGCCACACTCAGCCCAGATGCAGTAAGTGGGTACCTGATAGAATTTATTCCTTGAAAGCATCAAGAGCAACTGATGCCTTAGCTAAAACCAGGGTAATAATATCCAACGTCTTTTGGAAGCGCATAAAGATGTTCTATCATGTGATAGGCCTGATAATGAACAGGATATTATAATTGATTGGCTTTTTTTCACGAACAAAGATTTTTAAAAGTATTATTTGATCTGTACAAGCCCAACGCAGGATAGACACCTCTTGCCATCACAAGCTATTTTTGAATACATTATGAGCCCCACGACTTTTGACCTTTGACCTCATGACCCTAAAATCTAATCAGTTCATTGGCTCTGCAAGATACATACATGACCTAAGTTTGGCGGGAATCCATCCATCCATTCTTAAGATAATGCAATCACAAGAACGGGACGTACAGACGCCTCCGGCTAGTTTGTAGCGGAGGCATACAAAGTTACAGAAAATGAAATAATGGCCTTATGGCTACAGAGAGCCAATATCTTTGTTTGGAGCAAGAAGGGGGTTAACTCAGTGTCAACTGATACGAGTTAATGCCCTTCTGGCTCCAAACACATTATCATATGTTATCATATATAAATGTTGTTCCTACCTTGACAGATATTGATTTGATAGCTTTCCATTCTTTCCTGGAAGACTCTGCTCTTGACATCGCCCGCTCAAACAACGCTGCTGCTTCCGTCCATTTCTTGGCTTGGCTGTAAGACTGGGCGAGGTAGAAACACCTGTTCAAAGAATTAAACAAACAAAAAGTTAACAAAAGGTTTCACAACATTGCAACGAGATAAATACAGCTGCCACAACACTGCAATTGAACAACTGAGGTAGATATATATATCCAGATTACTTTCACGATAACAAGACTAGATATAACTAAATCTTCTTTTAAAGTTCAAAATTGAAATTTGTCGTGTCAAAAAATCCTACAACTCTGGAGTATTTCAGGTACAAGAGTACATAAATATTCTTCAGTATGGCATTAATCTTTGATTTGACTGTTAAGCAGGTATGAATAAATGCTGTATATCCCTTGCAGTCTTCAAAACAAACATTTATACATCTTTTCTTAACACTAATTAATACTAATAATCAAACAACTTTCTTTCTAGTTCATTTAAAGATGACTAAAAAGATAACTTAGTAAAAGACCTGGGCCCGTTGCACAAAACTTACATTGATGGTAACTTTGCCATCAATGGTGACTACCATGAAAACCTTGATTTTGATTGGCTGTTAAGCCCTGTTAACATGGTAGTTGCAATTAATGGCAAAGTTACCTTCAATGGTAAGTTTTACGCAACGGGCCCAGGAAAGAGAACATTACTCACCTGTATGCCTTGAATTTTAATGTTTTAGCTTCTACTTCTTGTTGCAATTCTACATCACCTTCTAAGCCAGGCAGTTGGGGAATTTCTGAGAGATTCTGGAGAATACAGAAAGAAAAAAACATTTCAATAACATATCAGGCATGAAGAGCAGACATGGTCAGTGGTAGAGCAGTGGTAGAGCAACAGGGTGGTCCACGTCGATGTGCTAGTAAGAACTTAATAATCCTTATCACCAAGCCCCTCGGCGAGGATTTTAAGCCATCAGTCCCATGGTTGCTTACTTACAAGTATTACACATTCTTTCATAGCAATCTGGTAAAACAAACCAACCAATCATCAGTTCTTTTGTATGGAGTGATGACTTAATAACAAGTACGAACATGTAATACAGTATTATATGTGATTTCAATTCTGACGAATATCAGTTACCGTGTGATAATTTATGAATAAGACCAAACACACTAACAAGAGTCAGACACTAAGGTAGCTTATCGTAAGCTACCTTAAAAAAGTAATAAAACTATTGGTATTCTGACTTATCTGGTAGACAGTTTCTGTACCCTCCGGCTAAACCTGTATAGCAGCACTCTTACTGATCAATTTTTAAATAAAATTAATCTGAAACATATGTCTATTATACTAAATTGCATCTGTTCAGGATGCGTGGTTTGGCACCACTTGGTTTACTTAGCAACATAATTGAGACAACCTCACTATCCAATCATAAGTAACGTGCTATGGCTGGAATGTTCCTATGGGAGTGGAGATTGTGCACACAGTGTGTGCGGGCAAGTATTGAATCCGATGACTGGGGTAATAGCATATCTGTAAAGCGCTTAGAGACATTTGTATTAAGCACTATAATAAAAGAGGAATATTATTATTATTATTATTTATACAACCAACTCACCTGTAAGATAATATCACATAACCTGATCAGATCTTGAGGTTTGGTCCGCTTCTGATTGGCACTCTCCTGCTCTCCTCCGTCCTCCCTCGTCTGTAGGTTAGCCTTGAGGGTCTCCGCCAGCAGGATGTTACGTTCTATCGTCCTGGTCAGGCGGATGTACGTGAGGTATGTATGCAGGTATTGGGTGGTGGATACAGGGCCGTCCTGCCGCTGGCCTTTAGCTTTGGCATTCTGGAATGCAATCGGGGGAAAGTGATAACAATGTTACATTCTGGGCCCTGTCTTACAAAGAGTTATCAAGTCCTCCACTCAATCGCAAGTTTACAGTCTCCTATCTCTTATGTACATTGTTTCAATCACAAATAAGTTGCGATTGATAACAACTCTTTGTAAGACAGGGCCCCGTCTTACAAAGAGTTACGATTGATCCAAATCAATCGCATGTCTGCAGTCTCCTATCTCTTATGTACATAGCTACGAATGATATCAACCCAAAATAAGTTGCGATTGATATCGATTCTTTGTAAGACGGGGTCCTGGTAGTGTGCAAGTATTGGGTGATGGAGACGTGGCCTGCCTGCTGCTTTTATCAAACTGCCTTGTAATGGCTCAGTGGTAAAGCAGTTGTCTTGCAACCAGGATGTCATGGGTTCAAAACCCAGGTAGATGTGCTTGTGCTTTTTAGTAAGACATTAATCTTTATGAGCGATTCCCTTGGATCAGGACTTTGGTACTCCGGATTGCTGACTTTCATAGTAGTCTGGTATTAAATATAAATCAGTGGAGTAAAGTTTGTGAATAACTTACTGGATCTGCTTTAAGTTCTTCCCGTATAATCTGCAGGGAATCTTTGCACTGCATGAGAAGACTCTCATAGACAGACACCTTGCTCTCGGAGTCTGTGATCTCAGATGAAACCTGTTGCTCGTTCTCCTGGCATGTCAGAAGGAATGCTCGGACTTGCTCGTTTCTAACTGGTACAGTGCGCCCTCTCCAGGTGACCTCGCTAAGGGTCGCTGCTTGTTTCTCTCTAGTCTGGGCAAGAAGACTCTGAAGAAGGAAAGGAGGTAAGATTCTTTAAATATTTTCAAAATAAATTTTATATGGATTTACCGGTAGTTGAAAATGTGATGGAATAAGTTCAAATCTATATATTAAAGATATATATTATTCTTTACAACTTTAACAAACAGAAAAGTGGAGATGTACTTTCATCAACGTTGAAAATGAACGAGAGATTGACTCTTAACCCTATTTAGCCCGGGCTATTTAGAAACTGCATAGCCCGGGGGGGGGGGGGGGGGGGGGGCTTCCAAGGCCCCCCCCCCCCTATGATCTCGGCCGTGAGATGACCGATCGTCGAGAAAATTTACATACATATCAAATGAAGTGTAAAGAATACTATGGTATTTTCAATTTTTTGAAAAATTCACTCATTTGCATATTTATGGTCATTTATGCAAATAAGGTCATAAAATTCACATTTTTGCCCATAAATCAGACATTATTCATATTTAACCATTCTTTCTCACTACATTCATTTGTTAGACCATTTGGAATAATAATACAACACAAAAAAATTGAAAGTCCGATTTTTGGGCTCATATGCAAAGACAAATGGACAAGTGACTTTGTAATGGTAGGTCTGATTTTCGAAAAATTTCTTTCAAAAGATGCGCAAGACTCGAAAGAAAAAAGTCACAAAATTTCAGTGCAAGATTTTCTTGCATTAAAAAATTATCGCGAAATATGTCGAGGGGGGGGGGGCTTCTAAAGCCCCCCCCCCCCCCCCCCCCGGGCTAGATAGGGTTAAGGCTGTATAAATCAAGAATGTGATTATACAGAAGAAATCCCCAGAGGATAAACTTATACATCTTTAACATATTTCCATCAAAGTAAAGACGATGCTATTAAAGAAGTTGGAGGCCTCCATATTTCCTTGACAGTGAATTCAGTCTCAGCGAGCATCTCTTAATAAACTACTCCGAAAATCAAGATTTACATTAATCTTGATCTAAGGAGACACGAACGAACAAACGAATCTCTTAATAAACATAACCTCTTTGTAAAAACGGCTCTTTTCTGTCTCTCAAGCTCTTTCAGTCTGAAACAGCTAGTAAAAATGTTGTTGTTTTTTTTATCCCAGAGACTGAAACTTCTATAGTGTTGATCAAACATTCGCCCATTTGCATATTTATGGTCATTTATGCAAATAAGGTCATAAAATTCACATTTTTGCCCATAAATCAGACATTATTCATATTTAACCATTCTTTCTCACTACATTCATTTGTTAGACCATTTGGAATAATAATACAACACAAAAAAATTGAAAGTCCGATTTTTGGGCTCACATGCAAAGACAAATGGACAAGTGACTTTGTAATGGTAGGTCTGATTTTCGAAAAATTTCTTTCAAAAGATGCGCAAGACTCGAAAGAAAAAAGTCACAAAATTTCAGTGCAAGATTTTCTTGCATTAAAAAATTATCGCGAAATATGTCGAGGGGGGGGGGGCTTCTAAAGCCCCCCCCCCCCCCCCCTGGGCTAGATAGGGTTAAGGCTGTATAAATCAAGAATGTGATTATACAGAAGAAATCCCCAGAGGATAAACTTATACATCTTTAACATATTTCCATCAAAGTAAAGACGATGCTATTAAAGAAGTTGGAGACCTCCATATTTCCTTGACAGTGAATTCAGTCTCAGCGAGCATCTCTTAATAAACTACTCCGAAGATCAAGATTACATTAATCTTGATCTAAGGAGACACGAACGAACAAACGAATCTCTTAATAAACATAACCTCGTTGTAAAAACGGCTCTTTTCTGTCTCTCAAGCTCTTTCAGTCTGAAACAGCTAGTAAAAATGTTGTTGTTTTTTTTATCCCAGAGACTGAAACTTCTATAGTGTTGATCAAACATTCGCCCATGCTAAGAAGCTTTATAAAGTCCATTGTAAATATCTGCACAACAATTTCAGGGGGGGGGGGGCTAATTTTCGGAGGCTCTTTTTTGGCTTTTGGGGGCTCTTTTTGGCATTTCAGGGGCCCGTTTGCCTGAGCCCCTATGTATTTTTTCCCTGGCACAACTTACATCTATATTGGTTGACATTTGACCTCCTGACTTGAGCCTCATCTTTACCAGATCGTTGATTGCGCTCTCATCTCCGATGTTGTACGCACAGTAACGTATACTGGGGGAGATCTCCTCTACACGCTGAAGGTAGATCGCACTCTGCTCTTCGTTGAGGGCACTTGCCAATTTTTCATAGATGGTCCTTGGGGAAGAAGTTGGGAGGAAATGGAGAATGTTAAGTTACAATTATCAACCCTTTCCAAATACAGTCAAACCAGTCTATAGTGACCGCCCAAAAGAAAACACAGAAAGTGGTCTTTGTAGACAGGTTCCTTTAGTACATGTTTCAAGGAGAAACCATTTTCAAGGGAAACATAAAATGTGGTCTTTGTAGACAGTCAGTCACTAAAGGGTCATTCCATGTCAAATCACCCAAAAAATCTGAAAATCTTAACCCGACCATTTTTTATTTTGATGAAACTTAGTGAACTTGTTGAGTGTGATCTCACAGCACCAAATCCCAAATTTTAGGTCAATCGGGTGAGGGGTTTGGGAGATACGGCCCACCAAATTTTGAGATTTTTTCAAAAATGGGGGTGGCGGGCCTTCCTTTGAACCCTTGTATCTCGGGACCTAATGGGTCAATCTTCACAAAATGTGTATTGTTGGAAAGGGTATTCAATAAGAATTCCAAATCTGCCGCCATTTTGAAGATTTGTACATGTTGGGGTACTTTGACCTCTTGACCTCAGATTTGACCTTGAAATTGACCTTGTGGATCACGTAACTTTGACAACATTTTTCATGAAATGTAATCTCTGACATGTTCACTAAAACATATAAAAGTTTCAGAGATATAATATTTTTTGTTTAGGAGCAATAAGGATTGAAAGTATCCATACTCACAGATATTCACAATAAACCCTATTATAATGTATACAATACATGCAATATGCACAGTACAACATACATCTTCCACATGCTTTTTTGTTTTAGTCATATCCATCCTAAATGTCAGCAGTACTTGAATAGAAATAAAATTCATGTAGGCCTAAAAGGTTAACAGAATGTATGGCTTTAGACCTCTGATTCGGTTCTAGGATAATTACCCCCTGGAAAATTCCCCCCCCCCCTGAAAACTACCCTCTAAGGACAATTACCCCCCCCCCCCCCTATTCGTTAAAGGGGAAGTCCATCCTGATAATAAGTTGGTTTTAATCAAAGCAGATTTTTTTTGGGGGGGAATATTATTCTTGAGGGGTAATTTCCAGGGGGGGGGGGGGGTAATTGTCCTCGGGTTAATTGTCCTCGGGGGGGGGGGGGGGAACAGATTGTCCTAGGAGCTAATTTTCTGGGGGTAATAATCCTCTGGGTGTGATAGTCCTTGTCCTTGGGGGGGGGGGGGGACATTTCCTGAGGGTTAATTTTCCAGGGGGGTAATTATCCTAGAACCGACTCAGAGGCCTAAAACCATACATCCTGTTAACCCTTTAGGCCTATATGAACTTGTCATTTTATTTCTATTCAAGTACTGCTGACATTTAGAATGGATATGCCTAAAACAAAAAAGCATGTGGAAGATGTATGTTGTACTGTGCATATTGCATGTATTGTATACATTATAATAGGGTTTATTGTGAATATCTGTGAGCATGGATACTTTCAATCCTTATTGCTCCTCAACAAAAAATATTATATCTCTGAAACTTTTATATGTTTTAGTGAACATGTCAGAGATTATATCCCATGAAAAATGTTGTCAAAGTTACGTGATCCACAAGGTCAATTTCAAGGTCAAATCTGAGGTCAAGAGGTCAAAGTACCCCAACATGTACGAATCTTCAAAATGACGGCAGATTTGGAATCCTTATTGAATACCCTTTCCAACAATACACATTTCGTGAAGATTGACCCATTAGGTCCCGAGATACAAGGGTTCAAAGGTAGGCCCGCCACCCCCATTTTTGAAAAAATCTCAAAATTTGGTGGGCCGTATCTCCCAAACCCCTCACCCGATTGACCTAAAATTTGGGATTTGGTGCTGTGAGATCCCACTCAACAAGTACACTAAGTTTCATCAAAATAAAAAATGGTCGGGTTAAAACCATTGGGTGATTTGACATGGAATGACCCTAAAACAGATTTGACTGTACCAGAAAAGTAATCACATTCTTTTGACGACCTATATGCTTCCCCATAAATTGCCTGGCATAGGATAAATTAATTAATGCTTTTCACACAGATGTGATAATATGCTTGCATGATATTAGAGTTTGCCATTGAGCTTATGGGTAGAAACAGCCATAAATTTGAATAGAGTGCAACGGTTAATTGATAAATTTACTCACTCATGAAACAGAGATACTCAAAGTTTTGGTGCAGGGTGAAATGAATAAGCCCAGAGTGACGGTCCAATTGTTGAATTTTTCTGACATGGGCTCTGCTGATGTTCAGCACCCAAGCTCTTGCAAGAAATCTAATATGATAGGATTCTCAACGAGCCGTGTATTAAAATTCCAGTCATTTGGGTATTTCCTTAAATTATATGTCTGTCAATATCGCAATGTGGACTTACTTGGCTTCACTTAGTGTCTCTATGCAGTTTTCCCACTTCTCCTCCTCAAATAGCACCATTCCTTTCATATATCCAAAGTAAGCCTGCAAAACAAAAATGCAACAAATTAATCTTTCAAAACAATTAACCTGGGTGTCAATAAAACCAATGAATGAATTTAATTGAAAAAGCATTGAGCTATGCTTGACAGGTATCAGCATTAGAAAGTGCATTTGCACCACCACACACCTTTGCTTCAAGCTTGGATCTCGCATCACACTTGTCGCTCTGAGAGAGGGCCTCCAGCTCTGCAGCAAATTTGACTGCCTTCCTCAGCCTGGACATGACATGGAAGCGCTTCCTGGGTTCTGTGTTTCCCTCCGTCTTGAGCTGCATAGCGTAGGCCCAGGACCTCTCGGCACAGACCAGGGGCAGGTACAGAAACCTAAAAAAGAGGCGAGAGTGATATCACAAACATAATGGGTCCTGGAAATGAACATGAACTTTAAAGAAAACAGAACTTATGACTATCACAATAGTATTTAACCTGTTGATCTATTTTTTTATTAATAACAGCAATTTTTCATTGACACCAGCAGGAAGTTAGTATTTGATATTTGAAGTAATAAAGAGTTCTAGTAATTAAGCTGCACAGTTAATAAAACACATCCGGTGGTCTTTATGATGCTGTTATGTGTAAATGGGTTTCAAAATTTGTCCAGCTAAATGGAAACATTACGAAAAACTTGCTATACATGACATAAAAATCAAAAATTTGGAATGGACACAAACTTGTTGTAACCACTCCTAAGCCGATATGAAGATAGAATCTGATTATATAGGTACCCATGTTATGAGCACAACATTCATAATGAATACGTTTAAACAAAGCAGCAGGCTTGTATTTGAACAAGTTAATGACTTCATTTTTTTATTGATTCAAAATTTATTCCAATTCATATCAATTTTCTGCACAATAAAGAACATAGTTGACAAAGTAAATTCAAAAGAATGACATGTACATGTACTCTTTTCTAAGCGCCATGAGCACCGAAAGGTGGACCTGTGCGCTATACAAGTAGCCACTATTATTATTATTATTATTAAATGAGACAGGAACCTAATGGAAAGCATAGCTTGTTTTTAGTAGGTTCCTAAGAACAAATATAATATGAACATTATTTTCATAAATGTTTTAACAAAAAAATGTTCATTCATTGCTACTCCAAAGGAACTAATTTATGACGTGTGTAAATACCAAGGCCTCTCCCATATTAGAATAACAAAGAATACAATACTCTCGAGCTTTAACAAAATTACTGTATCATTCTTACCTGACATCTTTAACAATTTCTTCCTTGATCTGCCGTTTAACAAATTTGTTCCTATTTCCGTACGAGAACTTGAGCGATTTTCTGACCCTCCTCAGTCTTCGGGTACAGTAGCTCCTAAAACAGAAACAGTAAAGCAAGATTTATAAAAACATTTCACTTTAAAATTGGTGATTTTTTTTTTCAGAAAAAAAAAGGAATGTGTTTAAACGCAGATAACGAAAATGCATACAACATGTTTCTATACTATCAAATGTCTCTTTTTTTTAAATCATAACAAAATGCAGCTGATGTGTCTGTAAGTGTATTCAAATCGTGGATAGAACATTTTTAAAGAAATTATTCAGAATTCACATCTCTGCATCTCTTTGTGCTTGTGTTTTAAGGTGCTTTGATCCACTCTAAGCCCTATTTTTAAGCATTTCAAACACAATATCTGATTAAATAAATAAACAATATTTCATAAATAAATCAGATTTGGTTGAGAACGAACATTAACCTATCACTGATTTTCAAACCTGTATAATGAAAATTCAAACCTAATGGTGTTACACGTTTTAAAGCCCCTCTGCACTAGTTTGGCATGGAGGTATTAGACCTCCCTGCGTAGTCACTGGCAGGTGGTTATCTCATCAAATCAGCTCTCAATGAACATAAGAAAAAGGGCATCATGGGGTACCACCAGGCACCGATTAGGCATTTTTGGCTGTATAGAGGGCGCAAGTAGCTGCAGTGGGGCTTTAACATGTTGTGGACTACCGTGGTTAGATTATTTACCTGTATCTCTGGTAGTCACCATGTCGAAGCCCATGCTGCAGCTGGGATTCCTTGATGATGCTCAGGACTAAGAAGAAATTACAAAGTCAAGGACTGTCTTTTGAAATTTTGGGAAACATTTTACAAACTTTTTCAAGAGAAACAAAAATTCAAGAATAACCTGCTTTTCAAAGAGTTACAAACACCCCCCCCCCCCCCCTATTTGTTGAAACCTCAAACATCTATCCTCAAAACATATAAAAATGTGAGTTTTAAAACTCATTAACAGTTTTAGTAGACGAAAATGAAATTAAAAGGTAAAAACAGTCTGGATCTAGTCTTGTATTTCTTGAAAAAAAACTAACAAAAATTGGATCAACACTCCTAGATTCATAGAACAAGGAAAAATGATCAATCCTTTGTTAATTACATTAAAAAAAATTGATTAGGTCCAACTTCTCGAAATGCCCTGTCCTAGACCAATATCAACAATTCAATTCTCCATATGCCATCCAGCAAGCAAACCATTCAACCGAACAAGCACAGGCACAGCTCAGGCACAGCTGCACAGGCTATAATTTTGTTCTTCATCAACCATCACCATTCACACACACGTACACACATCTCAATGAATGGATTTTCTATTGACTACATATTGCACGAATATTCTTTATCAACCCAATGAATTAAATAATCTGCTGTGTTGGTAGCCTGGTATATATGGAAGTAGGCTTCCCTCCTCTTTAATAAATACAGTTTGCACATTCTGAGGTTGGCAAAAAAAGGATACCTTCAAGGGTGAATGTCAAGCCTTGTCCAGATTGTGCCACATCAGTCACGCTCTCTCCTTCGCCAGCCATGTTTCATGTGCAATTATATGTCGTAGATGGCAGCAAACAATTGGAAAATTACTCTATTTTTCTAAAACTGAAATATTCTATGGTATCTGTAAATCGTACAAGTCAAACACAGTGAGGGTACTTTCGCCTACATAAAGACTTGACATGTTCATGTTCTCAAATAAGAAACCCTTTTTAATCGCTTTAAATTTTAAATTCAAATTGTTCAAGCCTAAACATTCCAAGTACCGATCACTCACAAATCATAATTATTGTTTTGCATTTGCGCCTGTATTTAGTACTGTTACCCGGTACTGACTAGATTTGGTCTTGAAAGGGAAGTTTTCTTATAATATTTTCTTTTGATAAACATATCTTTGAGCCAGAAGATGAGACTGAATTATGAGAAAGCTTACCGCTCTAGCTATTACATCTCATTTTTATGATCATGAGGCCCGGCATGAAGGCTGCGCTATTTTAACTTTTCGTACATCAGTCACGAAACTTCGACCCTTGCAAATGACTTTACCAAATTTCTACATCCCAGGTGAATTTTGTTGATGGACTACTCGATGGAATCAAGTTGAAATTCTGTAGAATACCATTAAATGTAAGCCTACCGTCATTATAACCGTAAGATGATCTGCCTCAACAATAATGTAGGCCTCATTTAGATGAAATAAGCCAATTAAGCTGGTTGCAGTAGGCCTACTGTAACAATCTGCAGCCGGACATAGCCGCCGTAAGGGAGTTAAAAAAACACACGATATAATCGTCATAAAGGGCACGATCGTCGTGAAAAAAAAAACATGTTTTTAATGAAAACCTGAAATGACTGCGACCCCACTACAAATTAAATATCGGCCAATGATGTGTAGGCGTAATGGAAGGCTGTTTTGACACCAAGGACACACTTAAGAAGTGTTATTTTGGGGGGTATTTAATAGCACCCTATCAATGTAACGGAGCAATTATTTCATCAAATTGGGCAACCAGTGACTGAGAGGGGGCAGCTAAACCCCAAATAAAATTCAAATGTGGTTTGTTTCTAATTCGATACCAGTGATCTACAAATGTTGCTGAAATGACATGATTTGCATGTTTTTTCCCCTCACTTTTGCCCATTATAATTTTGCCAGAGGCGCTGTTCTCCCTATGAGGAGAGGGGGGGGGGGAGGACTGAGCCCCCACTTTTTCAGGTACGCCCATAAAGCCCCTTTTTATATGGGACAAATGCCTCTCTTCTTTTCTAATAACTGTCATTTTCCTCTCTTTTTATCTCTGGTAAGTATGTCTTTACAGGTGCGAGAAATTTCCCTTTTCACCTTTGATATTGTTGCCCTTTTTTTTAACTTTGACTCGTGCCCCTTCTCCTGTTTAATAAGTGTACCTTTTCCTTGGTGATAAGAACCCCCTTCCCTTTCTCTTAAATGCAAATTTTCTCTTCTGATATAGAGTGCCCCTTTTATTTTGACCACGTGTCCCTTGTTCCTTCTAATAAGTACCATATTTACTTCGGATAAGTGCCCCTTTTCTACCCTTTTTTTTTTTTATATGAGCCTCTCCCCTTCCCAAAATGCTTCTATTAAAATCTGAGAGGTGCCAGTTTCCTTCAACAGATTCCCCATGTCCATTCTCACATGTAGTTTTTCATTTCTTTCCTTTTTAGGTGCAAGAAGTGCCATTTTCATGCACTTCTGATAATTGCCCTTTTACTTTGACACGAGCACCTGTTCTTTTCTAATAATTTTCATTTTCCTGTTGATAAGTGCCCGTCTTTTCCTTTTTCCATAACATGCACCCCTAATTCAAGGCGACTTAAAGACTCTTTTTCTTTAATTCCCCCCAGAGCTTGCTCGCTACGCTCGCTCGCATAATAGTTGTTATAATGTTACTTATAAAAGAACTTTTCAGTCTTTCTTCAATAGATTGTGTTTCACACTCATCTTGGATTGTTTTTTTTTTACATCTTTTTTAAAATGTAATTTTTTGCACTGCTTGGGGCCTCACACATTTTAAAGTTGTGGTCGCTCACTTCGCTCGCTCAAAAATTAATATACAGACCATAACACCCAACTGCAAAATATGTTGCTTAATATTTAAGCAGTATCTTGTACCACGTAAACAAAGAAGCGAATATTGATGTCATCCCGGGTAGTGTATTTCACAATCATGACGATATAGGGGTATAAAAATGTGTCTAAAAATATGTTTTTTTATGTTTCCCTTTGTAGGTGCCTCATTTTTTTTCTCCAGAAAGTGCCCTTTTTGTTGGTGCCCCCTTTTTTTTGGAAGACGTTCCGCCGCCCCTGCATCATGCTACTTGGTGGTGACACGGATTTTTTTTTTCTCACCCCAAAAAGCTTTTGCTCATTACGCCACTGGGCATCTGCCAACTATAATTTCGGCGGAAAGGTGTTTTATACTTTCAATTTCTATTAGACAAAATATTTTTCAATGTAAAGAAGTTGAAAATGAAAGCAATTAAATTGAGCAAGAGTTATCATTCACCCTTGACCCCTAACCCGGCGAAATTAATTGTGGCCCAGTATTCATTTCAAGTTCATCCGTATTTTTTTTTAAAGACTAGGCCTATATTATATATTTCTCTCTCTCTCTCTCTCTCTCTCTCTCGCCCTTCCTTCTCCCTCCCTCACTCTTTCACTTTCTATTCTTTCTCTCTCTCTCTATCTCTCTCTTCATATCTCTCTCTCTCTCTCTCTCTCTCTCCACTCTTTCTCTTTCCCTTCTCCGATTCCTCTCACTGTCTGTATCTCAGATACAAGATCATCATCCATGCAGGGTCCATGGTCAAACACTGCGTGTATTCTTAAATAAATTGTACCAACTAGAGATGATAAGAGTGTTATTAAAATTGAGGAAATCTTGCAACTCAGTATAAAGGCTACAACCGGTAATCTCCCAGCTACAAATTGATTTGACCAAAGTACGATAAAAAAAAGTAACGACCCTCATTACCCAAACTGTTTTTGTCTACTCGAAGATACCATATACTAGACCATTCATTAATCAAGTACAGTAGCTTATTTCAGTTTTCTTTTGTTATCTTTTTATAATGATGACGTGCGTGACGTGTGACGCGAGAGTTTACGTACACATGCACTCGGTCTCGGAAATGATTGGAATGTGTGCTTTTGGAGGGATGAGAGTCGTGTAAAACCAAGGATAAACATCAGATTAATTTGGGGCGTTTGTGACTTCATTTGCGTAGACGAAAATACATCGATTCGAATGCTTTTTTGATGTTCGCGGGCCGAATATGATAGTTTAGGATCCGCGGGTTTTCGAGAGAAATGAGCGACAGCGCTGCAGAAGCTGGCCCGTCTACCTCGGGTGGGCGAATGTTCATGCATGCCCCTCCGCCGGTGATTAACATCATCGCTCCGACAGACTCACCGAGCATGAACAACAACATAGAACCGGGCCCATCGGGGGACCATCACAATCAACATCGACCTCTTTCCTCGGGAGATGTTTTAAACAACTCACATGCAGCAACACAGGATGAACTTCCACACGATTTTCAATGTGACTTTGGGTTTTTGCTGAGGGATAAAGTCAGTCTTTCAACTCTTCAGGTGCAACAACCAATTGAACTAGATTACGCTGATATTCCAAATAACACTGAACTTACAAACTTCATTGGAAAGACCAAAAAGAGACGTTTGTATTGCAGAAGAGGAGCAGTAGTCTTACAACAGTCTCCAGTCGGGAGATTTTACCAAGGTAAACAAGGTTATAAAGTCAGTGCATGATCTCGATCTGGAGAGCAACCTAAAAAAGATGGCTATAAAAAGTATAAGATAATGTCATATCATGGTTTTTTAAACCACTCCTTCATCTGCACATACTACGCACTTGTGTGTAGAGTCTATGCTTGGAATTGGAAAAAGGAGACCATGGTGAAGCAAGGTAGCGTTTCTGTGAGGAGCGAATGGTGGTTTCCTAATCCTATTCACAATCCTGACAATAATGCCACTGTAAACAAGTGTGTTCGTGCAAACGAAAGAGTGGTTTCCAAAACCATGATATAGCCAAAAAGAGTCCTAGAAATAGTAAATAGATCTAGATTCTAGGATCTAACTTAACTTTTTATATCTCCATATCCAGGTTAGATTATAGATCCATATAAACGTTTTACATTGCTCTCCAAGACTCCAACCGTTTGTTGAGCCAAATTATATCAGATTCAGAACTCCATCCATGGAAAAAAATTTGAGTGGAGTGGAGTGTAAATCAAATGATATAAGATGTATTTTTTTGTTATGATGCAAAACTCTTTCTTCTAATCAAATTTTGTTAATCTTGATTTAATCTTAAAATGATCTTTAAATTCTTTATTCTGTTTGCAGAATGGTCTTTAAAATATTTAGAAATGACCTGAATTCCTCTTTGATAAATGTATATCTAAACTGTATTTTTTGCTGTAACATGTAGCCTAATGGGAGTAATGATTAGTATTAATTGTGTTAATTTCTTTAGTTTGCTACCACCCAGTCTATGACCCTCCCCCTTCCCCTTTTTTAAGACAACTGCCTCTCAGGATAATGATCCCCCAAAGGTATCTATTTTAACAAAGGTATACTTAAAAAAAACATGTATAAAAGGAAATATACATGTAGAGTCTAGACTACATTTATTTGAATGATTAGGTAAGAAAAATGCATTTGCATTATCATAACGACCCATCGGCCAATTTTAAATTCTCCTGTATGAAATTTTAATGGAAATGCAATTATTATGTACCTGTTTATGGTACTTCGGACTGACATGCAACATTATCCAGGGATAGCTTCTAAATGTTCAAGATGTTTAATGATAACATTTTTCGTGAATTTTTAAGTATTTTAAAAATTTCATTCAAGAATTAAACCTCTCTGATAACTACTTGTAGGATATTCTGCTTTCCTTAAAAAAAAAGACAGGTTGATTACCCTTTAAATACACACTCCCAGGGCATGTAACTGTTGTGCTCAGTTACAAATTGTGTTGACTGATTGATAAGTCCAATTGCCCGGGCAGGCGGGCACCTGTGCATAATAGTGTCAAGCATTGAGAATTGCATTCTAAAAGGTTTTAATGTGAATGTGATCTATTGATTGATATAGTTGTAAGAAGAAGTAGTTTTCTATGTCCAATAAGCCTATATTAACAAGGGAGGCTTTGAACAGTATTTTCTTCTATAAAGTAGGGTAAGTACATGTACATGTAGCTATTGTACAAGTGCAGTTTGCTTTCATCCATCTCAATAGATGCACAGAAATACCATAAAAACAATCTTTGGACAACTTTTAGAAAATGAAAATCCCACCATAAAAGTCAACCAGACATTTGTAGGTTAACCAATGCTCCACTAATGAAGCTAAATCTAAAGACTCAAGTTTCTTACCGGGTACTTCAAATTCTTAGCTAACCCTTACCCTAATCCTAACCCTGAACCCTAACTCTAGCCCTAGGTGTTGGACATTCATTTACATACATGTACCCATTGGTGGGGTATTCTAAAGTTTTTGTTTTAAGCCCAATTTTTTTTGGGACAAAGAACCTTTGTACCTTGCCTTGGAGTAATACATGTACCACTAACCATGGTAACCTGCTGTCGCTTATCCACAGACTCTCACAGTCACACCTCCATATGGTATTCATATTTCTCTTAAACTAGAATTAACACGATAACAAGAACTTGCAAGAAATCCTTTGGGGCACTGGTATTACCTTATCATCTTGCCTATGATAGAAATTATGCTGGATTACATCTACATACATCTGTGACATTAATGTTTGCCCATTTCAAAAGGTGGTGCACAAGACTCTTTTCCTAATGCCCCTGGTCAATATTTAAAAAGTGTTAGGATTCATAGCTACCTTCTTCTCCTTCTCCTCCCCCCCCCCCCCCCCCCCCCCCCCCTCAGAGTCAGAGATCTGCAGTCCTACAGAAATAGCGTTAGTGAGATGGGCTGTCGTTACAGGCTTGGATCTCGTATGTGAGGTTTTATAATGGTTATTCCTGGGGTACCGATGAACGTAATTAATATTGAATTATATTTATAGTTGCCTGGTTTTAGATATTGTCTGATGAGATCCAGAAAGGAGTTACATGTCCATGTATATATAAGTGTACATAGACATACAATGTACTAGTTATCCTCCTTCTACTCCCGTAGTAGCTAGCTCTCAGCGAAAATATGAAATCTGGAGAAATATTGATTGATCATTGATGAATGAGTGATCTTTGTAACAATTTGGTACAGACCAAAAGCTACTATGAGTAACATGCAGTTGTCTCATTTTGACATACTACTGACATGATGTACATGTAGTCATGAAAGCGTACATGTAGTCATGAAAGCAGAAAAAGTGACATGATAAACTTGTAAGAAAAGAGAATGAATTGATGTTGATCCTTAATGAGTACCGTATTCTATTTGACCAGCTGTATAGCTGCACAATTATTGGAGGAACAGTTTCAAAGAAATTTTAGATTGCAGTGACAGTGCAGTCACTCATAGAATCTAGCTTCCTATAGCTTCCCTAGACTGATTTTCAAAATTTAGTGAAAGACCTGTAGATTTTATGACTCATTTTGAATGTGTTTTTCTTGTCTAGTTACTGAAGTGTTTGTTAAAGGTTAAATGTCTGTGCTTAAAGACTCTATTCAAAGGGGAAAATGAAATAGAGAAATTATATATTAACATAAAAATGTTAACCCATTGAATACAACAGTACCTATTTTATGTGATTTCATTGTCTGCTAGAGGAGTAATAGCACCCAAACCTTTGTAGTTGAGAGCTTGAAAAACAGGTATTGGTCGAGCTCAACCAGGGTTAATTTGATGACGTCATTCTGCGTAAACAAATCGTTCGCAATTAATGCATAAGCCACGTCTGCACATTAAAGCCCATGTCAGGTGTTTTGATTTGTTGTTTTCAAAGTCATGAATTAATGTTTGTAATCAGTTTACAATTAAATATTTAGCATGGATATTATTTAATTGCAACTTCCAGCAATCAAAACCCTTCCTGCAATTCTTAGATGGGACTGAAAGACAAATATCAGTGCCTTTGCACCAAGCTGCAAGTGAAGGTTCCCCGCAGGATTTTTTAGCTTACTCCGCACCTTGGTGGTCCAATGGGCTGGGCGGAAGTGCATACCAAGTAATGCCTCGTAGATGTATGGACGAGTTTCAAGAAATGTCTAGATCTAATTAGCACTTAATATCAATTTACATTCATATAAATTCAGAATTTGGTGAAAATGTGCCCTGTTTTTTTGTTTAACACACCAAGGGAACTTCTTAGAACGCTATTGTTTGCACATGCCTGGGCCCCGTCTTACAAAGAGTTGATCGTCCAATCAATTGCAAGTTTGCAGTCTCCTATCTCTTATGTACATACAATGTAGTTGCGATTGATATCAATCGCAAATAAGTGGCTATTGATGTCAACTCTTTGTAAGACAGGGGCCCTGGTGACCATGTGTGGCTGATAGGTCTACATTGACAGTGACATATCAACAGAGAGATAAAGATGGAGTAGATGTAGAGAGACAAGAGAGTGTTGGGGGGGGGGGGAGAAGTGTATTGCAAAGTGACCACACTTTTGTTACATTTTCTCTAACATTCAGCCTTTAATCACTCCAGTTTTTCTCCTTTGTTATATCTTGAAGAGAAAATTAAATTATGCTCTTCCTTCCATCATTACACATGAGCTGTGAGAGCAGGAAGAAGCCGTCTGGCACGAGAGACGCTTTGTAATTGTATGTGCCGTCTTTGACAATACCACAATGATAACAGGAAAGAACAGGTGTCAATCTGAGGGGCATTGGCTTGTAATGTTCCTGCCTTGCACTTGAGCTACCCATTCAAAGAGAACATTTATACCAAATTTGTTACAAGAAACATAAAAAGAATCATTGTATAGCAAAAGGAGCATTCATCTGAGATGAGTCATATATAAAGGAACGTCATATAAATTATTTGTTTGGGGAAAGTCAGCTAATGATATTGCCCAAGGGTACAAAATAACAGCAGGCACCAGTCATATCATTAAATGCTGAAGATAAACATGAGCTGTTTACAAGGTTTCATTTGAAACAATGTTCTAATGTGTGTTACTTTGTACAAATTTTGATTGAGACTAGAATAATGAATCACTTACAGTGAATTTACACAGATTTTCTAGATACATGTAGCTACCGGTATACAATAAAACTTGTTAGTCTGAATGGTGGGAAAAGGAGGGGTAGAAAGGAAAAAGCACATTTATAACACCCCTAGGGAACACCACTGTTTTTCCAGGACTCTGTAGTTTACACAATAGGCCTGTTTTCATCAGCTCGAGTTTGCCAAATAACCCGCTACTTTCAGGCACTGGATATTATCCCAAAGCTCGAAATTCAGTCTCCACCAGACTGATACGCTCATCACAAACTAGCTCAGACGGGCGTAAATTAGTCCGCTATTTCCCCAAGTAGCAGGATATTTTGGAAGCAAGACCAAGATTTCTCAGGATATTTTCTAGACCAAATATCCCGCTAATCGCAACTGCAGGCTAATGAAAACGCAAATTAGCTGGATAATGTGCGATCGGGATAGTTAAAATAGCGGGGTATTTGGCCAACGTGAGCTTATGATGACAGGCCTATTGTAGGGTGTCAAAGTACTTTGATGTAGTTCAGAAGAAATCAAATTATAAAATGAATAACAAAAACGCTAGGAATTTAGGCCCATGTCAAAAACTATTTGTGCCACTAATGACTAGCATGAATATGTAGGTTGGTACTTCTTTTGTTATGAATTATGATAGAAAATTATTAAAGTGATCATCATCGTAGACGATTCATTTTATGTTCATTTTGGGGTGAAATTACATGGGTAGTTCCATTGTTTGTTAGAAGTGAAAAAGTAATAATGTAATTGTATTCTGCTATTTTTCCTCCCTTTCTCGAAGGCAAGGGGCAAATTTGTCTCAGCCCTCATATTTCTCTCTGGAATTGTAATATCTTTCATATTTGACAGAATAAGGGTAAAAAGAAGCACACAGAAAATGCTTAGAAGTTAGAACATCCTAAGAAGTTTCTGTAGTAACTGTATGTTGCTATTTTATCTTCAGCTTGAAGTATCAAGAGTTTCAGACTGCATACCAGTAGGTGTCCTGGTAGTCATGAATTTTGTAACAGGAAAATAGTTTTGCTTTGAGTTACATACTGTACCTGTTGTTCAAAGTCAGATTATATTAGATGAAAGACAGTGCAGTTGACAACTGAATTATTTAATTTACCCTTGTAGCCTTTATATTGTTTGTGTTTTTCATAACTCGAGAATGAAAAAAGGACTGGTTGAATTAGTAAGCTTTAATTCTCAAGAAACATATATTGGAATAAATTAATTTTTTCACTTTCTTAAAAAATTACAAAACTAAGTAAAGGTATGAATAATTTACTTATTAGCTGTAAGCTGTAAATGTTCACTGTATCACAGTATTAGTATATAAAATGTGTAGTATTCATCAATTACTTTCAAAGATTTCCTATAACCGGTGTCTAATAGCATAAAATAAAATGGAATTGTTTGTAATATGGAACATCCTCAAAATCCAGCATTTTTAAAAAGATACCGAGTATGTTTATTTTTTAAATTTTAAGCTTGAATATTTTGTTGGAAACTTATAGGTTTCATTTCTTTGACAATGATGAAGGCTTTGGTCAAGTTTGGTGTAATTCATGTTACGAAAATATGCATTATTGAAGAAAATAAAATCAGTTAAAGCGGGAATACACTACTTGTAGCTACTTGTGCCCTCTTTATAGCCAACAATGCCTAAGCGGTACCCTTTGATCCCCCATGGTCCTCTTTTTCTTATGTTAATTGAGAGCTGATTTGATGAGATAACCACCTGCCAGTGACCATGCAGGGAGGTCTAATCCCTCCTGGCCAAACTAGTGCAGATAGGCTTTAAATTTGAATTGTTGTACAAGTGTTGTTGTTTTGATCATTGGCATCACTCCTGCACTGAGGAGAACAGTAGCTAGAGGCCAGACTTAGAACACGTCTTCACACTCCCTCAGGGAGCATCCTCCTACAGACAACATCCTCCCTCAATGAATAGGCCTGTCATCATCAGCTTGAGATTGCCAAATATAACCCGCTATTTTAACTATCCCAATCACAAATTATCCAGCCAATTTGTGTCTTCATCAGTTGCAATTAGCGGGATGTTTGGTCAAGATAATCATCCCAAGATATCTTGGGCTAGTTTGCACGATATCCTGCTATTTGGCAAAATATATCCCGCTCTTTGGCAAAATATATTCCGCTATTTGCCCGGTGCGTCTTTACCAGCCCGAAGACTCGCACTATGCACGATTGCTGAGCAAAATATCTTGAGTTTCTAGTTTTGAGTCTGTGTTTCGAGCCCGAAGACTCGCACTATGCACAATTGCTGAGCAAAATATCTTGAGTTTCGAGTTTCGAGCCTGTGTTTCGAGCCGATGAAGACGCGATTTGTATTTCCCAAACCAGAAAAAGCGGGCTATTTGGCAATCTCGAGCTGATGAAAACATACCTAATGAATACCATCAAATAGCAACCCAGTGGGTGCTCTTTAAACGTGCATGGTTCACTGAAAGGGCAAATCTGAGTCAACATAATAACAGGGTCTGGGAGAAATCTTGAGATTCTATGTGTTCCTTTGACGTCACATCGGCACGTCACATCGGCACGAATGAGCCAAAAATCCAGAAATTTTGCATTTTGGGTATCATGATCTTGTGATAAGTGCTAAAGTGTATCGTAGTTGTGAAATAAAGTACAGATGGGGATTGTCTGATTTCAAAGGTTAGATTAGATTGCGTAAGCAGTGATTGACAGAGAGAAGACACAAAGGATGGTAGTTTAATGAATGTTAGGAGGAATTTAAAGGGTAGGGGAAGTTTAAGGATGACAACAAAGAGGGGAACATGAATGTTAACAAAATATACATGTTCTACTTTTAGTATTTAAAAAATTTTTGGTCTGAAATTAAATTATTAATATTCTTAGCTTATCGAATCTCTATTCCTCTTGCATCCCTTTCTATTTTTTTGTTAAGATCTATGGCCCATATACATGTATATCCTGCTAAACAGACATTTTTCTTGTTGCCCTTGCAATTTTATTATGTGTAGATTGTGTAGCTTTTTTTTTTCAAACAAAGGAGAAATATAGTGTATGAATTGATTAAAGGTATTAGCTCATTCATTGAAGTTTTGAAGAAAGGTGTGCAAAAAATAATAGAGTTTATCTCAAAAATGAATAGAATGCAATTATTAATGAACTGCATAAATTTCTCTTCCCTTGGTCGCACCACCAGATTTACATGTAGTATTTTACCTTAAAGTGCGTTTAGCCTGTGCTCACCCCATGAATTTGCCTATCCAGGGTGTGTAAACGTGCATAATTCTTTTGTGCATATTGATTGTGTGTGAGCGGGTGCGCACATGGCTATGACAAATTGAGAACAGTCCAGGCACTGGACTATCCATAACATAACACAAAAGGCCTGTCCTCATCAGCTCAAGATTGCCATATAACCAGCTATTGTAACTATCCCGATCGCAAATTAACCAGCTAATTTGTGACTTCATCAGCCCGTAGTTGCAATTAGCGGGATATTTGGTCGAGATAATCATCCCAAGATATCTTGGGCTAGTTTGCAAAATATCCCGCCATATGTCCAGTGCGTCATCACTAGCCCAAAGACTCGCATTATGCGTGAACACTGAGCAAAATATTTTGAGCTGAACCTTGAAACTTGAGGTCGAGTCTCGACCTGATAAAGGATTCGTAACTTCAGGCTTATTTCCCAAATCAGAAAGAGCAGGCTATTTGGCAATCTTGAGCTGATGAAGAAATACTGAAAGACTCTATATCACATTAACTATTCATTATCTTTATTCTTTTCATTGTCTGCAGCTGAAAGAAAATTAAGACTGGCAGCTCAGCAAGGGGATTACAGGGAAGGTAAGTAGACATACCTAACGGATTAAGGGTTGTCAACATTCATTGATTAGTAATGCATCATCATTAATTCACTTATGTCTGCAGCACATTAATGTTTGAAAGTCAGTCTGAGTTGACGGAAGTGCATTCACACTCTCCCGATGAGGCCAGGGGGTGTTTCCCAAAGATCCTAAGTTGAACTTATCTCTAAGTTGCACTTATCTCTAAGTTGAACTTATCTCTAAAGGCCCGGTTACACAGCCTTTCGCGTCTGTATCGCGGGTAAAATTTCGCGATTTTTTTTTTTTTTTGCCCGCGGTTGCCCGTGGTGGAAAATGTGCAAAATTGGCTTACCCGCGGGTGAAGCGCTGCGGTAGCGCGGCCTACCACGCTTACACGCTAATGCACGTGATAACAACGCGGTACAGACGCGGAACAAACGTGCTATGACCGTGCTCCACCCGCGATTACCCGCTAAAATTTCGCGTCCAATTCCGCGTGTAACCACGTCTTAACCGCAGCCGTAGCACGTCCTAGCACGTTCGTTCCGCGTCTGTACCGCGTCTTTACCGCGTGTGTACCACGTGTACCACGTGTACCGCCCGCGATTACCCGCGGTCTAAATTTTTGGGCAGCCCAAAACTTTTTCGCGCGGCCAACCGCGTGTGAATTTCTTACCGCGTGTAACGACGGGTAAAGTACGGCTGTATCGCGTCTTTATCGCGACCTCAAAGCGTCCAACAGCGTCTGCTTCACGGGCAGAAATTTTTGGCCGTGATTCGGCCGCGATACGCCCGTGGAGGGCTGTGTGACCGGGCCTTAAGTTGAACTTATCTCTAAGTTGAACTTATCTCTAAGTTGGACTTAACAATTATGGAAAGCCGTTAGCATCTTTGAAAATATTTTGTAAAAGTTAATTTAAAAGACATGAAATGTTGATTCAAATCATTCATATTTTCTATTATCAAGGAGAATTCATGTTCTTGATGTGGAATTTATGAAAAGTCAAAAATACTTGAATTTCTGCTCTTGAATATATTTTATTTTAAGGCTACAAATGGCTCTATATATTGTTCAAGTCCACGTAGAGTTAATTTCAACTTAGGATCTTTGTGAATCACCCCCCCCCCCCCCTGAATTATTTACAAGCTATACTAGAGCTTCGAGCAGACAAACAAAATATAAAGTGAAATGATACTTTTGATGCCAATCTTCATCATACCATATACCGGTGGTACCTTGGACTTACCTAAGGCTAAGAACAAATAACAGTAATTGATAAACTTGTAAGTTACAGTAATGATTGTTTCATCATCGTCGTTGATATTTATCAGATATTGTACTTGTATGTATGTGGCAGACTTTGCTTTTTCATTACAAGTTTTTATTAAATATGGTCCTTGAAAATATTGCTTTACTTTCTGATGATGGATTCCTGATTAGAAATACAAGATGTTTTACCGGTGTGAACACGTACATGTACTAGACAATTCTTAAAGGCCCACTGCACTACTGGTAGCTACTTGCGCCCTCTATATAACAACCAATGCCTAATCAGTGACCATTGGTCCCCCATGATCCTCTTTTGCTCATGTTAACTGAGAGCTGGGTTGATGAGATAACCACCTGTCCAATGACCTTGCAGAGCGGTCTAATCCCTCCTGTAAACTACAGCAGATAAGCTTTAAGAAGAAAAAAATCTAGAAAAAATTAAGAAAAGGAGTTAACTCAAATGTCATGTACATGTAATAAAGGCTTGTTTAGATTTGGCGCAGTAAACCGGCGTGAAAAAAACCCCCCCAAAAATGCCACATTAAAAAAAAAATGTGTAAATGAATGGCAATTGCACACAACAAAGGACTTGTGCATATCCACTGAGCTCTGCATTACAATATACAGAAATGCGAAGGGTAGGACACTTAAATAGTTCATCATTAACAAAAGATTGTGCCTTAACTCTTCTTTCCAACCTCTTGAATATTATAGTTTTGAAGCTGTTGGATGAGGGCATCAATCCTAACAGAGGGGACGACAAAGGCAGGACGGCTCTTCACTTTGCAATCACAAAGGGCTTCCGAGAAATAGGTAAGATGGATGGAAGAGAGGGAGGGAGAGAGGGAGGGAGAGAAAGAGAGAGAGAGAGAGAGGGAGGGAGAGAGAGAGAGAGAGATAGAGAGAGAGAGAGAGAGAGAGAGATGGAGGAGGGGTGTGGCTATAGTTTATAGATAGAAAGATAAAGAGTGTTGGAGAAAATGAACATGCAGAAGGATAGAGAGAAAGAGAAATAGATAGGGAAGGTAAGATATCAAGATACAAAGATGAGGACAGGTCGAAGGGTTCCCAAAATATTATGAAAAGAGAGGGGGGGGGGGGGGGGACAGCTTGAGGAGATTCAAAGGGAGATAGACAGAGAGGCAAAGATAATTAGAAGGGGTTTGTACCAGTAGTACTTTCTGAAAGATTTCTATGACTTCAGGTTGTAAATGCCAATATTTCTGTTTCAATAAAATGTCAACAATCAAGAAATATGCATAAAACAAATTTTGACCATGTAGCATATTACGGTACATTGTATGTCAAAAGAACCCCATGAAACTGAAATTCAAGTGCTTCAAAGTTGTTACATGGTTTTGTAAGACGAAAACACCTATTTCTGGCTAAACCAAGTGTGACAAACCATCAGCAATGTTTTCCTACCATCTCCATGGCAATGTAACATGCAAAACAATGTGTATGTGAGGCTGGGTGACACATTCAGTATTTTCACAGGCCTGCAAGAATATCTGGACATAGTTAACATTGCAGGAACAAACACATTATACATGGAGGGGATGACATGATGTCTTAACAAGAGAAGTATGTGAGTTGATGAGTCACTCATGAAAACAGGTAGTTGTTTAACCCATAGCAGTACAGTGCCTTCTTTTAGTGCATTTTGTATAGTCTTTTGATCTAGAATGCTAGGAACTACACGTTGGATATAAGAAGAAAATCACAGAAAATGTTTGCGTCTATTTGCAATGCAATACATTGCGCTGTTCTCAAATACATGTAAGAGTGATTTAATTGCAGCTTTTCATTAAAAGTCTCTAAATTAGCAATGCTATGTGAATATATTAAATCGCTATTTTCGTGTTTAAAGAAATGATAATTTTTAAGTTAAATTTTGTATATTCTTTCACGTTGGTTCATTTAATGAATTCGTTTTTTTCCTTCAGACTATGAATCGGTGGAAAATAAGATCAATTGTTGCCAATTTGAGTAGCTAAAATGATTAATTTAGAAAACAAGAGAACTGAATCGCTATGAGCTAAAGCAATTATTTGACAATCCTCCCCAAAGTGTTCACTCTGTTATGGAAGGTGCAACACACAACTGTTCCAGGATTTCAAAATAATGCTCTTACTTTTCAGAAAACAAGGAGATTGAAACATAGCTAAATACCCCCATGCAATGTGAAAACAAGAAAACATAAATTTCAAAGTGCCCCTACTTTTGCATTTTCTTAGAAGCTCATTTATAATTATAGATTGTTGTTTCTAGACGAACCCTTTCAAGAGCAAACTTAATCATACACCCTGTACATTGTTTGTTCACTTGTGAGGAAGAGCCATCACGTTTCTGTTTATTTTTTTATTTTTTTCATTTTATGAGATGTATTTGTACATTGCGCAAGGAGTTTATGTTTCTTGGTTATCTGGATGTAAAAAACACTCTGGATAAATCACATCATGTAGACACGCAAGAAAGTTATTTTAGTACCTCAGTAGGTTAATTAATTACACAAACGTGTGAGGCCTTTGTGTTATCGAGGTTAAACTCTTACATTTACATCAACTCTAATCAACAAGGTACTTAAATGTTCTTCATGTCTATAACAGAGTTGTAGAGCTTCCATTCTACATATATTTTTTTGTTTTTTATGGTAGGGAGTTAAGGGACTATTGTTATAATGCTTGATTTAGATAAAAAGAAATAACGAGCACTGGATTAATTCTATTGGGAGCTCGGTCAAAAATCACTGTTTTTTGTATTAACTGCAATTTCTTAAAATGTTCAGTTAAGCCTCTAAAAAAGTCTATCTTACTTTGTTTAATTAGTGAAGCAGTAAAAGAAGAACACATGTTTTGCCAATTTAAAGAATAAATGTTGATTAATGTAGCGCTGTTAAAATCCCTGGATGTGATGGGTTATATAATGTTAGAGTGAAGCCTTATCCAAAAGGAAGATTATATCACGAGGTTCTTTGGACTGAATACAGAACAAATATTGACACATCATGAAATATACATGTAGTTCAAAATCACAAACATCACACCAAAGAGGTATTTGAACTTGCTATATATCGTTGCTTAATTTTAAACCATGTCTTACTCTGGGCTGCAGCAGCTCTGAAAACAATTCAGAATTAGAAAATCATGGCCGAGTTATCCAAGAGAGCCGTGTCGATTGTTTATATGTGTACCTCTGTACATAAAATTAGTCTTTCAAAACATCAACATCCAAGATTACTTCATTTGAATGTGTAAAATAGTCTCTACAAAGGTGAAAAAGTAAAGTTCTACAAAAACATGAAATTCATTTTCATCTAAAAGTCCAGTGTACATGTACATGTATGGCTTTTGACTCCTGAAACCATTTTCCCCTTAATGCCAAGTTTTTCAAAGTGTGGGTTTAGCCTGATGCCTCTTTAATACTGAACCTGCATTGTAAGATTTCTTTTTCTTCTTTTTTTCTTGTACTTTTATTTTTACTTTTTTTGTTCTGATTTATTCATCTTTCTTTCTAGTGCAATTACTCCTGGACAGAGGGGCAGACGTAAACCAGAAAGATGGCATAGGCAATACTCCATTACATTTAGGTAAGATATCTATTATAGAGAAGGCTCACTAGGACATCACCCTGTTACTGTTAGGTATGTATCTTATTAATAATGATGGCTTACCAAGGGGGAAGATTTTTCAAATGTAGATGAGTAACCTCCTTGCACATTTATAACATGATGCCACATACAACAACAAGAATCAACTGTAAAGAACGAAAGAACTAGTGATCATGACATTTACATGTAGGTGAAGGATCTGTGTTGAAAGATGACTTACTGATATTTATATAGTGTTACAATCATAGGTAAAAAAATACTTTAAATAATGGTACTCTTGGTAATATACTACACATTCATGGAAGAAATGTATTGAGAAAGATGACACACTTACAATATAGTTATTTACACCATTACATTTAGGTTCAAAAGTTATTGAAAGAGACAGAATACTTATTATACAAGTATAGGCATTACACAATAATATTCATTTGAGAAACTCATACAGATATTTTTCTAATTTGTTTCCTTCTATTTCCTTTTGTTATTTGTCATTTACAGCTGCAATAGGTAGTCAGGTATTGAAAGAGAGAATACTTATAAAAGTAATACTGTAATAATAAAATAAAGTAATAATACTGTTCATTTGAGAAACTCTTACAGATATTTTTGTAACTGATTTTTCTATTTTCTTTTGTTATTTATCATTTACAGCTGCAATAGGTAGTCACATCTCCATGGTGACTACGCTCCTAGAAGCTGGGGCTAACGTGCAGGTCCTGGACCGGGGCGGTCACACCCCATTCCACCTGGCACTGAGCCGCCTGCAGCACCTCCGATCCAACTCCTCCATCCAAGGGATACACTTCAGGGAAGAGATCCTCACGGTGAGTAAAAAGGTTATTCTAAATGAAGCGCCCAAGTTCGGTCGGGAGGTTTAGATTGAAATTTTTTGTCTGAAATCCCCACTGCACTACTTTTAGCTACTTGCGCCCTCTGTATAGCAGACAATGCCTAATTGGTGACCGTTGGTCCCCCATGGTCCCCTTTTTCTTATGTTAATTCACTTAATTGAGAGCTGATTTTATGAGATAACCACCTGTGAGTGACCATACACAGAGATGCCAACTAGTACGGATTTCCCGTAATTTCTACGGGAAATCGGCCGATTACGGGCGGTACGATTTTCATACCATAAATTCCGGATTTTGCCGATTTTGCCGATTTTCAAAATTAGCACTTTAAGGTTTAGCACGTTTAAGGTTTAGCACGTACTTTTGACTATTGCAGCGCAGCCATCCTTGAATCCATGCATAGAAATCCCACAGGGCTTCCGATTGGACAATTTGTTATCTAGCACACCCCTTTCAGTGCATACATGTGCATACAACATGTGCTTCGCGAGCGGGGGCCGGGTGAAATACCTCTCTTGGCCGCGCCGCTACCGCCCGCCCAGCGCCAGGCCTCGCTACGCTAGCGCCGTGTACACTGTCGGATTTCTCACAGGCTGTCACAGCGTTCGTCGATTTTCGTCGACAATCTGAACTCATGTTGGTTGGATTTAGATATCAATCATCATGTCTTCCACAACTAAGAAGCGTGGCAAGAAGTTACAGACTTTTAAAGAAGAATACAGTAAGAAATGGAAATGCATCGTGTAACACCAACTAATGAACAGGTAGACCTATGTTACTTTTATTTAACTTGTTGTGCTATCGCGCTTGCCTGCGGGAGCTGCGCTTGCCAGCGTGCAGAAAAATTTGCGTCGCGCAGAAAATTACGGATTTTGTCTCCAAATTACGGATTTTTAGCCTTATGATTACGGATTTGTGCTCTGAAAGGTTGGCATCCCTGCATACAGGGAGGTCTAATCCCTCCTGGCCAAGCTAGTGCAGAGGGGCTTTAATCATGATTTGAATTTACAATGTTGACTGTAATAAGTGTATATATGCACAACATTCATAACTTTTTTAATTATTTTATTAATTTGTAGTATTTTTTTTATAGGGTAGTATTTCCAGTTACAAAACTGCTTTCCACAATGGCCCTGTTATTAAAATCAATCACTTTCAGAGTCAAAGACCTTGAACAAAAGAAAACAATTCTTACCTAATGAGTAGAACTTGTATTTTGTAAGCCACATTTTTCATTTTATAATACTGTAAAATTGGCATATAATTTATCAATGTTTTGCCTTGGTGTGTAAGTTGGTCTGATGTGCCAACGTAATGTGTGGTTTGTCTGGGTATAACCACAAACCACTGAGTGTGGTCTGTGATTCAGACCTTTCATGTACTTCTTAAAGGTAAACCAAAACGATCAAATATTTCTTTTATAAGGCAGGGCCCAGAACATTCAGATCTCTTTATATTCATAGCAATGAACTGAAGTTTGTTAACGTAATGGTGGTCCCGAATCGACTCATTTGCATCATATAAAACAATTCAGAATTACTTTCAGCAAGTTTCTTTAAAACAGTCATTGCATTCCCAGAACCTTTAATGACATGACAGCTCCTTTGGGTGAGGTTACAAATCTGTAGTACCACACTTCCCCTATGTGCAGATCTCCAACAAAATTTTTTCGTGTGGTTTAACATTTTAACATGTGAGCACAAACAAATTACCAGTAGAATATACCAAGAAATTGAAGGTTACAGGCAAGCACCTGCTACAAGAAAATCAATCAAAGCATTTTCCCAGTCATTTATGTTCGTCATTCTAACTCAAGAATTTGATGCACATTCAGGGGGTAAATTTTAAGAATTGCCTCTTTAAAAATCTTGGGTTATGAGTGATTTGAGACTGTTGTTGATGTAATCATTAAAGATTGAATCCTTGCAACATGTATCGAGATGTGAACAATTTTATGAGCAAAATTAAATTATTAGCTTTGAAGTAGTTGCTGTGTGTTGACAGAATATATGCGTCCATCCTCGTCATCCCATTGCATAAATGTCACCAAAGCCTGATCTGTTTAACCTTTTACCAACTAAACTGCCCCTCCTTTTACTCACTGAACTGTCCAAAACCGCCCATTTGTTTTCGTTCGTTTTCAACGTGCTATATTATCCGTTCTAGGGTTTACCATGATAATGTTATATGTGTGTAATCCTTATGATGTCTAGGTTAGGATTCTGCATAGAAAAATAGCGCATGTTTCATATTGTTCAGAACAATGTCAAAATGAGAGCAATAATGCAACATCTTCCAGTGAGTAATAGGCCATTTTTACCAAATCTCTAGTTGCTCATGGGTTAAAATGTTTATAATTAACATTTTTGATACATGGTATTGTCTGCTGAGAGCCAAAAGGGCATTGAGTCTGTATGACATGTGGGAAAGCCCTTTAAGGGGCTGACTGGATATGTTATATATCATTTCAAACAGATTTTGAAATGAGAGCTCATTTCTCTTTTTGGTGTCTTTTTCTTTTCTTTTCTCTACAGATCATGGGAATGCTAAGAGTGTACGTCTCGTGTCGAGGCCAACAGGAAAATGCCATGCAGTTAGAACAAATGTCCGTCAAGTTAAGAGAGACAGAAAAGAAAGAAGAGGTTGGTATCGATACAGCATGTATATCATGTGTGAGTATTGATGTCGTGTCATACAGCCATAGCAAAAGAAAAAGGAACAGACAGACATAGGTTTTATTATAAAGGAAAAGAAGTTTTCATTAGTCATTAGCGGACCATTGATTGGTGTGAAATAAGTTGTATTGATTGAAATTAAAATGGTCATGATAATATCAGCAACTGCTTAATATACCGGTATGCTCTTGCTCATGTAACATTCACATATATGTAAATGTGTATATATACATATATATATATATATATTTTACCCCTTATTGATTCTTTCTCATTTTTTTTTGGTTCTCTTTAGGTGGATATACTTCAAGACATGTTGGAGGGATTCACTAAAATGAACCTCACAAAGCAGTGAATGGCAATCACAGAGGGGTAGAAACACATGATAATGATGTCGCGCAGACCAGACTTGGAGACTTCGGTCTCAGACTTTTTGAGTTCTTGGTCTTGGACTGCAGATTTTGAACTCCTTTTAAAACCATGTCGTAGAGAATCACTTGGAATAGGTCCTGGACCAGGTCTTTGGATTTGGGATTAAAATCCTTTTAAAACAAATCTTTGGTCCTACTACTGATAGCATACATCCAGCACCAAAACTCAAGATTTGGACTAGTTTGGGTCGTTACTGGATCTGTTTGTGTTTTTGGTAGGTTCCAATTCGTGGCTCAGAGTTTGGACTCTATATGAAGCCCAGCATTCTGAAATGTCACATGGCAGGTCTTGGTCCTGGACCAGAGACCTACATGTGTAACCTAGAACTTTATCGCTGCTGCACAGAGTATTCAGGACACCCCAACTGAATTCAGGATATGTATTCATAAGTCATCCTCTGCTGTGCTTCATTTGGTGCTATCTTTTTAAGAGGGAGAGAGATCCCACAAATGACGATTCTCATGAAATTATTAAACTCTGTGATAATGTGAGTTAGGGAATATTTCAGAGAGGTACAGTAAGCTCAAAGTGAAACAACTATTAAATTGTTTGTATCATCACAGTTGTGTACAGTGGAGCCGTATAGCTCCTTACGATGAAGGAAATTAACTTGTTAAATTGAAATTCTGTTAAACAAGAGCTAAAAATCGTTACAATACAAAGAAGTGGGATCAGCAAAAGTTCATTCTTGTAACTAGAGTTTGCTGTAATAGTGTTCTTCAAAACAAGGCCCCGTTGTAGTTGCTTTTACATGAGGGTTCTGCGAGGGCTAATTTTCCACCAATGAGGATCTTGCTCATCGTAAAGGCAGCTGTTTAAAGTTGGGTTGAACTTATTCATCCTGACATAAATGTTTCTTAGTGGATATGAAAAGCCTAATATCTTTGACTAGAGATGCTTCATATTGTAATGTTTTTTATTGTTGTTTTTAGGTTACCGATAACCTGTCTATTGCATATTTCATGTAAGAACATTAGGAATTAGCACCAAAAGCAACTGAATTCTGTTTTTGATTTAGAAATGGTAGGTTTCATCACAAATGTCAGCCTTCGTAAAGATACATGTATAGTTGAAATATGTTTTAAACAAAATTCCCTTATGCATCAATTATGCAGCTGCAAAAGGTGTAAACCCCCCTCTGTGCATTTAATATGTCTTTAAAATATGTAATTGTCTGCTTTTGTACATGTACATGCTGCTTATTTGTTTTCTTTTGATTTAATGTGCCATGTCCTAATGATCTCTGAAATGTTTCGTTTGCAATTAACCTTTTAATTTGTATAAAAAAAAGATTCGTCGCTAAATCTCATTTGTTTTTAACACCGATATAATGATTAAATCAGAAATTCTTTCTGCCCTTTTAGAATTAGATTAGCTTCTCATATATGAAGACCAAACAACTCTTTAAAACTCTTTGAAAAAATCACAATCTGAGAAACAGACAAGATATTGTGGAATAAAAATTGAAAAAATGCAGATTTAAAAATTCAATCATTTCTGAAAGCCAAAATCATACGACGCTTTGCCAGTGCCATGATTGATCTGCCAAACTTAGATCCCCAATTATTAAAGATGGTTGTGTTTTCTTTGTCATTTTTAAAGGGAAATTGAAGTCCACATTATGTGGACATACATGTACAATGGCCCATATGTTACCAAGTTTTATGGATTTCTGGACAATTTGTATTATCTATTAACCTACCCCAGCATTAAGACGGAATGACAAGATAGAATAAAGCCTAGATGTGGCCGGTAAATGTAAGGGGCAAAGTACATGGACTTGCCTATAATTTCTTTATCAATATTTTACCAATATGATATTACCTAGTGCCAAGTGCTACATGACTTGCCTGCAAGGGCCATTACATTCAATATCTCTCATTTTCCACTAATATGGACGGAGAAAACAGACAGTTTTGTGTTCTGATAGATCATTATTACAATGTTGACTTTTCTCAGCCTTTCTAGCAGCGTATTTAGTCTTAGAGAGTGGAATCACATGTCAAAGATAGATTGCTCATAATATACCTACATGTATGTCTGTTCTCTCATGTGTTAATGAACTGGGTCATTATCCATCCTCCAATCGAAATGTGAGAGATACCCAAGTCCCACCGTCAAATGGACTCTAAAACGTTCAATTTTCGGCTATTCAGTATGATATAATGTTTTGTTTGGCCTGCTGTCGATCTCGTGTGACTGAGGTATAGGTGCGATGCCCAGATGTCTTTATGTTGTATATATTTTATTCTTCTACACCATATTTTTAGACTCAAACATTTTACCTCTTAGAAAACATTTTTTGTTTAAGTTTTAACCAAGGGTGCTGAAGAGCTGTGTTTTGTTTTGATCCAAAGATTGTTGACAGCAGGAAATATTTTTGTTCTTGATAACATTCTTTTTGTAGAAGGATATTGTTCTGTGTATTGAAAGGAAATATAGAAAATTGGACATTTTGCATCTGTGTATGCACAGTTCTTCATTCATTTTTTTTTTAAACAAGGTGTTATGTTGTTGATAAATGTATCTACATCAAGTGTATTGACTGAAAGGTTGGGCATTTTGAGAATAGACTATTCACTGTAAGTTTAGCTGTAGCCATTGGACCTACTGTGAAGGAAAAGTTATGATGAATTATGATTGAATTTGTAAGGGTGTATACGTAGGATGGTGGAGAGGTTTCTGAATACAGTGAAGCTTGTTTTAAAGATTACTCATATTAGACAAGAAAAGTGATTCTTTTATTATAATAATGATAATAATATTGGATATTTTTATAGGCCATACATCCATATTGCAAGGTGCTCCAATACTGCTCCAGGGGAGTGTTTCACAAAGACTAAGATTGACTTTAAGTTGGACTTAACTATGGCAGGCTGTTTATTCCACTAGTTGCTCTCACCATTATGATCTTTAGAATATATTTTCCCTTCATTAATGAAGTATCAAAGAATGTAAATTCTGTAGATTTGGGACCATGATTTGTACGTCCCTTGAGGGACCAATGCCAGTAAATGGTGAGAGCAAACAGTGGCATGAACGGCCTGCCATAGTTAAATCCAACTTAAAGTCAATCTTAGTCTTTGTGAAACACTCCCCTAGACTGCTGCATCAAGAGCAAAACATATATCCAAAAAGGTGTGGTAAAGTTATATTATAAAATCTTTTGTTTAGACGACCAAGGTTCAGGTGGATCCTTGAAGAGAAGGTTTAGATCTGGTACGAGGTGAGAATATACGCGACCATTCTTTTTTTATCATGAAAGAAATGTCTCTTGTATAGGATTGCTCTTCAAATGCCTTCTTATTTGAAATATATGTATGACTTTAAAAACAGCTGAACTTTCATGCCACTTGTTTACACATACTTTTCTCTTAGTTGTGCTACTTGTGCACATGATCTTCAGCAGGCTTGAGTCTGTGTCTTATCAATTTGAGGATTCTAAAACCTTACATTACATCAATTTTTATGTCGGCCTACTACATAAGTACATAATCAACCTTTCCCAATCGGTTCTAGACGGTTTCTTTCACTATGTAATCACATGACCAGGGACCCGTTTCACAAAGCCTTTTTTCAATGACAAATGACAAAAATCAGTGACAAATCTGCTGATATCCAATCAGAAGCAAGGATTTCAGTAGCTTATAACAATAACTGTCATTTGTCACTGATGACAAGTTTTGTGAAATTGGGGCCCAGAACTCAACTATATCTTTACGCTTTTAGAATTGTGCAATACAAACGGTCATTATGGTTGCTGGGAATGTTGGTTCTCTGTAAAGAGATATACGATACCTCATCATCAATGGTAGATCTAATGAAACCCTACATACATGTACATGCTCACCTCTCCAGGGGTGATAGTGAGCACTAAAAAAAATCAATTACCCAACCTTGAGTTTAAAAAAAAAATGGCATCGAACAAAATTCCCCCCTTTTTGAGTAAGAAAATTGGGGAAAAAGTAGGAAAAAACAGGGAAAATAAGAGAAAAATCAGGAAGAAAAATATTTAAAAAATTGGTTTAAAAAAAAAAAAAAAAAAAATAGGGAAGAAAAAAAATCCGGAAAAAAATAATAATCAGGAAACCAATTTAAATCGGGTAATTATTAGTCCTGCCTGTCATACCCAACTCAACACACTTATACAAGGAATAGGCTCTCATGCCTATGAAGTCTGTAGAGCAACAGTCAAATAAGGTTGATTGCATGTGTACCGTTAAGTTTATTTCCTCGGAAGTACATGTATATATGTGAGGAGTGGAATAGAAGGAATAATATTAATTCTAAATTGACAGTTGAAAGTCAGGGAAAGACAAATTTTCATATTGGAGACAGGTAATGGTTACAGTTTAACATTATTTAAATGTTCATCATGTAGAGTCATGGGATTTCAACATGTAATAAAACCTATCTGGAATTATACTAAAAGATTTACATGTATACATTATCAGTAGATGTAGTGATAGGAAGAAATATGAAAGTGCATACTTTTAATGCTTACTTTGATGTCATATTAGGTTTGTTTGTGTTCAACCCAGGAACGAGAATAAGAACAAGATTCTCTGCCTTGTTTGTTTTGTTTTTAAGTCGGGTGTACCCTATATGCTTTCTGACATACATACATAAAAGTAGAAACTAGTGTGCACTGGTGTATGCAGTTGATATTGGATAAAGTGTGTTTTTGGTATATTGTGGAATATTGTTAGGTTCAATGTATCTTTTTTTTGTGACGACTCATATTTGATACCTATTAAAGTTTTTCAGAAATTGCCTGGCACACCCAACCCCACCGTCCCAAGATCTAAGATATGCCTTTGCAAGGCTTTATAGTATTGCATTGTTTGCCATTTTAGAGCATAGGAAATAGTTCATTTTAGGAATATTTTAAAGCCTTCAGATTTTGTAATGGTGAATTTAAGAAGAAGTTTTGGGGTGCTAAAAAATATATGTATTTAAATTACTTGTATTCTGTTTTGTATGACTGGGTTCGTGTATCGTGATTGTGGAATCATTTAAAGATATATAATTTGTTTATTGTGCCAAGAATTAGACTTAGACTTAGAAAGGGGTTGGAATCAACTGTAAGTAATTTTTCTTTTTGGTGATGGTGGTATCGGGAGAATGAAATGCCTAATTTTGCCACTGTGAATAGGATCATTTGGCATTAAAAGGTTTTTTTTATCTATTGTTTTTTTAAATTGCCAACAGTAAAGAGCAAGAATACACTTCATTTTGTTAGTAATATACTGCAGATTTGCAATTTAGGAAAACTTTTGAAAATGTATGGCTTTTGACCTTTTCAAAGGTTATAGATGACATAAAAAATACATTCTATGTTATCATGAAATGTACTTGACATATGCTCCACGTTGTAAGAGTGTAGAAGACATACAGGTTATCTTTCTCTTTTAGTTTTCAGATTACTCAGTCAATTTTGTCAAAGAATACGTTGCTCTTGTATTGGTGTTGGAGTTTTTATTTGAGGGTTAAAGGGGTTAGATAGCAAAGAGAGTAGTGGGGATAGATGGGTAAAAAGTAAGGATAGCTAGGTAGTTTGGTAGATAATGGGCGTGTAGGGGTCATTACTCTTGTGCTACTCTTTTCCAAGCAGAGGCTTTCTTTATTTTATAATATTCTTATCAGAATCTTATTGTATTTATTAAACAATGACCCAAAGGTGGACAACTTCCATATATGCATAAACATAGGTACATGTGCCCTCTACCCCCAAAACGTGTACATGCAACGACGGGGAAAATACATGGAAAAGACTTGTATAGCATAGCAATTAAAATACAACTGATTACTGAAATGCATGTTTGTGTAATTGTGTATATTATATGTAAATAGACAAGATAATTAGGCAATGGCTCTAGAAAAGAGGATAATAAAAACAACAGATCCAGAATTTTTCTGGGAACTTGTATGTATTTTGAATTTGAACTTGTGTTCGTTTAGTGTGACAAATCTAAATTGTACATGATTGCGTGTGAAAGAGAGGGAAGTGAAATACAATGTGATTGTACATAGACAGAGAGAGTGGTGATGGGAAAGAGGAAGGATGAAGAGAGGGAAGAGAGAGAAGGGAGGAAGACCAAGAGGGGAATGGAAGAGGGAGAAAGGAGGAATAAAGGTGAGAGATGGAATGACAGTGGGAGTGGGAGAGAGTTTAAGCAACTGAGTATGGGGGGGATGAAGGGAGAGGGAATGAAGGTGGAAGAAGGATGGGAGTGGAGGAGAAAAGGAATTGAGGAGAGACATCGAGGGGAAATGAGGGGGAAAAGGTCAGACAGACAGATGGGACAACGAAAACAAACTTTAGGGAAATGCATGAAACAGCAGAGAGAGAGAGAGAGAGAGAGAGAGTGAGACAGCCATACAAAGAATAGCTAGGTTCAAGAGTTGGAAAGAAAGACAGGATACAGAGAGATGGATGTGCGTGGGATTTCAAGGTGTCTCGATGTTTAAAATAGCTCACTGCCATGGCTCGAACATAATCACTTCCTACACAATGTGTAAACACATTCCCACAGAAAATATGGCACATTATTATTTGTCACACAATAATCTCACATATACATGTGTGCTATGGCAGAGAGAAATATTAGGGCATGATCATTGATGATGTTGGTGATGATGATAACAACATTAATGAAAATAACAGTAAAAATAATGAGACTACATAATACTATTCAACTGGACAATGTATTCATACTGTCATACATGTATCTCACCCAAAATCAGCCAATAATATATACACACTCGTCAATGCAATACCAAAACACTGCAGGACTTATGCAAGATATATTATACTATCTTTATTCAAAAGCTATAACATAAAACAATATAAAATATAGCTACAAGCTAACATAGGAACATTATTTGAACATAAGAAAATCAATTGAACAGAACATAACTGAAAAAAAAAGAAGTATTCCTCAAAGCTGGGATTGTCATGTGAGGAGTGAAACAAAGGTCATGCTGAATACTGGCAAATTTGCTTTTTTGTGTGTGCGTTTTTCCAGGAATTGAAAATGCCTCACTCCTGTGTCATAGACGAAGGCTGTGATACTTGATATCAACAATAATAACTTTTTTTTAAAGATTTAACAAGATTTTGACAAGAAGAGAAAGAAAAAAAGACCACATATGATAATTTCAAAACATTACCAAACTCAGTACACATAAAGCATAAGAATGTAAAACAACTTTTGGATTGATAAACTTTGGCAAATTTGGCACCAGCAACACATATTGGGCAAGAGGGTATTGCAAGGTTCAAGATAACACAAAGATACATGGCAAGATAAGTTACATACCGGAACATTTAGACTCCATTGGTCCTACACTAACAAACCATCTGTGTGAGCCAGATGGGAATAAATGATTGTGGAAAAGGTAATTCCCTCTGGGCTCCTTATGGACATCATTTTGCTGTTTTAGGCACTGTTATTAGGAGTTAGGTTCATATTGCATGTTCAGAGCCAGAAGAGCAGTAAGTCTGTGTAAACTATAGGTGTTAACACCTTTCTGGCGCTTAACAGACAATATGGTTAATTTGTTGGAAAATATCAATTAAATTTTGCATCACTTATCATTAATTCTGAATAATAGCACCAATTGTACATTTATAACATTAATGTGAAAAAATAAAGTCCTGCCATCTGATAAGTGCACAATTTTGATTGTAGCTAAGATGAATTATCAATATCTGATGAATTACAAAGCAAGATCACAGCTGCTTCCATAAGATTATTTTAAAGCTACAAAACGTTCAAATATTTAAGAATCACGGCAAGGTATCATTCTCAATATAAAATTGTCTACATATGAAATATATTTGCTTATCTCATAGTACTGATTCTATAATCACAATTGGATCACACACAAAATTTGCTTGCATATTCAAAATTACTCTTCATACGTTTTACAACACAACAAAAGTTATAAAAGACAAGTGATTTCAGCCATTGTTAAATTGCACATTCAAATTGGCATAATTTAGTTTTCGTATCAACTTTAAATGATTACGATTCAATCAAACATGATGATCATCTCATAATAAATCCTCTCTCTATTTCTTACCATATTGTTACCTCTGACATATAGCAGATTAAATAGTTAGTTGTATTTACAGATTTCCATCTGTTTGCATCGCAGACAAATGAAGAAAAAGGTGTCCTCATAAACCCTCTGCCACATAAAAATTGTTTTAAAGACAAAAGGGTATGCCTTAAAACATGTCCATAAAAGACATCTTTCTTGAGGAGATAATAAACAAGATTTTTTAGCTTTGTAGACTTATATTTAAAAGAATCTTGCCTCTAAAGCTAGTTCTCCTATGCTCTTGAAAACCCTGAAATGTGTAAATTGCTTAAATGGCACCCATGCTAGGTTTGGCTCTCAAGAAGCCTTACATACACGCAACTACAGAATACCAAATACCTTCAATATTACTTGGGCTGCACTATTATCTACCAAACTTATTACAAAACTTATATTATCTCATCTTCATTACAACTAAACACTGCATGCAAAAACAAAAAAGGGAAAGGAAAGAAATATATGAGATACACAGATTCCCAAAATAACATCCCTGGCAACAGAACAACAAAATATAAAGTGAAATGAAAGCAAATCTATTCTATTCTTTCCAAAATGGAAAAGAAAACTAGTCAATACAAGAAAGAAACAAATCTATGTTGGAAACATGAACTACATTTAATATTTCTGTCTCCAAGAAAAAAGGTAGCCCGAGTTTTGCCTAAGTTACATAAACACAGAATATTAAGGCTTAAATTGTAGCAGATTTGGCAGACTTTGAGATTTTCAGGAGACATTTGTTCTCATGGCAAAAATAGAAATAGTCTGCATTTCTCTAAGATTTGAAATCCCCATCTAGAACTAATCCCTGTTTACAAAATGAGATTCATCTCTGTATTTTCACACTTCCATCTTCCATCATTGCAATCATTAGAACAATTAAAAGAAATGATTTAAACCTGCATACTATCAGGACCAAGCAATTGCTTTAAGAACTGCGTTATTATCTTTTTCATTCCAATAACTACACATTGCAAGAACATAAGTTGTCAATTATACAGGGATGGAGATCCTCTGATCTTACTCGTTCTGTGCGCTGCATGCAAAGTAGTCTTTGAGAGGGGCCATCAGGTGTCTGATGACGGGGACGCTCCATGCCTTGCCAAGGAGCTTCTGCCGAGCCGTGCGGCTAAGGTTGCCAACATCAGTGTAATGATCCGGGAAGCCAAACAATCTGAAACAGACAAGTTTAAATTATTTAACTGATATTTCCTTTCTTCAGAATTACCCGATCTTTGTGATTTCTAGAGATATATTTCTCTTCCTGCACTATTGAAGATTACACACTCAATGGTACAATAAAGGCTAAGGTTGCCGTCATCGGTGTAATGATCCGGGAAGCCAAACAATCTGAAACGGACAGGTATGAATTACTTTACTGATAATTCTTTTTGTTTTTGAAATTCCGTGATCGTTGCGATTTCAAGAGATATATTTCTCTATCTGCACCATTCAAGATTGCACACTCAATGGTACAATAAACAAAAGATGAGGGTCATTGACTGCATGGAGCAGCATATGATAGAGAATAAGTGACAGTAATCAAAAGGAACTAACAAAATAGAAATTACATCACTGTATCAATCAAAAATATTCCTTGTATTTGTTAGCACATTTCATTAAATGTCAACCAGTGTCAACAGGTCAAAAGAAATTTACTTTGCCACCTCACTCCTTTATTTCATGATTTTGCATATCTAATTCTTAGTATGTTCCTTTTTTTATGATTGACTGAACTGACATTGAAAATGTAATTAATTTGTTTTTTAATGTTCACCCACTTTGCTTTCTATATAAATGTGGTCATATGATTTTGTAATTACCTTTCTAACTCTGTGGACCAGAGTCCATCTTCTCTGCCATTCATGATGACAGGCAGGATCGCATCTTTGGTCTGGCGGATGGAGTGGGAGGTGGTTGTGATAGTCCCTACCTTGGAGAACTGTTGACAAGAGAATGGATAATTTTGAAATATTAAAAAAAAAAATTAGTTGAGACAAAAAAATGAACCTCTTTTCAATGTGGACATGGAGCAAAAAGAATATGTTCCATGAATAATTTGGGCACAGGTTTGTCAAAATATTTTCCTTAAACCAAAATGAAAAATTATGATATTCTTTGAAACAGATTATAATTTGTTGATTTATTGCCAGAGTTCATCAACATGCAGCCAAATTTCCAATTTACCAATTAGATCTTCAAGACCTTCCCAACATTTAACTTTTTTTTTCTTTATCCGACTCTTCTGAAACTTTCACTGACCAATTTCTCTTTTTTTTCTACTTCTATTGAACTAAACCATGATCAACTACTCCTTTAAATGTAATACACATCATCAATTACTTCAGGGATGTCAGTGGCAAATGGCTCCAGGGCCTGAAAATTTTGGGAGGGTTAAAACAATATGCTCTCTGATGCAATCTGATCTTATTCTAGCGATAATTTTCCCTCAAATTCAATCCAAGTTTATGGGTAATTTCTTTGTCAGAAAGCCTCTATCCAGACATATTTCAGAGAAAATGAACATGTGATTTAAGTCCATGGGTAGATAATGTACAGTGTGTAAACTTAATTTAGTGAAATGGTGCAAAATAGGAAAGAGTTAACAATTTTTTTTGAAGTCAAGCTATTTTTTAAGTGTGGTTGATTGATTCAGCAAGCAAATAAGATGGATAACCCTGCCAACTGTTAGTTTGCAGGATCATCATAACGCAAGTCTTGCTACATACCTGAGCTTGCCTATCGCAGTGTGGTTCCAGGCATTCCTGAAGACACAAAGGATTGTCAGCTCCTGCAACGTATGGCCTGCAGGAAAGGTACAAGATACAAGATGGCGGAACTTACAAATTATACTCAGTGCACATAAAGGAGTTAATGGTATAGACCAGTTCTGGTCATGCGATTGCATTGTGAAAGAAACATGTGGAATCGGTCAGAAAAGGTTGATCATCTAGCATATAAGTATTTGTGTTTTGCAAGGTTCTGGAATCATTTGGCCCAGTCTTGGTAAAGTTACAAGCACTGTACACAAAAAGATGTACATGGGACTACCCTATATCTATCCAGTCCAGATAGATATAATAATTTACCAAATATATCAATTAGTAGGCGGTTTTCCAGCAAAATTTGTATCATCACGTATTAGTCAAAACATATTCATTCACATGATTGGTAATAAGAGCTTCCATTTCATTTTTTGAAATGGAGGCGTTTCCAAAACTGGCCTTTACCTTTAAAGAGAAACAGGGAAAAAGCAAGAATGAATTGTTTTCCTATGGGCAAAATTGGAATTTCCATTTGAGTCTTGGGATTTATTTTCTCTTGCTCATGTTGGATATCAAAATGTCCGTCAGCAAATTTTTGTTTGAAGAACAAAATATATTTTGTTGAAGTTGTTTAACGGTAAACTTGTTACGCAAGACAAGTTCAGGGTAAATGTGGACTTGCCTTTTTAACGATTGACATACAGACAGATATTCATCTATAATCAAGTGAAATCCTGAAAGGAGGCAAGTTTGTATGCAATCACCCATTGATAATTAACCATTTAAAGCCTATCTGCACTAGTTTGACCAGGATGGATTAGACCTCCCTGCGTGGTCACTGACAGGTGGTTATCTCATCAAATCAGCTCTCAATTAACATAAGAAAAAGGGGATCATGGGGGATACCGCTTAGGCACTGTTGGCTGTATAGAGGGCGAAGGTAGCTATAAGTAGTGCAGTGGGGCTTTAAAATGACTGATTGTATTACCTGTGCATTCCTGGAAGGTTTCCCCAGTAGTACCTGGCTCGGTGAGTGGGTGACATGTGACGAGAGTCAATCATCACTGGGTTACACTACATGGACACAACGAAACAACAACATCAAGAGAATGACCAAACAACAAACAGTTGGCACCTTATATACCTAATTCAAGCTGATGTTGCTTAATGCGTGGGGTATATATATGCAGAAGTAAATGCATACCCAATAGTGATCTATTCCCATGCAATATATAAAGTTAAGAAAGTGATGACAATGAAGTAAAATGGGACAAACAATAGCTCCAAAAAATACAGACAAATAAACAGTATGTAGAGCAAGACTAAAAAAAGTCTCTAAACACAACATTTCTAGTGAGAATGGCAAGAAATGATAGACAACAGGGATTCTTTTTTGGCACAAAGAGAAGGGGAGTATCTTCAGCAAGAAAAGAAATATACAAAATATAAAGGAGAGTATTAAAAAGAAATTGTTTATTTTCCTCTATCATTACAAAACAAACTATCAGAAGAGCCTCTAAACTATTGACTCTACCTGTAGGAACCTGCAGATGTTGAGCTTATCCTTGCGTCCCATGAACACCACGTTCTCAAACAGCCAGAAGAAAGGTCGGGGGTCATCTGGGAGGGGTTGAAGGTCACGCAAGATTCGGTAGAACTCAAAGAACAGGAGTCCCGTCCCACCTGCCAGGCCCTTGCGGGCGGGGTTGACGATGGAGAGATCGTTGCAAGGGCTGCCACCGATGAGAATGTCAAAGGGTCCCCAAGACTTGAGCTGCATTGGGATTTGATGACAATCGTCATGATACATATCTTTACCAATAAAATTTAAATTCAAATTTTATTGATTTCAATCCAAACAGATAAGATCATTCTCAATTTTGTTTGTACACATCGGATAACAAATTTCAAAATTATAGTGTAACATAGATAATTGAGTGTAAGAGTAAAGATAACAATAACCAGGAATGACACAAGTTAACATACTACTACATGAATCTGTTACTGGACAAGTACTAGGTATTTTCATATACTTATGTACAAACTCTTTCAAATGTTACTGATTTACCTACCCATGAGATCAAAAATATCACATGTTCAAACTAAACTAAACTAAACTTTTAAAGTATATTTCACTAAATGTACAAGTTTAACACTAATATGAACAAACACGATACAAATGGACAGCTTTTAACCAATAAAATATCATCTTAACTTTGTGATTATGTGCAATTCATTATAAAATTCATTACAGATAAAGATAAAGTCTTATCACGTTTTTCTGTTTATCAACTGAAGAAAGAGATATGGTAGCTTGGTAGGGGTCAAACAGCCCCAATCAGTTTGGTGATTCTTATCCCTTTTGCCATTAGGCCTAGAAAAAAAGAGGCTGTATTGCCCTTACGGTGCAAAAACATGGGTCGGTCAGTCAGAAATCTTTTAATTTTTTTCTCCCTCTTTGGGCTGATATTTCTCAGTTTTGAATACTTTTTAAAAAACGGTAAAAAAAAAATTGAAAAAATTAAAAAGCTTTTTGGGTCGGTCGCAAAGGGCAATACATTTTTTTTTTTTAGGCCTTATTGATAAAACAAGAGCACATAGGTGGGGATCAAAGAGCCCAATCATATCTCTTCGATATGAACTGTATATCTAAAAGGGATTGTAAATAAGGTTAAGTTTTTTCTGCCAACCTCCTCCCTACTAATGCTTTACTCGACATTAATTTTGCCCTACTTAAATTATGGTATTATTGTTTGGGGTAATACATACGAACCTTATCTTCATAGAATACTACTTCTACAAAAAAAAGCTATGCATGTTATTTGTAACACTTCCTGGAGATCCCATACTGACGTTTTATTTGTTGAAAATAATGTGTTGAAAATAAATGATTTATATCATTATAGCCTCTGTCAGTTTATGTACCAGTTAAATAATAATACGCTACCATCAGCCTTCAATTTAATATTCATCAAAAATAAAACTATACACAAATACCCTACGCGCCAATCTGACGAATTTCATCTGCCATTAACTAGAACTTTACATGCTAAATCCATATTCACTTACGCAGGCCCGAAGCTATGGACCATTCTTGATGTTAGCATCAAGAATGCCCCCAGTTTAAATTCTTTTAAATTCAAATTAAAAAAATATTTTTTGCGTAATTATCAACCGTTAGCTCTCTCTCTCTTAAAATATATTTAACTCAATAAAATGCATTTGGATATTTTGATTCATTTTGTACTGGCCATCCGTATTCCAGTCGGCCCGTGTTGTGTTGTGTGTGTTATAGGTAAGAGCCCTGCCCTCTCTCGTTGTCTCCCTTCTTTCCCTGTCCCTTTCACTCCTTCTATGTTATGTTTAATTGGTTTATGTATTTGTGCGTTCCTTTATTATTGATATACTATTTTTGCAATTATACGTTATAGGGGGCTGCAATCTACAAGCCCAGCTTTTCAGCAGTCCCCTCCATGACCAACCTGTTTTATATGCCTATTGTACACTGTGGACCAATTACAAATATGTTGTTAAGTTTCATTGTTTTACTATGTACAATGCAATCCCATGTACTTTATTTATTTTGTTGGAAATGGAAATAAACAAAATGAAATGAAATAAAATGAAATAAGAGGCTAAAAAGTCCAATTATTTAAGACCAATCATACTTTTTTTTCAGGGGATAATTTAGTAACTGGACTTTTTGCTCAAGCAACAACAAAGAACCCCAAAAAAGAGAGATATCTTTTCAGTTTTGGTCTTACCTCTTTAGGGGTGATCTTCTGAACATCACCAATCTGCTTGATCTGACCCTTGAGGCGGACGGCAGCCACAGTGATGGCCTCCTCACTCACCTCTGAAGCATAGTAACACTCCACATCAAAACCTAGTTCCCTCAACACTAACATACCTAGCAAGGTTAAAGGAGACAAGTGAAAAGTCATATGAATATTTTGGAGGGCCGGGTTGTGATATTCAATATTAATTTTTCTTATATACCACCAAGAGCAGATGGACAACCAAAGAAATATACAGTAGTTCCAGAAACTTTAGCAAATCATTAATGATTACCACTTTCTCAGCAAAGGAACTTCTGTGCATTGTGAATATTACATGTTGTGTTCCGATCAAGTTTGATAATTTTGCACCATTAACTTTTGCAAACTAGACCACTTGCAAAATCTGTGGAAGATTTATACACATGAAAGTTTCTGATATTGCAGAACTCTTCTTTGTCAATGTATGTTCTCTGGAAACTCTACAACTTTCCAGAAGCTGAATTGATTTATGTGACAAGGCTTTCCTCCCCATAACATATTCTTACACCTTTTTCATCGTTCGGAAGAAGGTGCTTTAACTTTCGTTATTATCATCGGAATATAGGTAATATTTGGAGAAAACTTAATATTTGAATACTACAGCTGTATAAACTACCGGTACCTGTCCCAAGGCCGTCAAAGAGGGACAAGACTCTGATTGGTCGACGGTTACTCAGGAGAAGGGGCTTGAACATCCGCAGGGGTTCAAAGTCCGCAACCTGGTCACGGTTGAAGAAAGCCACCAGCTGCTCCTGCCAGTCCTCTCGGCGTGTCAAGTAACCATGGGAACAGTCGGCTGAACAGAGGTAGCAGGACCAAGGCTCTTGCTCAGACACCTTGAGGTGAGAGTGAATAAAAGAGGACTTGGTTCATTTATGGTACAAGACATTTGAAAATATGAATCAACTATTTGTTTTTGTGCTTTAAAAAATCACAAAGACAGAGATAGCAGGAGAGAAGGGGAGGGATGAAGAGAAAAAGATTAAAGAGAGAGAGAGAAAGAGGAAAGAATAAAGAAAGAGAGAAAGAAGCAAGAAAGAGAGAGATAGAGAGGAACATAAAGGGAGGATATAAGAGACAGCAAAAATGTGATGCAGATAAAGAGTCTGAAAAGAGGGAAAAGGCCAAAATACAAAGGAGAGAAATGAGAACAACCTGACAGAGAAATAGAAGAAGATAAGAGATATAAAGACAAAACTACAAAATCAAAGAACAATAGTAGTATTTAAAAAGTCAATATAGAAAAGATTAGATAGACATACACTAAAAGAATAACATCAGAGCCAATGAGAAGGAATTTAGATGAAAATAATGCAGAGAATAAACAAATAAAAAAAGAGAGCTGTTAAGTGGTGAAATAGAGATAAAGTAAGTGAGAGAAAGGGAAAAGGAAAGAGGGGAGAGAAGACAAAAATTACATATTAACCGAGTGGTAGATTAGATATTTGTAGAACGAAAGAATGATTAATACTGTGATTGTATGTTGATCAGGGGGCGTTTCTTATTTTACTTACCCGCTTTGATTCTTGGGGTCCCACAAGGTTATCCATGCACACTGTGCAGTAAGAGTGGTAACAACCCTGATTATCACACAATGTGATCTGATTCCCTTCAGCACAGATACAGCAATGGGCCTGAAGAAAGGATATATTACCAGTCAAATATCTCCTATTTTTATGATATTGTTAGGTATTTGGTTTCAGAATGATTTAGATTAAGTAGGAACTGCTAACAAATGATTCAATGGGTTTTTATTCAACTACACAGAGACTATGAGTGTGTATAGATCAGCAGTTTTAACAGGCTGGCTACACAGGATAGATAATCATAGAGTTACAAGAAGTACACAACTTTCTTACCTTTCTTCACTTTACTGAATTCTTCTGATTAGCTTCTGATTTTCCTTTTTTGAAATATGAGGTACATGAAAAACAAGAGGAGCTAAATATTCCCTTGTTTTTCACTGTGGTGGGTCAACGTTAATTTATGTTGGGGTGCCGTTTAAACATGGGTGTGGGTTAAGCATCATACTATATGTATGTTGCATTAACATACATAATACAGAGAAGGCTATGTGCTATATACAGATCATATGCATGTATGTGTACACACACACAAACAAACAAAAATACCCAAAAAATGTTCTAAAAAAATCAAGTTGTGAAACCAAATAGTAGAATGGTAAGACTTATACCTGGTAACCTTCACAATCGTACAGGTAAGCTACTTCCAAGTACTCGATCTGTAGAAGAAAACAAGTAGAAAGGACTTAACTTTAGAAATCATCAAGCTAAATACACACATCACAGATCGTACCAAGAGGTAAACTAAACCCAACTTATATTTGTATTGAATTAATAGATGATAATTACAACAATTTTATAACAATACAATGCAACAACTTCAAACAATTATTGTCAAATTACAAAATAGTCAATCGTAGATCTCCTCATCCAAGCTTGCTTGTATGAATCAGCACTGTGTTATCGATCTGTTTTATCTAGATTATGATTATTATCATTATCATCAGAAATACAAAATTTTGTTAGCAACAATAAAGATCATTGTGACCATCATCATCATGACCACCATCACATTTAGCATGGTAACTATGATGATCATCACCACCATCACCACCACCACCACCACTACCACCAACACAACCATCATCATCATCATCATCATCATAATTATTATCATTACCACCACATCCACCACCACCAACATCATCATCACCATCACCATAATTATTATCATCATTACCACCACCACGACCACCACCACGACCACCACCATCACTACCATCACCAACCCACTATTATCATCGTCACCATAATTATTATCATTACCACCACCACCATCATTACCACCATCACCATCACCATCACCAATACTAGTATCATCATCATCTCTTTCATCTTTGATAGATCTGCTCACCCTGCAGACTTCACAAAGGCCTCCAACAAACAGAGGATGCTTGGCAGTCAGACTGGTACCTCCACATCCTATGCAGATCTCTACAACAAGATAAGAGTTCAAGAGTACAGTCAAACCAGTCTATACCAACCGCCAAAGGGAAACAAAAAAAAAGAGGTCTTTGTAGACAGGTTCCTTTAGTACATGTTTCAATGAGAAACCACTTTCAAGGGTAACAAAAAAATGTGGTCTTTGTAGGGAGGTGGTCACTAAAGCAGATTTGACTGTACTTAGCATGTCACATTGTATTTTGCATATCATTAGAATGAGACAGACTAAGAGAATAACAATTGAAAGTGTTTACTCTAAGAGCTAAAAGATGAACAATTATAAAGACATGAATACAAAAATGAAACTAGAAGCTTAATGATAAAATTGATCCAAGTGTTCCCAGTTTAGATATGCAGCATGATGAAGTGATGATTATGATAAAATATGGAAATGGAATTTAAATATTTCAAATCGTAAATATTGACAGTGATGATGACTGCGATCATAAAGGTGATGAGGATGATTATTATGAACATGACGATTATGGTGATGATGACAATGATGATGATAAATGATTTTAAAAAAAGTAGTGATTGTGAAGGTGTTGACCATGTACTAAAAAGAGAGATAAATAAATTATGCAATCTATAGACAGTTCTAACCTTCAATGGTCCATTTCCCACCTCTGACATCTTTCATTCTCTCTTCTGAAATTAAAAAAATAAGTCACTATGAGCAACATTTTAGCACCATGCTACCATACTACATGTAGACTCTAAATAAAAAAAAATTTTGTTTGCTGTTCTCAGGTACTTTATCTGCTCCAATATAAATGGGAAGGCATTTTTATCCATAAGCTTAGATATTAAAAGCCTTATTCAAAAGCTAAATCTGAACTGAAAAAAAATTATAATTTTTATACTAAAATAAAATGAACATGTTGCATTGTTTATTTAGACAGGTGATGAGCAATTCAGTGCAAAGGTTTGTTTAAGTTAGTGGATCAACGCATATTTCCAAATGCAATTTCTAGCTCACTTTCTTTCATAAAGTGGGCTGAAGAAAAAAATACTGAATTAACAATGAAATTCACTCTCACCCTTTTATTAAAAAAAGTGGTACCATGTAAACTGTCCTAGAGATTTATGAGACATCAAAAAGAAAGTTCCTATCATACCTCTCTTGTCCTCGAACGGTTCCTTTTCTGGAGAGTTCCTGCTGCTGTGTTTGATAGGGGACCTCTTCCTCTCCTGGACAGGGCTGGGTGGGGGTGACTCAGGGATAGGGGGTGTTTGCTTGTCCTCTGACAGAAACAAACACAAATACAAACAATTTATCAAAATACAAAATTACAGAGAATCCTGCTTTAGCAACCACTTGTATAGAATGATCACCTGTCTATAAAGACCATGTCTTCTGTTTCCTATCAAAGTGCTTCTCACTGAAATCTGTACTGAAGTAGCTATGTGTAAAGACCACCTTATTATCAAGACCACGTTTATGTTATCTTTCAAAGTGCTCATTATTGAAATCTGTACTGAAGTAGCTATGTGTAAAGACCACCTGCCTATAAAGACCACTTTCGTTGTCTCCCATGGGTGGTCTTTGTACACAGGTTTACAAAGTTTTACATTTACCTTGACAATACTTTATTGACAATATTTCTTCAAATAGTGCATCTCTACAGCCCTTTTAGAAACTCCTAAAGCTAAAATTATCTGCTAATGCAAATATTATCATCTTTTTGAATTGCAAACTGAAGTTAACAGCTTAATGTTAGCTGCAATGGAACTCTTAACAAAAACAGGATGAAATAAAGCTCAATTAAAATTAAAAGCAATATGGTCTTTAAAATGTATATTAACGGGTATGGAAGCCAGAAATTGTTAATGTTTCCCATATAAATTCAGCTTCATTGGAAAATCTCTTAATAGCACAAAAATAAGGAAAGGTTAAAAAGTCATTTTTGTACCAGGTATTGTGAACATGACGATTTTAAGAAAATAAATGGATCGGTTACCTTCTGAGGGCTGGATACTTTCACGTCCCTGTGGAAGGAACTTGTCGTTCGCCCAGTCCTGCATCTCTCTACACCTCTCCAGCATCTTGGCCTTGTACTCCTGCCTCTCCTTGATGCTGGCACCAGGGTATGCAGGAGGGGTCGGCATGGCAACGGAAACATCCTTGCCAGCTCTCTTTGCTGCAACCTAGCAATAAGTGAACAAAACTGTAAAAGTACATCCGTTTCACACAGAATATGGCATGTTGAGAGCAGGAAGGACCTTAGCTCCTGTACTATACACATTGACTTGATGCACTTTTAGCTCTTAACAGATAGCATAATTCTTAACACGACCATACAATCACAGAAGGCCCATGAGCAATAACTATAAGCCTTTCTTTACACTAGCAGACTCATGTGAGCAAATGTTACATCACTACTTGTCCCATGCAATTTCTTTACCTGTAAATTCTCCTCTCGTTGATTTATTATGTTTTCGATAGCAAGTGTAACAGAGCAAGAAATTGCCAGTGTTGTGACTTTAAAAATATAAGTTTTTATCATGAGAAACTTTGTGACCACCTAGAGAATATGTCCATTGATTGAACAACAAACTCATTGAAAGAAATAGCAAATACTGCATGATCTGGATACTCAACAAGGTTTCGAGCAGATAGGAACAATGATCAACGACATGATTCAGGAAGGGAATACCCAGGCCCTACCCTTTTCCTACAATGTACTGGTGGTTTTACAAGGTTTAAAGGCCGTCTGTACTAGTTTGACTAGGAGGGATTAGACCACCCCGGAAGGTCACTGACAGGTGGCTATCTCATCAACTCAGCTCTCAATTAACATAAGAAAAAGAGGATCATGGGGGACCAATGGTCACCAATTAGGCATTGTTTTCTACATAGAGGGAGCAAGTAGCTACAAGTAGTGCAGTGGGCCTTTAAGAAATGATATTTGAGGGGGTTTCAGGTGGCCTATTTGAGCTGGAAAGGTTTTTACAGAATTGACTTACATTCAGAGCTTCATAGCATGCTTTCTGGTATAGGCCCCACTTCTGGAAGGCGGACACACTGAAGTAGTCTGGAAAATCTTCAAGGCCTGCAATCTGGCCAAGGCTCAGCTTTAAGTAGTAGGTGAAAACAGAATATATAAAACGATCAACAATAGAGATTGGTATCTCAAAAAATTGGTTTGTATTTTGTATTTTGTTCCTAAAGAACATTTGAAATATGCCAGTTAATGTCTTAGTTTACAACGCTAAACCGGCTCCACATTGACTTCAAGCCAACTCATTCTTGGCCATATTCTTGGCCACTAGGGATAACAACTTTTTTTTTTTTTTTTTTGGGGGGGGGGGGGGGGGGGGGGGAGGTCTGTTGTCGGTGCCCATGACTGAGCCTGAGGAATGAGATCTTACCAGAGAATATTTATTATCTCCAAACCACTGCACCCATCTGGTGAGAGGAGGAGGCGGCTCCCAGACATTATGGACATATTGGTGGACAATGTCAGAGTCAATGACATTGTCAAGTCGTTATGAGAGTCAAAATTTGACCGAGGGGGGGGGGGGGGTTTACAAAGATCCTAAGACGAACTTAATTCTAAGTTGGACTTAAACATTATGGACAGCCATTTGTAGCCTTAGGAAAAAATATATTCAAAAGCAAAAAGTAACTTTTCATAAATTCCACATCAAGAACATGAAATCTCCTTGATAATAGAAAATATGAATGATTTGAATCAACATTTTATGCCTTTTAAAATAACTTTTACAAAATATTTTAAAAGATGCTAGCGACCTTCCATAATTGTTAAGTCCAACTTAGAGATAAGTTCAACTTAAGCTCTTTGTGAACACCCCCCCCCCCCCCTGAATCTGTAAAATCTTACCAGTGAGTACTTATCATCTCCAAACCACTGCACCCATCTGGTGAGAGGGGGAGGAGGCTCCCGGATGCTGCGGTCATAATGATGGACGATCCTTCCCGGCCACCAGCAGAAGCCTTTCATCTTACCAAACACCAGCTGACCCCTAAAGATACACTAAGAGAGCAAGAAACGAGAACAGGCATAAGATGAGGAGAACGTTACCATTGGACTTCAAGATGGAACAACTTGCCCTAAGATTAACACTATACAGTGTGTCCCAGAAAAAAAGGAAACCAAGAATTTACAATGTTTTATCATAGTTTATTTACAATTATAATTGATAAATTACACATATTTGTAAAGCTTAGATCCTCTTCTTTCTTTAATCACTCATGCATGAAATATGCATCAAATGAAACAAGAGGATCTAAGCTATACAAACATGTGTCATTTATTAATTACAATTGTGATTAAGTTATGATAAAACTTGATAATTCTCAGTTTCGTTTTTTCTGGGACACACCGTATCGCATTAATTTCACATTATGTAATAGCAAAGTATGTTTTTTCAGGTTACCTGACAGTTCAGAGGGCAACAATTACTCTGGGAAATATTTTGTCAAGAAATAAATGGGTAGGAACAGGTCTAGTGTCTGGTCTAGGGTTGAAATTAATATATTTTGGTTTGATAGTTTGAAACTATTGACCATGGATCAATTTTTATTGAAGCATGTGTCGTACAGCCTTCTTTGAAAAGTAGGGTTTTGCAAATGTTGTGCAATTCTTTCATTAAAACCCACATGATTTGGGGATGTATATATGACAGCTCAAGCTGAATCAATTTGTTTGACACAACTATGCAAAATATATTACTTGAACTTCCTAAGTTAAATTCCCAACAGATTTGACTTAAGCAGAGTTAACCATTTGTCATTCTTCTTCCAGATTCCTCCTACATCTTTAATCTGGTGGTCATCCTTCCCATGAATCAATAGAAGAATTTCACTTATTTTCCTGTAGAGAATTCAGGATTTCAGCTACGAGCTCCACTACTACATTTCATTGATTGTTGCAGGAACTCCGTTAATGGGTGATCACGGTACCAGAATTAACCATGTTGGGATTGCTAGCCCTTTGAGCACCTCTATCCATCTTCTCCCAGCTGGAGGTTGATTGCGACATTTTTCCAAACATCTCTGTCATCTGCCACCCTACTACACTTGCAGTGTCATTCCACTCCATGTCTTAAAGCCCCTCTGCACTAGTTTGTCCAGGAGAGATTAGACCTCCCTGCATGGTCACTGACAGGTGGTTATCTCATCAAATCAGCTCTCAATTAACATAAGAAAAAGGGGACCAATGGTCACCGATTAGGCATTGTTTGCTATAAAGAGGGCGCAAGTAGCTATTAGTGCAGTGGGGCTTTAATGTTCCCCTCCCTGTTAGTTCTTGGTTTCCCCTCTTGGTCTGGTACCTTCTACTTTTCCTTTTAATAAATCCTTCATCATCTAAGCTTCTCATTACTTACCCCATACTTTTCTGCCTCTTCCTTGATTTTGATCTCCTTGCTTCCGCTTGTTCCCTCTCCCTCTGTTCCTTTCAAGTCCAGAGGAGGTGGCTATCAAAAAGAGAAAACTGAGTAAACAATCAAAGAATACATATACAGTAAAACCTGTCTATAAAGACCTCCCAAGGGATACAAAAAAGTGGTCTTTAAAGGCAGGTGGTCTTCATGTACAGGTTCACTTAGTGCATGTTTCAGTGACAAACCATTTTCAAGGGAAACACAAATTGTGGCCTTTGTAGACAGGTGGTCAATAAAACAGGTTTGACTGTATATGATGGGGCAAAGAATTGAGGTGAAAGAGATGAAAGTAAACAAAAAAGTCAACATAGCTTCACTTGCATATGTGCCCACAGAGAAATTTGCTATAGAACAAAGAAGAGTTCAGTGAATAGCAGAGTTTACTCATTCTCTTCAGTACGACCCGACAACCTCTCGGATAACTTAATTGTCTCTATATGATTTAGAGAAAATTCTTTGATGGTGTCAGAGATTATATTTCATTTTGTCACATTTCAGGCACATGATTTCAATAACATAAAATGTAAAGTGTGTTATGGATCATATCATATGTAATCAGCACAACAGAGCTCAAGATTTAGTGGTACTGTGATCTAAAGACTTTTTATACCGGTATATATATATTTTTTTCCTTATTATTTCGTCAATGATAGAAATCATTTCACAATCACTTTTAAGGAACTATGCGAAACGCTTTGGTAAATAACTCCAGCTCATTAAAAAAAAGCACATGACAATATGATTTTTTTTCTTTTCTGATAAGGGTCGCCACCTTGTAGATTTTGAAGAAATATTCTTCAGTCTTCTCAAATTTTCATTTTGAATAGAAGAAGGAATTACCGTGGCAACTGCTCTTGGTTCTTTCTTCCTCCATCCTTTCCTCCATGGCGTGGATGGTCTATTAGAGATTGAGCTCGCATCATTTGACTTCTCCTTTGGCAATGGCAGCATCTAAAATATTGAGGTATATGATATATAGGCATAGCCATATTGTAATGAAAATTTCATCTCTTCGATATTTCTCCCATTTTCGTTGAATCTGATTATGACGCATTTCATATCTATTTCTTTAATAGTTTCTATCGTTACAGAATATCATTGCCTCTCTTTTGTATCTCACTTAATAGTGTACCTTTCACTGCTGAGAATATAAAACCAAGTAAATGAAATGAAAGATATGAGACGGTCTGCAGAGCTCTCCAATAGTACAGTCTTGTACATCTATACTACTCCTCCATATACAATAATGATGGGACACATAATATATTCTTAAACAGAGGCAAGTTTCTAACACAGAAGAACGAATCCCAACATGCAACACAGTGGTGCAGAATCAAGCTAAGCATTCAGAAAGGAGACATGGAGGGTGTTTCACAAAGTCTACGATCAATTTTAAGTTGGACTAACTATGGCAGGCCATTCATGCCACTAGTTCCTCTAACCATTCATGGCATTGGTTTCTCAAGGAACGTACAAATCATAGTCACAGATCTACATTTTTGGAAAGTTCATTATTTATGGAAACAATATTATCTAAAGATCATAATTGCGGCCAATAGTGAGAGCAAACAGTGGCAGGAACGGCCTGCGCCAGACTTAAGTCCAACTTAAAATCGATCTTAGTCTTTGTGAAACATATCCCCCTGATGTATTCCTCACCTGAGAATGAACATCCTGCTGCAGTCTCCTAGCTGTATCCTTCTTTGGCGACACCTTCTTTGCTCCTTTCTTTTGCGCGTTGGGATCCCTTCCAACCTGGAATGGGGAGACGTTTTGAGGACGCTGTCTCAAAGACTGTTCCCATCCACCTGCTCCCCGTGGATTCCTGGATCGAACAGCTTTCTTAGTTTTATCCGATGTTCTCTTCTTGCCATCCTTTTCAATTACTGATGGAGTATCGATCTTTCCATCTGCATTCGGACTTCCGAAAACTTGACCACTGTCCTCTTGTCCTGTTGGGAAGTGGGGTGAAGAACCTTCTGCACTCTCACACTCTCTTACAGCTCTACTTTGATCATTATCTTGATGAGAAAGTGACCTTTGCCCTTTCACTGCACTGCTGCAGGGCTGATTGTCATCACAGGTCACTTCTGCCCGTTCTTCTCTTTCTTTAAAGTTGCTAAGTGGAGTGCTCAATGCTTCAGATGGTTCCTTCACGTCCTCCTCAGTATGAACATCCTGTTCATGTACTTGGACACCTGGACACTCAGCCTCTTTGATGACCTGTTCCGTCAATGTTTTTGCTACTTGATCTGCTTGATGAACTTCTTGTGGTGCCTCTGGGCTATCTTCCTGTACCTTTGTATTTTCCTCATCACCTTCTTTTGGTGGCAGCTTCTGCTGGCTGCTGGTCAGATAGTCCACAAGCTGGACGCGGCAAGGTGATGTGACAGGATCCTCAAGGCTGGCCCAATTGCTGACCGGTAGAATTCGTCCAAACACAGGACTCTTCGGCAAGGGTGAAGATTGGTCACTGGATGGAAACTTGCCTGGTGAGGTAGATTTTGTCGTACACTTCTCATGTGATTTGCGCTTGTTTTTTTTTACCTTACGTTTCTTGTGCAGTTTGTCCATAGTACCTGGTGGACTGGATTCCTTGTCATCGTGAGAAGCTTCTTTGTCACCAACATGCTGCATATCCAACCGTCTTGCACTTGATGTCCTCTTATTCTTGTGCGGTGATTTGTGCTTGTGTTTCTTGACCTTAGGTGTTTTGTCTTTCTTCTCCTGAGACCTGCATCCCTTTTCATTCAGAGGATTGCCTTCCACAACCCCCCTTCCCACATGCAACATATTTAACCCTGGCAGCAAGTTGTCTAGGCTATCACCTTGGACAGTCTCCTCTATCAAAGAACTGTTCACCACATCTGCAAACCCTTCTCCCAGCAAGGAGGCAGAGTTTCCTTCTACTGAATCCCTTGTGTCGTTATTCTTGCTGGGGAAGTCTTGAATGCTCTGGAACCGGAGTCCAGGAAAGGAGACTGCTTCTTCTATGGCTCCTTGAGAAGAGGATGGGACCATGGTCTGGTCTGAACTGCAGGAGAAGTTTCCTTCTGCAAGCATGGGATCTTGATCCAAGAGCAAATTTAGCTGGCCAGACTGTTCCTCAGACTCCATCACTGATGGACTTTCCAATCTTGCAGGAGGGGTCTCAATACACTCGGAGAGGATCTCTTTGTCAGGGTCTGAAAATCTAACCTGTTCTTGACTGGACTCTGGAACATTCCTTTCATCTGTAGGTGTGCTGCTTGCACTGTCTTCTGCCTGGGTTAGCCATTCTTCCTGAATTAAATTCCCTGGCACACCTGCACTTGCTTCTTCTTGTTCCATCTTACGGAGTATCTTTCTTGGGCACAGCGATTTGCGCTTGTGTCTCCAAGGAAGCCCATGCTCTTGGACATTCACACTCACCTCTGACTCTCTGTCATTCGTAGCAGTTGACTCACTTCCGGACAATGATGCTTGTTCCCCTGATGTTTTGAGATTCTCCTGGAACAGTTCATTCTGAGGGCCAAAGGAGGATGACACAGTACTATCATCTTCTAGGGTGCCTTTGTCATCAACTGGACCTTCCGGGTGGACATGCATCTGCTCTTTAACAGCTGCAATGATGCTGGGTCCACTCTTTGTGCCACTTTGTAAGCTCAAAGCACTCTGGGAAGACACTCTTCCATTTCCTTGAAGTTTTGCGGCACTTCGTGTCAAACGCACTTGCTGCTCCTCAATATCCTTCTCTCCGTCTTTCACAGGAATGTTTGATGACACCTCTCCATGGGGTACTTGATCAGTATCTACCTTGAATCTCTTCTTGCTTCTGTCATCACCTCCTGGAGACAGCTTATGCTTGCCTTTAAGTATGGCACTTGGTGATCTTTGCTGCAGTGAAGTTCTTTTCTTGGATGACCCACTCTGAGGGAAAAATAGAGGGTTGGGGTAACAGCACACATATTAAAACAGGTTATGCAAAATGGATTGTCAGTATTACTATCACTCTTAGTATTAATTTAAGAAGAAGAAGGAAAAAATCAAATACATTTAAACAAGGTAAATAATTATTTTCAAAGTATATCATTTAAAAACAAAGAAAACAGGCAAGCAAAGTCTTGTCGGGTTTAGTTTGGCAAAGTGATACCTTTTTTAATGTATGTCCTAGAATGTAATCAGTGTTCTGGCTAGAACAATGTACAGTTACAAAGAGAGAAATACATTAGGGTCAAAGCTGGTATCTATGTATACATTTCTTTGACTTCGAGCTAGTGAGAATTTTTTTTATTGAGAGTAGTCTTGATTTCGGTTGATAATGACAAATAAAATCAAATCAAAAGGTTTGGAAGAATATGTATAGATCACTGAGCAATATGAGGGAAAAAGACAAACATCTGGCGGAATTTACTGAATGGTACATTATAGTCCAGAGTGCACAGAGTATTTATAAACCTTTCCTTACCCTCAAAAACGAAGGAAAGCTTGCCCATGCTTGAGGGAGATACGAGCTGACATTCGCTTCTGTTTGCTTATATCCCAAGTAGGGTACATCCGCAGGAGCACCTGTAAGAATCAAAACAATAGTTGTATGGAACCTAGTTTGTTTTTGCTTTTGAATTTGGAAAATATTATACAAGCTGATTTTGTACAACACAATATTGCATAGCACTGATTTATCAAGGGTGAAAGTGAGCACTAGAAAAAAATATGGGAAATAATTGGGAAAAAAGATTATCAGGCCTGGCACTGATGTATTTATTCAGGACTGAAGACCACCTTAAACATTTGGGTTCATCATCATCATCATGGTTTAACATTCATTTTCCCCCATGCTTCGGTGTTGGACAACTTTTGTTTCTTGATGGCTCAGTATTCTCCAAGCCTTCCACTCCTCAGCATCCACCTGGCTGTGGCCAGATAACTCTTTTCTCTTCCTCTACATCCCATTCCAAGTCTGGCACAGGGTTTTAAGCCACTCATCGGGAAAGTTCATGGCTTTCTGTAGCCGATGGCTTCTTCACGGGATGACTTCATCCTTTCATCACTTGATAAACAAGGAATACCCTCACTTTTTATTAGTCGGTTGTAGGCCTGAGTCAAACCGTTTAACCGACCGTTATCCGACCGCATTCATCAAAACCGTTTAGCATTTCTCGCTCCGGTTAACCGTTATTTGCATACATTTTGGAATGTGCTAATAGCCGATGATAAAGATAATCAAAGAAACCGCAGTGTAATATTACACCCTGGCCGCTGCGCGCTAGCTTTCTGGCAGCAGTAATCCCCATGAATGAATTTGTAAACAATAAAACAACCAGCCCCCTTCTCTCTTTTCTCACCCTCTTTATTCCCTTCTCTCTGCAATGTGTTCATCGCTCATGTACCTTTTCTTATTACTGCACTCTCAGCTCACAACTTTCTAAATGTTTACACATTCGATGGTCAGTTCCTCTCACATCCCTTCTCCCCCGAGTCTCTCTCTCTCTCTCTCTCAATATTAATATCCATCCCTTGCCGACTCGCCCCCTAAAATAATGTTCATATATAAATAAAATACAAAAATATTGATAACAATAATAATTGAAGTTTTAGAAATATCAATCAACAAAGTCTGGGATATTATTTGTGAGTAATTTAAGTTTTTGATCATTCTTCAATTCAGCCGATCAACACAGCCACCCTTTCTTACTTCGATCTTCACTCATGTCCCTGCCTCGTCCATGCAGGGACATGCAGGGACATGCTAGCCCATATGCTCTCTCAGTCACACACACATGTACACACAAACCTCCGGCGCCCAAATACACTGTACATACACACAGATGGAGAGCTCATGCTTGTCACATGCACACATGTGGGCGTGGCTTCTTGACCTCCCACTGAACTGGGTACGGTGAAAGCACGCGCGGTCACCAACCTGTAATTTATGCTGGTATCAAACTCCACCCACATAGCTAGAGAACCTTCCTGATTGGTCACTAACTTGGATCAGCTCATTGCAGGGTGTGTCTTGGGTGTGTGTGATACACACTTCCACATAATTTCATATGGCAATGATACATGCAGGGAGCTCTCTCCCTGACCATGTGCAAACATCGCATTTGCAAAGGCATATATAAACACGTCACAGATCAGCTAACTTCACAGAGTAACTTTGCAAGGTTAATCGTGATATCAAATTCAGATGAGGAATAATAAGACATGTTTTATGTTGTTTATTACTGGTCTATGTTTATCAGGATGACCCAATTTGTGCCATAGTCCCGGGGCTGGGAATGCTCAGCCCGACAGTCTGAAGACCAGCAGGGTTCCGAGCTACAGCACTATTAAAAAACTGTATTTTCACTTTTTCAGATTATTATTAAACGGTTAAACGAAACCGCCCGTATACTTTTAACGGTTAACCGTTTAGCACAAAAACCGTAATGACTCAGGCTTAGTCGGTTGACCTTTAAGGATACTATGTCCCTTGCAGCCAACATCAAATTGTGTAGAACTTTGCAGGTATTACTTGTACTTGTGATGGTGCACTGTATGACCCTTTGGTACAAGGGTCTGAATATCAGACTATTACTTAGGTGAATGCAATCACTTACGTTGATTCGACAACAAATGGTTGTTATTTCCCTACAAAGAGCCATTTTCAAACCCTTTTTTTTATAGGGAAGTTTTAATTAAGAATTGTCTTCCAAATGACGTTGGAATTTAACCTTTTCATTTTTTGACCAGCAAATGGGACATAGTACTTTTAATCGCTAACATTTTCCAGACCAATTAACAGCTCATATGGCAAACACCATTTTGATAATTACCTGCTTGCTTGGGAGTCTCATCCTGCCTTTTGCTGCTTTACTTGATTTTGTCACACAGTGAAATTATCTGCATAAGGGAACAAAAAGCGTAGATGTACTAAGTTAGTATGCTCATTTGATGACAAAGTATACCGCCTACATCCTCCTGCAATAATACCCCCCCCCCCCCCGGAAAATGACCCCATATGACAATTACCCTCTAGGATTGGCTAATCACCCCCTGTGTGGGTGGGTGGGTGTGTATGTATTGGGGGGGGGTGGTGGCGGAGTCAACATAATAATTGATATCTTGTCTGTTGGCAATATTGTCTTAGGGGGTTATTATCCAAGGGAGTAATTGTCCTTGGAGGGGGTATTTGCCTGGAGGGGAAGGGGGGGGGGTATTGTCCTTGGTGGGTGGTTGCCCTTGCACTGACAATAATCAATAATTACTATTCTGTGTACACAGCTGGTAACTTATATCTAGGTACCTTATACTAGACTTTTGCCCTAAAATCAGATGCCATATAGTTGAGAATTAGCAAAAAAACTTTTTTTAAGCATGTTTTATCATCATCTGACATCTTATCATTCAATCATCATCGGCCTTCTCATGCATGGACAGGTTCACAAACACTTGATAAATTAAAAATAAAAAAATAAATAATCCAGAATTTATTGTAAACATCACCATCATCATTCACCACACATGCATCGATGATCCAAATGTTACTGATGACTGTATAATGTCGTTTCAAGTCTGCCCGGTTGAATTTCCGAACGACAAGATGAATCAACATTTACGCTGCACCCATGCCAAAACATGTGGTCTCGCATGCAAGCAAGGCATGGCTGGAAATGGAATCATTTATTGACATAGGTCTACTAGATATCTATAGTGCATGATCACCGGTATGAGAGTTAAATTAATAATCATAAATTAAATATAGTGTACAGTTTTAGCATGATATTGATCAGGATTTTCTTCGCTTTATAAGAAATTGCCTTTTCTAAACTGATCTTACCAGATATTCCGCTAAACACGTACACGTCCTGGGCAGGATTTGTAGTTTCTTGACATCTAATGAACTGATGATTTCCACAGTTAGATTCAACTTGTTTGTGTGTGTCTAGTTAGTTTGCTGCGATCTAAATCGGCGTCGGAGCGTTAGCTGCGATCGAGTTATCACAGCAGATAGTATGTAGACTCGCGCACGTGCACATGGCAAGTGCCTGGGAAGTTTTGTTTACAAATAACATGAATTATCCATTACACAAATGGGTTAAAAATACAAGTATGAATAAGTAATTTCTAGATGTTGTAATAACATTTGTTCATATAAGTATATGAAATGAGTGTAATAATTATAAAAATAAACTTTTAATGCAATTACATCACTAATAAAATCATATTGATATAATGTCGCTACACCATTTCCTAATAGTGTCCCTTCTGTACAATGAAATAGTCCGTGCCATCAAGCATGTTCAAAACGGCGGGAGGGGTGGGGCGACATACAAGGCTCGGCTACATGTCTTCATAAGCTAAAAAGAAATGCTATCATAATTTTGCAGAACGCATTATAGGCTTACAGGGATGAATATATAACTCCATCCCACTGACATGGTCACTACATTTAATACCAATATACTAGTAGTTATATAAACACCTCCCTGCATATACTGTACATGGGAGGACACAATCCCAAACTAAATTACTCAAATCAATTAATTTTAAACGCCCGTTATCGCAACTGACTGGGTTTCGAAGCGGGGGCAGGGGCGTCGCCAAAGGGGGGGTGTGGGGGGGTGCGACACCCCCCCCCCACCTGTCAGGATATTGTCGGTAAAATTGCGCTGCCGTCGGGAAAAAAGAGAAAAGGGGGAGGGAAAAAAAAGAGAGGGAAAAAAAGAGAGGGAAAAAAGAGGGGGAAAAAGAGAGGGAAAGGGAAAGAAAAGAAGAAAAGGGAAAGAAAAGAAGAAAAAAAAAGGAAAAGAAAAGAAGAAAAAAAAAGGAAAAGAAAAGAAAGAAAAGAAAAGAAAGGAAAGAAAGGAAAAGAAAGGAAAGAAAAGAGAAGAAAGAAAAAGAGGGAGGAGGGGAAAGAAAGGAAAAGAAAGAAAAGAAAAAAAAAGGAAAAAAGAAGAAAAAAGAGTGAAAGGGAAACAAAAGAAACGGGGGATGAAAGAGAAGAGAGAGAGGGGAGGTAAGAGTCTGAGAGAGGAGGAGTGGGAGTAAAAGAGAGAAGGGGGTTGTTGGGTGGAGTCGTCTCGTCGAGGGAGCAAGAAAGACACGGGTAAATATGTTGCTGTGTCGGGTCAGCTTTGTCGGTATTCTTGCTCGATCCTCGTGTACTATAACAATGCAGAAGTTTGAAGTCGGTGAGATGTATATTGTCGGTCGGCCGACAAGTTTTTTTCCCTACGAACTGTGACTACTTATCCACTGTGACGACTTCGAGAGTGACTACAACTACAATACTTGTATATTCTCGAAGTTTCACTTGCCTATAATATCAGCTAAAGAAATCAGAGGTTTAACATTTTCGGGGAAACTAAATTCAAACAAGGTTTAAGAGTCAACAACGGTACGACGAATCGTCTTCCTTTCTTTGTGATGAAACGCCAAAAATTCCGCGCTTCGCGCGGAAGGGGAAACTTCATTTAGACGAGTCGAAAATATGAAACGAATTGTCTTCTTTCTCTAATAATTTCAGGAAACGTCCAAGCTTCCGCGCTTCGCGCGAGAGGGGGAAACTGAATTCAGACAAAATTAACAGGGCTCATTTAGAGTCGAAAACGGTACAACGAATCGTGTTCTTTCTCTAATAATATGAGGAAGTGTCAAAGCTTTCGCGCTTCGCGCGAGAGAGAGAAATTGAATTCAGATGAATAGGGCTTAATAAGATTCGAAAACGGTACGAGGAATCGTCTTCCTTTCTCTATATTGTGATGAAACGCCAAAAATTCCGCGCTTCGCGCAGAAGGGGAAAACTTCATTTAGACGAGTCGAGAACGGTACAACGAATCGTGTTCTTTCTCTAATAATTTAAGGAAACGTCAAAGCTTCCGCACTTCGCGCGAGAGGGGGAAACTGAATACAGACAAATTAATAGGGCTTATTTGGAGTCAAAACGGTACAACGAATCGTGTTCTTTCTCTAATAATATGAGGAAACGTCAAAGCTTTCGCGATTCGCGCGAGAGGGGGAAACTGAATTCAGATGAATAGGGGTTATTAATGTTGAAAACGGTACGACCAATCGTCTTCTTTCTCTAATATTTTAATCAAACGTCAAAACTTCCGCGCTTCGCGCGGGACGGGGAAGCTTCATTCAGATAAGGATTAAGAGTCGAGAACAGTACACCGACTCGTCTGCTTTTTCTCATAATTTAATGAAACGTCAAAGCTTCCGCGCAAAGCGCCGGAGGGGGGAACTGAATTCAGAAAAGGATAAACAGTCGAGAACGGTACAGCAAATCGTCTTCTTTTTTATAATAATTTAATGAAACGTCAAAGCTTTCGCGCTTCGCGCGGGGGGGGGGGGGGGGGACTTCATACAGCCAAGGATTACCAGTCGAAAACGGTACAATTAATCGTCTTCTTTTCCTAATAATTTCAGGAAACGTCCAAGCTTCCGCGCTTCGCGCGAGAGGGGAAACTGAATTCAGACAAAATTAACAGGGCTTATTTAGAGTCGAAAACGGTACAACGAATCGTGTACTTTCTCTAATAACTTGAGGAAGTTTCAAAGCTTTCGCGCCTCGCGCGAGAGACTGAATTCAGATGAATAGGGCTTAATAAGATTCGAAAACGGTACGAGGAATCGTCTTCCTTTCTCTATATTGTGATGAAACGCCAAAAATTCCGCGCTTCGCGCAGAAGGGGAAACCTTCATTTAGACGAGTCGAGAACGGTACAACGAATCGTGTTCTTTCTCCAATAATTTAAGGAAACGTCAAAGCTTCCGCACTTCGCGCGAGAGGGGGAAACTGAATACAGACAAATTAATAGGGCTTATTTGGAGTCAAAACGGTACAACGAATCGTGTTCTTTCTCTAATAATATGAGGAAACGTCAAAGCTTTCGCGCTTCGCGCGAGAGGGGGAAACTGAATTCAGATGAATAGGGGTTATTAATGTTGAAAACGGTACGACCAATCGTCTTCTTTCTCTAATATTTTAATCAAACGTCAAAACTTCCGCGTTTCGCGCGGGAGGGGGAAGCTTCATTCAGATAAGGATTAAGAGTCGAGAACAGTACACCGACTCGTCTGCTTTTTCTCATAATTTAATGAAACGTCAAAGCTTCCGCGCAAAGGAGGGGGGGGGGGACTTCATACAGCCAAGGATTACCAGTCGAAAACGGTACAATTAATCGTCTTCTTTTCCTAATAATTTAAGGAAACGTCTAAGCTTCCGCGCTTCGCGCGGGAGGCCCATCACCCACACCCCACTAATGAGCGCGCTTTAAAGTGATTCTCTTGCTCACTACCGCCCCTCGCTAAAATAAGATCCTAGCTCCGCGCCTGCATTAAAATATATAGCTATGATGCTGACTAAATAGAAGAAATAATTCGTATATTTATGTCGTCGAGGAAAATGACCATTTTGCGCATAATGCAAGTACTATAGATAGTCCATAGGAAAAGCAATTTAGCCTTCGGCCCCAGGTTTATAGGGTTGAATTTGTAGATATTGGACATTTAATTTTGTCGGTAATTGGTGGCTAGTTTTGTCGGTAATTGTTGGCCTCTACACCCCCCCACTGAAAAAGGTCTAGCGACGCCCCTGAGCGGGGGTGTGGGCCTGTTGTGCCCCCACCCTCCCCCTGCTAGGGAGATGGAGAGTATGTAGACATAGAGGTCCAGATGTATGGAATTCTCTACCTAACGATATTCGAAATATAAAATCACCAAACTCCTAAAAGAGCACTCAAATGTATTATCATTTCACACAGTCATGTAAGATATCACTTGCAATATATAAATCTATATCTCATTATACCGAACATAAAATTTAATTCTATGTGATCTATAAGACATTTTAATAGACTTAACAATATACCTCTTTTGTATTGTACTTGTAAGTGTTATTGCTGTTGAATTTTTCTTGTTCTTTCTAAATAGCTCACAATTCTTTAGGAATTTGATCTGCATAATATTACACATTTGAAAGCTCTATTCGCTTATGTTTCATCACCTTTGTGTGTTCATTTTTTCAACTGTTTAATATAGTTGCAACTTGTCTTTGATAATGACATTTTTATATTCTTTTTCTTGTGAAGTCGATTCAAATGGATTGTAAAATTGAAAATGATTTGTTATATTATATTCTTTTTCATGTGATGTTAACTCCAATGAATTGTGAAATTATGAACATGCATAAATATATCCCTGGTGGCCGCAGCTAGCTACGATTACCACCTCAAGATCCAAAGATGTTTCTGTAAAACCCTCATTCCTAGATTTTTGTCCGGATATTTTGAAAAATTAGTAGGAGGGGGTTACCCTAATAGTATTAATGAACTTGGTATTTTATAGTCTGTTGTACTTTACAAATGCCATTGGTCAGTTTCAACAAGTTTTGTTCATTCATCATTTCAATCGTGCGTGCACCACTATATACAGAGGCCCAAAACAAGGTGAAACCGACCGACATTACTTATTAATAATTTAGTTGTAGCTATCGTTGAAATACATATCCTCAGATTCTTTATTTTTCTAACTTTAGAACAAAGAGATCAAAATAATGATCAATATGTAATAAACTGTCCTCAACTTTCTAATTCAAAATCAGCATTATTTCCGGGAATTAGGCCTAATATTTCCCCAGGTACTAGAGCTGAGAAGCCCGGGGGGGGGGGGGGGAGGGGATAATCACATCTTAGAACATACGGGGTGTGCCGCCTTTAATGGGTCACTTAGGTCCCATGTTTAACAAAAATACCATTAAAAATGGGTCCGTTTTTTTTTCTTCAAAATTTACAAAATTTTTTCGGGTGTTTGCCATGCATGTCATGTTTCGAGTACATTGCTCAGTAATCAACTCCCCATGCATGTATGGATTTCGATCAAGGATTCCCTCCCCTCTGGCTTTCATAATTCAATCTCTATCAAGGTTTTTTTTTTTAAATGAACTGATCGATAGGAACTCTAAAATATTTGATTTGCTTTTATAGGGGGATTTAAATAGAAGCAAGTTCCTGCACGTTTCAGAGGGTAAATTTGAACCAATGAATAATTAAATGTTTCCTCTCCCCCCCCCCTCTCCAAAAAAGGCTCTCATACCTGTTATTCTTATACGTTTGCTATCGTGTTAAAAATTATCATGCCAATATGAATAGCAATAGATCTAGAAAAATACAGGAAAGCATAAATTATAGAATATTTAAAAGAATGGAGTAATTATGAGAGATATACACACTAAACAGGAGAGTAAGTAATCTGAATCTTTCTTGGAAATGTAGTGGCTCTGAAAAGAGCCGGTTTTGCGTTTAATCAAAAGATTAAAAGAGCGATTTAAGCACGCTCGCCACGGATACGGCGGGCCAGCTGGATGTCCTTGGGCATGATGGTGACACGCTTGGCGTGGATGGCGCACAGGTTGGTGTCCTCGAAGAGACCGACCAAGTATGCCTCGCTGGCCTCCTGAAGAGCCATGACTGCGGAGCTCTGGAATCGGAGCTCGGTCTTGAAGTCCTGAGCGATCTCACGGACCAGACGCTGGAAGGGGAGCTTGCGGATGAGAAGCTCGGTGCTCTTCTGGTAACGACGGATCTCACGGAGAGCGACGGTACCGGGCCTGTAACGATGGGGCTTCTTGACTCCGCCGGTGGCTGGGGCGGACTTGCGAGCTGCCTTGGTGGCGAGCTGCTTGCGGGGAGCCTTTCCTCCGGTAGATTTACGTGCTGTCTGCTTGGTACGGGCCATTTTGTCGATCGTTCGTAGATGAAACAATAACTGAATTTTTAAAATTCGCGGCTGAGCTATATATGGGCGATATCAAGGGCGTTGATTGGATAGTGAAACTCTGGTTTACCATTGGTCTACTCGTGTTGACCATTCGCAAGCCTTTGCTAGCGGCATGACGATCCTCTTGTCAACGTATCGCCTGATATCGTGCTTCAATTTATATCACAATAATATCAAAAACAGTATACTAATTTACTACTTTGGCACCTTATTGCGATCCAAAAGCATGCTGAATATACTATTAGTACGTTTTATTCAAGATTTACTCCCGATTCCGTTTGAATTTTACCTTCATAAAAGTAAGACCTTCTCCACGATGCACCTGCCGCACGAATCAATTACGCATGCAAATTTGTGAAGCCCCGCCTTTGCAAGATTGACGACCAATCGCGTCGCGAATAGAGTCGGTACGTTATGCGCCAAAGGATACATGAATACTGTGAACGATGTATGATTCGAAACACATTTTCCTGTTTGTTTGCGATTTTTAATTGATAAACATATTTTAAATACCTATCTTTCACTATGTAGATGACTACTAAAAAGCAGTGTATGATTAGAATTTAATTTCATCGAAATTTATGTTGGAAAACACCAAAGAAATTAGACGTAGAATGAAAAAAGAAGTATACATTTTTAAGGTAGTGTATAAAAGGCCTATGTAAATATCGCAGTTGCTCATAAGTGTATTCCGATCTTTGTTTTGCGTGATTCATGAACATTTTCACTAAAAACATATATTTTAGGATAAATGTAATAAAAATTATTCTTATAAAACAGCGTATATTAATCATTTCAATATCATGTCGACATTGTACATGCAATATTTGTCTTCAAATTGTTGAAAATATGTGTATTTAAGTACTCAAAATACGCTTTGTGGGGCCGTCGACGTATGCAAATAAGATGTCTAATACTGCCCTCATTGCCCGACAAAGGAAAGGAGCCCAAGAGCATACAGTAGTGTTCCCTCCAGGTTCGGAATAGGGGTATATATACTGCTCTCTCGCCGATAAATATCATATTCGACTCGTCGATACACAACATACAAATCAATCATGTCTGGACGTGGTAAAGGAGGAAAGGGACTCGGAAAGGGAGGCGCCAAGCGTCATCGCAAGGTTCTGCGTGATAACATCCAGGGAATCACCAAGCCAGCCATCCGTCGTCTTGCTCGACGTGGAGGAGTCAAACGTATCAGCGGTCTCATCTACGAAGAGACCCGTGGAGTCCTCAAGGTCTTCCTTGAGAACGTCATCCGTGATGCCGTCACCTACTGCGAGCACGCCAAGAGGAAGACCGTCACCGCCATGGACGTCGTCTACGCCCTGAAGCGACAGGGACGTACCCTCTACGGATTCGGAGGATAAGAAGTTACTTTCTTACCAGCAACAAACAACGGCTCTTTTTAGAGCCACCAAATCTTCAAGAAAGAAATAATTAGATAAACTCGTCTCTGACATTAATTTTATTGATACATGTAATGTAATATGAAATGTATGATAAGTAATTAGGTAATCGGAATTTAAAGCCCGAGTTCACTTGTCAAGAAAGCAATTGGCCGCCTAATGGTAATTGACAAATTATGTAAATGAAGAAGGTTGGGTCCTGTCCATTTACATTTGTATTTAAACGTAATCACTTGATAGCATGACTTGAAAACTTACAATATAAAGCCCTAGATGTTGGTGAAAAGACAGTCTTTCGTTTCTGCCAGCTCAAGAGACGGAAGTGCATTGTACCTATTGGCGCCCATTCTAACCGTGAAATCGAAATGACGATAGTATTGTACGCCATTAACTGACGATTTATTCCAGACTCGGCTGCAAGAGCAGAGGTCCATTATAACATGTTTACATGTAGATATAAACAAACAATGAACAAGAATAAGGGAACATAATTACTAAAACTGACATATTTACAAGCTAGATAAAAAACAATGAACACAATTAATATTAAAGGTAATACAAAGTTAATAAATGAAAATGTTGTGAAATGTAGCCAAAAAACGATAATAAAAAGGATTGAGCTCTGGTATGGGAATCGTATTATGAGAGGAATTTGCTACGATTTATTTGGATTGTTTATCTTGCAGTAAATCAAATTGGTTTTTGAACTAGTGAAATGAAGAAAAAAAAAACACCCCAAAACTTACTGGGCATCATCTTCGATAAAACCACAACTCCCATTTGCACATGGTGTCGGGCCTTATATATTCAAACCCGGATTTCCTTATCTATCTATGCTCATCACTCGGCCATTATACATTTTCTACCAATATTGTTTGGCACCGGCATGTCATTTATTTGTAATCTTGAACATTCAGTTGTTGTTTTTTTTTTGTGGATTCTGTGAGAATTTTGTTTCTATATTTGTATGGAACAATTATCTTTATAGGCTTAATTCGTTTGGTGATGAACCACAAATCACAACATTTTGTGTCATTTTTATTTGTATACACAAATATTGATGAGTTCAGGGAAGGACATCCAACAATGAAATAGAATATAACGCCATCATAAGTGAGAATATTTGCTGTAACAAAAATGTAAATTCATATATTTATAGTAGGAATGCTCAAATTTTGATTATTCCTGTAAAATTATGAAAGCATTTGATTTTCACCAAACCGCCAAAACAGGCGAGATTTGACTAAACTCTTTGCATACTCTATATACATACATAATCTAAACATTCGATCCTATAATTATGTGCAATATAATTATAACCAATAGCCTAGGTAGTATTCAATGCCCAGTATAATTCAGTTTATTTCTTTTGGCGATATTACAATTATAAATATGCTGGTAATGCTCTTTACTTAGACTATATGGCCCTCAAAATATAAAGATCTTTTTCAACACACGTCCACCACGTGTTATCGGTTCGGACGAAAAAGAAAAAAAATAGAAGTATATGCATCAAGGATCCAAGCTAGGCTATAATATTCACTAAATATAATAATTAATGAATCCGACACATTATTTTCTGTGGTAGTAGTATCAAATTATTACATATTTAGTACATGGTACAACATACATGTGCGGGTTCCTGATGCATTTCTACAATTCCACCATTTTCCTACGTGTACTTCCCCATATACGAGGGTAAGCGCAGTTCACACTATTGAACAAAAGACAAAACCGTTGGGTTTCCCCACTAGCCATATTTGCATACACGATTGAACTGAGTTTGCGCACTACCCAACTGCTGAAAGCACTGATTTGGATTGGTGAAAGCTGGTGCGCTTCCGATCCTTATTTGCATACCGTGGCCGGTACGTTTTGGATCCCGGCGTTTGATATAAATATCGGACGCTTCCAAATGTACACCAGTATTCGTGAGAATCACAATCATCATGCCTGCTAAAGCACAACCAGCTGGAAAGAAGGGATCCAAGAAGGCTAAGGCCCCCAGACCTAGCGGGGGCAAGAAGAGGCGAAGACGCCGAAAGGAAAGCTACGGAATCTACATCTACAAGGTGCTGAAGCAGGTTCACCCTGACACTGGTATCTCCAGCCGTGCCATGTCCATCATGAACAGTTTCGTCAACGATGTCTTCGAGCGCATCGCCGCCGAGGCTTCCCGTCTTGCCCACTACAACAAGAAGTCCACCATCACCAGCCGTGAGGTCCAGACCGCTGTCAGACTCCTCCTCCCCGGAGAGCTGGCCAAGCACGCCGTCTCTGAGGGCACCAAGGCTGTCACCAAGTACACCACCTCCAAGTAAATTGGTTCACACCATATTTACTACATACGGCTCTTATCAGAGCCACCAAATATTCAAGAAAGATTCATTCGATTACGCTCTTTAGTTATCTTTTTTTTTTATCATTTATTTTAACAAAGAATGTAATTGTTTATGGTTAAATAAAAAAATATTGGGCATTTCTTTTTTAATATGATATTGAAAAAAAACTTAAATAATAATATTTTGCAAAAAATGTTATTCATTGTATTGACAAAATAAAAATGAATGGTTATGCCTAGCTAGTAGCACACTGAATAACTCGGTATAACTTTATCCCCACTCAATTTCGTGATTGTGCTGGGTGTCGTTTGATCCTCAAAGGGTGTATGAAAGCAGGTTGTATAATTATTATCCCGTATAATGAGGCACATAAACTTATTTTTCCCGAACTACAAACTTTGTTTGGACTTCCCATCTGTAAGTAATGCGCTTATGAATGACATCGAGAAGTAAGATGAAACAACTCTATTCAAAATTAAGCTGACAATCGTATTTTGAGAGAAACTTATTTTACTGCCTTCAAGTCCAAAACAACGTCTAAGAATGATGGGGGAGATGTCTTTCTTATTGTGTATAAACTATACAAAAAAGGTGTTGTATTTCTGATTTTTGTCATAGAAGGTTGGCAGGCCAGTGAGACATCTTCATATACGGCATTTCAAATTAGGCCTACACTTCAAACTTTTGATGTTCATTTTTAAAGTTGAATTGCTTGTCTAGTTATCTACAACATGGTGTGGACTCCTGGAGGAGACGAATTAGGCCAAACCGTTTTTTTCTCGAAAGTTTCGATTGTAATATCCAGGAATAAAAGAAAATCTTAGTCCACATCTTACTCTGAATGCGCTCAAGTCATAGCCTTTTACAAACTTAATTTGAGAAAATGTCATTTACCATTTCAAATTTCTTTCAATCGGTGTCTATAAATTCGAGCACAAATACATACAATAATAACAATGAGGAAATACAATGAGGGCGTTATTGTTTCCCGCGCAAAGTGACTTCTCATTGAGAAGTTCTCAATGCATGCAAGGGATGATCATTGGTTTGAAGAAGTTTGAAGGAGGGTGGATGGAAGTGTTTTACCTCTCAATGCAAAACATTACAATGAACAAACAAATTGAGATTTTATGTGGTTTATTTTTAATTCTTGTAGTTGAAAGGTTTCCCGTATTTTCACTCAGTTTCGAAGAATACACAATTTTTGTTGAACTCCATGTATAACTTTCTCAAACTATATCACAAAGAGGGAGACATTGAACTGTCCGGCAGGCTCGGCAGACTGCATTGGCTAATTCGCTCATAAGAAATTTATTCAGGTTTCTATCCAAGAAATTGCAGGCAATAAATTGTGGGCATTTTTAAAAGGAAAAAGTGGACCTATTATCATCATATCTGATCTGCCGTTATAGTGAAGGAGAACAAGATGACAGTGCATTGTAACCACTTTTAAAGCAATATCAGTATCTAAAATAACTTATTTATTTTTAATTCATTAGGCCTCTTTCAATTCAGTCATATTTTGTAGGTCCTTACCGTCCTTGATCATTATATCTACATAACTCAAACTTGACCCGTCAACGCCAGTGCTATATATGTTTTTGAGATTTTTGCTCACAATAAAATCCATCGACGAAAAAAATTACTTTTTGGTGCATGACGCTGTATCTAAAGCTCTAAACCTTAAAAATCGCATCGGACTATCGAATCGAATGTTTTTGGGGTGCTTTTAACGATTTAGAAATATGTATTTTTTAGTATTCATATGCCAAGTTTGATGAAAACAGAATTGCAATGCATGTATCTGTAGGTGGAAAGTTTTATAAAGCGTAAAGTCGTTGTTGCCTCTTTCAATCTGAACAGCTAAACAATTGGCGATTCCGTATATCATGATGATAAAAATGATGATCATGAATTGATGATGATGATGATGATGATGATGATTGAAGATCGATGATGATGATGACGATGCTGATGATGACTGATGATCAAATTGATGATGATGGTGATGAATTGATGATCGATGATGATGGTGATGATAAAGAATTTATTGAAATCAAAACAAGAGCAAACAGTCCGAAGACTGCATGACACCTGTCTTGGGTACAAAATAACATTTAAATCAAATATATAATAAAATAGCAGTGACGAATACATACATAATTCAAAATATCAAATAACTAAACTATCATCACTAAATATTGCAAAAAGGACAGTATTATAAACAATAACAACAATAATTATACATCATTACAATTACATCAATAGAGGACTCTCGAGCTGTGCAATAACTAAACTCAGGCACAGACCGAGAGTCAATTGAAGAAAAAAATGCATAAGACTGGGTTTTAAAAGATTTATGGTGAAAAGAGGGGAATATGTCAGCTAAACAAAATTAAAGTATTCCGATGCGGTACATGTAGCATACAATAAAGAATGTCACAAGAGAGGATAGAAAGAGAAGAGAGTAAGACAGAGGGAGAGAGAGGGGAGAAAATGAGTAAGGGAAGAGAGAGAGAGAGAGAGAGAGAGAGAGAGAGAGAGAGAGAGAGAGAGAGGGAGAAGGAATGAGATAGGAAGAAAGTTAGGGGAATATCAATACGATCTGTAGACTCTGTAAAATCATTATGCTCATTTGTGATGAGGATGGCGATATGTCTATTATGTTGTTGTTTATTATGATGTAGGGGTAAGCCAAAGGGTTTCGAGAAGGAAAAATATTTTTTTTTAAAGCATGCTTTCATGTAGGTCCCATCATATTCATCTCAGGCCTACTCTATATTGACCCTTATGTTATTTATTATGTATTACTGATTGTTAATTTATCACACAAAAATAAGTTATACTTTATTTTGAAATGTATATGTAACATGAGAAATATGAAATAAATAAAATGAAAAGAAAATAGTATGGAGTCCATGCATGGCAGTGAGACACACCCATTCCACGCCCTCAACCACGCCCACTTTTTCATACACGTGTACGACTGTACGTACAATGTTATGAACCGCTGCATGCCTTTTTTTTTTTATACCACCTGCGCTAGCTGTCGTTGGCACCCGAGCCTATCGGGTTGAGCTGGCGGCATACTCGAGAATCGCTGGCATTGGATGGAGGTCGTCACTGACGCATATATATACATGGTCCTGCATAAGACCACTCGCTTAGCCAGGTCAATGAGTTTCTTCATGTGACTTATGAAAAACAATATTTACTGCACGATACAGGAGATTTTTGGATGCCGTATATATCCTTTGTATGAATTATCAGAATGGATGAGTTGAGAATCAACACGTTTTTTGGTGCGTTGTCCCAGATATTGAAATTTATGTGAGTTGAATGTGCAAATTCTATTAAACTTTTAACTTGACTTGAGTAATAGTTTCGTCATTCTCTGAACAAGTTCTATCAACAATCGCCATCATGTCACAGTCAAGGAATTTCATATTCCCTATGTGCACCTGTGTTCCTGCTTTTGTATCGTCACAGTCGACGCAAAGCATGTTTTCCCCAACAAGAAGTCTTCATTTGAGTGGTGTCTTGAGGAAAAAGAAGCCAGGTCTGAAGAACAAATCTCATAGCTCGCAACAATGGATCAACAGGCATGTCAACGATCCCTTTGTCAAGCAAGCAAGGGTATGACTCTTTATGAAGCTAAATCACAAATTTAAATTGAGGAGGGGGGGGGGGTACAATTAAGTTGGGGAGGTGGATATTTATCACACATAGGAGCATCACTATCCTGGCTGTGCAGCTAGCGCTAGCACTTTTGATTCTCAACATTTCAAACCCCACTGTACAAAACTCAACTGATTTCACTAAAAATCAGTACTTTAGTTTAGTGACAATTGATGACACCTAAATAGCAGTAAAATACATGTTAAAAAGAATAATTAAAAATTCAAATTGTAAGTCTACTGTCAAACTTTGCTTACAGCCCCATCGGCATGATTTTGTGCAGTCTATGCAATATTGTGTGGTGTGTATATTTGTGTATAGGTCTAATAATACCTGCCTCACAGCAAGTATGCAGTGCTAGAGGTCAAGTCGCATTAGCATTGACTCTCTATGCTTTGCTGGAGTGGATATTTATGTATTGCCCAGGCCAGCTGCAAGTGACTTGAGAGAGCATGTTAACACTTTACAAATGTTTGTGCCAGTCTCCCTAATCAAGTACTAAATTTAAGGATATGAACCTCTAAAATACCCCAAATCTTATTTTTTAGCACAAATTTAAAAAAGAAAATAATTTCATGATCATCGTCACTAAGGTAATGTTCAAATTAAGTTTATCATAACCAAGTCGGTCACTATTCAATGTAGTTATTTATTTTGTATGTAAACAGGACCCTGTTATAATATTCAAACAACTTTTATGATTAAACCAATTACCTAACCCCCAATTTAATTTATTATGAAGCAATATAATTCAGTCTGATTGATAATTGAAGTCTTAACGTTTTTGTAATGCAAATTAATGAACACTTATTGATTGGAAAAAAAGAAGAGGAAAAAAAAAGGTTTTCGAAAAGAAAAACTGAATAATCCATGTCTATTTTTTACAGGCTGACAGCTACAGAGCTAGAAGTGCATACAAACTCCTTGAGATAGACTCCAGGTACAGACTCTTGAAACCTGGTAACACTGTCATCGATTGTGGAGCAGCACCTGGCTCATGGACACAAATGGCTGTTGAAAGGACTAACTCTGCTTTGCAAAGTAAGTGTGTATTATTTCAGGTATTATTATGGAATTTATTATTATTATATATTATTTGCACCAAAAAACATGATTACTCTTTCTGTGTAATGTAAAGATTATTTTCTGAATGTGGCACTGCTTCTATGTGTACCTGTCTGAATACTTTACAGTTATTTGTAATATTTTGTAAATTTGGGGTTGATATCAAATGTACATTTTAAACATCTTTTATGGTGTTCATGCATGGTCCTCACCAAAATATATTTTTCTTCTCACTTATCATGACACAACAGATCCTGCCAAACCCAGGGGAATTGTCATCGCTGTAGATCTGCTTCACATGCAGCCTATAGAGGGCGCCATCATGCTAGGTCAGAGCGACTTTACCGACCCTGCCGTCCAAGAGCGGATACTGGGTCATTTAGACAAGAGACTGTCCGATGCTGTCTTAAGCGACATGGCTCCGAACGCTACAGGAATCCATGCCATGGATCATGAACAGATCATCGCCCTTGCGCGGACAGCGATGGGTTTCGCCACAAAAGTCTTGTGTGAGAACGGTCACTTCCTGGTGAAATTGTGGGATGGGCATGACACAGGGTTGTTGAAAAGGGACTTGGTAGAAAGCTTCCGTTCAGTGAAGATACTTAGGCCTGAGGCAAGTCGGAAGGAGTCCTCTGAGATCTTCCTCTTGGCTCAAGGTTTTAAGCGGTATCTGGTGCACCCAAAAAGCTGATGTACATCTCCTCTTAATCAGCCACTGTAACAAGGGCGACTTGATATAGAAGTGAAGATGCAAACAAGATTTGGTACATGTATGCCATGATAAGTCCCATGTGCCATTAGCTCTTCATGAGGCAATCATTTAAAGCCCGTCTGTACAAGTTTGGCCAGGGCGTATTAGACCTCCCTGCAAGGTCACTGACAGGTGGTTATCTCATCAAATCAGCTCTCAATTAACACACGAAAAAGGGGATCATGGGGATCAACGGGTATCGCTTCGGAATTGTTTGCTATATAGAGGGCGCAAGTAGCTACAAGTAGTGCAGTGGGGCTTTAACTACCTGCCGACTCGAGGTTTCAAAAGATATTTGATGCATCCAAAGAGTTGCAATAGAGATCGTACTGCCTCATGATCAGCCATTGTAACAACAAGGATGACACAATAAATGAGTATTATCTTAAAACTTGATGGGAGATGTCTTCTAAAGTCCTACTTTGTGTCATTTGCCCTACAATGCAGGAATGAAGTAATCATCTGAGATCTACCTCTTGGCACAAGGTTTAATGATATACATGTATCTGGTTAGAATCTGGAAGAATGTTTTTGGCCCCCAAATCTAGAATCGCCACTGCAGAAGAATATCTAAGAGTAATTGTGTTGATGCCTATGAAGGTGTTCATTCTAGGAACTGTCTTACAAGGTGGTGAAGGAGAGCTTTTGAATTTTGACTTAATTTCAGTTTCAACAACGGTCAATTTATGCTGGCCTTGATATCAATCGGGACCTCTGTGAAAATGTTAGTGTAGAGCTCTGAATAGTCTATGAATGCCTCATAATGAAAAAAAACTAGCTGCATGAATGAAATTTCATGTTAATTTCAAATATGTCTTACTACTCTTATGCAATTAAGCAAAGAGGATTTGCTTATACTTTTGAAGTATGGGTACAACAAATACTTTGGATAATTCAATAAATGCAACAAATTCAATATTTATATATTATGTCAGACATGAATCTTTATTTTGAACAAAGACCATATTGAGCAGTCATGCTTCTTTATACAAATACAATTTCATAACATTCCATAGTTTATCTTATATACAGTTTTACAAAAGAAATCAGAAATTGTACATATTCAGACAAAATTAAATACTGCATACCCTTTCTTTATGACTGGATAGGGCATATGAGAGGATTTCTTTTTCGTAATAATCTTAACATCGCATTTCACAAAATAAAGTGTTTTGTCACGAGCCTGGTCAAAATATTGTTTGGTTGACATCAAAATTAGGTTTTGTGCCCTTCAAGTTGCAATGTTCATGTATGCTTACCGGTATGGGAAATATAGAAAGAGTAACATACTATTACATCGAGGTTACAATAATCTGGAAACTAAAATTTTAGCGAATGGACGAGGAATTACAAGTACAACATTGGTACACAGACATAGTGAACTGTGTTCATCAAATTTCATTCTTTTCATTCCGTAATTAAAGTATTTCTGCAAAAAAATTATACAAAAAAATTTAGTTAAGAACTGAAAGTGAGAAATCAATTTTCAATAAAAAATAATAATTATAATAGCATTACTGTTTAGGTACCGTACTTGTTTTATGAAAATAATTCTAGTCACAAAATTTCTTTCAGATGGAAATATATTGTTGCATTTCATTCTTATGCCAAATATTTCTCAATAATTTTGGTGGAAGGGGGGGGGGGGGGACAAGTGAATGAAGAATAACAAAATTGACCAGTTTCCACTTCAAGAACTGCTGGAACATGAAATCTCTTCCCCCCCCCCCCCACCCCCAAAAGCCATAGGTATGGAGCTTGGGCTATCTTTCTCAAGCACAATGTAAGCTTTTCACTTTATTCTTCACGTCGCTTCCTATGAAATATTGCAATACCAGTATCTTAACTTACCTGAGCATGCATGGACAGATCATGGTAATTTCCTTTCTCAAGAACTTGTCTTGAAAATTAATTACTGTTAAGCACAAAGTATTGACTGTCCCTGATGACAATATCCATGACATAATTGTAATTTCAAATACTATAAAAGGGTACCGGTAAGTCAAAGATATTTGGTCGTTTGGTGTCTCAAAGTCCAAGAATTGAGCAGTTCTAAACATAAGCTGACATGAAATGAGTCATTTCAGTTTACCTCTTGTATTTCTTACATTGTAATGAATACTACTACTAATATGATCATTAGCTTTGTGCTTCCTAAATTTTTCAGAGAAAAACAATCTTTCTTGCAGATTGATTAAATAATAAATTAAAGCAAAGGTAACATGATGATGATTGATAAATAACAGCTGACGTATCTTACAATTAAAAATTAGCACCATGTTTTATAGTGTCCAAACTTAATGTGCAGAGGGTGGGGTGGGAGGGGAGTGGGGTGGGGTGGGCACCCCCTGGATCCGCCCGTGATAACAAATCTGTACTAAAGAGATGGGAGATTGTAAGTTTGTGCATGATTAAAGGACTTGCGATCAATCCGTATTGATTGATTACAAGACAAAGCCTAAAGCTCTATTCAAGCTTCAGACAGTTTTATTGCTCACTACTTCCATAGAGTGTTATTTTTGTTGGTTTGTTTTGTTTTTCTTCTTCACTCCGAGGAATACTGATTGATATAGACATGAAAAGAAACAAATCCTGCATGGGATATGACAGCCAATATATCTCGAGCTCTCATCCCAACAAAGAATAATGTACAGGATGTATATCATCCATTCACATTGATAAAGTATGGCACAATCTGGTGGCTTCTCCCCGCCTAGCCCACTTCTTGAAATGCAATACATCATGAAGGCTAGAGAGTGTGAGCACATACTAATATTCAAAGCCCTTGTGATTCTCAAATCTCAATAAATGATTTGTCATCACTAACCTAAGCTGCCTATGGCTTTGTGTGAAGACATGAACAATGTTACGCAGGACACAGATTTATAGATTGATTTATCGTCTTGAGCCACACGGTCATCAACTTGTAAACTTTAAGACAGAGTCGCTCCAAACACACAATCCAAGCTGCATCCATGATACATGAGTATGAACAGATAGAATGTGATCTCCATTTAGACTGTTGGGTACAGTTAGCACATTGTAGCACAATTAATGCCCATCATGGAGAATGGTAAATAATCCATCTGAATTTCATTTTGTGACCTTATGTTGAAGAAAGCACCACATGTAGATTCTCCTTTCATCGTCTTATGCAAACATGAATTAGACTACCACAATACTAGCTTAAAAGTTTATCAGATTAGGGGGTGAGTATATATACGTCCTTACCATTCCACAAGGTGTAATTGTCACTATAAAGAATAAACGTATATTTTTAATAAGTAAATTGATTTGAAGCATATGATCATACCGACTTTAAATTTTGCCAATACTCCATGACATAACCACTAAAAGGTGGAAAGTTTATGTTGGGGGGAGGGGGGGGGGGGTTATGAAAATTAATTGACAGGGTAGATTTACAGTGTATTGTGCACTTTATATATATGGTACATGATTCATTTCGAGGCACTAAACACACATTTTGCAGACACGGTCGTTAAAGGAAGTTGTTTTTTCTTTTTCAAAGTAAGTGTAAAGACACACAAGAAGAAGGCTCAAGCATGGACGTGTTCAGAATTGCACACTTTTCAAATATGTGCACCAGTATGGTAAATTGCCACTTGGTCTACAACTTGGTCTAATGCCATTTGGTCCAAACCTAATTTCCATACATGGTCCAGTGATCATTTTTCCTGACAGGCAATACGTTTAGTAGGCCATATTGTCAACTGACTCATTTGGTCTACCTCATTGGTCTTGCCCCATACTAGTCTTCTTTTATGCATTTCATATGGTAGTAAAGGAAATCAGTCTTAACCTCACTACCTGCAAGGCAGAATGTTCATTAAATGAAATGATAATTGGATCGTATGTATAGAGTAATACAGGTAGACAAATGGATAAGGACAAAACGAAATAATATGAACTAGGTTAGATATCAGATGACAGAAGTTAAAGACCAACTGGCAATAAACCACCGGTACACGACATCATTGCTCCACATAGAATGATCGTTTCACAGATAGCTGTACACAATTCAGACGTGTAACGTAGAGGAGTGTGGACGATGCCAGGGTTATCTCTTCTTATCTGTGGAGTAGATGGAGAGGAAGGAGTCTCGGCAACCAGCAGCTAGATGGAGCTAGGAGACAGAACATAAATGAAGAGATGATGAGAGTAATGATAGTGAAACAGTTATCAGTTTAGCTCATAATAAGGATGGAAATATACTCTACATACGGTGCCAAGGTTCTGGCATTCCCCTCCCCCTCTTATTTCAGCCTTTAGATTCAATACTAAGTATTTTAATAAAGTACTCTTTGGACTCTGTAATGATAATGTCGTTTATACTTTCTCAACTGTATCTTGCTAATCAAGCAGTATGGATATATATATATCTCTCTCTCTCTCTTGTATATTGTATCCCCCCCCCCCCCCCTCCCCTGACTAAATAAAACAAATTCACATCACATGTACATTCTTTCTTTTTTTCCTCGTTTTTTTTTTTTTTTATTCTTCTGGTACATCTAAAACCTTGTTTATTACCCCATCCCTGTGTACCGTTCCCCCCTTTCACATACACACACACCCATACACTTGTGCATTCTCTTTCCCTCTCTCTTTTAATCCTTGGTGGGGCCACATCCTCTATCGTGGAAAACCTCAACCAAACTTTTCTCTCTATAAATAACCCAACTACTCTTACTTTGAGCCTTGTCTACAATAAAACTCCAAGGAAGTGTTTCACAAAGACTAAGATCGACTTTAAGTCGAACTTAACTCTAAGTTGGACTTAAACATTATGGAGAGCCATTTATAGCCTTAACATTAATTATGTTCAAAAGCAGAAATTGAAATATTTTAGTCTTTTCATAAATTCCACATCAAGAACTTGAAATCTCTCATGATAATAGAAAACATGAATGATTTGAAAAAACATTTTATGCCTTTTAAAATTACTTTTACAAAATATTTTCGAGGATGCTAATGGCTTTCCATAATTGATAAGTCCCACTTAGAGATAAGTTCAACTTAGGATCTTTGTGAAACACCCCCCTGGCATTGGTTTCCCAAGGGGCATACGAATCGTGGTCATAAATCTACAAAATGTACCTTTTTTGATAGTTCATTATTGAAGGAAAAAGTATCATCTAAATATCATAATTGAGAGATCAATGGTGAAAGCAATCAGTGGCATGACTTAAAGTTGATGTGAAACACCCTCCTGATCATATACCCCAATGTTGATAATTACCTTGTAAGGATGGAAGGCCAGTGTGCTAACCGGGCCTATCCTCTGCCCTATAAACCCATCGTAATACTTGATAGTGCTTAGTGAGTCTCCATGCATGTTGTACACATTGATCTGCTGGTTCTTGTACCCACTGTCAATCAAGATAGAAAGAGAAAACATTGTACTTAATCATTAGCGATTATAACAGATTTGAAGTATGTATTGATGTAACATTTAAATTCTAAAACAAAAGCAAGGTTAATGAAAAACGGGTAAAAGCTTTGAGTGATATACTAAGATAATGTTTAAATATTATATGTATATACAAATTATGTTATTGTGAATGTTGTAGATATGTGAAATAAAGTTTCATGAAACAGAGTATACATGGTCCTTTGAAAGAGGGGTGGATGAGTTTCTGAGGATAATATTATTTGTCTGCAGTACGATTGTATAGCACTTAGCAGGCAAATGATATGTGTATCGTTAATGAATGCATAATTATGTTATATATTACAATTTGCATAGGCAGCTCGTACAGGTGTGCAATTAGTGTGTAATTGAATCATTCCAACTTGAACTTTCAACAAGACAACTACCATGGAGCCGACCGAAGTTGCCGATCTTGTGAGCACGAAAAATTGGAGAAAGTCAAACAGGGCTTCTAAGCCAGCTTGATTCATTGATTTCTGATAAATTAGGAACTTGTCAGCAGCGTATTAATGACAATCAGAGAGAACTTAGCGAATCTCAAATAGTGAAAATTGAGGAGATGAATAAGGTCGTGTACAAGTTCCGCAAACGTGGTAATGAAGAACAGTCATTGTCAGGCAATCCCACAATAATTGGGAGTCAAGAGGAATGACAGTCAAAATAATATGTGAAGTTATAGGACAGACCAACCAGTATCTAGTCATTGAGAATCACATTATGAGTCATGTTCAAAGAGGGCTTTTATTAGACAGGGTGTGTCTTGATCTAGAGGTTGTATTGAGGACAGATTGCATGGGAGTAGAGATTAGGGATTAGCTGATCCATTCATTGTAAAGCTCAGCTAATCCAAGACACCATCTGACCATCTCAGAAGGACCTCACATTTCCTATGCAACCCTTTGAGTACTTTTGTCTGACCAGATTGCACACAATCGACTGGGTATCAGCAGAGAAGCATAACAAGCCTTCCTGTTCTCAATCAGCCTACTAAAGGCGTCATTGTTTCTGTCATTTAAAATGAGTTAATTGGGTCTTTTGAAAGCAGTATTATACATTGTACAAGTGGGATCTTGTCTGACAGAGGATTTCCAAACTCATTCATAACAGTCCGGGGTGTCTGGGTGTACCTGATATGCCAGAGCGCTGAATATGTGGCTGCCAACTATGATCGTTGTAATAATGTTGGAGCGTTAGAAGCACCAAGGAGTGACAAACGTATACACTCTATAAAAAGCCAGCATTATAATCATTACTATCTACCAATATCAGCTGTATAAGTGAGTGTTAGAGATAGGTATATTTCAGAAGATAGAGTCGTTCTTACCAGGCAAATATTCCTGCATGTGGGTGGACTTCCATGGTGGTTAGATCTGGAGCTGTGTTGACTACCTTCACTGACTCGGTGAATCGAGGGTCCCAGAATCGGACATCACCTCCAAGACTGTATGATGAATAAATAGAGACAGAGTAATATATTTAGTCAACTTAAAATCTGGATTGTATCTCAAGCTTAAAGCTGATCAGTACTAGTTTACGGGAGGGATTAGAGCGCCCTGCAAGGTCACTGGACAGGTGGTTATCTCATCAACTCAGCTCTCAATTAACATAAGAAAAAGAGATTCATGGGGGACCAATGGTCACCGTCTAGGTAGTGTTTTCTATATAGATGGAGCAAGTAGCTACAAGTAGGACAGCTGTCTGTATCAAATACACTCACATTGAAGTCAAAATTATCATTATTATCATGATCATATTTAATTATACCTTATACACCTTCTAATTCATCGCATCAACATCCTCTTCAGATCTCCAGACCAAGAGTACCCTACATCAAAAAGCCTTTTCTGGCCACAGCACCCTTTTTGGAAGAACTTACCTTTAGACCTGAAAACTACAACATCTTTAGAGAGTTTCAATTCCAATACCCTTTTTTTATAGCAATGCTAGACACCAGAATATGGTACTTATTAGGTCTCTTATTTCTTATTCATTTTTCCTTGTTCACCTCTGTATAGAAATTCTAGATAGATGGCGCAATACAAATGCCATTCACCATCATTACACTTTCAGCTATAACCATCATCATTTACCCTTTCTCTCATCACCATTATCATTGATTATCAGTAAAACTATCGTCATCACTGTCCCTATCATCATTCTCATACTCAACAAAATAACAATTACAATCATCACCATCATCATCATCATCATTACCACCATTACCATACCACTGTTGTTATCACCATTATCTTCTTTATCACATCATCAACCACCATCAGCATCAATATTCTTTTCGTCATCGTCGTCTTCATCATCATCCTCACCATCATCATCTCCATTATCATATCTATCCTCATCACCATCACCACCACCACCACCACCACCACCACCACCACCACCACCACCACCACCATCACCACCATTGTCATCATAGCATCTAATGTTGAAGCTTTTAATGCAATATTAATTCACACAATGACTTACCCAGCACTGATAATCTTGCCATCCCCTGCTCCTTTCTGTAGATGAACATTAGAAACCCAGCTCTGATGCTCTCGTAATGTCATCACCCGACTGTAGCATACAAATTACAAGAAAATCATGTTAGACCATTCATTTACATGACCGTCCGAGTAGTAAAAACAAGCACAGAACAAAAAAGAGATAGAACTTTTGTAATTTCCAATCCTGTTTTATTGATTATAATAAAATAGCAAAATCACCTTCCAGAAAAACTTGATATTTTCTGAAAATATGACTTTTAGGAAATTATGGATTATTCAATATTCAATATTGAAAGGAGTTTTGACTTTATTGTACATGAGGGGATTTAACATGATTTAGAAATGAACTGCCTCACAGTTTAAACTACAAACAAAGTCACCCTCACATGGTATACATGAACCCAAACCCGGCACACCAGTCCACCTACCATTCTTGTGGAGCTAGTCTTCTGTCGTACAGCCTGACTGATCCGTCCCCGCACCCTGCTATAAGTAGAGACCTTCCCACTGAGTCACACGCAAGACTTGTAACACAGCTATCCGCACCTGTGGGTATATCCTGCACAACAGAATGGAGAAAATGGTTTTACTGATAAATGGAGAGGATGACTGTACATTTAGTTTTCATGGCGCATATATTTGTTTGTTTGTTTCTTTTATTCGTACACCATGTAAAATAATTGTTTACAGATAATAAAATTCAGTGGGTTACATCGAGATATAATACATACCGGTAGTAGGAACAGAGCATAAACAAACAAAAAAGTTTGAAGCGCAACATCCCTAAGATAATGTAGCTGATAATTATTAGGTTTAGATAGAACATTAAAATCATTATCAAAGTAATTGCTAATTTTCCAGGGTCCCATAAAACAGTCAATAAGTTATGAGGATATGGAGGCTTGATACATTAGATTTTCTAACCATACATTTACATGATCAAAAGTGTACATGAAATTAGTTCTTTGTGTTATCGTGTCACACAACCGTCATATGTATAAGTTTGCAGACATCCCATTGAAATGCTTGTATTAAATTTAACACATGTTTTAATGGGATGTCAGTGAACTTGTACTTATGATAGTTTTGTGAAATGAGGACCAGATTGAATGTAATGACTAGTTTAATCTAAATCCAAAATTCAATCACATCAAAATCAAGCGCTCTTTTTCTTTCTGCTATCATATGAATAGGAAACTTGAAGCATACCCAGAGGTTAAACATTTAGGATGGTATTCTCGAGTTTAGTCCTAATACTAAGTATGGAATGCGAAGTGTCCATATGAATTTATTTTTGAATAATTTGATATGTCCCTAAATTACCATGATAACATAAATATTTCAAAGTTATATTGTTGTTTATTAATTATCTTATTACATTTTATTTTAATTTAGTGACAGATTAAATTATTTAAAAACATATTCATATGGATACTTGGCATTCCATTCTTAGTCGGGTGATTAAACCATGGACTAAAGTTAGTCTGCTTTCGAGAATACCACCCTTAATGGCCTAGGCAGGTACCAACCTGTAGTTTGAGTTCTCTCTGGGTATCCCAGACCCGTATCGTCCTGACATCCCCTGAGGCTAGAAGCATCCCTGATCCCTGCTCCCAATCTAGAACTAGACCAGATCCTGAAAACAGAGACAACACATTGATGAAAGAAAATAATATTGGTGCCACAGGAGAATCAAATACAATGAATGTTAGTTGACTTCTAATAAATTTGTTTGAGAGTATTATCTTTTTTACTATTCAAAACCTTTTAATTAGACATGTCAGTACAGTGCCATCTCAGTTTAGAATAAAAAAGAGTTACAGGGTGCATATGGGAAAGGTTGGTTAGGTTAACAAAATATGGAAATAAGTTAAAAAATAGTGTCAAAGTCTTTCAAAGGTCTTTTGATTGCGACTCTAAATACATATAACCACTAATTATGTTATCCAATGAACTATGAAGTATTTGGAAAGATGTATCATAAATGCATTTACAATAATTGCCAATCTACCCACAATTATGCATTTCTCAGCCTACATAATGCTTGTCATTTTCATCTAAGTCTCTGGATTCTAAATCAGTGATCCTATCTTGAAACTTTAAATACTGTTTGCTTATGATCATACCTCTATTAGAGATAAGCATATCAGACAAGGCTTGCCAAGCTGTTACAAGCTCCACGGGCCTCCCGTCTGGCGTCCAATAATTCCTCCATATACGCACTGATCCGTCGTCTAAAAAGAAGGAAGGAAAACATCAAAAGTATGAATTAGCAACCTTGCAAGACTATGATGACAAACCTGATTAAAAGTGCCATCATGATTTGAATGGGAACTTACTTACTCCAGTCATGATTAGCGCTAGGTTGTGAGAGTTGAGTATATCCATACAGGTGATCTTAGAAAGCTTGTTCAAGTAACTAGGATAATCGACTAAGCTATCATGACTGGGATGATTGACTAAGCTAAAATGACTATCATGATTTTAATAGGAACCTACCTGCTCCGGTCATGACTAGCGCCAGGTCGTGAGAGTTGAGTATATCCATTGAGGTAATCTTTGAATGCTTGGGGTTCTTGTTGAGGAAGTAGTTTAACCTTTCACCACTCTCCCAGTTCCATACACTGTAAATGATAAATAAGAATAGTTTGTGAAGTATGAAACAAATCTTAATAAATTTCCTTAAAGACAATGATCAGTATGAGGATCACTTGGTTATTTGAATGATTTAATTACTTGAATGATATCTTTAGTTTGGACAATACAAATTATTGTTTTACAGACAGTGACATACGAAAGAAAGGTTTGGAAAATCTTGCACTGACTGGAAGAATCGAGGGGTGGAGGAATAGGGGTAGAAGGAGGATTCTATGGATGAGTAGCTTAAGAAGTGGATCTGTGAAAGTGGAATTGATCTCAGGGGAAATGAATTACTTCATAGAATATGGGACAGAGAGTTGTGGCACTTCATGGTCGCCAACATCTCAGAACATGGCACGTAGAGAGAGAAAGAGAGAGACATTAAAATATCGGAATTCTTTTATTTTTAACATTAAAGATCAAAGATTGTTGGACCAGCACAAGGTAAAAATGCTGAATACTACAGTGAACATTACTAACAAGTCTATTAGATTTTAACATTTTACTGATTGGCCAATTTTATGATTTTATATGTATTTTTTTAACAGGTTTCATTTATTTGTTTTTAATGTCAGAGTAAATGTAGCAAGATTTTGTGAAAATGACACGTTTTAATGATGTTTGGTCACCTAAAGTGACTATCAATTAATCTACTGACAGTACTTCATGGTTGAACCAAAACAAAACTAGAAAGAATTGAATGACAATTAGGCTTGGATATATTGTCAAAACATTCATTCATTTGTAAACAGGGTTATCCAGAAACAAAATGAACCATGGGGGTGTTTCACAAAGATCCTAAGTTGAACTTAACTCTAAGTTGGACTTAAAAATTATGGAAAGCCATTTGTAGACTTTTTATTAATTCACATCAAGAACATGAAATCTCCTTGATAATAGAAAATATGAATGATTTGAATCAACGTTTTATGCATCTTAAAATAACTTGTACAAAATATTTTCATAGATGCTAACAGCTTTCCATAAGTGTTAAGTCCAACTTAGAGATAACTTCAACTTATGATCTTTGTGAAACACCCCCTGGTGTTAGATGACTTACCATACACCTTCCCTGTCAGCTACGATAGCATGGGGGTTGAATGGATGGAACTTAACCACATAGGGTACAGCAGAGTTCTTGTTGATGAAGATCTGATCGTCTAAATGACAAGATTCTGGTTGGAAATAAAAACAACGAACACACTAAAACAATGTCATTGGCAATTTATGATTCAGATTAATTTTCTCTACTTCGCACAAAATCATGCTTGTAGATGTAGGTTTCCTTTTTTGTGCACATACATGTATAGTCAACAACATGATGTTAGAAAAAAATAACGGGGAAAAAAAAGGTATATTATAAAGAGGTTTGCGATAGAGAATCCTCCCCATCCTTCATATTCTTAAGTACCTTTTCTACTTTTTTAACCTAAATCAAAGGGGTTGTGATTCCCCCTCCTTCCCCCTCCCCCCCCCCCCCCCCACCCCCAAGGCTCTATTTTGTCAAAGATGTAGATAGGGTTAGGATAATGGTGAAGGTTAGATAAAGTGTTTAGTTCAGGGTTGTAATACAGAATTCAGTCAGTGTAAGGAACTTGCAGCACAGTATGTGTTGTACAACCTACACACATTATATCCCTCTATATACATGTACTTACTGGCTTTCTTGAGTTGTTCCCTCGTCTCATTGCGTATCCTGGCGTTGCGTACAAACCTCCATTCTCTCATGTGATGTAGACCACTGAACGGATCCATCTCTTCTGGAGCCTATGGGTAAATCAAAGAGAAGATCGGAAAAGGAATAGTAAAAAAAAAATTGAAAGAGATTTTTATGCTATCTATCTATCTGTTTGTATGTCTGTCTTTCTATCTATCTGTCTATCTAACTCAGAGATGCCAACCTCTTGACACAAAAAAAAAAAACAGACTGAGTTTCCTAAAAAAGGTTTTTGTGAGAAGAATCAGATTTTCGAGAAAAGCCGACACTACCACTGGCCCGTCGGCCCCGGGCCAGTAAAATTTCAGAAAAATGTTTTACTGGTAGGTACGGTCAAGTAAAATGTTTGTTCTTTCATTAAAATTTAATGAGAAAATTGTAAAGCAAATTTTTTGTTGGGGTTGCGGGGGACTACTTGTACATGTTTCTATGCAATTTTGTTGTTTTTATCTGTGTCTATCTATCTATCTATGTCCCATAGCTTGGAAGCTGTTGAATTGGGGCGACAATAAAAATGGACCTTTCTGTCTTTATTCTTTAAAAGCCTGTATGCACTAGTTTGGCCAGGAGGGATTAGACCTCCCTGCATGGTCACTGACAGGTGGTTATCTCATCAAATTAGCTCTCAATTAACACAAGAAAAAAGGGGGTCATGAGGGACCAATGGTCACCATTTAGGCATTGTTTGCTACATGTATATAGAAGGCGCAAATAGCTCTAAATAGTGCAGTGGGGCTTGAAGTGGCCCAAACATGTAGAGCAATATGTGCAGTGCTTCGTTACTGCAAAGAAAATGCGCTATATCAAATAACTTTTTGGATTGGGTTGGATGTCTGAACTGAGGAATGGGGGGGGGGGGGGTGTGGTTGTTACCTGACAAACATTCATAAAGACATCACATCAACCTTACCTTCATGACCGACTGAGCAAAGTACTTGCAGCACCAATCAGAGAACTCTGTAGTGATGGTGAGATTCTTGGTAGTCATCACATCTTCTACCTCCTCATACGTCTGCAAATCAAGATAAGAGAAGAATAGACTTAAAATAGTACTGATGGCTAGTAAAAACAAATGGAGAAATGATAAAACATTTCCAAAACATGTAGGATCAATACAGGACTGCCTTGCCATCTTGTATACTGGTGATGAAGATGAAGATGAAGATGAAGATGAAGATGATGATGGTGATGATGATGATGATGATGATGATGATGATGATAATGATGATGATGATGATGGTGATGATGATGATGATGATGATGATGATGTTGGTGATGATGATGGTGATGATGATGATGATGATGGTGATGATGATGATGATGATGATGGTGATGATGATGATTATGATGATGATGGTATAAATGTTGGAGTTGGAGAAGGGGGAGGGAGGGGACATCCCATTAGACCATCCCATTAGATATAGGGCTTATGGTCTGTAGCTTGATCATTGTTGATGACATTATTGTTTTGTTGTTGTTGATGTTGATAATATTGATGATGAATATGCATGAATCAAAGCTTTGGAGAACCTATGGTCTTTATGCCCTATCCAAACATCTAGGGAAATAAAGAATGAATGAATGATTTACAGGTACTAAGCACTGAACCAGTTGGTCTCCATGATAAACTGGTGGTGAAGATTTCAAGGGGGTACAAGACGAGTTGGAAACTTACCACGCTTGGTCCCCTGTCGTGCAGCTTCCTGGTCCTGGTGAATCGCTGTGAGTGGAGGGTGGGGGATGGGCCAGGGTACTGGGCGTCGATGGGGCCAGGGTTCTGGGGTCTCTCTGGCGGAGGCTGCTCCCAGGGCTTGATGGGGACGGGTCTCATGATCTCATTGGGGATGTTCAGGGGTGGTGAATCACTGAGAGAGAGAGAGAGAGAGAGAGAGGGGGAGAGGGGGAGAGAGGGGGAGAGAGAGGGAGAGAGAGAATGAGAGAGAGAGAGGAAGGAGAGAAGGAGAGAGAGAAAGGAGAGAAGGAGAGAGAAAGGACAGAGAGATTTTGAGAGTGAAAGAGAGGGAAAGGGAGGAGAAAAAGAGAGAGAGAGAGAGAGAGAGAGAGAGGGGGAGGAGGGAGAGAAGGGGAGAGAAAGGATGGAGAGATATTGATAGTGAGAGAGAAAGGGAGAAGAAAGAGAGAGAGAGAGAAGAACAAATTTAAAAAAAAATAGAAATGAATGAGATAAATGAAATAAAATCATTCCTCTCTCGATGACTAAGTCAAATCCCTTTCTTTAAACAGAGTTGGGAGTCAATTTAGAGTTCAAAAAAATATATGAATCAATGCCAAGCTTCCTATCATTAGACCTCGCATCAACTTGCAATTGATTGGACAGGGCAGTCAACTTCTACAGAACTCACGGCAATATCAATTCACAATTAAGCTGTAGTTGCCTTTACACTGTAAAGGTCATCATCATTACTGGCTTTTGCCCAAGGGATTGCTATGTAGAAGGCAGGTGATAAACCATCCCTGCCAACTCCCAACTTCTAACTAGTCTCTTGGCTTGCTATACCTACCTCATGTCTTGTGGTGGTGATGACTGTGAGTTCCTGGTAGGACTAGACGGCGCAGAGCTTGTCTTTCTGCTGTCCCTCACCAGCTGTGGTTTGGCAGAGATGGTTGCCTGAGACAAGCCAGAAGAGATTTATAAGATTCAAGAGTCATAATTCATTTCTAAAAACATTTACCAAGAACTACTGATTTTGCCCTAATCAATTTAATAAAACATGAATAAATAAAATATAGCTTACAACATATTGTATGTTACATGTCATGAAGCATATTATGCATGTACCTGAAATCGAAAATGCAATTTTACAAACTTACGTATATATTTTTAAACACAGAAGAGGAGCAAATCCATAATAATATGACAAAATAAGAACCAGTTTTGAGTAATGCTTCAGCATTCCATTATAATGCAAATGAAGGTAACTGAGAGGAGAAGAAATAAGCATTTAGATTGATAAGCAGACCTGCCAACCTCTGGAGTTCAAAAACTGTATTCTTTAGTCCCAAAAGTTGTATTTTACTGACAAAAGTTGTATTCTTGAAAATAAACAAGGATTGTTACGCTGATCAATGCCTCTTACAGTTTCTACCTACAAGAAGAATTTTTGTATTGAGCATTGGTTGAATATGCATGATTTTGTCATGACTGGTGTGTTCGATGAACCAATGAACATCCCCAAATTGCCGATGTGAGATGCTTGTAGGATACTTTACAGGACAGAATGGACATTTCGCCATTGAAAATGGCGGAAGCACACACAAAATATTAATTTAAAAAAAAAAAAAAAAAAAAAAAAAAAAATCATTTTTTTTTTTCTTTTTTTTTTTGAAAATCGTATTTTATTAAGGAAAATCGTACTGTCGTATTTGCTTCTAAAAATCGTACTAAATACGACTAAATCGTACTGGTTGGCAGGTCTAGATAAGGCCTCACAATTTTCAGTAATTACAAGAACTCAAGACTTCTCTGATTTTGTTGTTGAAAGCTTCCAAGTATGAATTATTTTGCTGTGTTCGTGACCGACCTACCTTGAGATTGATCGCATTGACCAGGGTCTGGGCTAGCTCCTTGACCTTTGGATGGGGGTCATGGGTCAAGAGCAGAATGACCCTCCACATCTGGACAAAGACGTTGGATGACAGGGAGGAGCTTGACGGCACTCTTGGTAACTGAACAAAAAACACAAAGAGTAATGGACATTGGTTAATCTTAATAAAGATAGGTGACACTGGCTCACTGGCAGAAAATAAAGAAAATTATATAGTCCTCAAATTTAATATCATAAAAATTGCCAGGATGAATCATGAATGCAACATTCATTAAAAAATAATGCAACTTCCTATGAATATTCATAATTCATTTGTAACCGACCAAAAACTTCAGATAAGTTGTAGGGCGACTTTTACACCAATGTGTGCACACTGGATCACTGGGCAAATTGTTTTGGTGGTTCTTTAGCAAGCTGTGAATTTGTTGGTTGCTCTGAATAATTACACATGCAAATATTACAGTAGATATCAAGGTTTCCCGTAATTATTTTGGCCATTTCATCTTCAATGATTTGTTTTCACCCGTCACCTCTGAAACATTGCACATGGAAGGAGTCACCTGCTGTTACCTGCACATGCAGATCTTTGGAAGAGGTGTTGTGGTCTAGTGGACAAGTCTCCGGACTGTGAACCACAAGGTACGGGGTTCAAATCTCTGCCACAATACCGACGTCCTTTGGCAAAGATGTTAACCTCCATTTGTCACACTCCACCCACGCGAGGTAAATGTGTACCTAGTAGGATTATTCCTTGCAATACACTGAGCGCTGATAACGGCTCCTGGAGCTATAAAGCCAGGGTAATAATTTCCAAAGCTCTTTGGAAGCGCATAGGGATGTTCTATCACAACATGTTATGCTCTATACATGAGTGGAATATCAATATTTAAAACCCCAGCCACAAATGAAATTTCCACATCACATTGGAACTTGAAACAAATGTTGGTAAACTCACCCCTTTTCCGTTAAGGGTTGGAGTACTAAGGAAGTCCCCACTGCCCGGTGAAGAACTGCTGCTTGACGGTGACTTGGCAACTGTGGCACCTGGGTCAAAGGTCAGAGTTCAAAGGTTAATTGTTAGTTTCTTCTTTTTTGTCTCTCCTGCATGAAAAGTGCATGCCATAACTGCAAATATATCTGAAATGACTCTTTTTCCACTATGTTGATATTGTAACAATGTTGCAGTATGAATTATGAAATTGGGCAGGAATGTGTCAAAATTGTATTTCATTGCATGCATTGTGGCCCTTCATAGCTGTAGATCCTTGCATGATGAAAGTTTACATGACTGGGTTAAAATATAAAAGGCATAGATACACAAGAGGCTCTTTGCAATGAACCATACTTATTTCAGAAGATGAAGCACTTTTATACAGAAAATGTCTAAAATGGCATGGAAGATTCAGTAAAAAAACAAGAAAAGACAAAATCAGTTGATTTCTATTATCAACATTTTCCCTGCATCCTGAGCAATAATGATGAGGAATATTCTGAACAAATATAACTAATTGTGAGGCTAATTGCATGCAGCCAGGTAACAGGAAAAAAGATCAGTTTTTATGCAAGTTTTCAACATTTCAACTTGATTACAATAAAGATCAAATCTCTTCTCATGAACATTTCAATTACATCTGAACAGTATGTTCATATTATTTTTGTTTTATTACTGCTGGCTATGAAGGACTATCTGCCTTGATGGAGTGACATGAAAAAAAAATAATAATGCTCGATGTTAAAGAGACTTAATCCTTCAGTAAACAATTTCAAATGTTGAAAAGTAGTACTTTTGTGTTACTTCAGTACACTGACATTTCCACAAATAAAATATTGCAACTTAACAAACACAAAAGTACAATACATATATATATATGTATATAGAGGTTAAGCACTCAACATTGATATTTGCACACGTGTGTATAATACATTATATATTCATATATAAATATATATTATATCATGTTATAGAATATAACCTATCATATGCTGCACACCTACAGTGAGATAATAGCAACTAACTTTCTCTAGTACCTGTAAATTTTCACTGAAATAAAAATAAAAATGTTTTCCAGTTGTACATACAGCATGTTATAATACTAAAGCACAAAACAACAACATTTTAAGAAGACGTAAGGGATGTGCAATGTATAAGCTGGGACTTTTCACACCGACACCTCAGTTTCACCATTTCTCATTGTTTTTGTTTATTTTTTAAGGTCTGAAATGCACCATAATTTGATTTTTTTTAAACAGACAGCAACATCAGCAGGATAGGCTACATATTAGGCATGCAAGCTTAAAGCACATATATCTCCACAAGACATGAAACATAAACTTTTATCTTTTGTGTCACGTTCATAAATATTAAACATTGAAATGTGAATGGAAATAATCAGCTTCAATTGTCATTTTGGTGATAAATAGATGTACTTCACTCTTAAAGATTCTTTTTGTGCTGTTTTTTCTTTTTGTGAGAGTGATTTTGCATCACGATTAAAGCATGCTCAATAGTACTTTTGATGCACCGTGCATGTAACACACAATGACAAACTATGATCCCAAATGCAAAAGGAGCATTTTAATCAAGTTTGAAAGCTTTTGTGCGCCATACAAGAATATGTAAGTCAAGATACAGTGTATTAGCTCTTTTGTTTTGTTAGATTTAAACTAGATCACAACCAAATCAAATCAAATCAGATTCATATTAATAATTAAATCAGTAGCAAGACACATACCGGTAAGCAAATAAAATTGCAGTACATGTACATAGCCTTGCAAAAGCAACAACAAAACAGTTAATCTATAATTAAAAGAGTGTTATGGCAAATTAAGCTTTAAATAACAGCATTATTAAAAAGTGATTACAAAAGGGCCTCCTTCCCCATATAACTTCATATTGCATAGCTTAATAATGGGCTAATAAAGATTTGTTGTTGATGCAGATGCCAAGTGATGAAACAAGGTGTGTGGGTAGCAGAAATGAAAAAGAATATTAATGGGGGTAAATTAATGTGAAATCAGATTTAAATAGTTTGATTATTAAAAGTTTGAAGAAAAAGAAGGTAATTGAGAGGATATGGAAGAAGAGGAGGAGCTAGCAGGTTTAATCTTAGTGTTGAGATGAAGAGTAGTCTCTGAAATTGGATTTTTTTTTTTTCAAAAAGAAGAGGATGGAAGATGAAGTACATGAAATTAATCTGGATGGGGAAAAGATGAGAGGGAAGAAGATAGCTGGCGAAAGTAAAGGAAAAATTTGATTGAAAATAACAGAAAACATTAAATTTCTGAATCAAAAATAAATACAGTGGAACTCAATAAGAAAAAATACCATGGAAAATATCAGCATCGGGTGAACCACAATGATTTGGAACATTTTTTGGGCCACATTTCCTTGCCCCTTCAAGGTGGAAATTGAATCAGATTCAAGATGACTCGTGAATAAAAAAAATTGCACAGATGTTCCGACTCCCTCAAATTTTCGTAATTATTTCTTGATCTGGTAATCTTTGCTGGTGCAGCTTGAAGATCATCTTGATTCATTGAGTTTAATACCACACAAAGTTTGAAAATCCAAACAATTTATTTCAGTTGTTATTTGTTTGCTTGATTGATTTCCTTTAAGTGGTTCTAGTGCAAATTCTGCCATGAGGTTAAAAGGAGATTAGATCCTAGAAATGATCCACATCACTTGTAAAAAATAATCACCACATTATAACTGGGTTTAAGCGGCAGGTTGACTGTACATGTACATAAAAGCACTATTGATCAAAATAAAATAAAATTGGTTAAATGAAGGCTTGGATAAAAAGAGAACTACGCTGTATTGGATGAAGATGATGTTAAACATGCTTTGATATGAAATGTCTACAAACTATGATTATGATACATAAAAAAAGAATTAAAATGAAGTTAGAAATCAAAATGAAATGAAATTAGGTAAATGGAAAAAGGATTATGGAATATAAGATATGAGAACAAAAATCATATTATGACACATGCTCTGACGACAAATGCTCCGCAGTCGATTGGCAATATTGACAGAATTCTTAACTTTCAACCCTAAACCCGACACTATACCTAACCCTAACCTTATCTTACACCTAATCTAAAACCGGGGGGGGGGGGGGGGGGGGGGCATTTCATCAACATTTGTCCGCTGACAATTGTCAGCGCTGACTAAGTATGACCAATCAGAGGCCTAGAAAGTAATCGGAGACAATAAAATTGTCAGTGAAAATGATATAAATCAGTGAAACCACTGACTAATTGTTTGATGAAACGCCCCCCAGGGCTCTAACAATTTCCATATAGGGACCAGACTTAGGGTTCTTTATGCATGCCAAAACACAATTGAAACCCAATCCCTAACCCTAAATCTTGACAAAATACAGCATAGAGCAAATGCCACTGGGGCACATGTCGTCAGAGCAAGTGTTGGATCAGCGACAAAAAATAAGTAATGGAATGAACAAGGTCCAGTGATACCGTTGAGGTGCTGCAGGTTGTTTCCGCTGGACGTTCGGGGGAGGATAGAGATGGACTTCCGGCTGGCGGTGTTCGTGACGGCCACTGAGGCGCGACGTAAATGGTCTGAAATAGGGGAGGCCATACCCAAGTTGTGAAACCCATAGTTTACAGTTTATTGTTAAATACTTAAATTGAGCAGAAGACTCTTGCTTTCGCCTTAAGTCTTGTCAAATTGATCCAAAATGAATTACTGTACCTATCATTGATTTATGAACGTGTCATTATCACAGGACTTTCAAATTTTTATCATTTTAACCAAATTTGGATAGTTCCTTGTTATTTTCATTTGAAGTTTTTTTTTCGTAGTATTACTTACTGCTTGATCATATCTAGTTTATTTTACAATCCAAAATTTTCCCTAAATAGATTCTGAATACAAAAAAGGAAACACTTTGAAATCATTATGCAGTTTAAGTGAATCCATGTGTAATTAAGTGCAATGGGTTCATTCTACAAAAAAAAATGGAAGAAACTGGAGTGTAAGTCTTTTTTCTACAGAATACCCAAGGCAAACATAACAAATAACATGATACCACAAAACTGAACACTCCTCTGATCACTAGTATTCAGTAGATGAACTTTGAGAATGGATAATATTGATAGATCTGAGATGAAAGTCAACTAAAACATGAAATATTAATAACTTAAGCCAGCTTAAAGTAACATAAACAAGTGTTAAAATGTGACAATTTGGAAAATGATATATAAAATGACCTGAATTTGGCAAGCTGGAAGGAAAGATAGAGACAGATCATAATTAATGAGAAAACAGAATTGACATCAACATCGATGAAGTGAAGAGGTATTAATATACTTGAAAAATAGAAAAATTTTCAAACAAGGAAATGATATTATCATGGAAGAAAATGGCATCTGAGTATTAAACAAAACACTGTCAATTTCTAATCTAATCTAAAAATCACAACTTCTCTACATTGACAGTATAAATATGTTTGATGCGGCCAAGATTTTTAATATAACTAAAGTCTGCCTTAAGCGATTCACAAGGCAGCTTTTGAAGATTACATAATAGGTAGGAGGTAAAGCACCAAACAAGTTGACTTCCAGCTTTCTATCCTGTGAGGCTTCAATTGCTCAAAACTGCAGGTTACTCATGCAAGGGATAACTTCAAACTCATGCTCTTTCATTCAACTATTGCAAACAACAAACAACACTGCAACCAAGAATAACACATTCCAAGCCCATAAAGACAATACTACAAGTAATAATAATAATAAAAAATATGACAATTGCCACATTTTGTATCGCACTTAATACTAATACTATGTTTTTAAGTGTTACACATTGTAGTTATTAGTACCCGGTCACTGGATTCAATTGCTAATCTGCACATGATAGTGCACACACTTCACTCCCTGGGGAGTATTCCAGCTATTTAACAATTAACAAGCGCACATATGCCAATCCAACCATTAATATTCGCATCCTACTGGGTATCCATTGAACACCTGGGTTGAGAGTGGCATAAGTAGATTAATGTCTTGCCAAAGAACATTAGTGCTACGACAGGAATCCAACCGTGGACGATGTGATCAATTTGCTTCATTGCATTATATCAGCTTTTAGGTATTCTTTAGAGAGTAGAAAAGTCTAGACCACCACTCAGAAGAAAAAAAATCATTTGTGTTTTGACTTAATGTTTGCTTTCCAATTTCATGTGTTCTGTACTAGATAGACTTTAACTGCAGGATATATCTTGAAATAACATAAACAATGCATTTGTTTTTGTTTAGCTTTAGTAGGTAACTGAATCCTTAAAAGCTATATAAAAGCTAAATATTATTATTATTATTATTAATCCTTACCCAAGGATACAAATACAAGAGCTGTGCAAGAGTCAAATCAGATGTTAGAAAAAGTGAGACCAAAATACGATTCCATCCAATCTTCAGATATCTTTTCTTTTTCTTTTTGACCAGATGACACAACTCTCTGGCCATCATACTAAAGTTTGATTGGATTCTAATGTAGAGTTAACAGTTTTGGCTACAACTACAACATGGCATTTTCCATTACCAGTATGCAATTCCTATCATCTACGGTATATGTAATCAAGCTGTGCACAAAATACAGCATGTAACTACATCAAAATAGGTACCAACAACAAGCAAGGACTGTTCTCTCTGAGAGAGAGAGAGAGAGAGAGAGAGAGAGAGAGAGAGAGAGAGAGAGAGTTGTATTGTAGCTCTAAGTGACTGCAGCCAAAAGAAAATAATTTATAGGCCTCTAGCAAATTTAAGGACAAATGTAACTGAAAGGGTAATAAATTCAAGCCTTCATTTCTCTGAGAATCACTCATACAGGAGGCAATGTCCCTTTCAAAATGATAAAGCAAGAGTAGCCATATCACATTGCTATCATACAATTGACATATCTCCTGCACAGTGATTTACGACCTGCCTCCAAAAGTGACAAACAAGGGCCTAGTTTAATACACCCATAGCATATTGAGAGACATAGTTGTGACACAAACATGAGAATACACTCAAGGTTCAAGTCATGGAACTCCAAATAGTTCCCTCCCACATGCAATCTCTATGGGAGGGAAATATTTTGACGCTCCATGAATTGAACCTGGATTGCGTACGCATGCACTTGTCACAACTATCTCTCTCAATACCCTATAGTTACAACGACACTCAAATCAATGAAGGGGGCAACGGTTCACAGATAAAATCAGCACAATGTCCCAGCCACTGCTTGCTGTATAGACAGAATCACTGTGAATGGGATTCAGACAGTACATGCTTCACAGATACAGGAAGACACAGAAATGGTACTAACTAACCAACCACTTATTGGATGTTAATACAGGCTACATAGGATTTGATGTAAATCTTCCTACACTAAATCATAATTGGAAGCAAACATACGTTGTTGATGAACTCAACTACGGAAGCCGGAATGAAATGTCTCGACACTGAACGTTAAATTCACGATCTATTAAATGGATCCAATCCCTACATGGGCTGTGCATCTTGATCTAACTAGCTTTCTACTTGGAAAACAAAATCATATCACGGAAAATCAAACCATAAGTAATGATTTGTTTGGCTGAAATGGTGAAATGTCTTTTGGTCTAGCTACACTTAACATCAACTAAATTATCTAAATGGATCATCAGCCTACATGGACTGTGCATCTTGATCTATTAACTAGCTTTCTACTTCAAAGATAAAAATCATTATTAAAAATCAAACCAAAATCATTGATTTGGTCTGGTATAGATTGTGCCAAGACACACTCATACAGAAAGTTTTCCACAACTTCCGAGGGCTGTGCAAAGCGTGCATGTTGATCTAACAGACTTTCTATGTCAAATAAATAAATCGAACTGAAAATCAAAAATAAAATCACTGATGAGCTTTGCGATGTCAGCTGGGGTAAACACTGACATTTTTCTGTCTACCTAAACTTTTAAAAACTTGAATGAAATCATGCCATTCAGGGGCTTATTCCAAAACAAATATATCTATCTTTCCACTCACAAGAAGTAAATGTAAAGTAAACCAAAAATTGGTGGTATGTTCGACTATTGCGACAAGAAAGAACAGTGATAGATATTGTTAAGCTAATCTACAAAGGAAACCCATGTTCTACATGAGATTTAGATTTTGATCTAACTAGCTTTCAACTTAAAAGAGATCAGTAATTTGCTTGGCTTTAGAAGTTGGGATTAATTTTTTAATTTGCTGTCTGTCTTGATATACTCTAGCTAAAATCCATGATTTACATGGGATTTAAGCATTGATCTTACTAGCTTTCTACCATAGAGAAATCATAATAGAAAAGCAAACCAAAAAAGGTGATGTGATTAGTTTACAGCTGCTGGCGTGAAAATTGTTATTGTTTCTTATTTTGTTCACCGAAAGCCATATCTTAATACATCTACGAGATAAAAAGTATTCATAAATGAATCTAATCAGCTTTCTACCAGAAACGAAATCATAATAGAATCTAACTGAAAGTCAACCTCAATGTATTTACCAAAAAAAGAGAATCACAAATGAATCTAATTACCGTAGCTTTCTACTTGAAAGAAATAATAATAGAAAAGAAGCAAACCAAAAATCTGTGATGTGCTCTGCTATGGCTGCTGGGGTGACTGAACATTGTAATATTTACATTGAGAGTTATCTGTACCATTTGTATTGAGAGAGTCATGGACCACAAGCCACCCACCAGACGTGACTGCTGCGCTCCGTGGCGCCAGGTTCTCATCCGAGCTCTGCTCCTCGTCTAGCAGCTGCCGGGCGATGGTCGCAAACTGGGTCTCCGACTGCTTGATTAACTGGTAGAGCGCCACCACGAGTTCCTGTTGAGATATTGAAAATATGATTTGACAGTTTACTGATTCATTTCATTTTGAATAAATTGTGAGATTGTGAGGTAGATTGTGAAATGCAAGATATCCATCTTCCTATGGTGAACAGATTGAATGCACCATTAATGAGTTGTGATGAGTAAATAACGCAACATGTAGAGGCGTACTAAATCATTTATTTAACTATATCATTGCAAAATTCTTTTCTCACTCATCTGCTAAACTATAAATCATCACTCCCATCTCCATGCCTTACTTCTGTTAGCTTGCTATTTTGTTCACATTTCACTGCACGACTAACAGTATCACTTCACTACTAGTCTTCTAAAAACTCCTTCACCCTCATCTGATGCATAATTTAATTTCTAAACTGTCACACTCTATCATTCCTCCTCTCTAATAATAATAATTTGAATTTTTAACATCAGGCTGTAAAATTATGAGCTTTGTGTACTTGATTTGATTACCTAACTATATCATTATGGTTGGTGTTCAAAACATGGTCTCTTCTATCTCCATATTGATAAACTGCCTAACTATAAAGCTTTGTTACTGTATGTCACCTGCCTAACTGTACATCAGTTCCCTTTCATTTATTCAACCTAAGTAATATCAGTTTACTAACCTGCCTAACCATTTTACTTTCTCTCTTTAAACACATAATAGCACATGTCATATCAGTTCACTAATCTGCCTAACTGTTGCACTTTCAAAAGTTACCAGTGTACTCACCTGCCTTACTATTGCACTTCCATCATTGGCCACAGAAAGCAATGTAACTCCTATATTATGATTGATGGTCATGGCATGGTCAGTCCGATCTGTTCCATTGCCTATGAATGTTCCCAGAGCTATGGTTGCTGCAGCCCTCACCTGGTAACAAGAAGATATTAAAGGCATCGTTTAACAATGTTAAATCTGAGATGCAGATATCTATGTGTTATCAGTGTCTGTGATATGGTGTAATATGGAAGGCCTAAACAAATAGCGCTTCAAAATGATCATAAAGAGCCTCAAAATATTATTTTTTTTGAGTAACCAGTTTTACCATACCGGTACTCATTTTTCCCAGTAGACTGTAGTGTTTAGAATTTTTTTTTCTTTCAATTTCCAATCGTAAATATCTTGACAATCAGACAGGCGATCGGCTTGTAAAAGTTATGGAGTCCCTGACTGACCTAAAGGTTTATAATTTTCATTGCAGCATGAGCTTAATCCAGGATTTTGTTTCAGAATCTGAAACAAAGATACCCAATCCCTTTAAGATGATGAATATACCTTTAATCCTTAACACCTGAATATTCATTCTTATCTTGGTAATATTGTTAACGACCTACTATTATAAATTCCATTTACACAGCATTTTTGTATAGATTCAAGGCTCATACCAGAGCTTCAAATAATTACAATATCGTACGGATGGAATCCTATTTGATACATACTATAGCAACTCTCTCACACCCTGTAATAGGTTGTTAAAGGAGGTCCCGTGTGTAGGACAGCCACAATTTACGTATGTTGAGAACCATATCTGGGCCCTGTTTTGTGAAACTTATTCTCAATGACAAGATACAATAACTCTTTTAAAGCTACTGAAATTGTGGCATTTGATTGTCCGAGAGCAAATTTGCCATATAAATTTAGCATTTGTTATTTGACCTCCTCCCACTCCCTAAGAATCAACCTACCTCTGGTATAGGGTCATTGAGTAGCTTGTATAGCTTCTCATGAGCACTGTCCCTCACACCGCACCATCTTGCCGCATTGTAGTTGGTCCATACCCTGGCTATACACAGAGCTAGCCACTGTCTGAGTAGAGGGTGCTGGTCGTTTAGCTGCTCCAGACAGATCGCTATAACGTTACCCTGAAACGCTGCTTCCTGCACAATGCAAATTAAAATACAAGAGAAATAAATCCCCAGGGGGTGTTTCACAAAGATCCCAAGTCAAACTTAACTTTTAAGTTGGACTTAAAAATTATGGAGAGCCATTTGTAGCCTTAAAATAAAGTATATTCAAAAGCAAAAAATTCAAGTATTTTAGACTTTTCATAAATTCCACATCAAGAACATGAGATCTCCTTGATAGTAGAAAATATGAATGATTTGAATCAACATTTTATGCCTTTTAAAATAACTTTTACAATTTGTTTTCAAAGATACTAACGGCTTTCCAAAAATGTTAAGTCCAACTTAGGATCTTTGTGAAACACCCCCCAGTACTAATAAAAATGATTTTGGTTATTATTATAGTGCACATATCAACCACACTAGGTGCTCCAATATCACCTAGCTCTGCTAGGCTACTGATATTGGTGCCCACAGCATTCAGGGAATTCTTTGATACAAGTACTCATTTAACACCTGGGTGGAGAGTGGCAAATGCAAAGGACATTAGGGCAGTGGCGCGATTCAAACCATGAACCCTTTGATCCACAGTCCAATGACATATCTACTGGACCACGCCACCTCTACCAAAAGGTTAGGAAAATAGGGATTCTGGGTTTATTCTACTGCCACAATGATTGAATAAACCATACTACAAGGATCAACTCACAATCACATATAAGAATATAAGTTTGTCGGAACAACAAGTGTTGCCCTTAACACCTGAAAGTCAGCATCTCCATTGTTTCTGAGCTACCCCTTTACTATAAATGAATTTATGTATACCATTTATACCAGACTTAATATCAATTCCAAATCTACAATACCTTTTTTATAAAAAATATATGTCCAAAGAAATAAACCAGCAGTCACAAAAAAATTGTAGGGATCTCTTTCTTTTTTTTAAATGATGGTGCCCATCCTTGCAATAATCCTGATTATAGACAGACTGGTAATCAGTGAAATTAACAAGTATATAATATGAGAAGGGTTTAGAACAAACCTGTCCGTTCTGGTAATCCTCAACTATCATAGCTAATACAAAGGCAGCCATTGTTCTGTGCTCAGCCTGTAAGAAAAATGATAACAAATATTTAAATAAATTCATATATTAAAATAAATTCATATTATGGTCAATTACATGATGGTGGTCAAGCTGTACATGTACATGAACACTTGGTCAACTCTCTGTCTTCACCTACAAACGGATGGTGACGTTAAAGGTTGATCCCTAGACGTAAATTATCATATCCGATTGATACACGTCTGTAAAAACCCAATTACACAATCTGTTACAAATACATAGTTTTATCAGTGGCTAAATTCATTATCAGATGAAGTTGAAATCTATTCTCGATGCTTGATGTATTTCTTTTAAAAGATGAAGATTAATGACTGAACAAAGGACAGTTCTTATAGAACTTGAGACAAGATGCATCACAGCAGATTACAGTCTTGGAGACATGTCACTGACACCATCAGGTTCACAAGTCACTCTTGTACTGTGCAAAATGTTGGCTATGTAGAAATTGTCTTCCTATGCATGTAACAACCGTGTGGGCAATTGTTTGTCTCTGACAAAAGAAATGCTTTTGTTACAGTTTGTTCATATTCTGTAAGCTTGCATGTGAATTCTTTTGACATTTGTTTACACAGCTCACTGCAAATTCACTTCTATGAAAATACTTCTGAGAAAGATCACTATGTTTGCAAGGTTGCTTATTGCTGTATGATTGACAATAATGTTTGTCTTTTCAAAACCTTCTAAAAAACCTTGCGCAATTATAGTTCTACTCACCACCATGTAGGGATCCGCGAGAACGGAGAGGAAGTATTTGTGACCCATGTCTTTCACTAGATCTGCTTTACAAGACTGGGGAGGAAGAAAAGAAAGCATGTAATTATATTAACAAGGAAATCCTAATTGGAATCAAATTCAATGGAATTAAAAGCATAAATAGAAAAGATAGAATGACTAGGATTACCTCAGTATACATTTGTGTGGTGATATGACCACAAAAAACCCCCCCCAAAAAACAGTAACTATGACAGTAGAACATTAACAAATTGACCTCTAATACATGATACAAAGGGAAACCAAAGAAATCTGTACGTATTTTGTGCCATCTCAAAGATTAAAAGTAAAATGTTTGATCCTGATATCTCGAGGCAACATACAGCAAACAAACTGTGTGAAAGAATCCCTTTGCTTGAAAAAAGTAAACGGGAGTGGATAAAAGCTTGCCTACTACATTTGTAAGTGGGTAGATGCAAAATTACATTTTATGATTGCCCCAACCAATGAAAGTCTTCTGTATCAAGACATGCATTTATATTGAAAGCACACATAAACTATTGTGTTGATCATGACAAATGACTCGGATAGGACGTTAAATGGAGGCCCTGCATAGAGGAGAGTCACCACATTTGCATGTTAAGAACCCGCTGCACTATTCGTATAAGAGTAGGGGGAAACCCCATGGTAGTGGTCCACCTGCACACCCCCAATCAGTTATACCGGGAGGAGAGACCCAAGAGTTACAGTGATTCATTTCACTTTTTGCCTCCCAGGCACAGGTGACGCCCAATTAATAATAATAATAATGACAAGATTCAAACATGATTTCCAGAAGCCATCTTACCCTGTCCACCGCTAGGATCTTTGCCCAGATAAAGACAAGGAGTGGTCTCAGCTCCCTGGCCGAACTCTGAAGAAGCTTCAGGACGTAGGGGAAGATACCCACTGACAAGGCCTGTATGAGAAACAAAATCAAAGTTACAAACTGATTCAGCCGAGGACGCAGGTTCGAATCTGAGTCACGTCTTTCGGATGGTGATGTTAAAGATCGGTCCCCAGACGTAAATAATCATATCTGATTGATACACGTCTGTAAAAACCCAAATACACACACACACACGCGTCAAAAAAGTATAGGAGTCAGATCAGTGTCATTGAGATTTCACACTTTTAGGATAAGATCATCTGTGAAGATCTGAATTTCATTAGCAGAATGTGTGATCTTATACTTTGAATTTTCTATGATTAGACAGATCTGGCATCTTAAATATGCACACATTATAATAAATAATTTGTTAGCACTTAGCAGTCATAACTTATCTGTAAACCTTTGTTGTGGGTAATTGTTGAATTGTTGAATTAGAATGGAAGTTTGCTTATCATAATTCAACGAAACAAATGACAACAACAACAACAATAACAACCATATACATTATACAAAACATTGCATAATGCAGTTCAACTAAATATTCTATGTCATTGTCAATGTTTTAAACTTCTTGGTAATAATTGAGAACCCATTGGTATAGAACGCTTACCAGACTGACAGCCCATGGTCCTAGATCTAGGAACCGACCAAGGAGATCTAAAGCCCTTGATCTGTGCACCTGACTCAACAGAACCTGAGAGAGGAAGAGAGAAAGAGAGAGAAGGTTAGAAAGGGTGAGAGAACGAAGATGCCAAATACTCAATAATAATAATGATAATAATGAAGCACATTGTACAGAAGCTCCTAACCCATTCTGAGGCATTAACTTCCTTTAGACCAGTCCCCACTATACCATCGAGGTATATTGATGAAGTCTCGGTTTGTTCCTTGCTTACACCCAATTGTTTTCCCTCTCGACCCTAGTGGCTACCTAGCAATGCTAGGGGTAATACCTGTATTAATTACATGGCACTCATGAAGAACAGTTTTAAAGCTGATGAAGCTTCCCTGGGTAAATATCAGACCTGCCAACCACTGGAGTTCAAAAACTGTATTCTTTTATCCCAAAAGTACTTTCTTACCACGAACATGAGGGGGGGGGGGGGGTTTGCCATTTTGCATAAGTCCTACATACAGAAAGAATTTTGTTAAGGATCATTGGATTCATTGGTTGAATATGCATGATTTCATCATGACTGGTGTGTACCAATGAACATCCCCAAATTGACGATGTGAGATGCTTTTTTGTTGTTGTGAAAAATCATATCTTATTGAGGAAAAATCGTGCCGTCATATTAACTTCTGAAAATCGTACGAAATACAATAAAATCGTACTGGTTGGTAGCTCTGAAATGTGGCTATTATTATAATGATTATTTACCTGAAGCACGATTGGGAGTTGTTCTGGTGGTTCTCTGATCTCCGACCCCATACCTAGCCAGACCTGGAAGGCTGTGAGCTGCTCAGCGAAGAAAGGACTGTGCTTGTACTCTGCACCTTTGGCCAGGGTTGGGAGTTGAGAGAGACAGGCATCGACTGCTAGGTCCCATGCTTGCCTGGAGTGAAGAGGATGTTACAAGATTTACTCGACTAATGCTTGATGTTAGCCAGGTCCTCTACTTTTTTTAAAATTATTCGTCAACATTATCTATATCATCTATATCATCTTCCTTACGATAATCATGGTCATCATTAAATTTGACCTATCGTCATCACACTATCATCTGAGCTACGGTCATTAATCATCACAATCATCATCATTATCACTACCACCAACATCACCATTATCATCATTAATCATCATAACCACCACCACCTTCATCATCATCATCATCATCATTATCAGCCTCATCATCATCATCATCATCTTCATCATCATCATCATCATCATCATCATTATCAGCCTCATCATCATCATCACATCTTCTTCATCATCATCATCATCATCATCATCTTCATCCTCATCTTCTTCATCATCATCATCATCATCATCATCATCATCATCATCATTATCCTCATCATCATCATCATTATCCTCATCACATCATCATCATCATCATCCTCACCATCATCATCATCCTCATCATCATCCTCCTCACCATCATCATCATCCTCATCTTCATCGCTTACCACATCGGATGTTGGTATGTGGGTGGTAGCCTGGGACTCGACACTGGAGTGCAGTTGTATGTACGAAGAATCCTCTCTGCCAAGAGGAAATTCCTGAAGAGGCTGGCTACCAACAAGTCTTGTCTGAATAGTTTCTGGAATAGATCTGCTCAATAGACAAAAAAATTGAAAAAGAAAGTATTGAGTATAATTTTAACAAAGTTATGTACAATGTGCTGATTTCTAAAGGTACAGTCTCCTTTTGGCCTTAGCATGAATCTCTTCCCTAAATCATGAATAAATGTACAACAAATACAATCAAAATAGTTATATCATATCATCTGAAAGAAGATTTTGTTTTTATCTTTTTTCTTACAACTTCTTTTCTTAATCAATTTTGAAGGAAAAAAGACATTTACCCAATGTGCCACGGGGTAATACCTATACATAATTTGTGATTTTTAAGATATTTTTATATTCTATATTTTTGCGGCTTGGAGGGGGGGGGGGGGGAAGGATGTCAGAGATTTTGGAAAAATAAATGTTTCCCTCTTGCCCCTCAAAGAGTCCTGGGTACAACCGCTTTTAACGTACCTCTAGGTAATACATTCCATGCTATAGTGTCTGTGATTGCAGTGAAGATCCAATTGAGTTCACCCAGTGGTGTTCTCCTATCATTTAACCTTCCTGGAATCCTGGAGCAGAAAAAAACAAAGATTTGACCTTAAAATGCTATATGCTTTAGAGACACCTTGTGTAAGAAAAACCACCTAATTTAAACCATCATTTTTTATAAATTCCATTGAATAGTGTTTCTCTTTAAAACTTGTAAATTAAGAACACCTGCTTTCAGATACCAACTTTCTTGTGTCCCTTCGATGGTCATTACTTCAAACTAATATTAATACAGCATTTTGGCAAGGGCTTGAAAAATGGCAAAATCATTTATAAATACATAAGAAAATCATCCTTGACAATTTTTACATACAGAAAAACATACAATAATTGGGTAATAGACAAATGTGATGTTTATTTTCATAAAAATTCTGGTCTGTAATAAAAACCCTACAATCATATAAATCATAGCTGAGAGGATATTCCACAGCAATTCCATGAAACTGTTCCCCACCTGTATTCTCTTTCTTCTCATCCCCCATTATATTTTTGACTTCGAATAAACACTGAATGATAATATATTTGAACTACTCACTTGTCTACAAGTTCTTGTGTGACTCCTGGCACCAGATAGCTACTCCTCTGATTACAAAACCTGTAAATGAAACACAATTTAAGATAATGATCATTCCAATTAATGACCCCAAAAATTATGAGCCAACCGCACACTCTACGACCTGACTATGATCTGATTGTGGAAGAATTAGCAATAATACTTAATATGAACATTAAAACTTGTACAATCTTAACGATCAATGATCTGAACAGTCTAATTCCAAATACCAAATTTCGAGCTTTTTGGAAAGGAAAGGCTTAAATCAGATAAGAATCGTGTTGATCTTGAACCAGTTGTGCAATTGTCTACGATTTGAAGCAAATCCAGCTTTAATTCAGACTAGGTTTAAATGCAGTAATAAAGGGTCTCAACAACGTTATCTGACAAAAGTAAAAGTCATTTTCATAGTAAAACAGGAATTGTTCCATTTATAAAGACACCATTTGTGTCTCCATTAAGCAGTCTTTTTGTAAAGGATTGAATGCACAGTCAAACTTGCTTTGGCAATTAAAAGTTCATCTACCCAGATACAGATCATCTTACATGTCTCCTTTGTGAAGTCTTAATAATAATAATAATAACATGGATATTTCTATAGTGCATGTATCCATGGCGCAAGGTGCTCCAATACTACCCCCGTATCTGCTAAGCTACCGATTTTGGTGCCCACAGCATTCAAGGAATTCCTTCCTACCGGTACCCATTTCACACCTGGGTTGAGAGTGGTGAATGTAGATTCATGTCTTGACAAAGGACATTAGTGCCGCGATTGGAATCGAACCACGGACCATGTGATCCGCTGTCCGAATTTGTATCCACTTGACCATGACACCTTTTTACATGTGGATTTAATTAACATCTGTAAGATTGAAATAAGCATAACCTGCCTGTAAAGCCCTACTGCACTACTTATAGCTACTTGCGCCCTCTATACCGCCAACAATGCCTAAGCGGTACCCGTTGATCCCCCATGATGCCCTTTTTCTTATATTAATTAAGAGCTGATTTGATGAAATAACCACTTGCCAGTGACCTCACAGGGAGGTCTAATCCCTCCATGCCAAACTAGTGCAGAGGGGCTTTAAAGACCACATTTTGTGTATCCTTTGGGTGGTCTTTCTATAGAGGTTTGAATCCTTACCATCTCAATGCAATCTTGATGGGTGTGGTGAGGCAAGCTGTGAAGAGATCGGCAGGAAGCTCGGGATTCATAGGAAGGAGTTCATTGGAGCCGCACGCAGCCAGCTGGATGCAGTTCTTGGCCGGTGGGGGCAGGGGCACCTGGGTCCTGTTTATTGGGGTGGGGCTCTTCCCCACAAGCTATTAGCGAGAGAGAGAGAGAGAGAGAGAGAGAGAGAAGGGTAAGACATAGAGACATGAATAAGATAATGGAGGGGTCAATGAAGGGTTCATAGGATCCGCACACAGCCAGCTTGATGCAGTTTTTGGCCATTGGGGCGTCTGGGTTCTGTTTACTGGGGTCGGGTTCATCTGTACCAGTTGATGAAGGGAAAGCGAGAGACTGATGAGATGAGATAATAATAATGTTCTGATCAATGAAAAAGTTCCTTTCAGACACACACAGCTAGATAAATGTAATTCCTTGCAACAGCTGATAGTAGAAAGCAGATAGTGCTGATTAATTAAATCCTTGGGGTAGTTGACCTCAAGAGAATTTGTCCAGGGGTAGATGAAAGGCTGGATGTTAATTGTTGTCCCTATGAAATATTCTATCAAATAATATAATGAAAAAGATCATACAGTCAAACCTGTCTATAGCGACCGTCCAAGGAAAACACAAAAAGTGGTCTTTGTAGACAGGTTCCTTAAGTACATGTTTCAATGAAAAACCATTTTCAAGGGAAACAAAAATGTGGTATTTGTAGACAGGTGGTCACTAAAGCAGGTTTGACTGTATTATTCATTTCCATTTTCAATATCAGTTACTTCTGCCCACCACAATAGTTGTCAGCCCTCTAGGTTACAGAAATTGTACTTCTAGTTTATACCCACCTCTCTGTCCTGCTCCTTCTGTACAGAGAACTGCTCAAAGGATTCCAGTATAAGTCCTGCATTGGAGCAGTCGTAGACGAAGATAGACGGACTGCCCATCCAGGTCTGAAGGTCATATACGGATAGCGGGATGTACTGGGTGTAATTCTGAAAGGAGAGAGAGACAGAATGAGCATGCATGTGTAAGAGAGGACAAAGATAGACGGACAGCCCATCCAGTGCCCCGTTTCAGAAAAATTGTCATCAGTGACAAATGACAGTTTTTGTTATAAGCTACTGAAATCCTTGCTGATTGGTTATCAGCAGATTTGTCACTGATTTTTGTCATTGAAAAAAGGCTTTGTGAAACGGGTCCCTGCTGAACACTGACAAAAAATTGAACACATGTCATGTTGCTATAACCACAGGATGACAGAGTGATATCCTTTGCTAAGTAAAAAATACATTTATAACCATAGCACTTGTTTGGATACTCTAATACTACATACTTCGATTTGATATCTCAGACTGTATTTGCATATTTTAATATTAATTTTGGGAATTTCAATATTGTTGTGTGAGAATCTCATACAACAAATAATGTATTATGTGGAAGCTAGAAAACTAAGAAAGTCATTCCCCATAAGGATCCACACAAACTGATAGAGCTTCAAAATAAAGTTCCTGGATAACCCCTCCCACATTTTGGGGATGGTGAATAGAATTCAGAAAAATTATCAATGCAACATATATATTCCATTGGATGATCAATTTCACAGCTGTTTTTCAGTGATATACTTGTAGCTCTCTTTCCAATGTAGAAGCATCTAAGTCAAGAGCGTCTAGGGTATTCCTACCTTGTTGAATACCCAGACCTCTCCATTGGTGGTTGGTCTAGGAACCCCATGGCCATTGTAGTGGAACAGAACCCTCTCTTCCTTGGCATTACGTCTCAGGGAGGTACAGAGCTTCTTGACCTCATCCACTGTGGGGTCAAGGGTCTGCTTGTAACGAGCCTGCAGGATAGATGGAGGAAAATTAAAGATAAAGTTGAGTTCTGGTCATGCGATTGCATTGTGAAAGAATCGGTGTGGAATTGATCAGAAAAGGTTGATCATCTAGCATAATAACTATTGGTGTGTACTGCAAAGTTCTGGAATCATCAAAATGATAAGAAATTTGGACCAGTCTTGGTAATGTTACAAGCACTGTACACAGGAATATGTATATGGGACTACATGAACACATGGCGTAAAAATCTTTCCCGATTTTTATGCTGTTACATGCCATATTTAGGATATTAAGGCATTTGAAGAGCCATGCTTTTCTTGGAACATTTTTAATCTGATGTTCTTCCACACTTGCATACCAATAATGATAACGCTCGCAAAATATTTTTCACCTCTGAAGTGCACAGTTTAGTGAAAATAGCGGCAGTACCACATCTAATTAATTGCAAATCAAATCCAATTCACTGTGCTCTGCAGTTGTTTGTACAAGCCTCTGAGGGAGGTGCAGAGCTTCCTGACCTCATCCCTACTTGGGTCAAGAGTCTGTTTATAATGGGCCTATACGATCAACGGAAAATGGCAGATAGATATATCGGAAATCATTAACTTTAAAGAGATAACAAAATTAACATAGTTTCTATAATGATGAAATTATATGGTGACTGGATTTAAAATATATGTAAGATGGAGGTTGAATAATACAATGATAAGTCATTATATTTTGGTAAGTGGATTGAAAATGCAATGCCCATGAGAAGAGAACAATCAACACGCATTAAAAACGACATCCTTTGACTTAGTTACCCGAGGCTGCCATCTTTCATACTGCTTCTGTAAACTGGTACCTATGGCCTCGAGAGCCTTGGATGGGCTAAGAGCAAGTGGGTCTATGGAAAAACAAGAGTTTAGGAGTATAATTAATATAAAAATTGGTAAAGCACAAACTAACACACATAGAAGAAAGAACACAAGAATTCAAGAATATTTTGGAAAATAAACTATATGAAGACATACATGCATTTTTTTCGGATAAAGATATAAACATGTATGTACAGGGTATCAATATGAATTATGTTTTGAAATGTAAGCAATGCCTTCGCAAACAGAAATTATGATCCACTAGTTTCATCTCTTTAAACAATAATATCCAAGACAATATACACGTATACAAAATTTATGGCTTATTATGGTTTCCAGGAAGAATCAATCATGTATTGTTATTTTTCTTATAAACATGAGTTGATGTATAAATGTGCATCTATAAATGGTTATGATCTACAAATGGGACTTTGAGTTATAAAGGCAAATATTTTCACTGAATTTAGATTGTTTGGTTGAAATATGATAGTCTATATCAATAGATTTTGAGGCACATATCACAAATATATCATTTGTGAAACTTATTTGTTAATGATTCTCACATGATCAATATCATCTTAACATTAAAATGTAAAACATAAACAAATAGAAACTGATAGTGAAACGCTCATACATACTTCCTGGTTCATGAACATATTACTGAAGGATATCAATAGATCCTTACGTATTGTAATAATGCTTTTGGACAATATACAGTGCGTCCCAGAAAAAACGAAACCGAGAAGTATCGATGTTCTATCATAACTTAATCAAAACTATAATTAATGAATGATACATATTTGGAAAGCTTAGAGTCTCCTCTTTCAGTTGGTGCTACTCAGATAATGCATATGTCACGCATGAGTGATTAAAAGCAATTTGAAGGAAGGAAACCAACAAGACATTTGGCGGGCCGTATCTGAATTTCGAAGAAAAATTCACATTTCTAGAAAGTTGATTTTCTGCCCTTTCATATGACACCTCAATCAGGAAAAATGAGCGAGGAATGACAAAGTTCTGTTTGTTTAAAGTAGTGCTTGCATTTCCATAAACGAATTCGTTTTCACTGGCTGCCTGCCGTATCAATAAACAAAATTAACAAAAAACTTAACTCCGTTTCGTTGACAATCAGCCGTAGACGAGAGTCTTCATGCATGGCTGATTGTCAACGAAACGGAGTTAAGTCTTTTGTCAAATCTGCTTTTGGCTACGGCAGGCACCCAGTGAAAACGAATTCGTTTGTTAAAATTATGAAAATGTAAGGGCTACTTTAAACAAACAGAACTTTGTTATTCCTGTCTCATTTTTCTTGATTGAGGTATCATATGAAAGAGCAGAAAATGAACTTTCTGGAAATATGAATCTTTCTTTGAAATTCAGATACCGCCCGCCAAATTACTTTTCGGTTTCCTTCCTTCAAATTGCTGTTAATCACTCATGCGTAAAATATGCATCACGTGAGTAGCATCAACTGAAAGAGGAGATTCTAAGCTTTCCAAATATGTATCATTCATTAATTATGGTTGTGATTAAGTTATGATAAAACATCGTTACTTCTCAATTTCATTTTTTCTGGGACGCACTGTATATGTACTGAGTAGACAGATTTAGAATATAATGTTTGGAAAGGAAGGAAGGAGGGAGGGAGGGAGACGGATAGAAAAGAGAGAGAAAGGGAAAGAGAGAGAAAGAGGAAGTGAGAGAAAGAGAAAGAGAAAGACAGACAGAGGGAGGAAGGCAGAGAGAGAGAAAAAAAGTGGAGTGGAAATAACAGGGGAAATGTTTCAACAGAAAGAAGACGAGAAGAGGGGAAGAGACAAAGAGAAAATAATAACGATTGACAGAAATATTTAAGGGAGCAAGAGAGAGAGAGAGACAGAGCATGGACCGACTTCGTAGCATGTCCATGGACATGGACAGAGAGAGAGAGAGAGACAGACAGATAGAGAGACAGATAGGATAGAGAGACGCAGAGAGAGACAGAGACATAGAGAGAGAGACAGAGATAGAGACAGAGAGAGAGACACACAGAGAGACAGAGAGAGAGAGAGAGAAGGGACAGAAAGAAGAGGGACAGACAGAGAGATAGAAACAGGAGACAGAGACACAGAAATGGGGGTTTCAGAGGAATGCATATCTGTACCTATCCAGCATTCTAGCCTTGCACATGGTGAAGTTTTGACTGTGTCAGGGGGGTCCACACCAACGTTGAGACATATCACAAGAGCTACACTCACTGTCTTCATCTGTTAACAAAGAGAGAATTAAAAAAATATAAAGATAGGACAGATAAATTTTCATATTACATTGTGTATAAAAGGAATCAATATAGGCCTCTTCTACACAAAGATACCTTGAAAAGAATTTGTCTGACACTGATAATAAATAATGTTTTTAACTTTTTATTGACCAATAAAATGTGTTTACTACAATAAAGATTTAATCTATCAGAATACCACACTTAGTTTGTTCATATGTTGCTCAACTTCCACTGACTTTCATACTGTTAAATGATATTATCAGTCACATGTATACGGCCATATAGAGATTCACAACTAGTCTGCTGTGAAAAGTGCAGGCTACAAATCAGTGATTATGACATCCTCAGGAAATCATCAAGGTATCCAGGAAGGCAAACTGGTCATATGTAAACAGAACACAATGGCGGGATGGATCATCTTTCTAAATATGATCGTCTCTCATTTTTATATAATCTTTCAAAGTTTCAACCAGTCGAGTACTTGCAGTTGTCTAAACTTATATAAGTGTACATATTATGAGGAACAATATTAGCGACCTTCATTTTCTGTTTTTGGTACTGCACACATGAATTATAGAACACTTTAAACCTTCACTATGACTTCGTACAGTGTACATTGTGTAATGGGTTCAAAGCATTTTTTGCATGATGCTTATAAATTAACATCAGACAATTATAAGCATACTTTATTGGAGGAGCTTGTGCCTTTGAATGTTTTTTAAAACAGATAAATGGCGCCATACAAATGCTGTGAATCATCATCATCATCATTCTGTGCGATGTGTCCCATACAACATATATTTACATCGTTTTTTCACTATTTCTTGTAAAATGAAAAATATCTTGATGACCATTAAATAATGTTAGTGAAACCTGGGCTCCTTCTTCTATAACAGTTGCAATTGATCCAAATCGACCGCAAGTCCTCCAATCAATCTTAACTTTGCAGTCTCTTATCTCTTAAGTACACAGTTGCGATTGGTTTAAATCAATCGTTACTTCATATACAAGGTCAAGAACTAACCATGTACACAGTACATGTAAGTTAATTGTCATATATATATTGAGAAATTTTCATTTTTGCATGAAATAAATAAATAAATGTCATATGGGACACATTCCTTGGAATTGCCCATTAGTGAATTTCAATTGGTGTTTTGGTTTATGCAACACTGAGTGACCTTGTGTCTAGATCATTCAGGAACTGGTGGCAGACTAATGTGAAAATACTTTTTATGTCTTTTCTCCTTTCTTTTACATGTAGGATTTAGTGTGATAAAAATGTGATTTTCTCACAGTGATATTCAAGTACGGAATGTTATTGTTATTCTACCAGAGCTCTTTTTCAGTTTACCAAAGCTTGATTTTATCTTTCCAACTCTTTAGCTAAATTGCTCAGACGCTGACCACTCTCATGTAACCCCCCCCCCCCCCCCCCCCCCCCCCCCCCGTTTAGATCTTGGTGCACAGACATGGTAAAAGCGATACTGGGTACTACACGTACATGGTATCATAATAATACCTCCCCCCCCCCCCCCCCCATAAAAACTGTTTTAATATCTAAAAAAGAGACTATACTACATACTACATAAAGCCTACAGGACAATGTTCAATCTAATCTGGCTAATATCCCCTAAAAAAGATAACACTATGATCATTATGGCAATTTATATTGACTACCACACTTGTTCACTTGCCATTTTGGATTTCAAATACCACATCGACATATTAATTCTCCCACTTCTCTCCTCTGAATTTGGAAAATACTTATATTTTTGCCTCATTTTAATAACCTGTTTCCAAAAACATAGTGTGTGTGTGTGTGTGTATGTGCGTGAATGTGTGATACGTAATATTTCTGTGCAACATCAACATTATCTCAAACATCACAATTATAATATCATTGATGACTTTTGTCAGGACCCCAAATATGCTTGCTCCAATTTTGAATTTCTTATCAACATGTTATTATCAATCAAAGTGCAGATTGCAGAATTTGCAAACATGGTGTTGAGTTCATGAGTTGTGTATGATTTTCCTAGCATAAATGTTTAAAGCAGACCTATTTGTTTGATTTTTACTAAACACTTTGGTTGCTTTTTTCACCTCTCTGCATGGTTGCTCGTTTGCCACGCATGCAGTTTTGCACAAAAACAATTGGCTGAATTGACAGAAGGATTGCTTTGTGCAACATATTGGCTTTGTAAAATTCATAAGAGTTCATATAATAATGACAATCAGGCAAATAGTATGCCTGTCTGCCAATTCTGGTTGCCTTCTGAGTTCTGAACTTCTGACTGACATTAAAGTTGGGATGTTGTAATCTGAAGGAGAGCAAGGTCCAAAATGTCAGATTGTTGAAGAGGCCTAAGACTACTATTATCATCATCAAATACAGTCCAAGTGGGAGTAGAGATTTTGGGATTCATCTGGCTGCTCTGAAATGGCAAATTTACCTAATCTGAACTTGATATGAACCGACTGTGGATGGGGTACAGACGAAATAGACATATTAAGGACCAAACTATGAACAAACTAGGACCGTATTATAGACATTATTTACACATTCTACCCCAACCACAACCCGTATTACAATTTTCTAGGTCGGTTCCAGAACATAGCAAAAACTAGTTTGGTGTGATTGGGCTTTACATTATAACTAGCCTCGGTCTTGGGGACTTTGCTGAACAATCATTCTGACAAATCCCTCTTTTCCCCTTTCCCTTTTTTAAAAATAATTTGTTTAACTCTGGAAATAATTAGTCATCATACCCATATAGCCTAGATTGTCAAAACCTTCACTAAGTCAAGTCAAATATTGAATCTTCTAATGTCCAGAGAGAATTGATAAGTCTGGGCCGTTACTTAGCGGCGGCTATACAAACTGGTCATTAAAACATTCATTATTGCATAATTATTGAATAGAAGTGTTACCTAGTAGTCCAAATCATCACTAATACTACACTTTGTCATGTTACAAAATATAAGAATGTGTCAATCATCATGATCATGCACCGTCTAAAAACTAATAAATCTGACAAAATCTGAGGCTCGATCCTCTTTCACTGAAGTGCAAATTTATTAAATATAGCGGCAGTACCAGTACACATCTAATTCATTGCATATCAAATCCAATTTCACTGTGCTCAACAGTTGTACTGCCTACTGGATATCTTTTTTTTTTTTAACAAGCCTCCGAGGGAGGTGCAGACCGCAGAGCAAGCTTCTTGCCATGACTTCTTGACCTCATCCACAGTTTCACTTTTATTTTTTAAGTTTTAGACCTCTTCAACTTTTGAATTAATATTTCAATATCATTGTCTGGCTTAGGCAGTTGTCAGCACTCTGTAGCCTACTCTGTAAAGTTGAATAATACTGACCACAGCTAAAGCCCCCAAAATGGTAAAAAATTGCAGGAGCATCTTGACTTGAGACTTGACTGCATAAAGCAGCATAGAAAGAAATTAGAATTAAAATTTAGAAAGATTAGAATTAGAATCTAGACCTAGATCTAGATCTAGATCATCATTCATACTCTTCTTAAAAGTCTTATTATTAATTACTCTTAGATCATAGATCATACATTCTTCATTTCTTGCCACTACTTTTATATTTCATGGACACGACCCTAGTCAGGAAAAGGAAAAGAAAATGGCAATACCCGTTCTTTCATTCGCCATGTTTGTGTTTCTGTTTTGCTTCCTTCGATTGGGTCTGTGTGTCGTTTCTTCATGTATGCAAGCGGCAGCTGCCAGTCACACAAGTCGCTCTCCTCCGATTCCGTGATGTCCTCATACATTTTCGATGTTTGCTGTCGATCTGCAAAACTGGTAGACTCAAAGAAGTTTTGACCGTCGAAATTTGATCAAGTGATGCAAATCCTTTCCTTAGATCAAACAAAACACGTGGCAGACTTCACAAAGTGCCTGTATTTACTGATATTCGGTTGTGATTACACACTTCTCGTAGAGACATGTGTCGCCATTTTCTTTCATTCAGTGTGCTATTTACGAATGACGTCACGAATACGCCCGGTCAAATGTCTGGAGAAATCGTAACCCTCAATGAAATTGTTGTCCTATGCCGATGTAGCTTTTCAGGGGGAGGGGGCTCAATATACTCATGTGTGGTGAATACAGCCATCATATAATTTCTATGGAAAAAATTGCTTTTCCACCCCCTTTTTTTTACCTCTCCCTTACAGGCATTTGTTTGAAAAAATAATACAGTATAGGTCTAGAGGTCTATGTCATTTTTTTTTTCTTTGGGCATTTTTTGTTTTAAAGTTTTTGAAGTTAGATTAAGTGTGGTATGTAGTTCACATGCCACACTACATCCAAGTTCCAGTTATATATATATATATATATATATATATATATGACGCCTAGACCCATTTGTTCATTTAACTCAATGAAGGGATGTGCGTGGGGAAATCGTCAGCCCTTACATAATTATAGTTTCTAGAAAAAAATCTTACATTAGTAGGCTATGCATGCAGGGAGCAAGAAGAGTCTCCGATCCGGTTAGGTACCTTCTTAATTCTTAGCCCCGCCCCCGCCCCCTTTTTTTTTACCCCCTCCCCCTTACAGGCATTTGTTTGAAAATAATTCAGTAGATCTATGGTGTATTTTTTCAATTATTTTCATTTCTTAATCAGATTAAGTGTGGTATATAGTTCACATGCCATACTTAATCCAAGTTCCAGTTTCATACATAAATTAAGCGCCGAGACCCATTTGATCATTTAAATTCTGCCTAATTTAAACAGGTCTATCAATCTGAGAACATCAAATACATATACAAATGGAATTACCGATGTTCATGTATATTCGAGAGTACCAATTAGAAAAGGTAAATAGGCACTAAAATTGAATATTTAACCAATACTGGCTAGGATCATGAAGGGCTCCTTCTATAATGTGTGTTTTATTGTTGTTGTTGTTGTTGTTGTGTGTTTGTATTTTACTATCAGCTGGCCGAAATTGGAGAGTCGTTTTTTTTTCTTTAAATAGAAATGCAATTTCAAGAAAAAGGAGAAAAAAAGATTTGAGGTGAATGAATAATTAAATGAAGAATTAAGAACTTTTTAGGAAGAAAATGTAGGTCTACATTCTAGTAACCATACATGTCATGAAGTTAGCTAGAGATGAAACTTTATTTTTCAAGCCAAACGAAGATAAAGTAGATTCACATTTATTACGGCCATATCAGGCCTACCATCATTGAACTAATTTGTGTGACTTATATAGTGCATGTACGATCATTTCATCCCTAATTACACTGTTACCCATAAAGTGAGAACAATATTGTTAAGTTTGTTAACCTCTTTTCATGCTATGGTTGTGACAATAATGGTTTATTCTTGATAGCCAAAGTTTGTATCTCCTAAGAACTTACCAATCTAAAGAGTCACATGCAGACATGCAGGTGGATCAATATAAAGTTCTGAAAAGTTAATAAGTTTATCTAGATCAAGAATGAATCATATTGTCATTTCATAGAAAGAGGTAATACAAATTCCAACTTTATGGGCAGCAGTGTATTTGCTTTTGCCACTTTTTTTTATTTCTTCCAAAAGACATTAAAACATTTTCATACAAGAGAAAATGTATGTGACAATTACAGGATACATGTACATACCATTACTACCGTATGTGATTTCTTTCTTTTTAAAGGACAGATTTTTGTACATGCATTGTCGAGGGCGTTCACACATGGTTTCCGTTCGATTGAGAAAGAAGAGAGAGAGAGAGAGAGAGAGAGAGAATGAGATAAGTGAGGGGGGGGGGGTGATCGAGTTTAAAATAAATCAAGTCAGTGACGAAATGAAGACAAAAAGAGGATCAGAAATCCTCTTTCTGTCTTCATTTTGTCACTGACTTGCCATTGGGTGGGGGAAGTCAATGAGAGACTGAACATTCAAGAGAGAGAGAGAGAGAGAGATTTGAAAGAAGATAAAAGTGCCATTGTACCAGTGGACGCTGAATGGATAATCAAATGTCCGTTTTCGGAAAAAGTCGTTTCAAGGACATCAACAGTCAGTGGACGGGGGAAAACATATTTATCGCTGCCTTCACGTTTTGAGAGGATTTTAAAAATATAATAAAAGTATTAAAATCATATTTTTAACAAAATGTCCTGAGTGGGGGAGAGGGCCAGCCCCGCCCCCTTCTTAAACATTAACCCTCCCCCACTTAAGAGAACTTGTTGATGCCTTTGTACAATTAAATCCACTTCCAATTATTTTCCTCACCACGACTCCACACTTCGCAGTAGGGTCAAGGGGACACCTTTTCAGGGGACATTATTTTGTTAGCATCCTACTGGCAAGTGCATGATCATATATCTTGCGAACGGCTTCAATTTTGTTTATGTACCTTTTGTAGGTCAATAAGTATTACATGTAGGTGTTGATGAACTTCAGAAGGTCATACATGCATACATACAAGTGCATGGAAAGATAACACAGTGAGTGAAGGCTTGTGAGGAATACAAGTCTAGAAATCTCTGAAGATTTTACATTTTTATTGCATAACTTGAAAATGATTAGAATGGGAGGTTCGGAAGAGCAGTTTCACTGATGGGTCAGAAAGTAGGGGCACCAGAGGATAAACTAAGATGGACAGAAGAAAATGACAGATAAGACAAAGATATGAAAGTCAAAAACTGCAGAAGAGGGGAGGGGCACCTTGCACATAGGCGTTGTTTCTTTTCAATAATCCAAAAGGAATGCAAATCAAGTCACTGTCAAAGAGACATTTTCCTTGTAATTAATGTAAAAGTTTATAAATTTATGAATCAGATTTTCTCACTTTGTTCTCTTTCACAATATATCCATACAACACATCTTTTCTCAAACTCCTCTTTACCAGTATCTCATTTGTGACATAAACTCGCACTTCTTTTTCTCCCTTTACTAAAGACTATACAAACATTCTATCAAGTTCATCTCCAGTCCACACGCTCATCCCTGGCTTATCAGTTTTCTTATTTTGACCATTCATGTTCATATGATATCGATAGGTTCCAAGATTATTTTGGATTGTGAAACACTTGGCACACTTATTAACCCATTTTTGTACTGCACTAAAAAAAACGCCCATCAAGTGCCTAGTGACAAACTTCATGTATAGTTATGGCATTTAAAGTTGTAATGCGTATCGCATATGAAAAAGTGTTATTAGGTCCGACAAGCCATGATCATCGTCACTACTTAACTCATTCATTCCCTATTCCGACTAGTGAAATACAAATACATGTTCAATTTTACATGTAAATGCTATCAATCTATGCATGATGAAGGGCCAATTGATTTCTTCTACACCTTCGCACCTCACACTGAAATCACATTACAGGTAGATATTCACTATTCAGCATCCTTTAGTCTCAATCTCTAGAACACAAAAATCTGTTTCTCACATTCACAATAAACACAAGGCGAGTTACTGATCATTCTCTGGTGCCCATAAATAAATCTCTCCATATTCCTCACGATTCTCATCCATAACTTGAGTCAAGATACTGACCAGTCTGCTTCATTGAAAACACTGAACTGAATAAAAACTGGGGCATCTTCTTCAAGATGCAAAAAAGCAAGAAAAAGTGCACCATACCTTTCTAGTGCAAAAATTAGCATCTTTTGGACAATTTTTTTGTTCCTTTCACTTTTCAAGAACCCTTTTCAGGTTTTGAAATCAATCTTAGTTTCTGAATATATCTCAATATATTCATCAAAAGCAGTTTTCAAAGTTAAATTGGAAACTAATTTTTTTACCGCATAACCTATCGATGAAGCAGACTGGAGAAGCTTGAAAGCTCACTACACGTAATGGACAGTTTAAAGAATTGAAACTTGTAAAACTTTGTATGCAGAATCAGCAAGATCTTTATTTGCTCTCAATTCCAATTGAAATGCGATGTTGGTAAAACTTCCATCTGTAAAGCTGTCCATCAAGAGGCTTTAACACCTATCGTTCAAAGAGTGGTAAATGTTCACAATTTGGCAGGATCTTTATTGCTACAGCGATCTTCACACGACAGACGAGAAGCTCTACCGGTCTCCATCCTAATCTTCATCTTCATCATCACCTCCTCCACCACCACCGCTGGTGCCCTTCTTCATGTTCTGGCGCTTGACACGTCCAGGGCGTCCACCACCGTATGGCGAGCGAAGGGAGAAGTCAATGTGCTTCTGGGAGTCCAGACGAACGATGTACGAGGGGATGTTCACAACCTGCTTGCGGACACTGCAGGAAAGGGGGAAATTTGAGAAAAGAAATTGTCAGTAAATCATTTTTACTAAAGCAATGTCAAGGGGGCCTGCTATACAATTCGTTAGAATATTTTTCTTGTATAAAATTAGGATTGCTTGGGGGGGGGGGGGGGGAATGATACTGACATGCTGGCAACATTAAAATGAGTAGATTTCCTAGTAGTATTTAATTTAAATTTTGTTTTCTTCAAAGCACTAAATATCACTGGGGAAAAAGGCGTAACAAATGATTACTTTGTCTTGTCAGTTTCAATGTTCCGGAATTGGAAGGACTTTCTTCTACACAAGTGAATTCAGGGGAACAGCTGCCTACGAACACATGTCGAAGAAGAATGAGTCACAATTCCTGAACAATTACAAACTTTAGGGTTAAATTCCCGTCTGAGTGGGTGGGGGGGGGGGGGGGGGAATCATCACATTGAAATCTTTGATCCAAGCTACTTGACTGGCATTTCCTAATCACAGGCCACATACGTTTTAGGGATACCACTATGGAAGGACTATGTACCTTTCTGCGAGTTCCTCTAAATATCCCATCACAGTCAATAGGAAAAGACGTTAATCACGGCAAGCATGATCAAGTGGTCTTTCAGAGAATGAAATGCAGATCACTCTGCAGGTCAAATAAGGCATAGAGGTATGCAAACATACTCCAGTGGCCTTAGTGAAAACCAGCGACATCGTGAATGCTTAATGTTCCCTGAATCTTGAGTAGAATATGGCATGAGACAACATGAAGAAGTCTCAGTGGCCATACAGAATGAACACTTGAATGCTCATCTGGAATTACAATTAGAAATTATCACAGTGAAGTCCTCTCAAATTTGCACAAAGGGTGGGGTCAATGTACAAAATTATTTTTCGTTCACAGCTTTTGTATGGATTTACTTAAGGAAAGATTTAGGCACAGGCTTCTTTTCTTGCCCATTGCTTACTCTTTTTTTGCTTCCTCTCCTTCCTGAGTTTCCCAGAACCCTCTACAGCTTCTTTGAGCTTTCCAGAGCTAAACTGCTCACCACTCACAGGGTGGCATTTTATATATCCATTAATCATTAAAGCAAATACACATCATCTTATATTGAAAAAGTATTAAGAACATTTTAAACTCTTGACTATCAAAATTTCATTCAAACAAAAAACAAAAAACATCATGGTCAGGCCTAAGGCGAATTTTTAATCTACTATTTTCTTTGCATTTAAAGGTAAAGACCAGTAATGGTCATGCGATTGCATTGTGAAAGAAACGTTGTGGAATCGATCAGAAAAGGTTGATCATCTAGCATCTAGCATCTGCAAGGTTCTGGAATCATCAAAATGATAAGAAATTTGGCCCATTCTTCGTAAAGTTACAAGCACTATACACAGAAAGATGTATATGGGACTACCCTATCTCTCTCACCAGACCATGAGAGAAATAAATTTACCAAATATATGAATTAGTAGGCGGTTTCCCGGCAAATTTTTTATCATCATGTATTAGTCAAAACATATTCTTTCACATGATTGGTAATGAGAGCTTCCATTTCATTTTTTTGAAATTGGGGCGTTGCCAATACTGGTCTTTACCTTTAAAACAAAAATTATGGCAGTGTAAATTATTTATCATTTAATAATATCCCCTACAGTTTAGTGCCTCAAAAAGTAGGCACATTAACTTACCGGATGTGACGCTGACGGATGAGCACACGAGCATGATGGATGCTCTTGGCGAGTCCAAGCTTGAAGACTTGGGTCTGGAGGCGGCGCTCCAAGAAGTCCTCAATTCGCAGACCCAGCACGTAATCCAGCTTCATCTTGCTCTCATCCAGCACACCGATACGCACCAGACGACGCAACAAGGAGTTACCTAAGAAACGATGGGTATTAAGAAATGAAGACGGGTACGATTAACAAAAATATTCCATCTGCTATTTGATACATATTCATGAGTCAACTATGACTGACCATTTTTCTTGACAAAAGAGCTTTCATAAAATTGATAAAAATTAGATAAAAATATCTGACTGGGGGAATCTAGGATAGAAATGCTAAAGAAATTGGAGATTTGTCATATCCATGAAAGATCTTACTGTAAGACCAGAAATGAACATGGATTTTGCGAGTGGCTGAGATTCATGAAAGTTTCAGGCCATAAAATAACTGTATGACAATTGACACAACACCAAATGTTGCACTTTGTGAAAACTCCTTGCCTTGACAAGGGCCACTAAATAATTTGGAAGGAAAAAAAAGTGTTTCAGAGGAGTTCAAGTTTGTAGTTTAACAGTACATCTTCTGATTGTTTCTCAAGGTTTTGAAGGGAGAGCTAGTCTTTTCAACAAATTTTGATCTATAGCTAACTGTGAGCAAATGTCAACTAGTCGTCAAATGCAGGTACAATGACCCCCCCCCCCCCCCTAAAAAAAATGATGACTTTGTAGTGTGTTTATATTTACTGGCACGTAAGGTCAGCAATGGATGTACCACTACCTACATCACAAAGTACCAACTATGGCCTGGGTCTTACCTTCGAACAACCTCTTGGGGTCTTTCTCCTCCCTGGTGAGCAGATCTCTGGCAGCCTTCCTGATCTTGGCTAGGGTGTACTTGACACGCCACACCTCACGCTTGTTACGGAGTCCATACTCGCCGATGAGCTTCAACTCCTGGTCAAGGCGTTCCTTCTCGAATGGACGACGGGGCGTCACAAAGGTTTTACTACAGACCACCTTCGGCATGTTGGCAGATTAGCCTGCGAGATGCAAGTGAGAAAACATAATTAAAGAAAAATGAATTAATCCATCAACAAAACCTTGTCAGTTTACTTTTAGCTTAGTTTAGCCCTCCATGAAAAGTACAGGACCTCTCTCCTCTCGTAATATTAAAGCCCTAAAAAAATTGGGCTTCAAGATGATCATGAAGTGCCTCATAAAAAGAGTACAAATCTTTGAGGGACTGGTTTTACTTTTTTGGGAATTTTTGTTCTCAACAAATCAGAGGCAACTAGACTTTATCTTGATTGGACCATGAAATTAATCACATGGCGACATGCCACTGAACTGTGGCAAGTGAGGAATCACAAAGGCTCTTTCATAATTTTGTCTCTTCAAATTTTGATGTAACATTCTCATTGCACATGTTGCAAAGGTCACCATTCGATTTGGCAAGCAGAAACGGCAGGCCGGGAGGGGGAATACTCGAAACCCAAACCCATTCTTAAAGCTAAAGACCAGTTAAGGTCATGCGATTGCATTGTGAAAGAAACGTGAAATCGATCAGAAAAGGTTGATCTAGCATAGATGTACTGCAAGGTTCTGGAATCATCAAAATGATAAGAAATTTGGCAAAGTCTTCATAAAGTTAGAAGCACTGTACACAGAAAGATGTATATGGGACTACACACACGTGCGCGACACGTGCATTTCATATCTCTCAACAGACGAGAGGTACACTAATTTACCGAATATATCAATTAGTAGACGGTTTCCAGTCAAAATTTTTATCATCATGTAATATTCAAAACATTCTTTCACATGATTGGTAATAAGAGCTTCCATTTCATTTTTTGAAATTGGGGCGTTTCCAATACTGATCTTTACCTTTAATTACTCTTGATCCTGAAGATGAAACTCATTAAATGTGGTAGTTTGCAAATTAAAAGAAATGGACTCAATTTTAATTGTATTTTTGTTAAAAGTAGGACCCATGTTAAGTGATTTTTTTTGAAAAAGTGACCCATAAGAGCGGCACATCCCTGCATGTCCTAAAATGTGAGTACCCCCCCCCCCCCCCCCCCCCCCCCCCCCCCCCCCCCCCCCCCCCCCCCCCCCGGCCCGCGAATTTTTTTTTCCCAAACAGGTTTACCTACGAGAGTATAATCCTGCCTCCTGATTGGTTCAGAGGTATACGCATCATGAATATTCATGACTGAGCTGAAAGATACTAGTAGTATTACGCATGCGCGTGACACCAGGCGAAGCTGCTCATGCAGCTCATCGAAATCCAAGTTTGAGTTCGTTGATGCAGCGCAGCTATAGTACGTAGGCTATACACTGCATGCATGGATATGCATGCGCAGTGATTGGCTCTAAGTTATAACCTTTACATGAGCTATAGTATTATGGCGGAGTCTACAAGTACAACTCTCTGCAATTTTGGTCGCTCTAAAGAAGAGAATACCGATTTCTTCTGCAAGAACCATACAAGTCTTTATGTAAGTACCACAATATTATTGTGAAATTGTAAATTGGCCCATCCCATTTTTATTTTAATGCTTTGAAATTGTCAGTATATAGTGTCAGTAGGTTATGTTATTATGTATTCTGAATTAGTCTCAAAAGCAGTGACACATGCATGCAATATAATTTATATGGAGTCTCAAATTTAGTTGACAGAGGCAGTGAAATAAATGTGTGTGGGGATTGTATCTTAATAACAGAAAATGTAAAATCATATCCTGTGCATGTCATATCAAGTTTAAATTCATGAAAGTAGGTCAAAGGTTATGAACCTGCTGTTTGTATTTATTGTTGAAAGCTCAAATTAATGCAATGAAATGGATGTCCTTTAAATATTGTTTTGATTCTGATTTAAGTAAGATAATCTTGAGAAAAGAAGTTTGAAGATATAAAGATTGAAAAGGACTTAGTCAGATATTCATGTTTAAATAAGAGATGAATCAGTGTAATGTGCACTTGGTATGCATATTAATAATAAAAGCTTGTCTTTGACATGTGTGTAGAGCCTGTATATATTACTTTATGTCCTTTGTTTTCTTTGGCCAGGTTCATCTGTCACAAAGGAACCAGAACCACTGATATGTTTGTTTGTTTTGTTTTATTTCCACTTTTTCATATCAATACAAAGAAACATACAAATAAATATAATGAATAACATGTAAGTTTGACAAAATTTGTTTCTAGTTAAAATAAAAGTTTCATACAAAAGGAAAAAGCAGGAGACCACATGTCGTAAGCGTAAATGCTTGAACATGACCGTGGCCTCTGCCGAGTTAACAAAATAAAAGAACAACCCATGCAACTGCATTGTATTCAATGTTAAATAAGATATAAGTGAAGTGATTAAAAGTGAGCATGGCTGAATTAATTTGGAGTGAAAATAACAAAACAAATTTAGTGAAATATTTCATGTTGAGAAGTGCATTTGTGCAAGGTGCAAAAATTAGCTTGGTGGAACAAAAAAGAGACTAATACCGTGATATTAATTGTGTGTTGGTTTCAGTTACGGGTGATAATATTAAATGTTTGTCAAGATATCATGCTCGGAGCAACACAGTGGCTTTGACCCACATCCAACCATCTCATGTCGGACCATCCTGATAAGATAATTATACCCCTTGTGTGTGTCTATTGTGTATTCTTGACAGCTAGTGTGTGCATGTGTTGCTTATGTGTTTGTAAATACATGAGGGTGGGTGGGTGTGTGTGTTTATAGAGAGAGAGAGAGAGAGAGCGAGAGAGAGAAAGAGAGAGAGAGAGAAAGATAGTGTTTGTATGTATAGCCTATGTGTGAAATTGGAATATTAGTGTGTGTACTGTAAGTGAACTCTTTGAGAAAAAAAATCCTCAGTGTAAAACTATATAAACCAAGCACCAGAATAACCAGAAATGTTCAAAAACAAACAGACCCCCCCCCCCTTCCCCCAATAAAAATCCCCTCGCACCACAGCTAGCTCACATACATTTTGTACACCTAAATGGCCAGCAAAACTGAAGTCCACGCGCATGCGTAATACATATACTAGGTACTGCAGCTCAGCCACAGTGCTGTGAACTCAGCTCGTGAATATTCATGACGCGTATACCTCTGAACCAATCAGGAGGCAGGATTTTACTCTCATAGGTAAACCTGTTTGGGAAAAAAAAATTCGCCCCCGGCCCGGGGGTCTGGGACAGCAATTAAGTCAGCATAACATTGAACATGCAACAGCACTCGGCAGTTTACAACTTACAAATACAAAACATCATGCGTGCAAGCACAGACAGACACACTGATAAACCATCTCACTGACTGTTGTTCATAAGAAAACATAGGGTCTATAAGTAATCAACATGAATTTAAATTGCCCCCCCCCCCCCTTCGTTCCTACACACTGCACTGGCATTGATCACGTGTTACTTCCATACCCTCGCATGCATATGGTACGTACATGCATGGCGCGCCAGTCACGACGATCCTTCCGGTTAAAAAAAAAAAGCTTAGAAATACCACAATGTTTCATTGAAATAGTTTATGATCACTATAAATCTGCACTTAATATACATCTATACTTTCCATAGTATCCTTAACACTATAGCTTAGATTTTAAAACATCCTATAATATGAGAAGATCTAGTAGATAAATTGAGTTTTTTCAGTACCAACCTCTTGCTAGGAATTACGTAGAGAAAAAGAAAGATTGTGATCGATCAATCAACCAGCGCGGAAAATCCATTCAATGTGTAGAATTAGTACCAGTCGTTTCAGTGATTTACATTTTTAAAAATTCATTAAATACATTTTACAGAAGTAGCAATTAGTACCAATTACACACAAACGCAATCAAGGACTTGGATTTTCTACAAATCATCTCAATAATAAATGATCATTGACAAAAGGTTAAAGCATATTTATAATTTTACACGTATCGACTATTACGTTGGTTTCTAGTCATGCACGCACCTGTATGCTTAGCGGATTAATATCATCGGCCTATGCACGTACTTTTCAGATACCTGATCAAAATTATTCATTTTTAAATCCTTATAATTAACTGTTTCATTAACATTTAACAACAAAAATCATTGGAGCTATATTAATAGATATTATTCATTGGCAAATATAGATTTTTCAGGCATGTTAATGCGAGTTATGTTTCCTACGCTTTACATAGATAATGCCTAGTTTTCTGCACCAGGCTTTTGTGAAATATGATTCAAGTCATGATAATGAATATTGTCTGCGCTACTTTTTGAAGAGAGGCGCTCGAGGAGACAGACTGCAGAGAAGGGGTAGTTGCAAATCTCCCCCCCACCCCCTCCCTCTCCCCCCCTCTCTCTCTCTCTCTCTCAATCTCCCTCTCTCTCCTCTACCCAGTGTCTCACCCTCTCTCTTTATCTCTCTCCCTAGCTGTCTCCCTGTCTGTCTGTCTCTCTCTCTCTCTCATCCTCTCTCTTTCTCTCTCTCTCTCTCTCTCTCTCTCTCTTTATGCTCGTATTGGGGTTTTTGTAATTTATTCCAGTTCATCATTACATACTGGTATCTGTGTCTGAATACATGATATTCATAATCACCTTCTTGTTTTAATATACCGTCGGGTGAGAGCTGGAAAATATATGTTTTTTCGTATTATTTCTATATTATAACCCTTACAAAAAAGTACCATGGTATGGTTTTTTGTCCAAATTACCATCCACCACGGTAATCATGGTCATCATGGTACCAAAACAATGAAATACATTGTTTAATGACCCAATGTACTTCATTTGGTACCATGATAACCATGGTTACCATGGTGGATGGTAATTTGGTAAAAAAAACATGGTTACCATGGTACTTTTTTGTAAGGAAATATCACCTTTTTATACCATTGTAATTTACACATTTCGAATATAACGTTGGCTTCTAGTCGTGCATGCACTACATAATTTTCTATATTATAATCACCTTCTTGTTATAATATACCGTCGAGTGAGAGCTGGGTAATAGTTTTCTTATTATAATTTATTTCTGCGAGCTGGGTAATAGTTTTCTTATTATATTTCTGCATGGCTCTGGCAGTATTATACGCTACCATATTCCGTGATGGAATTAAATTGAATCCGATATGGACGTCATAGAAACTTGAATTTTAAATCTTGAATTTCGAGATTGATTGACAGGTATAATAGGCACACATCTGTATGGAGTGATCGAAGTTTGGACAAGAGTCATCCAGGGTCGACCACATCGATCAGGGTATAGAATTCTAACGCGGGAATACTCATTATGCAGCGGTTTAGTCGCCCGATCGCTCGTGTATAATGCGGGCATGTTGACAGCATCCGAGATTTTTGCTCTCATCCGCCGTCTCAATGCCCTCCATTTGCTGTATTTATACCATTAGAGTGTACGAGGATCAAGGGACTGAGTAACGTATGTCGTGGATTTGCTTGAGTATTTAATTAAGCCTAGGAACAAAACGGTTCACTCTGTTTGGTTAGGAGTCCTATACAGCAGGATCGAGTTCATGCACAATTAATTACGATGACTTCGAGATAGGCCTTTATGTTGAAAACCTTAGGGATCAGATCGGGTATCATTGTACTCAGTATCCGAAAGCCTAAATGGTTGTTGACCGGTCGATCATCGTATTCACTTGATCAATCCTAATATCAACTTGGACTATTAACATGATCAGGATGATAAAAGGTATGCATTTTCGGTAAGTACTAATTATGTGGTATGCATTTGTGATTGACATTCGAGCTTTCTGATAGGCACTCTGTGATAGGTACTCTGTGATACTCAACTCTTTTCTCCCTCCTCCTCCTCCTCATCATCATCATCATCGGCAGTGATGACTTTCATGCGTCCAACTATGAATCCTTCTCATAAACATGAACAAAATAATGGGAAGCTTTAATCCAACATTTGAATTTGAACAAGTTTAACTGCCGAAAAGGGGGATGCTTCATCCATGCGTGCAACATAATACCAGCCTGCTGGTAGACACTGGACGATACACGGCTATATAGTGGCGCCGCGGAGCACCACTTACAGCAAGGCGCCACGCCATGAACAATACGCGTTATATCACAGAACCTGCATTGCATGACCATAGTGTCTCACTGTCTCTATCTTCATTCTGATAGATTAATCTATTCGACTATGCACAAGTAATATGTTAAAAGTTAAATATGTCGCAGAATGTGCACATTCTGTTTTTAGCACGATTCTCGGTGCAGTTCTGCCAGTATAGACTATACAATCTCAGCGAAGAAAAAGCGGAAAAAAGCGCTCTAGATTTTACTTGTTCCATAAAATCTATGTTATGTTTGAATGATTATCATCAGAAGCTTGCTCACAAATATAGGCTAGTGTTATTTTGCCAATGCAAAGCATAATGAGGAAAATGCACACTCGGCTATAAAAAAAAATCAACACGGAAATCTGAAACGAATATGCAAAATTACAGATTAATGTCAATCAGTGTCTATAGAAGAAGAGACAGAAGCATTTTCATCTCACAAGTAATATGATTGAAATTAAATTGAATTTATTTCTACTTCTTTACACCAAAAAGCATGTATAAAATGAAATCACGGTTAGGCTATGAAAATTGCCTTCGGTAATTTGTTCGAAAGTTAAAATATAGCGATAGTGTTCGTGTTCAAAATGCATCACGTGACCTATCCTTATCGCAGAACAGATTTGCGACAAAATCGTGATTACTCTGAATTTGACCCACTTTTTTCATCTCCATAAATCACTCATCGAAATGAAAATCCTCCCGGTCGTTTTATTGGGTCCATGGTACCGGTATTGAGAAAACGGAGGAAGCCGAGAAATTGACTATGCCCCGCGGGAATCGAATTTGCAGCTGCCTTAAAGGTACCATGTCCCTTTTGCAGCCAACCTCAAATGCTGTAGAACTTTGCAGGAATTATGAATATGTCATGTATGTCCTATCTGTGAAATTTAAACGTTAGCAGTGTCCTCGTATTCAAATTATGCAAGGAAACCCGTTTACTTGCTAGACCTCACTGTCAGACATTATTGAGTGACTGACTGGCTTTTTTCTTCTTTGGTAATAACATACATGAAAAGAGTTTTAAAGGGTACATGAGCATTTGTCTACATCAATAAAACACTTCTTGTGATGGCCAAGATTAAACTGATTGAATCTTTGCGCAGCGTAAAACGTATGACCATTCGGTACAATAATTGTCTGAAAATCAAGACTATTACTTTTGGGCTCTATATCCCTAAAGTCGGTTTGACAACTAATAGTCGTTATTTTCCCACTTGAAGACATTTTCAAGCCCCACCTTTTTTAGGGAAGTTCTAAATTAGTATTATCTTTCAAATGCAGTTGGAATTTAACTTTTTCATTTTTTTGGCCTGCAAATGGGACATAGTACCTTTAAACGAGTGTGAGTTATAATTAAACTCTGTTTGGACAGCAACGTTAAACTTTTCTATACAATCATGTAGACTAAACTGAATTGAATTGAATTTATTTCCACATTTCCATCAAAAAAAAATGTTTAAAGCATGACAAAATATATCTAAAAAAACAACATGTTACATTATAAGGTAATTTATATTTTTTGAGTATTGTTGTATATACATTAATGAATTTTAATAAATACAATTACAAAAAATACATAAAGAGATTAATGAAGCTGTGGTGGGGTCATGGTACGATGTATGTATCGTTTTCATGTTAAACTGAGTAGGATATTTTGGGTAAGAGTTTCTTATTATACAAAACACAAAAATATCTAAAGTGTAGTTATTTATATTAAGCACAGAGGGACTGCGATGCTATTAGCCGATGATATTTAAGTGGTGTGAGAGGCGATCAATATAGTTGTGGTCGATGGCAAGTTGTTCCCCGAGTTTATCTCAAAAGAAAAAGAAAAAACAAATGAAGATAACCTGCTTTGATTATTTTGCATGAAATCGGATTTCCTCAAATATTGCTTTGAAACTAACATAGTTTCAAAGCAATATCATCTTAAAGATTATAATTATTATCCAGATAAAGTTGTCCTTTGAATCGTAAAATAACAGGACGTCTTAAATGTTATTAATTCTTGCTGAATAGTAGATTTCGGAATGTAGAGTAAAAGCTGGTCGGTATACGGATCAGATATTAAACATGTCAACATTTTTAAAAAATCAATACAAGTTATTGAATATCGTAACGACAAACAAATCGAAACCAATCAATGTCCATAATGTTTATTATGAACAGACATTTTCAGTTTTCAAAAGGGCGTTTCATGAGTTTTTATACCGTCATCTGTATCTACTAAGACATTTTCTGATATATAATTATGATACCTTGTCGGTTGTAATTTATCATATAAAATATTATGATCTAAAATTCTGATCTATAATGTTCATGAATAGAATATTGCTAATTATGTGTCAATATTTAATTGAGCTTCGTCGAAAGAGGAATTCAGCGATGTCGAACAATCAGATATAATGAGTCACTGATAATAATCCAGTCAACGGAAGCCATCGTTTAGCTATTACTGATAACTTGATACTCGGCATAAAACAGTATTGTCTGGGAAAATGAAAGCTTACACCGACCCCGCTACTGTTTGAATATTTAATGTCATCAATCTGCTTTAAAGGCAGAACGGGTGACATTATTCCAAAAGATCGTCGCGATTGTGACAATATCTTACCCTGACCATCCATTTCGTATAAACTACTTAAAAAGCATGATCAGTCGAGATATTAATAGAAGTATAAGGGATTGAGGATTTAAGGAAACACCCAATACAATAATTTTCACCTCTATTTATTTGAAATGATATTGATATATAAGTATAAGGGATTGAGGATTTAAAGAAACAACGTTCTAATCATTTTCACTTCTCTTTATTTTAAGTGATTGCACATGTTAATATAATATTGACAGCTTAACAGTTCTTCTTAAAATACCGGAATAAAACGAAGTCGTCAGTAAATATTTTTTAGAGATCGCTAGTATTATGTGCAAGGGTATGATTTGAGAGGGGGACATTTGTATCTAAATGCTGTTGATCTATTTGACACTGACATAATCCTTGAACGTTAACGGAACATCAGAGACTTTTGATGGAACGATGATATAGATTCTTATCAGGACCGCCTGAAAAATCACATTTCTCAAGTCACACTTACTGACAAGTTATACGCAAACTCGATTAGCACTTTATACTATAGCAGACTGTCTTATTCAAACTCCAAAAAATCGTTATCGTTCATACATGGATCTTTATCATATATTATTACAAAGTGGGTAATTGATATAAATATACATTGAAAATATCTGGGCCTATCCTTGCTTCTTTATGGTACTATCAACTCAAACATAATTATGGGGTATTCTTAAAAATCTCTGAATGTAAAATATGCATGGGACAATACTAGGCTTTCCTCTGTTGCCGACTGCATAGAATTTCTTGTCCGTGAATACAAAATACAAAACTACATTTTCCCCCTATTACTCCGCGTAATGGCAACAAAATATCAAAATAATTCTTAATTTTTGTGCAAAGCGTGAGGGGGGTAGGAAGAGTGCAGTAGACTAAAGTGGATCCGCCCCTTCTATTCTTCTGATAATTCCTATATGTTAAAAAGATTCGAAAATTAGAAGCTTCTTAACAAACTTAAAAATCATCGTAAAGAAAAATGCACCGATCTAGTATCACGAAACCATTTTTTTCTCATTTAACGCGTGATATGACCTTTGAGAAACCAACAAATGAAATATAAAAGTGAGATTTAACCCGCGAGCTATCTAAACCTGTCACAACAAATGCAAACACCCCTTCAAAGATAAGATTAGGATATACATAACAAAATAAACTATTTCACCTCTATATCGTTAAAAAAAACGTTTCCATATATTATCTGATCTTTGTTTCGGAAAAGTACTATATTATTTGATAGTATCTGTCATTCTTTCGAAATAAAGCAATATTTTTTTGATACAGAGGGAGCATTTAGGGGGAAATCCGTAAACCAAAAATGAATCATGCTAATTTGCAGACAATGTTGATAAAAGCGAAACATTTTAACACTTGCGTCAACTGTCAAGATGTACTTTAAAACCGTAGACTGAAACTGATACGCCGTTTGATAAAATAGTCTTGACTTTGCAGCTGACAAAATGTTTAGAAGTCTTTTGATGTAGTTTCGTGACTTATATCAGAATGTTCAATTCTACAACTATCATCGCTGTGAGTTGAGCATTAGCAAGTTCTCTAAAGTATTGGGTCGGATTTAGGGAATGAGTATTCTGAATTTAAAAAAAAAAATTAAAAATTAAAAAATTAAAAATTAAAAATTAAAAAAAAATCATAGGATATAATAACGTTTCCATCATAACCGATAGATTATCCAAGACGTTTATCCTGCGTCAATTTTGATGACATACCCACTTGGATTTTGTTTATTTATTTGTTTACAGACTCCTATAACAGCGTCATGTACCCCCCCCCCCCCTCTTTCCCAGCTGTTATCGACTCAAGCATTCAATGCTTATGATAGTTGGTCTCTGCTCTTATCTTGGTTCTTTTTACTTACCTCCATATTTTTAAGTTTTCAATTATATATGCATGTTTATGTGTGTGTATTTCAGTTGTCACTCTTTATGTAAATCAATTATATTATATACTATTATTTTTATTTGAATGTTTTGTATTTGATTTATCAATAAATGCAAAAATATCTGCTAAAAAAAATGTTGATAACAATAACGACAAAAGTAACAATTCTTATCCGTTCATCTCCATCCCAACTTTAAATAATGATGTTCATAATTATAATACTCGTGGGCGAGACTCTTTTCATTTTTGGCCAGTTAAGACAAATATATATTTGAATTCTGTAAGAAACAATTTTCCTGTTATTTGAAACTCTATTCCTCCTGATATATCCTCATGCAAGTCTTTAACATTATTTAAAAGAAAATTGAAGCAGCATCTTACATCTAAATATCATTAATTCTTGTACCCATATTCATAATTATACAGCATTACCTATAGCTGTTTTCGAACCTATGATTTTGTAATGATTATTTCCATTTGTATTACGTGCCATGAACGATGTCACTGTCATGTTTTGTCATGCATGTTTCTTTTTTAGTTTTGTTTGTATATGTTCGGGGAACTATGCCTCCATAAGGCCATTTGGCCTTATTTATTAGTTCTCTATTTTCATTTTCTTATATATGGCAAATGCTTATCATTGTACATACCATTGTATTGTTTTTATTAAAAATGAAAATGAATTGAATTGAATTGAATAATATTGCTAAAGGCTCCTAATAAGATATGTATAATTATGTTGCCGTCCTTTATGCCCTAAATGAATCAAATCATTCATCTTATATATTCATCCTCTAGTTACAACTACCCTGAATCTACGTTTCTTTTGTCAATAATATGCAATTCCAATTCCAGCATAATTCATAACTGCTTGTAGCTTTCCCTATCCTTCAAACATAAAGCAAATATCGATTATTATCCAAGTGGTCAGCGCACTTTGAGCATTCATCACACATCGTTTTATGAACTTCTTCATGAATATGACGGCTAATTCAAGAAGGTCGTAAGAGCTATGTATAGTTAATGACAGTAACATGCTTCAAGCGGGCAGCCGACGACTAGAGGATTGACCATACGATTGCTATCGGTAGATTTAATTAGTAATAGTGACCCTCAGTGGAATTAATAACCATCGGGTTATCTCCCGCAGGAGGCCTGCATGTTAATGTCCGATATTCAAGACTCGACAACCATTTACCCAGAGCCGAACATTATTATGCGAGAGCAATCGAAGCATAATTAGGACAAAAGATGGCTCTATTTATACGGAGCAATTAAAGCGTGTAATTGTTAAGCATTCTAATTAAGGCCTATACAGTAACCATGGTAACTATGCATCAAACAAATTTGTGATAAATATCAATACTACAGTATTTGTTCAATAATATTCTTCATTCAGCTTGCAATTTGCAAAATTACCGTTTGGAGCATGCATATACGGTCGTAATTTAATTAGCTTGTGTCGAAACCCTGAACTCCATGCAATCACACTAACGGTGCTGTTACCTCAAATGGAAAAGAATTGGACGGTTTAGCGGAGTAACTGAGGTATAGAAGCTTGTATGAGGCATGTCTTACATATTGTAACAACTCGGTATAACTCGTATTCTGATAATAATAATATATAGGCCTACTGCAATGAATCGGGAATGGGTGAAAGTTCGTCAAATACATTCTCGGAAGAAAAAAAAAAATAGTATGAAATTACTTGAACACGTTCATTTTGAACTATAGTCTATTTCTACTCTGTTTTGAATAATTTATAACGACTTATTTTTTTCTCAATAACTTGTAATTATCAGTGATGTTCCACATCTAGGGTGTGGTACAGAGGGAACACGTACCCCAGGCCAAATGTAATATCGGCAAACGTGTACTTGTACAATGTACTTGTGATACCTGGATTCCCTTCTATGTCATGATTTGTGCATGCGGTATCATCGTGTGATATATATTCATAGTAGTTCAACCTCTTGCATGCATGCTTACGACGAATGGCAGTAATTCGTATCAGAGCCAGATACAAGGATAATTATTAACGCAGAGTAATCAAAGTATCTACTGGATTCCATTAATAAGCCCTGCGAAAGCATCCAAGGTTGCTGCGTGCTACATCACAGGGATGGCGTTACGGTGGAGCAGGAGACGATTCTCCCATATTTTTGACACTGCCTCCGCTCTTAGGAGAGAGAGAGAGAGAGAGAGGAAGAGAGAGAGAGAGAGAGAGAGAGAGAGGGAGAAGGGGGAGGGGCATTTATTTATCTTTTTTCAGTTGTCAGTGATTTAGGTCTGGAAACACTTCATAAATTCCCCCCCCCTTTTTTTTTAGGGGGGGGGGGTTATTGTATTTATTTAATTGGCCCTTATGCTTGTCAGAGAGTTCTGAAAGCTGGCCCCATTATGAACAGCCTACATGCACTCTGGTGCCTCTCTGAATAATAATGTGCATAAAATTACACCCAGGCATGTACGAATCCACAATCTTACACTGTCCTGTACCCAGATGATAATGAATCATATTTTGTAGCAGGGAGTTGATATAGTAGCGAGGATCTGGCAATATGCCATGCATGCAGGCGCGCGCGAACTATAAATCAGCGCCATTGACCGCTAAACACTAAACAGGCAATGCACTTGCGTGGCGAGTATTATGTCAGTCAATTTCATCGACTGTCGTTCCCGCGCATATTTTTCCCCTCTCTTCATCATCTGCGAGTCTTGGATAATAATCTGAAATACAGCGACAACGTCTTGGCGTATAGAGTTAATGAAGGGCCATGCAGAGTATTTCGGTGAACACAGATTTCTGTCCGATGTCAACAGGTTGATATGTGTCTACGGATCGAGGAACTCGTAGTTTTTTAATGCGAGAGGGAAGGGGAACGGGATCAAGATAAGGAGAGAAAAGGAAATCCTTGTGGTGATAAGGATAACAACGGGGATGATGAAGACGACGACGAATAATTATGACGGATATAATGATATATGACTGAATGCGTCCTATATACTGTTCCAGTGAAATCAAAGCATATGGATTTGTGATCAAGGCTTAGTATGAACCTCAAGTGCGAAATACGAGGACCAAAACATAGGTAATGTTTTTAACGAATCATAATGGGAAAACAGTGTTTCCGCCATTGAGCTAATTTATTATAGAATAGGGGTCAGGCTCTATGTGAGAGAGTTATGCACATGTATATAAGGTTAAATATGAGATTGTCAACCGTTCCCTATGACAACAGTGATGCGACGAGTGTAGTGATGAAAGCGACTTTGGTTGCCATGATAATGTCCATTTGCTGGAGATACAAGATAAGATTGTGTTTGTCAATACATGTCGGAACCGTCTTCATTTTATCATTTAGTTATGAATACTAGTGTAGGTCTACTCGGCAAACAGCACGAATGCGAATACATGTGCAGTATTGCGATGTCAAGTTTAAGTTATTTTATTGAAAACACAAAACATGATATAATCTTTTACTTAAAAAAGAGGCTGGTAATAGTACATTAATCAACATAACTATTTTAAGATATTTTAACTTGATTACATCTATGTCGTATATAAAATTATATGCTGCACAATTTCATCCAACTAACTGTAGACGATATGAGTACATGCATGTAAATAAAATACGGTGAATTAAAAACAAAACTTTATTCTCTAATGTACTATAATATATAAATTTCACACACACACGCACACGCACACGCACAATGACTTTGTATGAATCGCCTGCTTTTGCCATGTAGCCCTGTCGATATAAGGTAGGAGGTCATATAAGTATGACGTAGGCAGTGGAATTATTGGGTTCCTGTCACCCATTACAGTATACATACCGGTAAATTGTATTATGATTGTAAGGGTGATCGAGTGTGTGTGTGTGTGTGTGTGTGTGTGTGTGTGTGTATGTATGCTTTTAGAGTTAGAGATTCAATAAAAATGAGAGAGAGAGAGAGAGGGAGAATTTTTATTAGAATCTACATAATCATTTATATTCCCCGCCCCCACCCCTCTTTCTCTCTCTATGTATTTCTACTTTAAACGTGACTACCAGTGTTCAAAATATTTATTGCAGATACTGGTGAAACAAAATGTTAGACGTCTTTAAATGAAGAAAGCTGAGAAAAAGTAGCAGATGGTATAATCTGACAAATCACTATATGCCTATGGGCCCCTCACATTAAATGTACCGGACGACAATGTCAATTTTCATAATGTATGACTATAGGGGGTCTTTTGTTTTAAGGAGATCTATAATGATATGCTATCCATTATATTCATGTTGTGAGAAGGGAGGGAAGAAAGCACCAAGGAGGAAAAACAGAAATGAATGATATTATTTTTGAACATGACAAACGGGAGTGTTGTCCATGACGACGTCACATTCCACCGATCAAAATTGCCTATTTGAGATTCGCATAGTTTTCAGGTGATCTCATATTTCAAACACTTATGATTCCCTTATTTTTGGTTCGATTCATTTGGAATTTTGCCATTCCGTTTCTCTTATTTTTTATTTCATACCTATGAAATTAGTAAAAATGTGGGACTGATTTCAGGTTCTATATACAATTATGATGATTATTAAAAGTAATGGCCGTGATAGCGTTACCTCAACTGTTGCTTCCTTCTGTGTATCTTAGATTAATAATGATTTCGTTTACCTTTCAAGGGCCTTTTTATTCAATTTTAAAAAGAAAACTTACTCTAGAGTCCCTCAACAGGTTCGCTACCTGACACAATATACTAAAATCAATGACAGATGCATCCAATGTCACAAGCTGTGTAAGGTAATGAAGGCTGATTAGTTTGTGATGATAGAGAGTCACGTGACGCTTGCGGTAAGGCAAAGTGAAATTGATTCCTAGTTTGCAAACCGAATTTGTTTTTAATGAGGCGAATGGGGTTGCATTTTATTTGATATTTGATTCATTTTCTGTACATGCAATCGTCAAAAAATTTGTCAATTTTAGCACACATTTGTTAATTCAGTTTCATTTATATTATTTGTACTACAGACTACAGAGACTCAAAACAAGGCGAAAGCCCTATCATTGTCTAAGTTTTCCGGAGATCCTGTTCATTCATACCCATTGTAACACACACAAATAAGAGAATGTAGGAGGGTACGAGCAAAAATAATTCATTTAATTTAATCTGATGATCCTGGTAAGGTCTGACGATATCCGATGACGTGTAAAAAAGGAGCGCCTTGAAGAAAAGTCAAGCCTTCCAAGCGGATGATGAGGTGGTTTATTGGTGGGCAGGGTTAAGGTTCGGTCCCGAATCGCGTCTTTCGACTGCATTAAACAAAATAAAATCTGATTTGATGAACGTCTGTTATTTACAGACGTTCATCAAAACAAAAACACACAGATCGAGACCGTGCTGTTACATCCATGCACTGCTCCTCATTATTTTTGTGGAACTCGATCACTCCCTTCCTCTCTTCATGAGAGTGACATTCTAGAACACTTCAAATCATGCCTGACAGGTGAAAATACCGACTTCCTTAGAGGAACCTGCTTCTTTGAATGTTTACAAAAATAGACAGAAATAATTCGACATGATTTGAATCATCATCATCATCATCATCATCATAGCTGTTTTCCAGAGTATAAAAAAGAATGGATCAGCAAATGTCATCTTGCGTTTGGAAATTTCTCTAGCTATCCCATGACTTGTGACTTAAATCAAAATATTTGAAAGTCGACATTTGGCAAGCTGAAGAAGAAGAGAGAGAGAGAGGGGTAGGGGAGAAAGAGAAGAGAGGAGGAGGAAGCATGGAGGTTGAGATGTAGGCTTATATGATAGAGAGAATGAATGGGAATGGGGGAGGGAGAGAGACAGAGAGAGAGAGAGAGAGAGAGAGGATGAGGGAGTGTTGATCCAGGGTTGTGAAATTTAAAAGTTTTTACAAATACAATAATTTATCGTCACTATATAACTTTTGACAATTTTTTTCCCAGTAGACATGCATTATCACGAACAATGGGTTTATTTCTTTAATAGTACATGTACATCCGTTTCGAAACAAATTTTGTGAGACCATTAAATGTTTAGAAAGTTAATTTTGGCACGACTGCCTCGCATTATTCTGTGCATAACTCTCTCATTTTCGTCTTGCTATTTCTTTTCATCAACTTGTTCATCTCCGAGTTGGAATGGGCGTGACGTTAATGGCTGATTTGAATTTTGTTTGTCTACATGTATGTTTGTCTTCCTCTTCCTCTTTCTCCCTCTCCCTCTATGTTTCTCCCACTGTCTCCCAGGCTCTCTTCCTTTTTTTCTCTTCGCTTTAATTTCAATAAGTAAAATGATTTAGAAAAAGAGGCTTTCACTTCGGTATAGATACGCAATAGTTGTTTTTGTTTTGAAATATGTCGGGAGGGGGGGGGGATCACTTAGTGCTCCCACTCTATATACGCCAGTGTTTCATAATAACTCACCTCCCTTAACATTATATTCTATCCACCGAAACCAATCAAATGTTAATAAGGCGATCCTCATTTCCTGTTACTGGTCTAATGAAATTAGTACGAAGCATCGCTATACCCCATCAGTAAAGAATTGGGAACATATCTCATTAAGTCTTCTCCGACACTTGATTCTGTTTGCTGTGTGCGTCAGCTTGTTCGCAATTTGCATTATTTCCCTGTTTGCTTTCCTTGCTAGATACGTCACCATAAAAACACTAGTTACATTGAGTATACAGATGAACGTTGAAGTTTAATTGTGCGTGCTGGGGAGTGATATCATTTTTCTTCTGTTAGGCCTTACTTTATTCTCATAACGAGAAAGAATCAACAGGCAACAGTTTTGGAGGTAGATATGGGCCGTATAGTATTTCGTATTTCGTGAGATAGAAGTATCTGTTAACTGTGCTATTCTTCCATAAAAGGACTTGTATAAATTGTTTACATTTTGGATTGTGTTTATGTTCGAAAGTGAACTCATGGTATTCACTTTGTAGCCTTCTTCTTTATTTTTTATTTTTTGTTTATCTGTATTATTGAAACAATCAAATACAATCTTATTTTGTTTCCTACTTTGTTTCTTACTTTCTAAAATACCATAATTTGAGTTTGTGATCATGATTCTCTTCGTTTTATCTTTCCTTTCCGTCAAAATTGTTTATTATATTCCTCTTATTTTCGTCTCTTTGTCACCTAGGTATTGAGATGGCTGCCAAATTGGTCGTTAACAATGCTGTAAGATATAATCTTCTCTAGCAATTGGATACAGGTAATATTTAAAACAATGGTGGAAAAACGAAGCCCTAGTACTATGACCGAGCCAGTGGGTTGGAGCGACGTCAACTGCAACGCCGAAGACACCGGAACGATGTCCGATTCTCCCGACATCATCGATCACCATCCCATTCGAGTTCGACGACCACAAGATCCCTACAACTGCGTCTACATATCATTGCTCCTCGCCGGGACGGGGTTCCTTCTACCCTACAACAGCTTCGTCACCGCCGTCGACTTTTTCCACGGTCATTTCCCTGGCACCACCATCGTCTTCGACATGAGCCTCGTCTACCTGCTCGTCGGCTTCGCCGCCGTCATGCTCAACAACGCCTTAGTGGTCAAGATCTCGCTGCAAAGAAGGATCCTGTTGGGTCAGATCATGGCGTTGTCGGCACTTCTTCTGGCCTCATTCCTCGTCGTGGGGCTGGATTCGAGCCTACCCAAGCAGTTCGGATATGTCGTCACACTGCTTGCGGTCGCTGTGACGTCATTCGGTTGCACAAGTAAGTCAAGGTCAATTGTGAGTTTGAGAAGTTGATACCTCAGTCACACCCCCGGACAGAATCGAAACCCACCGATACTTGACCATGATTGGGTAAATTAATATTTTGTTCGGTCTGTTGCCGGTCGGGTATCGATCTCGTTTGTGTGACTGGGGTATGATTCATGATTGCCTGCATGCGTCAGTCAAAGGAAATGTCATCCCCGGGGACACATACCTGAAAGTGTCAAGCGAAAGTTGGCTTTACACAAATAATAACAATATCTGACTCGGGTTTATGCCATTATAGCATTCATTAATATTTCATTTTAATTGGCATTTTGACTATCAAACCCACTGGATAGCTGTTAATTAGTTTTGAGATGGATACACAGTAGACATAGATATAGGGAGTAGCTCATTACAAAAAATAATCATGCCTAAGTATATGAAAAATATTGAGCCTAGATCATTAACCATTCGTAATGCTTACATCCATTATTAGTGAGTCTAAAAATACATCTAATTTTGTTTATAAGCAGCAGGAAATGAAGGAAAATCAGAATGAAAGTTACATAGTTTTGCTGTTCCCACGTGTATGCTATTTTGTCCTACACTGCTGTACAACCCAGACAACATTACAATACATTAGAATACAATGCTTAATGGGAGATTAAACAAAAATCATGATTATTTCAGTAGTACAGTAATCATGAGCATAATTTCAGTGATGCATATATTTTATTGGCAAAATATTGAATATATGCGTCATTGGACGTTGGCCTATATCCCCTCTTCCACCCAGCGTCATCGTATTAAAGTTGTATTTCAGGACGGAGGCACGTCTCTTTCACTATCAGCTCTCCCAAATTAATGGTATAGATGATACAAAATTAATTAAGTAATGTAACGAAATGCCAACGAACATGTTGATCTCATATCAGACAACATCTAGAGTAGACATATTATGTCTAACTCTCCGAATTTCAGACAAAATTTACTCAATTACAGTAATTTTATACTTTGCAAATCTTCCGCAAATTATCCATTACAAATCGTACTAGGCATAATTACTACCCCGACCTTTCTTAGCTACCCCGCTTCATGGCGTTGGTATTTCGTTGGTAAATAATTAGTCCGCTAAAGGAGCTTTGTTTGTTGGCAATCATTGTAGGTTTTCCATCAAAGTATTTCTCCTAGTTATATTGTCAAATTCTTGAAACATCTTTTTTTTTAACATCAAGAGGTCAAGCATTTCCATGCATCGTTTCAAACTGTGGAATAACCCACCGCTGTAGAATTTATGACATCACTATCGTTAAATACTTTTGAATAATAACTTAAAGCGCATCTTTTCATTTAACTGTCCAAAGTAGTTTTAAAGCACATGAGGAACTCTTGTAGCGCAGTTGATATACATATCATACGCAGTTTCTGCGTTCTGCAAATTCATATTATCCTTTTATCACTATATTTTTTTATTTCTAAGAACGATGAACTACAGAAACGATGAATGATTATATTTTCGTTTCAGTTCAACAATCCAGTTTCTATGGTTACGCCGGAATGCTTCCAAAGAAGTTCACACAAGCTGTCATGGTAGGAGAAAGTAAGTGGACATATTTTTTTTGGCAGATTCCTAGATCGATCAATTTTGTAATTGTATACACTTTTGGAAAATATATGAACATTACATCAAACAGAAAACTTTGATTGAGTTGGGCGGGTGACATCACATTTTCCGTTTCGTGTTTTTACTATTTTTATGACTAAAACAAACTTAAACCTTGATTTCTACCTTTGGCTCTGAAAGAAATAATTGTTATACGGTAAGGAGGGTGAAAAGGGGGACCCTAACTCGAGGGAAAAAAGTATAAAGAGAGAAGAAAGGGGAAAAGGAGAGGGGAGAACATAACACGAGAAGGTGACACAAGTCACTCCATACCACCAAGGGTCGCTGCGCTCAGTCGCACTTCATCCGTCGAAAAAGACTAGCTAGCGCTTCCTCCCGATAAACAAAGATTGGAAAATGATTATCATTCAGAGAAGGGAATCGGGATTTTAGAACTATATAATTAAAGGAATTTACAATATTATGACAGTTTATTTGGTCACCCAGATGATAATAAAGAGCTAGGCCTTCTTGCATAAAAAATATTAAACCGCTCCAATACTAAAACGTAACTTAATTGACTTTAACCAATCGCTTTGGAGATACGTTTACTCCCAAGGTCCCTTACAAGATACGTAAATCATGCGTATAGTGTCCATTTTAGCTTGATAATGAATTAAATGGGCTTCATGTTTTTAAAACGTAATATAGGTACTGCAGGTGTTCTGACATCCCTTAACCGCATCATCACCAAACTCCTGGTACCGAACGAGAAGGTGAACACCCTCATATTCTTCATCATGTCCGGAATCACCTTGTTGCTATGTCTGATGATCCATCAGGCAGCCCGACGGACTCAGCTTGTTCGGCATTACACCACGGCATGCCAGAACGCGGGGCTGGGAGAGGACGAGAGGAGCTTACAACTCAGCACAGAGGTGATCTTCTGTATCTAAATAATTTGTCTCACCTTCTTGTGGATGTTTTGTAGATTTTCATGTATAAAATCTTCAATGAACTTCGTGTAAAATTTCGGACATTTTGCACCGTGACATATAGATATGAGGGGACTATTCTGATCTCTAAGTGACTCTGTTGCAGTGTTGGTGATCATTTCATTCTCTTTAAGAGTAAAATCAGGTGTTCATCTGGGTTATAAAGCTAGTTAATATTGTTTCTTCTCATCATATTCAAATAACCAACTCCATACACAAATATTTGGATGCCATAAACGTGGGGTTTAAGTAAGGCTTTTCAATGAAGTTGGTATTTATTTATTTATTTATTTATTATAGTTTTATTTTAACAGGGTGGTCTCATTCAAGTTCATTTCTGAGCCTGCTCTCCCAGAGAGCCCTGTATTCACATAAAAAACATGTACAATAATAACATGAATTCAAAACATACATACAAAGGTAAAATATACATGGTATATACAATAATTAAACATGGGTAACGAAAAACACGCATTAACAATAAATTATAAGGAAAAAAAATACAACTATCAAATTGAAAAAACTAGATGAATGAAATGTAATAAATAAAGGTCAAATTAACGTGAAAATATGTTTACAAGGGAAACTGAAAGGTTTTGACATTCTTTTTAAAACTTTGCAGCGACTTACAATTTTTAATATGATAGGGTAATTTATTGTATATTTTAGCTCCTGAAACCGCTAAGGTTTTCGTTTTTAAATTTGTTTTACACTTTGGAATGAATAATGGACTGTTTAAAGCATAACGAGTAGAATATAATATCGGTCTTTTACTTATACATGGATTAAGATATGGTGGTGATAGGTCGTTTATGATTTTAAAAATCAAGATGCATTTCTGATATTTAATTCTTTCCTCTAATGACCGCCATTTCAATTTACTCATTAAAACATTTTGGGGTGTAAAATATTCGGCACGAAGAACTAATCGTGCATATCTATTTTGTAATTTTTGCAACTTTGTTAGATTTTGTTTCGAAGTATTTCCCCATACTGAATTACAGTAGTTTAAATGCGGTAGGATAAGAGAATAGTATAATGTAATAAGATTCTTACGGGAAATATAATTGCGTATACGTCTAATGCAGGCAATCGTACCCGATACTTTCTTAACAACTTCTTTTACATGTAACGACCATGTTAAGCTTTTGTCTAGTGTTACACCTAGATATTTCATACTTTCGACTGAGTCGAGTACATTGTCACTGTAACGAATACAAATATTATTATTTTGAATTTTTCTTTTGGAACCAAATAGTATTGTTTTGGTTTTATTTGCATTTAAAAACAGTCCATTGTATTTTAGCCATTTCAAGATACGGGTAAAATCTTTTTGGAGATTGTATTCACAAACTTTATAATCCTTTCCATGATGAAATACTGCCGTGTCATCTGCATATAAGGAAATCTTTGTCTTAGAATGGAGTTGCAGGTTACAAATATCATTCACATAGAGGCAGAAAATTAATGGCCCCAGTATTGATCCTTGTGGAATTCCTGATTTCACAGTTAGAAAATTACTCTTAGTCCCTTGCAAGAATACACATTGTTGCCTATTAGATAGATAGGATTCGAACCACTCAAGTTCAACTCCCCCAATACCATACAATAACATTTTCTTAATAATCAATGGATGTGGTATAACGTCGAACGCCTTTTTCAGGTCAAGAAAAATGGCTCCAGTGACCAGACCTTTGTCCATATTGTCAAGTATACCTTCGACTATTTCAGTCAAGCATGTTAGAGTTGAATGCCCTGGTCTAAAACCTGATTGCCGTTCACTTAACAAAGAATGTTTGTTTAAGTAAGAGTATATCTGATTGTGCACTGCTTTTTCAAATATCTTTGACATTGTGGGGAGAATGGAAATAGGTCGGTAGTTAGTTAATTCCATTTTGTTTCCACCTTTATGAATAGGGGTTATTTTAGCAACTTTAAAGTCATGAGGAACGTACCCATTTGACAATGAACAATTGAACAATACTGTTAAGACTCTAACAATATGTGGGGCAGCTATTTTAAGTAGCTTTGGAGGAAGATCATCAATACCAACTGCTTTTGAAACATCAAGCTTGAGTAGTTCTTTTAATACAAAACATTCCTCGATCTCTGTAAATTTGAATTCATGTGCTGTTTGCGGTAATGTTTGCAATGCATTTATATTGAGATGAGAATCATTCGCTCCTGTTAGTTGGCTTTGAATATTATTGAAACTTTCATTAAACAATTCTGCTACTTTTTCTTTGTCTTCTACAATTTGGTCATTTACAAGAATTTTATGATCAGAATTGGCATCTTTCTTTGGGAGTAAGTCTTTGAGTACTTTCCAGGATTTTTTCATATCATTACCATTTTCAATGCAAAGATTCTTATAATATTGTTTCTTTAACTTCTTGTTCAGTACATTTGCCCTATTTCTGAATTCTTTAAACTTTTCCCAGTAGTCTGTAGTTCTGTGTTTATCAAATTTGCATTTAAAATAATTCCTATCTCTTGCGATACATAAATATTCGTTGGTAATCCAAGGTGACCCCCTAGAACGTTTTCTTACTGTGACATACGGTGCATGAAGATCACAAATGTCTTTGAATTTACATTTGAAAATATTCCACATATTCTCAACATTGTGATTGTTTAAGTACAAATTATCCCAGTTTATATCTTTAACATCATTTTTGAAAGAATTTTCATTAAAGTTTCTAAATGAACGGTAGGTACTCACAGAACATATAGAGGGCGGTGGTTTTTCTTTCAATACAAGGTATATCAATAAATGATCACTTAGACCGATAGACCGTGTGCCACTCTCCAGTGATTTCAAATTATTTGACACAAAAATTAGATCAATAAGGGTTGTACTATTAACGGTTATACGTGTCGGGGTCCTTATCAGCTGAGACAAATGCATATTGTCACTCAGATCATGTATCTGCTTTGAAAGATTATTCTGAGTTAACATATTACAATTTAAATCACCTAATATTACAATATCATTTGATAACATACATATATTTTCTAAATTAATTTCTAGGTTATTGAAAAAAGCACTTCTACTGTTAGGTGGACGATATACAACTCCAAGATACTTTGGTTTGTGATTGTGTAGTCTTATCTCTAGCCACATAATTTCTAACTCACGGTCTTCAAGATCAGGTCGTCTAATATATGATATATTTTTTTGTATAAAACATCCAACTCCTCCTCCCTTTTCGTCTCTATCTAGTCTTTCAAAATGATACCCATCAATTTGTAACAATGAATTACAAATGTTTTCACTTAGCCATGTTTCTGACAAGGTCAGAATTTCGTACGGATTTTCTTTCAAATATAATTGCAGATCATCCACCTTATTTCTAAGACTACGAATATTTAAATGTGCAATTTTCAATCCTTTACCCTTTGGAAAGTCATTTATAGAGGTACAGGTATTCGTACTTAAGTCAATGTCTATATCAACAGAATTTGTATGGTTCAAGCTCACATTTCTATCTTTTACTATATCCTCAACATTCCAAAGCGGCATTTCTAGGAAAATACATTTGGTACATATTGCCAATTGTGAAACTGTTCAGTTTTATCATCATATTGTTTGGAAGATACATCTCCACATGAAATATGTATCCATTGGTTACATTTAGTACAAAGTAGCGCTTTTTGATTACACTTTACGGGTTTCTCACATATATTACAAGGAAAGACATTGACCATGGTTAAAATGATGAAATAGGACAACAACAACAACAACAAAAAACAAAAAAACAAAACAAAACAAAAAAAACTTGAAATATAAATACAATTAATTTGAAATTTGAAATAACGTTCGTCTCCTTCTCAATTAAATTGAATATAACGCTTGAAATTCTCAACATGAGCCAAGCTGGCATTAATTTGGGATAATTTTGATCTCTAATAATACCTCCATTTTGTTACAAAGAGTAAATTGTTTCGAAATGGCAAACAGGTACATACAAGTTCATGAATAATTTCTCCAGCACCACCATCTGTGGGTGGAGGCTCAAACACTCAGTTCAAATTATGTAGCAGAATTTCTCATATATACGCTCAGTTTGTCTAAGTCTCTCTCTCTTGTGACATTCACTCTTCCTTTTCCTTCTTTCAGTTTAATGCAGATACGTCCATCTTGTGTCCATGTCTTATCAATGATTTTCTTGAATTTGTTTCTAACCTTCCAGAGTAGTTCTTTCCGCTTCTTAGTGAGGCTTTCATTGATGTAGACATGGTGATTATTCTCATCGCTAAGATTCTTTAGCTTGAATCGTGCACTGTAGACTTGCTCTCGGGTGCGATAGCTATTGAATTTAACGATGATATTCCTGGGTGTGTGGCTATAGTTGGTCGTCCCGATGCGCGGTTTCGTCGATCCGTCGCTTTGGGGTTTCTGCTGCCCAAGTCGATGACTACGTTCGACGTCATCCATCTTGATATCGACACCGAGGTCCTCCTTGCAGAGTTGTATGATTCTGGAATCGGTATTCTCATTCATCCTCTCAGGTACACCACTTATCACAAGGCATGTACGTCTGGAGTACTGCTCAGCATCATCATTAACTTCCTTTAATTCGTCTATTTCCTTTCTCATCGCCGCCATCACATCCCCTTGATTTGCAGAATTAAATTCCAACGAGTCCAAAACTTCTTGACAAATTGACTCCTTTAAATCATTCAGAAGCTTTCCTTGAATTGTTCGAGTAAGCTGATTCACAAATTCGTCGTCTTTGAGAAGACTTTCTAATACTTGCCGAATGGCTGAATTGAGTTCAGCATCGGGCTCTACGGAAGTAGATTCTGGCGCCGCGGGGCTTCGTAGCTTGGTCACGTGATCTCCCGATGCGTGAATTGGCGCCGGTTTACCGGGTTCCTTTGTACCGCCCGATACATCAGCGGGAGCTGGTGGGCTCTCCACGGTGCCTTGGGTAGGGACAATGGTTGGGTGTGTCCCGTTGTTTGCTGCAGCTTCTCGTCTCGGCTTTCCTGATCTTGTAGGCATTTTTACTGATGTTTTGCTGGTAAATCAAGGGTTTTGGGTCCAATTTCTACAAGCGGTAGTCCATGTAACGATAAACAGTTCTTGTTTTCGAGGTTTTCGAGGTAATATTTCCAGTATAGCTCAGTTTAGCTCATTGTTGGAGAGAGCTAGGTCATTAACACGTCCGCTCATCACGCCGATCAGTTGTTTAGATGCATACATGTTGGGAGACAACTAATTTTAAACTCAATTTCATATCAATACTTCCGTAAGCAAATCATACAATTGGAATATTTATACGTGGATTTTTAGTGTTGTTATCACATAACTCTTATCCCATTCTCTCTTAAATGTTATTCATTAATGCTTAACAGGTATCTGGAAGTGGAACAGCAGTGAATGTTGATGATGTCAATCTCCAAAGCGATGAAACACCTCAATCGATGGAGGAAGCGAGATCAAATTCTCAGACTACAGAAAGACAGAGGAAAACTCGTCAACCAATGACATTAATATCCTGCTGGCATTCAATTGTTGGTGAGTATCAAAAAGCTAATAACTGTTGTATATTATACCTCAGTGACACCGCAAACCGATTGCAGAATAATTCCAACCTGACCAACTCTTAGCCATAGGGGTAATATAGGTTTTTGTATGGTCTGTTGTCGGTTTGATTTCGGTCTTATTGGTGTGACCGAGGTATTACTGAAACCAACACATTTAATAGGGAGATTGTCACAAGTCTTCCCCTTAAAACAATTCACGGTAGCAACCAATTCATTTTGGTGGGCTTCTTTTAAAAGACAAAATCAAAATTTATCATTTTAAGCTCTCTGTGTCTTTCTCTGCTTACCTTCATCTCTCTTTTTCTCGCGCTCTGTTCATCCCTTTCGCGTGTATGAAATCATAAGTATTTTCTAAAGGACCTTTACAAAAGTGTTAACATTCTTTACGAAGGTCATGTGACATTAACGTGAAAAGAAAACAATATGACACGTTCACATTTTCTGGTGTACATATGAATTAGCACAAAATGAATTTTAAATGGTTTCAACTATGATAATATATAAGATAAATATTTTGTTGAGGAATTCAAAAATTTCTTTCATTTTTTAATTCTATTCAGGGGGTTTTCATTTGCGGGTGAACCTGTCACGACACATCTGGCCATACATGGTATCCATCGCGGTGACCTATTACATCACCCTTTGCCTGTTCCCGGGGATTGAATCTGAGGTCGTCAACTGCAAGCTTCACGAATGGATGCCCATCATCCTCATGGCCGTTTTCAATTTTACTGATTTGTGCGGAAAGGTTGGGGGCTCTTATTCATTTTTATTTGATGTCTATTAAAATAAAAACAGGTCTTGTTTACCCAGGGTAGCCTCATCAGTATTAATACTGTTCCCCTGACGGCCCTGCAATATATCATTACCTCAGCTTTAGCCAAGCTACCATGAAAAGGCACTCAAACATTCAAGGAATTTCTTCCTACCGGGTACCCATTTACCTCACCTGGGTGGAGTGTGGCAAATGTAGATAAATTTCTTGCCAAAAGACATAATGGTTTCTAGTTATAGTTTCTAGGATAATCAAATCTAATGTTCTTGGGGGTCATTTTGTCTGAAGCTTTGAGAAGGGGAATGTAATACTTTAAAGTCCAATCATTTGAGCAAGAAGGAACTTAAATTCCATAAATTTTAACCAAAAGGACCATATAATGCTTCTTGGAACTGTATTTTTGACTGTATGATTTTATTGTTTTGTACTTAACCTAAAATTCTCCCAAATATGGTGATCTAGCAAATCCATTTTTAAAAGTCCATAACCTTTATCAAAGCAATTTCAACCCACATTTGTTTCAGCGTATAGATTCTTAAAAATGTTAAAGATTTTAATTATGTAATGGAGTGCATCTTTATCTTTAATTTCTATTTCATGATGAGTCTATAATTGATTGTCAGTCCCTAATATTATATTTGATTGAGCAAACCAGACTATATCCCATAATCCATGCAGGTACCTAGAAATATTAAAACTGTCAAAATAAGGTCACTTGAAAAGGAATACATTTCCTAAGCAGGCGATGTGGCAGCTAGTGGAAGATAGTCCTTTGGGGATTCCAGTTTTGAAAACAAAAATCTTCATTTTCGCTGATGTCACATAGATGCAAACACTTTGCAAATCTTTTCTTATTCTAATCAATCTTTGCACAGTATTTTAACTCTCCTTTCTAAATCACTGTACAGCTCTTGGCAGCGTATCCCTACGAATGGCATACCAGTCGTCTGATGTTGGCCTCCGCCTCCAGAATCCTTCTAGTCCCACTCCTTCTAATCTGTGTGGCACCTAGGACTCATCCTCTACTATCCCACCCATTCTGGCCCATCACCTTCTCTGCCATGCTCGGGATCTCCAATGGCTACTTCGGCAGCGTCCCCATGATTCTGGCCCCGGGCTTGGTCCCAGAGGAGAAGAAGGAACTAGCAGGTAAGGACAACTCTCTTCCCTTACAGTTGTCGGGGTTATAGAACCATGCATGCACAATGTCTTCTGATAAATGCCATATTTTAGAATGTTAATCTATACATATAATAATATAATTATATTCAGCTTTTATATAGCACTTAATACATCTCAGACATCTCTAAGCGCTTTACAGATATACTGTTACCCCGGTCATTGGATTCAGTGCTTGCCTGCACACACTACCGCATCCTACCGGATACCCATTTTAACACCTAGGTGGAGAGTAGCAAGTGTAGGTTGACACAACTACAAAAATATGTACTGGTATACATATTTCTGTCCCACTATCATTCTCCCATTTTCTTCCCCCTCTTGGACCTTCTTTCCCTTTTCTCTCTTACTCTCTCCCTACCCCCTCCCTCTCTCTATTTGTTCATCTTATTGTGTCTCACTCTCCCTCTCTCATCTCATCTCATTTTCGTCCCCCTCTTGCACCTTCTTTCCTTTTTCTCTCTCACTCTCTCAATTTGTTCATCTTATTGTGTGTCTCTCTCTCTCTCATCTCATTTTTCTCCCTCTCCAGGTAATGTCATGACGGTGTCCTACAACGTTGGCCTCACCCTTGGTGCTATTACTGCCTACTTTCTCAAGTTCATCATTGGTCCATCCCACCAGGGGGCGTCTTGTCACGCCGTAGCGCTCATGAACATGACTGCTGCCCCCGCTAGGAATAAGATCACCGTGACTTGATCCGTCTCTCTTTCACGCTTTCTTCAAGGTGCAATATTACAACAAATTTATATATATTACTACATGTATGTTGGAGGTGAATGTGAGAAAATGTATTGGTATGTGTGGGTGTGTGTGTGTGTTTGTGACAAACATATGATTCAAAGATCATTTGTTATGATGTGCTGTGTACTGGATATAAAACAGAGAGAGAGGGGGAGAGGGAGAGGGAGAGAGAGAGAGAGAGGGAGGGAGTAAGAAAGCGTGAAAAAGTGAGAAGGAATTTGAAAAGATAAGAGATAGAAGAGTAAAGTGGAGGTAGAATACATTGCCAGCAGTTTCAAGAAAAATGATGGTTGAAAATAGATTACACAATTTTTTTAGTTAAAGAAATCAAAGTGGAACAGCCACAAAATATACACAAAGGAGACTGAAAATGAAATTAAGAATTTAAGAGAGAGAGAGAGGGGGAGAGAGATTGAGAGAGGGAGTGTGAGAGAGAGAGAGAGAGAGAGAGAGATATGACACACACAACATTAATATGGTTGAGTTATAGAAAAGTTTCTACATCAAATAAAACAAAATTAAATCAATGAATTGTAAACTTTGTGATCAATTGTAATGTATATATTGCATATTTTGCTGATAAGAGTGGCATTTAGTGAATGAATGTTAAAGCATTATGCTTATGAAAGATAAAGCAACAAATTTCATTATTTTTGTATTCATTTTTGTAGTAATAATTTATTCTGGCGTCCAACCGTGCAATATAACAGTGTGCAGATGAATGATAACAGGGATACAACGTATGCTTAAATATGAAAAATGTTTATTTCATACTTGATCAGTGCAGTTCACAACTGGTCATGTGTACGCTCTCAACCAATCATTTGATTAGGATCCACGTCATTATCTTATAATAGTAACTAAACAATGAACCGGTCATATTTAGACATGTTAAAATGTATCTTTCCTATACAAGAACACAGCCAGCAGTCTTTCTTAAATCATTGAGAATTTGATTTTTGTGCAGTCAAAATTTATTAAACAAACCTATGTCTCTGTGCTTACTTATATTTGCTAATGGATTGTCATCTAAAATGTCCTCCGATGAACAGTCCCTCATATAGGAGTACAAGTTGTTGGTCCCTTAGTTGCTTACTAAGCAAGTAATACTTTCATGGAATAAATAGAAATGAATACATCTATGTAGTATCGAATTTGTACATTCATTGCATAGATGTGTATGTATATAAGCCAATTCGTAAAAAAAATAACAACATATCATCATGAACAAATGCATTTCTCTGATCTTGCAATAGGAAAACAGAGTGACAAAGAATAAGATAAATGAACTTATTTATGTTAAACTCAATTTGTATTAATAATTCATCTCAAATACATTTTATTGGAGTACTAGAGACGCGACCTTGAAGAAACATTCATATCTATTTATGAAAAAAAAATTCCATGAGAAATGTAATACTGAGCCTCCAGTGTACAATTCTATTACATTGTAAATCTGTGTTCAAATTAATGTTGTAAACCCTTTATATTCCAAATAAAAGTGACTTTTAAAAAGCGAATATATATATCTGACTGTTTATTTCATTCCATTTCAAACTTGTCAGTATATTGTCTAAACAAATCATCTCATCCCCAAGCACACATATTTCGCCCATCCTCATTCGATCCCCAATTCTGCATTCAAAGCAAATTTATCTTAATCAATTTTTGTGGACCTATCTATGCAAAAAATGTGTTATTTACATTTCCTAAGTCAATTTTGCATAAGTCAAACTATTTTTTGCCATTACAACAGATCTATTACTTATGCAGAGTTAACTGTATAACCACGAGGGCCATGCCTCACTCGAACCAGATAGCAAAGATTTTGGGGATTGAAGGAAATCTAGTATGACCTTGCCTGAAAATAGACTGGTCCAAATGGTTAACATTTTGTTAGGGGCAGTGTAATCAAATCAAAACACTTCTCCTTAATGAAGAGTTCTTGTACACCATAACTTCTACCATAAGCCTCTACTTAGTCAAATTATACACATTAAAAAAAGAAAGCATACCCTTGTATAAAGATAGTACTGATGAATTTTGGGTCAACACAAGGAGCTGGAACTAAATCTATCAGCTGCAGAAGTAGTAGTCTTTGCCCTCTTGAAGATTCAGTGATGCCAGGTTCTTCTCAAAGCCACCCTCTGTTAGGTCCTACAGCAGGATGAAGGCAAGAAAAAAAAAAGGGGGGGGGGGGTCAGTAATAGCCAAGGTCACATGAGGTAAATGCAAATTTACGGCGCAAATATTCATAAATTCATGATACACGCCAATAAAACTAAAACACAACAAGTGTATTTGACAGAAATGAGAAAATACAATAAGATGTTTTATGTATTTTTTTCAAGTAATATTGTAAAGATCTAGAAAGATTGTGATTAAGAATGTTAAAGGTACACCCTGTAGTTGAGATGATCTATTTCATGTTATTTCCCATTTGGTCATGGCACCACCAGAGATAACAAGAACTTCAGAAGGAGTGAGAATAAAGCCAATTAGCAACTCAAATTTATAAGGTCTCACAAATGCATTTTTAAGGTTATTTTGGGAGTCTTGCAAATGGCAAATGCTTCTGGCTCTTACTGATTCACTACATTTTGTTTGCTCTGTTACAATAACACAACAAAAACAAAAAATCCAAAATATTCTTATGTATTCACAACTTCAAAACTGTCAAATGAAACATCAACAAGGTAATTGCCGGATTGTATCCCTGACTCCAGTTTGGTTGCACTAGGAAGTATGCAAAGTTATCTTTTACTGATAGTTGCCATGATTTTGTCTTTGAAAGTCTTTTGTAGAAGATCTTTTGGATCCCAGGTGGTGAATAATTTAGAAGAAGGTAGTCTATAGGTATCACTTTCATAAATTTGGAGAAACTTCATTTTCACAAAGAAACAAACGTAATACCTGTTTAATGCATATGATGAAAGGTGGAGTTGCATCAGTGAAGTGAACGATAGGAACCCTGGGTTTTGGTAATTTCTGCAGTGAAAGCAGACGATAATGAAAATAGAAATAATCAAGAATATGATAATTAAAATGAGAATAATCAAGAAATAAAATGAGTAAAAGAGTATATACCGGTACACAATGCGAGGGAAAAGGAAAACAGCAGTTGATGATATTGGACATGCTGCTGCAATGTATTCTTATTATAATTCATGCTGTTTTATATGAAATGAGTAACAATTATGTTTAAAAATTTATTGAAATGACTCTGCTCTATGTGGTGTACTTAGAAATTACTTCAAACTGTTCATATTCAATACACATATATGCTTCTTTTTACCATGCTAAGCTACATTATTATTAATGAGAAGGTTTCTCAAGAACTATATCATGGACTAACAAATGCAACATTGAACTTTAAAGACAAGTTATTAATAGGTTCCTGTAATCTCTCACCTTGCTTTCTTCATAGATATAAACTCCTTTCTCAATCTTCTTTGCATCAACATCACAGAATGCAATCACCTGCAATATCAATAAAAAAAAAATCAATACAAAAACAGTACATTAAATAACTTTAAAGCTTGGGAAAAGCAAGGAATGTATTGTGGGATAAAATAAGGGGAAATGCTTTTATGTGAAATATGTCATAATGTCTGCTAAAAGGAAATTCACAGGTACCCAGTTCACAAGGGTAATGGACCCTGTCTGCCTAATCCTTCATGAAGGTTCCCACTTGAGACAATGCCAAAAACATCTGTTTATTTTACAGTGTTTGGTTTATATAGGACCTTAAGATGAGAGACAATCTAAGCTGTACATACAATTTTTATATAGAGTACTTATACCAGGAAAATTCTAGTCTGGATGAGAGGAAGGGGTATTAGTATACCTTGTGTTTAATGTCATCCTTAAGTGTACATATGATTTTCATATACAGTACCTTTACCAAAAAGATTCTAGTCTGAATGGGGAGGTGGTATTAAGTATACCTTGTGTTTATTCTCATCCTTGAGTGATCTATAGAGCTTTCTACCCTGCTTGCCAGCATTCCAGATGGTGAACTGCTTCCAGCCACACAGAACCTGCTCCTCCAGTGATGAAACCTGGATCTCCCAGATTGTGTCTCTGTACATGGGTCATTCCATAAAGTGGGGGCAAAAAATATGTCGGTGTCCATGTAACGTAGGTAATAGGTTTAAGATCTTCTAATACACATGGAAGATGAAATTATCTGTTGAAGATTTGTATGCAATAAATATACATGTATATAGTAGTTCCATGCCAGAATTGTTCCTGTTTCAGTTGCTTTTTTTCTTCAAAACCTTTGCTAATTAATACACATTTCTCTTTCTATCAGCGTTACATGGACACCATATTCATATAACATTACATAAATATTGGGTCCATAATATTGATTAACCATGAAGCTCGAGTACTTCTGAAGGTAGTTGGCTATGCTATTTATGCAAAACTCAATTTGAGCAAACATTGTTACAGTTGATAGGAGACATAGTTTCTCATTCTGGTATGTCACAAAAAGGGCCCCAACATTCTGGACGGACCCAAAAACAGAGGAGTATGTTTACTTCCAGGGAAAGGAATGTGTACAAAGTTTTTTTCCTTTAAGGAAAAAGTTTAAAATTTGTTTTCACTGGTTCATGTACATTCTTTAGACATCACATACATCTACCTTTTTAACGAGCTGTAAGACAAATTTCAATATTACATCAAAAAGTTTGCAAATTTGTAATGGAAAATAAATTTCTGTTAATAAATACGACACTAGTTAAGAACTTCATCAACTTGATAAAAATCACACATTCAGTAATTCATTCATTCATTGTGATTCTTACTTGGGAATATAATGTGTACTGTTGTCCCTTGGCAATACCTCTACATGTACATTCTTATTATTATTAATCACATATTTCTCAATTCCCTTATTTAATACTCAGTTTTTATATAGCGCTTGAAATCACATTTCAAAGAATTATTTTCATAATTTCAAATTAATTCCTGGTATTCATGCATCCATCCAACCAACTATTCTAACCTGTGAATGGAGTGAGTAGCTGCCCCTGGATGATACCTGTACATATCATCATGACTTCATCTACTCGGTAGAATTTATTTTTTCATTAATTCACCCATTCAATATTCATTCCTTCATTCAGTCATTCAACAAGTCTACCAGGGCGTTGTGGCGTGCGCCTGTAATCCAGCTAACAATGGAAGTTACAAACTGATTCCGCCGAGGACGCAGGTTCCAAACTGAGTCACGTCTTTCGGATGTTGACGTTAACAGTCGGTCCCCAGATGTAAATAATCATATCTGATTGACACACGTCTGTAAAAACCCAATTACACACACACACTAACCTGTGAATGGAGCGAGTACCGGTGGCTGCCCCTGGATGATACCTGTACATCATCAGGACTTCGTCAACTCTGTAGAAATTAATTCTTTCATTAATTCACTCATTCAAATTCATTCATTTAATCACTCATCCATCCATCTATTCATTCTGTCATTCAACAAGTCTTACCTATGAATGGAGTGAGTAGTTGCCCCTGGATGATACCTGTACATCATCAGGACTTCATCAACTCTGTAGAGTTTCCCTCCACTTTCTAGGTGTGCCTTGAAGAAGATTAGGTCTTCTGGTGTACCCTGTTTCATAAAAAAGACCCCTTTCTCATTTATTTCTGTTCTTGTATTTTTATGTTTGGTGAAATTATAAAATGATGTGACAGATTGACTAAACAATGACCAGAAAATATTGGAATGCTGGATTATCAAAGGTAATCTGAAGTTAAAATGTACAGATATAACCCATGCAAAAAAGTTTGGAAACTCAAGTTTAATTGATTGTGATACTTCTGGTGACTCATCTTTTGCTCTAGTGACAATTACTTTGGGCTTTATTTCGTAGAAAGTATAGGGTCACACTAAGGGATGACAGATTGACTAAACAATGACCAGAAAATATTGGAATGCTGGATTATCAAAGGTAATCTGGAGTTAAAATGTACAGATATAACCCATGCAAAAAAGTTTGGAAACTCAAGTTTAATTGATTGTGATACTTCTGGTGACTCATCTTTTGCTCTAGTGACAATTACTTTGGGCTTTATTTCGTAGAAAGTATAGGGTCACACTAAGGGATGCAATCAAGTTTTGAAGTAGTTTGGGTTATGGTGAGTGTTAGGGTTGGGTCCAAGCTTGAAGTAAGGAATTCATGACGGAGCAAATATTGCAGGAGCTTGAGTCGTACATCTTACAATTATGTCAATGGTGTAATTATATTTGCATAAAATACCAGAGAGACTGACCTTTCCACTCTCATCAAATTTTCCCACGTTTCCATAGACTTCTCTTGAGCAGAACCATGTCGGCATAGCAACTGTTGGACCATGTGATGTGTAGGCCTGATAAAGAATATAATAATAATAATAACAACAACAATAATAATAATATTGATAATGATAATAATACTAACAATTATGAAAAAATAATAGTAAGAATAATAATCAACAACGACAAGAGTATGTCTCGTTTATCCAGATTAGTCTCATTATTACCAATAATGTTCTCCCAAAATGCTCTACAATCATATTATTACTGAATAAAAACGAAAGCATAACAATTTTGAAATTAGCACCGATAAGATTTAACATGACATAGATAATAAATAAATATAAAACTTAAAATATTGAAATAAACCTGTGTATATAGCTGCTCTTGTTTGAGTCTACTGCACCAATCTGTGAATCGTGGAGTAGAGTCCTCGGGAAGACGTCTAAACTGACAACCAACAATCTGAAAATAGAGAAATTAATAAGCAAAGAAATGAGATTTGATAATCTACATGAATTTGTATTATGTCAAATTGTAGTTGATGTAATCTGGTCTTTTTCAGAAAATATTCTTGGGGTCATTTACTAAACCCACTCTTTGTATAGTCCTACACATTCATTTTTCAAGATAATTAAGTAATTTCAAGCTAAAAGTACAATTATTTTCAAATAAAAAAGAAAACATACGATAGAGACACATTTAATGCCATTTTATCTCATATTTGATATTAATCTACAGAACTAGGATAGGAAATATGCAATAAATATCTTATTTCTGAGAAGAAATACACTGCTGACTTGTGTTTGTTGTCATTTGATTTCATTTTACTATTGGTTTCTTGAATCTTTCCAGAAGCAGATCAAATTGAAATTTACAAAATATAAAATTACAAATACACATCAATATAAATTTCAATGGTAAAGAAAATTATAATTTATGAGCTTTGAATTAAGCAAAAAAGAATAATTATGCTTTGAGTACAAGATGAGTATAAGAGGTACTTACAGCATTTGGTCTTGTGACAGCTGCAGCATACTGCATCTCTATTCTTCTGTTGTCCATGACATCATCCTACAAGGGAAATTAAGAAGGGAATTCCTATCAAGAAAGAGCATCAAACCCAGACGATTCCATGACATTTGCTCCGGCGACAATTGCTCCGCTGTAAATTTCATACACTAATCGAATGGCTAACTTCAACCCTGGATTCAACACTATACCCTACCCTAAACCTAACCCTAAACCTAACATAAAACCCTATTGAAACCCTAACCCTAACCCTACATCTTAGACGAAATAAAGCCCGGAGCAATTGTCGCAGGAGCAAATGTCGTGTCACCACCCAGACAGATGTTCAAAGGGAGGGGGGAGTGGGGGGAATAGAAACTCTGTCCTGCTGATTTTGTATGCAGTTGTCCAAAGTACAAATCAGGATGGCATTATTTAATCTGCTGTAGAGGCATGTTTCTAAAAAAGCCAGTAACCTAACCCTAACCCTGATCCTAACCCTAGGTACCTGATGTAGATCGTACTGTATGCAAATATATGCAAATCATCCAAGTTATTCATTATATTACTTATGAAGTTTACTTGTGGGTATGTTACCTGACTGCTATATGAAAGCATAAATGCTTGTTAGTAAGCAATATTTTTAGAAACGTGCCTCCACAATTGCTTAATTAATGCCTACCATACTCATATGAGTAAGCTTGTTGACACATTTATTCATGGAGATGATTTTATATTCGTGAACATTTTGTTGTTCCTGTTGTTGCTGTTTCATCAATCTGACTTTAAGTTTAGTTTGTTCACATTTTCAGAACCTTAACAAATTGGGGATTCCTGAATTGCAATACCTTTTAGGAATATTTTCCTGTTCTTCAAAATGCTGCATGAATATGCACATGTATGATTGGTTTCAACGCAGAATCTATATTTACATAACAGATTGCTATGAAAAGGAAAATATTATTGCATGCTAGATTCATCACCACTCCAGCAATATTAAAATACATGTATAGGAACAGAAGTCCTTCACTCAATATTTCTTGAGCATTTTGTTGAAGACCAATATACTCACTGCATCTAGGAAGCATAAACACTGCCCACTGCTTGCTTCGATGGCCCGATTTCTAGCTGCACCAACTGTAACAAAATGAAATAAAGAAAACTTGAAATTAAAAAGAAAATATACTAATTTTCATCATTTTTAATCATATTCCTGAAAACCAGGTTGCAGGTTCTGAGACTGATATTTTACATGTGAGTAATGGAAAACTTAATTAAAGCATTAATACAACATATGCACTGTTCTCCCACTTCACTTTGATATCATTCAAATGTGGGCTGTAAGTTTAATATTCGTCTCACAATTTCTGAGAGTCATATGGTTTGTTACATCATCAGCCACTCAACAAAGGAACAAAATATTATACTGAAGACATATTTCAGTTCAACTGTCCCCCCTCTCCTCTTCCTTTTCTTCTTCTTCTTCTTGCTTTTTTTTTCTTTTTCTTCTTCTTTTCCTCCTTATATTTCAGTGTGGAAAACAGGTGTCTTTTTGTAATGTTTTGGTCCTGTGCAGGTGCATACAGTGAAAAAAAAGGCCTACAATTTTGAGATAAATTCCTCTAAAATCAACATGTCGTTTAAAGAGAAGGTTGAGTTCTGGGAAGAGGTGAAAAATAATTTGTGAGCATTACTCATTCTTATTATGCAAGTGTGGAAGAACATCAGTTAAGACATGTTCCCTGAAAAGCATGGCTCTTCAAATGCCTTCATATTCTAAATATGCATGTAACATCGTAAAAATCGGGGGGGGGGGGGGGCCGGCTTTTTACGCCACGTGTTCGTGTAGTCCCATAAACATCTTTCTGTGCAAGTGTTTGTAACTTTACCAAGACTTGGCCAAATTTCTTATCATTTTGATGATTCCAGACCCTTGCAATACACACAAATTCTTATATGCTAGATGATCAACCTTTTCTGGTCGGTTCCACACCGTTTCGTTCACAATGCAATCGCATGACCAGAACTCAACTTCATCTTTAATACCTTCAGATCAATCACAGGGTTCCCAGCATATTACAGGAACAAGTTGTCCGATTTCCCCTTACTTTTCCCTTTTGAAGTTTCAACATTCAAAGATCATTTTTTTTTTAAATAAAAAAGAAGCCAATACTCCAGTGCATTCACTGTTTGGACAACAGACAAGAAATTAAGAGACTGCCTACCCAGTACCTTTTTTTTTTACCTGATTCACCAAATTATAGTGAATTTTTCCCCCCTATTCCCAGACTTTTCCTGACTGAAAAAAAAATAGAATGCATCGTCCAAGTTTTCCCTAATTGCTAAATAGCTCGAAATCCTGATTTAACATCGGTGGACAAACTAGTCTTACCTCCTACAGGTGTGCCATTATGTCCATTGATCAACATACAGATGCCAGCTTTCTCCATTTTAGATCTGAACCCTTCAAGAATGGTAGCTGATTTGTCCTACAAAATGGATCAGATTTGTTTTTTAATACATACATATAATTTTCAACTTCTATCTCACATGGAATGTCCTTAATTCATGTATATATTCATTCATATTTGAAGATCTGACTATCTTTCTACTTGTAGGATGTTCAAATTAGAACAAGACAGCAACAAAAGATATTGCAAATTTTATGAAAAAAGATGATCATATATTTATCCCTTAGAAATTCCTGTCCTGGAGATTGACAAGCTGAAATAAATAATGACCACTTTCATTGCTTTCTCATAAAAAGAATGCAGTTTTTCTCAATATTTTCAAAACATACATCTACATAATAACAGTACAGCTACTAAATTTTGATAGAGGGTTTGGCCCAATTAGTAAAAAAATGATATTGAAATAGTTGCAATGTAATTTTATAATAATAATAGTTGTAACTTAATTTATCTCACACCTTTTCAACTGGAAAAAATGTGCTTGCAGATGCGAGATGAAATACATGTTACCAAGCAGTGACTGTGTCTCTAGAAATACACCTTTCCCTAACCATAGTCTTAATCACACATCTTTCACAGATACACTGAGTGGCATATATGTCAATACCAAATTATAAAATTGACCCTACTGCAAATACATTAGATGGTAACCTCATCCCGCACTGCGCAGGTCAGCATATGTGCAGATACGATACTCAGGAAGAAAATATGACAAGGTATCTTCAGGCTTCCCTAGAGAATGCACAGCATTGTCAACTAATTTCTTATTTTACTGGACTCCTCCGTTTATTTGATGAGATCTATGTAGGCACCTTCATAATCTGATACTTATGGTTATTGGTTCTGAAACTATAATTTCTATCAGACTTTCTAGCTCTCGACCCAGGGAATCAAAGTGCTTTTGCCATGCAATGAGTACAGTATACCTATGGTATTGCCCTCTATGACCAAATATTGTAATCATGGTAGAGCGAATTACCAGAGTGAATCAAAGCAATACAAGGAAGATGTATTTTGTAAACTTACATTGCTAGCATCATTGTAGACAGACAGCTGTATGGATCCACTGAATTTCTGTGCCAAGACAGACTCTAGACATTCCACCAACCAAGGTTCACCATTGTGGACAGGCATGATGATGGACTGGATAGGATGGAAAGAAAAATGGAAAGATGAAAAAATCAATCGGATGCACCTTCTACTAGAACTTCTAGGTTTTTATCCCTTTAATACAAAAGAATGCGTATTCAATCATATCTTTACGCCAGGACAGTGAAAAATTAAGAATGAAACATGTGATTATATTGACAGTCATTCTAGGGCTTTCATCCTCAGTCATAATTCTCATATACATAATAGAATAATTATAACTTTTACAAATTCATTACATTTCTGTCATCCAATTTTATCTGTTTATTTACTATCCTCAAAATCCATGGTTAAACAAATCAATAACATTTAGTTCGTCTAAGTTTAATTTGTTTTTCGTTACAAATTTACTATCTGAAACTGAATTAAGACTGGACTTACGACACAGGGTGATGACATTATTTGTGTTTCGTTGTATGAAAAGCAGTGATACTGAGAATGAGGCAGCGCGTTCCAGGTAAACAAATCCACAATAAGCAAAGGATAACAGGCAGTCGACCAACAGCAAGAAAATAATCAGGGCCTTAGAGTCACGTCCGTGCAAAACATACACACGTACGTACGGTACCTCGAGTAAAATCCGGCCGAAGTTCCGGGGGCGTGACGTTAGCTCAAGCTTAGCATAACAGTTTTGGTGCACGTGCAGTCAGCTGTTGTATACAGTCTCTTTTAAGACACTTAGATATTTTTGTTTCTTATGGATATCATTCATTTTCACATTTTTTCGGATTTTATTAATTGTAAACTAATTTCATATTATATTCTATGTATAAAAGAATAATACGATTATCTTATGAATCAATGAATGCTGGAAATTATCCGTTATAGCAGAATTTATTTCTACAAAAAATTAGATATTGTTCATTTTTAGGCTACATATTGCAATGTATCGCTGGCGAAGTGAGGACCCAGTTGTTTTGACTTTTGGGGAATTGAATGAGAGAAATGTAAGTAGATTTAGCCTCAATAAATAAAAAATGTAAATGTAAATGACTTCATGTTTCAATAGTAGAATAAAAGAGGTACTGAGGTCCGCTCATACAATGCATGAACTTTCTCTAATTCTAAACGGCCTGAGACTGATCGAGTACGAGTGAAGGGGGAAATAATTTTTTGAGTCATTGAATGAGTGAATCAATGCAGTGACATGACAATGCCATTGACATCTCATCTTATATCTGTTGGTTACTCAAGATGTGTTGGTGTTGTTTTAGTTTTTATCAGACGTGTGTTAACTGTTGTTGTTGTTGTTGTTGTTGCTTTGTTCCTCGTACCATTCAGCAATGGAATCGACTACCAGCCACCATCATCAAAGAGTCAACATCGGCCAAGTCCTTCAATACCAAAGTTTGGAGCTACATGCAGAATGACCACTCAGCCCAGCTGTACACAGGCGGGATAGAGCGTCGATGTGGCTCTACTTCATCTATAAATTAGATGATGTCTACAACCCACTCATTTTATGAGCACCTTATTATTTTGTTTTTTTGAACTTTGCATCAGTTGTGATGTTTGTTGACAGTTTGCGATGCCACGGAAATCTGGACGTATATACCAATTGGTCCTGTCCAGTACCACCTTAGATGTAGATGTAGATGTATTCATAAAGGCGTGGGGTTCAAAATCCAATTGAAACCAGTTGAAATCTCCAACTGGTTTCAATTGTTTTCAACTGGTTTCAATTGTTTTTAATTGGAATAGAAAATTTCCAGTTGAAACCAATTGCCGAACTGGAAAATATTGTTATGGGTACTCATTTCCAGTTCAAACCAATAAGAAGTCAACTGGAACCAGTAAGATAATTTTTCCAGTTACTCAATTGGTTCCAGTTAGAAGTCATTTCCATTTACCCAACTGGTTCCAGTTAGAATTTCAACTGGAAACAGTCTGGTGATTTTCCTGTATTTGGTTCCAGTTAGAATTCATTTCCAGTTACCCAACTGGTTCCAGTTAGCATTCATTTCCAGTTAGAAGTCGTTTGAATATCAGCTATTGCAAACGTGAGTTGTTATATTTCATTGATCTATCTACATATTTGCTCTAGATCTCAGGATGTCTTCTGGGAGGCTAGGAATTTGTCTTTTGAACATCTCAGAAGCACGGAACCGTCTCATCCTTGAGAATGTTGCCCAGGCAGCTACAAGATCCACTGGTTAGTGTTCAGTTTGTTTTCAAAATGGGACAAGTTAGTCGCTTCCCATTTTTGCAGGTTCTATAGCTAACAGATTTTAGAAGCTGTATGGCTAAAATGCCTCTTGTCTTTGAGAATGTTCGTAGTATACAAGCCTTCAGATGATATCTTTTATATGGAAATCATGAATTGAGTTGAAACAAATAGGGTTGAAGTCATTACAGGTATCTGTATGGAATGGCAAAATGATACTGCCATTCTTCTTTTTTGAAGATGACAAAGAGTACCGGTAGTTCAATTCAAATTTTGTTGATTTTTCTGGCACAATTTAATAGGTCCTATAGGAATACAATTTATACAACATATTTCTTTCAAGTTCTTTCAGTGATGCAGACATAGTACTCACCAAAATCATTTGTAAAAGAAAGATTGCCATGCATTGCATTGTGAAGGTGCATGGAGAAGAGCAGGGGGGGGGGGGAGGTGGAAGTCCTGAGGCTGAAATATAAATGAGATGTAAATGATATAATACAAGAAGCAAAATATATTATAGAGTATGAAGTATCATTTTAGAGATATGTTATTATAAAAGATACAAAAGGAGGTTGTGCCCCCTCCCAACCACCCTCTAATGCATATCATGGCCTTTTATGAAAGTACACATGCTTGTTGTGTTTAGGAGGTTCACCAGGGATCCTGTCATCAGTACTCAACATCTTCCAAGACATTGATTACAACCGTTCAGTGTTGACCATTGCAGCACCCATCAACCACCTGAAGGCTGCAGTGTGCGGAGCATGCAAAGAGGCTTACAGGTAGGTCAAAGGAAGTTTATCAGGGGGGTGTTTCACAAAGACTAAGATCGACTTTAAGTTGGACTTAACTATAGCAGGCCATTCATGCCACAAGTTCCTCTAACCATTCCTGGCATTAGTTTATCAAGGGACATATAAATCGTGGTCACAAATCTGCAAAATTTACATTTTTTGATAATACATTATTGAGGGAAAAAATATTATCTAAAGATCATAATTGAGAGACCAATAGTGAGGGCAAACAGTAGCATGAATGGCCTGCCATAGTTAAGTCCAACTTAAAGTTGATCTTAGTCTTTGTGAAACGCTCCCCAGGGCTGTTCATAAGTTGTAAGCAACTGAGCTGGAGATTCTACTACCAAGGCATTTTTTTAAAGTGCCTTTCTCCCTTTGGGCACTACTCAAAATACATTATGGATAACATATTATTCAAATGTTCTCTAAAAAGAAAAGACCTTCCTGAGTCATATATATTGAAAAATTGAAATTTTAGTGATTTTGTGTGCTGAAACAATTGGGAAAGTTGTACAGGAACTTCGTCACGGTGACATTAATGATTCAGCTTAATTGAAGTGCCCAACATATAATGATTACAACATTTCACTTAAACTTTCGCCAGTCTGCTTCTCTGATTTTCTGCTATCTTTTAGAGTACATGTACAGTAGTTGTCTATTAGGGTGGAATTTCCTTTACTAGTTGTCTCACCTGCGTAGCAAAAAGCGAGACATAGGCGCCGCTTTTCCGTTGACGGCGGCGGCGGCGGCGGCGTCAACATCAAAAACTTAACCTAAGGTTAAGTTTTTGAATTTGTAATATAATTTTTAAAGTATAGGTTCTTAGTCAATGAAACTTTGACTATAGGGTAATCAAGTATCACCAATCATGTGAGTAGAATTTCAGACCGCAAAGTCAAGGGCAAAGGTCATTTCAGGTCAACAGACTTGGACTATGTTGTAGCATCATCATCGGAAACTTAACCCAAGGTTAAGTTTTTGAATATTTGACATAATTTTGAAAGTATTGTTCTTAGTCAATGAAACTTGGACTATAGGGTTATCAAGTCACTAAGTTATGGTCAAAGGTCATTTAAGGTCAATAAACTTAGACTTTGTTGTGGCATCAACATCAAGATTTTCAAAATGCTTCTTCTTCGTTATTTTTTAACCGATTTTGATTCTGATTGTTTCATATGATAGGGCTAGAAAGGGGATTTAAAACTTCTACACAGAATCGTGAAATTCATTATCTATGCTAATTGATGCAAATTTATTCGAAATCACAAAAAATGCGTCTTATCGTTCATTTCTCGACCGATTTTGATTTGGTTTGCTTTATATCGTAGAGCTAACTTTGGTACACTAAAATTCTACACAGAATTTTGAAATTGTTCTCCATTAATTAATTATGGTAATTTATGCAAATTTATTCCAAAAATAACAAAAATTGCTTCTTCTCCCTCATTTCTTGACCGATTTTGATTTGGTTTGCCTTATCTGGTAGAGTTAAATTTGGAACACTAAACTTCTTCACAGAATTTTGAGATTTTACTCCATTGATTAATTATGGTAATATATGCAAATTTATTCCCCAAATAATTTAAAAATCACAAAAAATGCTTCTTCTCCTTCATATTTCGACCGATTTTGATTTGGTTTGCTTTATATCGTAGAGCTAACTTTGGTACACTAAAATTCTACACAGAATTTTGAAATTGTTCTCCATTAATTAATTATGGTAATTTATGCAAATTTATTCCCCAAATAACACAAATTGCTTCTTCTCCCTCATTTCTTGACCGATTTTGATTTGGTTTACCTTATCTGGTAGAGCTAATTTTGGAACACTAAACTTCTACACAGAGATTTTGCTCCATTGATTATTTAGGTACTTTATGCAAATGAAATGAAATGATGTCAATTCCAGGGCATCAAATTTTTATTTTTTGACCAGTTCAAAAGTGTACCACATAAAATTTACGATATTTGTTGTTGGGAGATGCGGATGAGCGCTACGTCATTGACGTTCTGGTTTATCATATTGCATTGCGTTATGCAGGCGAGACCGTCGAGAGCGTTTCCCTTGTTTTACCCTGACAGTAGCCTTTGTCATATATTTTATTCCATGTAATAGGCAGATAGACTTGTCAAAACAAGAAGGCGTTCATCCAAGACTTGGTGCTGTGGATCTCATTCCTATTTATCCGCTGATGTCTTCTGTCTCCCTCAAGGAATGTGGGGAGATTGCACACTGTAAGTGAACAAAGTCATGTGCTGGAGTTGAGACAATTCTTCCATCTTATTGTTAAACGTTCTGTAAAACAAAATTTGTAGAATAAAGTTAATGAACTCCCCCTTGAATAGTGGGGTGTGAAACTAACTTCTGGTGGAACAATCAAGTGTTTGATTGTGGAAGCAATTCCAGGTGTTATTTGAGTTATTTGGCAAAGGAATGCCAAGTGTAACATACAGAACCATGCAATATTTTATAATGTTTGAACAATAAAGTACAAAAGGGATACTCTCCCTTGAATGCACCAATTTACAATGAACAATGACAATGCACTTACTGCTATTAAAGAAAGCATGTGTATACCATCAAATAAGCAACCAGGGGACTGACGTCTTTACGTAATGGTAAGGAGGAGTATAGGGCACTAGCGCATCAACTTGGTTTTGAACCTGGAACCCTTTGTTACAAGATCATTGCTCTACTTCTGAGCCATAGTGTCTCTTCAGTTGTCTGATGAAAGCTATCCTTGTTCTAATAGGAGCTCTAGTTGGCCAATTTATCCAATGCAATTGCCAAGAGGTACTAAAATTTTAAGATGTGGTTGGTAAAACATCAAACAAAAATAGCTTGGACTTGCCCGTCAATCCTGAATTTCATTCATGATATTATTTACCAATAGTAGTTAACCAATATTAACTTATTTCTACCTTTGTATAGCTATTGCAGAGGAGCTTAGTGATGAAATAACAGGCACATCCTTCTTCCTTTTTGGCTCTGCTGATTGGCCGGAACAGAGAGGGCTAGTGCCACGAAGGAAGGCTGTTGGTTGGTTCAAAGGAAAGCATGGCATTGATTGGTCAAAGTTCAGCCATGATCTTGGGGCACCACCATCTAGCAGATATGGACTTACAGGTACTCGTGCATTAACCGCACCCCTCTTTTTCGCCCTTAAAAGCCAGATCCGTGTTAAAAAACCCATGCGGGAAGGCCTTTCATTTAACCGAATGTGTAAGATCATTAATGTAAATTAAAAATCAGTAGAGGACCTAGGATAGAACCTTGTGGTACGCCCTGTAATAGAAAAAATTTGGGGAATTATTATTATAAACTACATATTGAGATCTATCAGAAAGATTACTGTCAAGCTAAGATGACAGACAAATTTGAGTGTTGTTCTAGTTTCCGAGTGGTGAGTCAACACACCGATTACTGAGCTGGGAGACATTGCCAGGCATAGCGCCAGGTGGAGGGGCATAAATCGAAACTTTAATTATTTTTTTTTTGTGTGTGTGTACCGTGTATAAGACTCACCCCCGACCTTGAATTTGTTCGGCGGCAAAAAAGTGTGGTTTATACACCGTTAATTACGGTAAACATGCTTGTTGTAAACACTGGTTAATTGCTTATTCCCCATCATTTATCATTTGGCAACATGTACGCGATACAATTAGTGACTGGTTTGAGGGGCTCAGTAAAAAACTATCGATTCAAGGTCATCTTAAAACTGTGCCGTACCCTTGGACGATTGCATAGTTGTATTGATGTATCATGCATAGACAAAATGATGATGTGTTAGCAATGGGTATGCGCAGTGAGACACGCACAATGCTGCTAAATCTCCCTCAACTCTACAAATAAATACACTTTGACAGGCATTTTTTTTTTAACTATCTCTATATAAAACAATTATGTACTTCTTATTTTTGGGGTCACGGTTAAAACTATACCTCCACAATGATCTTGAGACTGTATTATGCACCTCAACTTTGTCTCAGTGCACAGTACAGTTTCGAGATCACTTTGGGCAACAGTTTTAACCATGCCCCTCGAAGCAATCAATATTATTTTTGCTATTGCCTTTGAATACTGTATATATACATTTGGATTACAAATTGCATTACTCAAACATCTCAATTTTCAGGTTGTGGAGCATCTCATTATGTTACCAACTGCAACGTTACAATAGACACCCAAGATCTGGCGTTTGGACAGGAGATCGTGCATGCTATCCGAGCCACAACTCCTGGGGGACTGCCAGGTGTTCAGGCTATGGCCTTTCCTCATGAGGGGACCATTGAAATCGCATGCAACGTTGCCAGTCTTCCAAAGCACGACCAGAGTGCAGGGGGAAATGCTTCAAATGATGACACCACCAAGGAACATTGCCCTCTTGTTTTGGACTATACATCACCAGAAACTATCGAACAGCGAGTGAAGGATCTGGCAGGGCAGAAGGGGATTAGGATGGTCGGGACTACTCTGATCGGGTTCAGGCCAGAAGAAGCCTGTAAGCTAGCCATAGATGCTCTCCAGTCCGGAAACAATCAGCTATGGAAGTCTAGAGGTGTTCGACTCATGTGATTTATGATTCACCACAGTTATCTTCAATGTGAAATGTACTAGCTCACTTTGGTTTGAGCAGTAATTTGAACTATAAAATGCAGTCAAATTCAAAGCATAGCACTTGTAAGATAATCCTATTACCGATAGCAAGTGTCGCATAGGATGCATTTTACCATCATGCCAGGGAAAGCATTACAAGACACTCCTACAGAATGCCAGATATTTGGACTGGTGCTTGCAGCATAGGGATAAGAGGAAAAACAGGGAGGCACAACATACCAATTACTGGACCACTGTACTACTCCTGCATACTTAGAACCTGAAGAATGTGATTTAAATGAGAGATACAACATTACATTTTAATTTTCAACTACACGACTCCAGTAAACATTGGACAGTGAGGAAAGGAGAATGAGGATGAATTTGTGGGAACTGTTCTGATGATGAAGTTCAGGCCTATGAGGAAGCTCGCCAGTTAGCCACGATAGCCCTGCAAACCAAGAATGATCAGCTTTGGATTGATGGATTCATAACAAACCTCCTCAAGATACAATAAACTGATTGAGATTCTAGCAGAAACATGAACTTTATGAATGCTGAATGAAGTGCCTTATTGGTTTGTATAGTTCACTGAACAATTTTCTTGTCTGTTGTTTCTTTGTGAGATTTGTACTGTTAAAACATAAAATTGTCATTTGTAAAGGAGATAATTTATATTTTTGTGAATTATGGCATAAAAATGCTCAATGTACATTTAAGTCATCAACATTGTCATTGTCATACAGAGACGCCGACCTCTTGACACAAAAAACAGACTGAATATCCTAAAAAAAATCAGCCCTATTATAGCCCTATCAGAATTCCTCATGATCTTTCATAGCCACCTTCCCTGAAGCTTGAAAGTCTCTAACAGAGTGCCCCACAATGAGTTGATCATCTGCCCTTTGGTTGCAAAGTTCTTGATAACTGCGCTGTTTAAGTGAACTGGCACTAGCAATCACTTTGGGGTTGACAAATTGCACCAAGATGAAGTAATTTTTGTATCTTGTCATGGAGAAGGTGGATCTTTGGTTCATCTTGCTCAAGCTCCAGATTGAGGACATTGTAGAGAGGGATCGTATGCTGCAAAAACAGTATAGTTTGTGCTTGTCAGTGACTTTTTTTTTGTAGTTCTCACCAGCTTTGGTCACACTTGTCACAGACACTCTACTGGTATCCTCACCTGCTTTGACTTTTGGACACACTTTTCCAACATCATTGATGCTTGACTTTGTCCCTGAAAATATCTGTCAACTATAAGTAGTGCCCCTGGTTGAAGAAATGCGTGTAGTACGCTTCACTGATCTCTTTGCAGTCTTAGGAGAGTTTGAGGGCAGGAAATTTGTAGGCAGGATCTTGGTAGTTCCAGCACTGCTAACACCAGACAAAGACTTTGTAGCAGAGGTCTTGGTAGGTTTAGTAGTACTGCTCGTAGAAAACACAAACTTCTCCATAGAAGTCTTGGCAAATTTAGCACTCAGTGCTGGCCGAAGACACAGACTTCTCCACGGAGGTCTTTGTAGATTGAGCACTGCTAACAGAAGACACAGACTTCTCCACAGAGGTCTTGGTAGCTGGGGTCTTAGATGCCCTAGCACTGCTTGCAGAGGATGAAGACTTTTTTGGTACAGGAGTCTTTGCAGCACTGCTTGTCATACTCATTTTGTGCCTCTTTGACTCACTCGGGCCACCAGAAGCATCACCTTTCCTCTTCTGTCCTACTTGTGCTTCCTGCTTGAAGTACTCTTGCAGGGAAATCCACTGCTCCAATAATCTTTCCAGAGATCTCTCCATAGATAACCACCTTCATGCAAATTTATAAACAAAGAAGACAAAATTACGATTTAGTCAAAATATTGATTTTCACATGTAGTTTACAAATATGCAATTTTCTATATCTTGAAACCCAAAATGAACAATTTGTGAAAAGGCCAATTATCATTCAACTTTGGAAAATTGAAAGCATAAAATCTGGATTCAATTTGATTCAGTACCTTCACCTTCAATCTTTAGTTATAACTTTTCTCTCTCTTGTTTGTTTCACTATTCATTTGCTGTAAATTTGTAAAATGTGTGTACAAATTGTATACAAATATATGTTGTTAGAAATCTTAGAATGGAAAAGAAGCAATAACGATTTTCATAAAAAATAAAAATCAGAACTACCTTGTACAAATGTGTTTCAGGATTGCATGATCTTTAACACTGCACATAGCCTGAACCTGCTTGTATTCCTTGTGCCGCTTCAAAGATTTTTTGAGGTAGTAGAAAGTCCCAATGAGTAGCTCTTCTGGAGAGAAGGACAGTTGCTTGGCTCCTTTGACTGGTCATGGTAGGGTAACACTGGAGCTTAGCTCCTTCAGCTTCTTGCTTATGCAAGGGTCACTCTGTGGCCTGGACCCACCCTCCTCAGGTCATCACCTTTCTTCACCTGAGCCAATTATTTGTAACCTCAGGGTTTCACCATCACTTCATGTGCTTTACAAAAAACAAAGGCAAAGCATCACTCTTATCAGCAAATGTGTTAGTCCAGGCTTCACCCTTTGAATTATTTGCATAGGTGATGCTTCACTTTTGTCAGTTTTACATAGGTGAGGCTTCACTTGTGTCAGTTTTCCATAGGTGAGGCTTCACTTTTGTAAGTTTTCGGCCGGTCTGAAGCTTCACCACTGTTTCACCATACTGGCCATTTGCATAGTTCAAGCTTCACCACTGTTTCACCATATTGGCCATTACATATTTCAAGCTTCACGTTTTGAAATCAAGCTCCACCAATGTTTACTTATAATAGTAGACCATGACTGCAATGGTCTATAGTCATGATAGTAGTTCCATACTGCTCAATAAGTACCAAGTCAACCAGGTTTCAATTCAAAGATACAGTAACATGTTTATTTTGTCAATCCAATGTTTCTACAGATATGTTGTTATGAAACTTAAAACGTTTATACAAAAGTTGTTTTAACTACAAGTCTTGTTTTCTAATACTAACTCTTGTTTTCTAATACTAACTCTTGTTAACTATAAACACTAACTCCTGTTACCTATTAAACTCTGTTACTTGGAAATGAAAGAAAATGTTCATTCCAGACAAATTTCAGGTTTGCGTTGTTAGATTTTGACATTGTGTTCATTAAAACGACACTATAAAAATAATGAAGTTGCACAAGTGCACATTTCTTTTTATACAGGCAGTACTGTCACATTATTTTTGTAGTGTAGATAAACCAAGCTAAAACTCATTTTTGGTCTGGTTTATAAAATGTTAGCTTATCAAATTTCCTATTCACAATAGCTTGGTTACACCTCATTTGTTGTAGTTGAATTCAAGAAACTTTTGGCCGGGTATTGTACGACCACCTGATGATGGACCACACAATTCAGCCTTGCCCATAACACACTAATTATAATTGGTCCGAAACTATTCAAGTAAAGCAAACCAAAAAAGAAGTTAACTCTTCATTACCTGAGAATTTATGAAATGAGAGCATTAATTATAGAGAGTAATATGCATGATCAAAGTGTACTCAATGCTTTGCTTACTTAGTCGTGGTCACTACTATGAATAAAACTTGATGGGGAAATTGTCCAGAAACAGTCAATAAGTCAACATACCAACATAATACAAAGTATAGAACTTTCCAGCTATCAAACACATTGTATGCATTTGTAAGACCATGTATACTTGACTGGCAAGCATCTCTCATTTCATATTTTAACTATGACATTGACAACACCTGAACAATTTCCCGATCAATTCATTCAATAGTGAACCTGTTGCATGCTATAAACTACATAAATCCAAGTCAAGACCTTCCAGAGTGGATGTCGTTACTGTGAGTTCAGCCAATAGGCGATCGTCAGAGGACTACATACATTAATCAGATGAAAAAACATGGATGGAATACACAGCTTAGAGGACTGCATTTGTATACAGTACAGGATTCCGGCATTCTAGCATGAAGTTGGCCAGGTATACATGTAAGGCTTTTGGAATGAAAGCACCATAAACTGTCTAGCACACTCACATAAATAATATCCTGATAGAAAATGCAAAAAAACACAAAATTATTTTTTCGACTTCAGACTCATTTCGCTTGATCGCATATATGTGCTGCATAAAAAATCAGACACATTTGAAATAACATGTGCATTAAACTTTGACCTTATTCTGTTGTCACCGCAGGATCAATGGGATGATGTGAACACATTATGTGTCGGGTACGCCAGTCCCGACTTCTTATTCAGGGAGTACTTTATAATTATTACACAGTATAAATAATAATGTTTAGTATACTACTATATAAAATAAAATAATCGGGTATAAATAATCATATAAAATAAGTACATTACAATCTTGAGTAACTTGTAACCATTCATGAGGTAATACATGTAAGGCTTTTGGAATGAAAGCACCATCACTGTCTAGCACACATACTATATAATAAGCACCAATATGCAGGGAGTACTTTATAATTATTACACAGTATAAATAATAATGTTTAGTATACTACTATATAAAATAAAATAATCGGGTATAAATAATCATATAAAATAACTGTCTAGCACACACACACTATATATGTGGTATGATCAAGCAAAATCAGTCTGAAGTCGGTCATATTCAATTTTCAGTTTCTTATTGGATTGTAACAAGCATTTGCAAAGCTACATTTTGCAGAAAATCCCATTGAAATTGAACAACCAGTTCAAAAGATATCAGCAAATAAAGAGTTTCCAAAACAAAAGGAAACAAAAGGAAATACTTCCTTTGTTTGGCTATATCTCAAAATCAATATTTCAGACTTCCGACTGATTTTGCTTGATCACATCACATATAAGCACCAATATAGTTACAAACAGCCAACTCTGAACATGCTGAATGCATTCATGAGGTTTACACGTAAAGCTTTGGAATGAAAGTACCATAACTCTGTCTAGCACACACACTATTGTCTCCACCTGAAAGTTTTCAGCAGTAATTTGTTAAAGGATCACACCTGGATAAGTATACACGTCTGTATCGAACATGAAACATTCAATACTTTTTAGGCACAAAAAAAAGCACAAAAAAAGTTTGTCTCAGCTTCTTTTGGCCAAAACATTCAAGATCTGACTTGCATTTGGTAGCCGGCTAATATGGTTCAAATGTTTTTATGTGACAAACAACATTTTCTGAGGTAACATTTTGTGTACAAACTGAACCCGACATAAAAAAAAATACAAAATTACCTACTTAATCATTTTCCCTATGGCAAAATCGGTCAGACATCTAAAGTGGATTTTTCTAAAATTTTCCCAATTTCTAAAGTGACATATTATGAAAATATGAACTATTTTACGACACAAATCATACAAATAACAAGTTGCGATTGTTTTTGTGGCAATAAAATGTAAATCATAGCTTGAAGAGTGTTGTATGTCCATTTGTTTCTCTAAATGTATAGACCTACCAAATATACTAAAAAAAGCCAGAAGAGTACATGTCTAACACTTTTAATCACTTATAGTCAGGATTACATATTTGTGTGTATTTATAAGACTGCTGTCAATGGACCACACACATTTCTTTTTCATATTTTTAGGCATGACTGTATGGAAGACCGACTCTTATACAATATTGTATTCAACGAGCGTCATTCCTCCTGGCTGCTCTGGTAGCTGCAGCCTTTTCAGCTCCTCGTTTCCTGTTCTTAGCCACTTGGCAAAGATGGTTCACTGTGTGTGACACCATCTTCTTGCTTATGCAGTAACGTGTTGAAAGTAGTACTTGTGTTTCTTCATCAGGTACAGCATCATCAAGATTGTCAGAAACTCTTCTTCTCTCCTCAAACACCTTTGCCAGTTGCTCACTTGCAAGATATGCACTTGGATCAGCTGCAATGCCATTTTCATAATTTTCGAGCAATTGATCCAAGTGCATAAAATGGCCGGAGCATGAGGGCTGACAAGTTGTGCAGTGTTCTGGTTGCCTTTCTGGGTCAGGCACAGGCCATGGGAAGAACATGATGGATGGTCCTCCAGGGTACCATAGGATAGATGATGGATCATCCCCTGGCCTGCTCTGACAAACAGGATGAGGGCAATCCTGTTTAAAACAACAAACAAGTCTAAAAACATATTTGTTGTTTCCCACTGTGTGGTTGTCCATGATTGTCAGAATTTTGTCCATATATTGAAATCTCTCCAATTCATCAGGTGAAGTTTCTGTTAGTTTCCTTTTGGCCGCGTTAGATGATTTGAGGTATTTGGTCAAACCATTTCTTTGCTCCTGTATTTCTGATGCATCTGGGCCCAAGGCACATTTGAAGAGATGAATTTCCCCATCTTTGTATCTTGTTTTATCCACACGTTCTATATACACATCTCTGGCTGCATTTTGATTAGCCACCACAGTATCATGATCCACTTCCCCAGATATGTCTCTGGTATTCCCACACAATGTAGAGGGGATAAATAAATTGTTAGCACTCCTTGAAAGTTGCCCATTGAGGTGCTCCACTTCATTTAAAAATGATCCGCCACTATATCGAGTTGTGACAATTGTGGCCAATTTCTCTCGGTCTGTATGCCACTTGGTCCACATAAATCTCGTCTCATTATGTGCTGGATTCTCGTCCCCTCCTCCATCAACTCTGATGAAATCAATTTCTTTGTCTTTGTCAGTGTTTTCTGATGAAAAGAATACTGATTTGAATTCTGGTTTGGACCGAAGCATTTGCAAGTCGGAAAAGTGTTGTCCGGCATTCTTGGGATCCATTTTGTTGCACTTTACTATGCCAGCATAGCAATCATCGGATGTTTCACTCCCAGTGCAAAAATATGACGACACTTGTAAAATGTTCTGCTCTTTATTTGTAAAATCCGTTCTGGTTGCAAGGTCCTCTTCTCCCCTTATTGTACTTGAGCGAAATTTACTTGATGTTGCCAATGTGTCTAATCGAAAACCCGCAGCATCATCGCGATTAATATAGGTTGCATTAGAGTTATCTTTCTTTTGAAGAATATTCAAAGATTTGTACAAAGAATTGGACCATTTCTCATCCGCATTCAGTTTAATGTCAAAACCTTTCCTTGCACGCTTGCTGACAATATTTGCCACTGATTTGTAGCGTGTCTTTGATAAATGTCTTGAGTTACGAGGTACACATAGTTGAACAAGTGCGCCATGAGAAATGTGCTCAGAGTACTCCTCTTGTAGTTGCTGACGTAATCGCTGAAAGGTTATCTTCTGGCCCACCTTCTTTCTCTCCCAAGTCAGCGATCCCGACGAGCGCCACTTGTCAGCTCCCACACCTGAATCCCTTACTATTGTTTCAATCCTTTTGCCTATACTTGGATGTCTTTTCAACAGAGTAGATTTATTGGAAGTAGCACGCTTTAGAAGCTTTAGGGTGTCATATTTCTTTTTAATTTTTCTTCTGTATTTCTCTTTCAGTTGCCGCCGTTTTCTAATTGATTGTGGACTTTGTGGTACAGCACTACTTTGGTCTGGCTTGGATAGCATCACCTGATTAGCGTGCTCTTCAGAATCCACGATACTGTGATATGCGGCCTCAATTTCCTCTGCTTCAGTCAAAGCATTTTCAACTTGGTTTTTGTTCTTTTGATGGTTTCCTATGCCATATAGGTGCTTTGCCTTTTTTGATGAGAGGTGGTTTGTGACTGCATATGTGATTAGTCGCCGATCTTTTTCTTTAGAAGCTAATTTTTTCAAGGTAGCTAGTTTTTCTCTACTGATTTCAGGGGCACATGTAGGACTCTCTCTGAACTTCTCCAACACTTGTACAAACAAGCTATAATTTGTTTTTTCATCTTTTTCCATGACATATATTGTTTGGCAGCCACTCTTTCCAAGAGTTACAAGAACAATGGGCATTTTTCCCAGTCTTTTTGAGGCAGTGTAAGCCTTGTATTTCAGGGTTGGATAGCATGCTTTCCACACAGCTGACAATTTTACTGGTTGATTTTGTAAGATATAAGATGCAGCATTAATATCAGCTGAGCAGAGTGAGCAATGAAGTCCCTCCTGGATAGGCCTATGGTGTGTTTTGCATATGTATTGCCTAACTTGTTCATATTCTTTCAAGCTAATGGTATTGTCAATCGGGGATACTTGTACACATTCATGTACTCGATTAGCTGGTTCTTTGATGTTGAGACTTTTAGCTGATTCGCGCAAAAAAAGGTCCAGCTTACTCTGAAAATGCTCACCTAGTCATTGAACGGCATGAGGTTTGGCATTTTCACCACTCTGGCCATCATGTATGGTAGCTCCACTATCATCATCAGGTTTGGTAAGCTCTCCACTTTCTTGATTACTCTGGGCATCATGTTTGGTAGCTCCACTATCATCATCAGGTTTGGTAAGCTCTCCACTTTCTTGATTACTCTGGGCATCATGTTTGGTAGCTCCACTATTATCGTCAGGTTTGGTAAGCTCTCCACTTTCTTGATTACTCTGGACATCATGTTTGGTAGCTCCACTATTATCATCATGTTTGGTAGCTCCACTTCCATCTGCCTGAACAAACTGCACATCGTCATCAGAGGGGATCTCTTTATCTTTTTTTCTTTGGATGTATTTAAGATCTCGCTTCGCCTTATGATCTCTTTTTTGCAGATCAATTATTTCTATCTTGCAGACGCGCTGCCTTTGCTGAAGGATTTTGATTTTGTCTCGTAGACTTTCGGCTTCCTCAAACTTCTCACAGCTTACCTTTATATTGCAATTACTTTCAGCTATTTGCATGTCTTTCTTTATGCCTTCTAATTTTTCCTCTAATTCTTGCATTCTCTCGCTTCTGGCTGTTTTTGTCCATCTTGCATTCAAGCCTTCACCTTGTATAGCCTTGGCTTTCTTGCTCACTGATTTCCCCTTAGCAAATACATACGTTTTGTTTACTACTTCCTTTCCCATTTTCAGAAGTTTACCTTTACCCCCCTTATCTGTTAGAATGAACAGATTTTTGTTCAAAATTTCAGTACATCCTTTGTTCACTGTGCTATTATATCTTGCATTTTTCCCATCTTCACGTAATATTTTTGCCTTTTTTACAAAGTTTACGGTTTGTACTGAACCTCCTCCAAGAAACTCTCCAATAGTAGCTTGTCTCTGTGAAGTCGCAGCAGATCTCTTGAGATGTCTCTTCTCCAGAGGGCTTGTGTGAGTTGCAGCCTGAGTTGTGATTATCTCTGGTTCATCTATAAATCAGAATAAAAGTCAAATTCAAGATGCAATTAGAACAAGTAGATTAGTTAATTATGGCTATTATAGTATGTCCCCCCCCCCCCTCTCACTATCAGAAAACAAGAGTCTGTGCGAGATATACACTTTGACCTTGGTTTGTCACCTTCAACCAAACAACATAATGAAAGCTCCTGTATTCCATCTATGACTTTAAGTTTGGTTCCAAATGAGCCCAATTTCATGTTTTCAAATAGTCCGACCATCATGGCAGGTACTATGCCCACACACCAGAGGCGGGTAGGTTGAGTGGGCAACTTTTAAAAAGTACACGCCCTGTTAGCTTGAAGAATTTTTCAGCAATGTATGTACTTGTTGGGCTGTTTAATACATTCTGTTATTTGTAACCCGCCTAGCTGGCTGGTTGGCAACAACAACAAAAATACACCCCTGCCAATCATGATACAAATTGTCCATGCCAGCAGTGAAAAGGTATTTGTGTATGCGCGTACACGGCCTGAACAAAATATTTGTTTCCCGGCAGGCAAGCCACATTTCCCATAATTTACAAAGTCTTTTTATGAAGAAAAAGGGCGCAATTTCCCTCCAGAATCCAAAAATTCCTGGTGGTGAGCCTACTAAACTGCCCATGTTTACCCACCATGTGCGCGTATATGATAATACAACCATGTTTATCAGAGATATCAATGCACAGCTTGAGTTGAATAATATGAGAAGCTTCCTTTCGATATAGGCCTCATTAATACAGTTTATGAATAGATGTCAACTTACTTGTCTCAGCTGCAGTGTCAGAGTCAGAGTCCACTGATGATGTACTGGTAGTAGGTGTAGAGGGCACATACTTTGATGATGTACTGGTAGTAGGTGTAGAGGGCACAGACTTTGATGATGTACTGGTAGTAGGTGTAGAGGGCACAGACTTTGATGATGTACTGGTAGTAGGTGTAGAGGGCACAGACTTTAATAAGTGGCTTGATGGTGTACTGGCAGTTGAGAACACCAATGACCTTCTTGATGATGTACTGGTAGAAGACGACAATGAGACCACGTCATCTTCACCTTCAGCTGGGAACATAATCAGGATAGACTATCAATACAAGCAGTGTATCTATACAGTCATACTGGTTATCTGAGGGGACCATTTTACACATTTTTGAAATGCAATGATGAAATTAATTGACAAGAACATTTTTTTCCAATCATAAAAGGTCTGATTAATATCCTTTAAAAAGCACAGGAAAAGCTTTTAATACTTTACCTTGATTTTAATAACTAGAGGGTTGTACCATGGGGTAATAGGTGAAGATTTTTTTAAAAATTTGACTGAAGAATAAAACTTGAGGGTTGATATTTCTATTAACTTTGAAATCAGGTTTGACCTGCTGTTTGATATATCCATAGCCCTACAGCAGTACTTGTATCACAATTCCATAAAAAGGAACTCATTGATGGTAAGATCTATTAAATAATCAGTAATTTTTGGTTTATATGTGACCATCCACCACATATGGGCAGTAAAGTCGGCACTATTATAGTGGGATATTGTCCAATCAGCTACCTCAAAAAATAATAAACAACAAAGGCATTTCATGGACCTATTCCTGCAAGCTATTCCTGAGTTAGACTTGATGACTGAATAAAGCTGTGTAATCCTATCGTGCCTCACGTAAGATTTCATGCTAGGCTAATTCTGTGAGGTCTTACATGAAGGTTGAAGGTAGAACCAGAATCTGGATGGGTAACATCTCAAAATGCCAAAGCCGACTTGACAGCCCATTTGTGGCAGATGGTCACATCACAAAATACAAAATCTACTTACATGTATCTGTTATTTGATGGTCATAGGATGGCACTTCTTCATCATTGAAAACAAAGTGTACTGGTTCCGATTCTTGCAGGAAGGCAAACAATTCGTCGTCATCTACATCTGTACCGTCAGACAATCTCAGGCACTTGAAATGCTCTCTTGCCTTTTGCAGCTTAGCAAGACCTGAAAATGGGAATTTATTATATATAATTTAATCTTTAAAGTTTAAAAAATATCTATTTCTGAAAATATATTGCTGACTGTACATTGTATTATACCATTTGTTTTGGCAAGGAAAACTAATACACATTGCATTTGGAATTATAACATGCCACAAAATGAAAAATTCTGTTCACCTGATGCATGTAAGTAAACAATGAGAGTAAACAGCCAAAGCATGTAACAAATCTACTTTTTAACATTTAGTTTGTTGTAATGTGCTCGCTATAAATTACAGGACAAGTGTTAAGGTTGTAAGGTACTTCCCTTACCTTTCTCTATCAACTCATCCAATGATTTTGCCAATACAAGTTTCTTGTCCTCTGCATGCCATACTTTGAACATACGGGGTGCCGGTGCTGATGCTGCCATTCTCGAACAAAATGTGATTAAATGTGACTATAGCCTGTATAAAGTAAATAAAGATCATGATTGATAAATAAAAGCAGGAAACTATATGTACAGCAATTTATTACAAGTATTATAGTTGGACAGGACTCTTGAAAGTTTAGTGTGTATTGGCCTAGAGATGAATTTCTTTTGCCATAATGCCAAGTTTTTTTTCACAAACAATTTGGGATTGGGAAGCTCCTTCCTAGAAAATCTTGGAGTTTGGGTATTTGGAGAGAATTTGTGTAGCTGAGAAAATGAGATTTTGATATCAAAATGTTCAGAAAAATTAGCATTTTCCAATAAGCACAAAGAAAGACTCAACTCCATTAGCACCACCTTTTTAATAAATGACCAGTGACACATAGACTAACCCCATTGATGCCCATGCACAAAAAAAAACACTTAGTCAAAATGGAGTTACTTCTTTGTTAGGCCAAAAAAAAATTGGTTTGTTTGCCCAAACAAGGAAATGAAAAAGTGGGTCGGTAGGTCAATATTTTTTCTTCTCCCTACAGACACTTTGAGAAGAAAACATGATAGAATTTCTCTTCTGTACATCTGTAAACACATTATCTTTATTATAAAAACACACAATGTGAAGGTTGAAATCTCATTGAAAGCACAATAAACTGTTTACATAAAGTTCTTAAATCTGAGATTTAATAAAATAAAATTTAAATACAAGTTGTCTTGCTAGGATCTTAAATGTACACCTTTATGATGTTTAAAAGAAAGGATATTGGTGGAAATAAAGTCTAGGACAGTTTTTTTATATTAATTTTGCAATTAGAACACATATTTCCACTTATTAAAAAAAAAAAAATCTTGAAAAAAAAAAAAAAAAAAGTGCAAGGGGTTTTGAGAATTTATGGGTCGGTCGGGTTTGGGCAAACAAACCATTTTATTTTTGGCCTTACGCTGACCCCTCCGATGTGGCACTAGCATAAATTGTTGTAAAGGAGCCAAAAACACTGAGAACCACAATTAAAAATGATATCAGGAACTGACCACAAGGTTGAACTTTTACTTTTGTAGTGCAGTACATACATCATCTAGCTAGTACTGGTAGGACCAGGTATGACTCTGACCAAGTTTGGTCGAGATGTAAAAAACAAAAAACAATATCACAATTTTATTTTTAATAATTATGAAAGTCTAAAAGACGATTTAATAAAATAAAAATTGTACCCTCCACGCAAGTTCCAAAGATGTTTAAATTTGTGGAGGCCTACGAGGCTACGGCCTACGCAGATACGGCCTACTAGAAATAAATATGAACACCAATTATATTAATTGGGGGGGGGGGATGGAAGTTTTACTATAAAAAAAAGAAATGACCCACCTGATGGGTAAAAAATAAAATTGACCTACCTGAGTAAAAAAAAGAAAAATATGCCCAGCTGATGAGGACAATTACAACAGAACATTGTTGTAATGTCAATGAACCTAGTAAAATAGCCCTGTTGTTACTGTTGACTTGTTGTTGTTGTGAATTAGAACACAGTATAGTAATTCCACTGGATTATTATTATGAATGAATAATAATCAATATTACTACAGTCAACAATGTCAATTTAATTGGTTTGATCAGAGAAGATGCTTCTCTGGTTTGATACATACTCTATACTACTGTACTAAACTACACTACAGCCTACAGGTAAACAAAACATCAACAATATACACACAAAAAAGCTTGCGATATTGTTGTGTACAATTAAAATAATACATCATCCAATGTTTATTATTATTTTACCATGATGGATTGATGAAGATGTTTACAACAAACAATACACAACTAACACAAACCATCACAAACATATCCGCAGAATTCGTAAGGCTTCGACTCGAGCGCACGGCACTGCTGTGGCGTAATACCTTTGTGGAATACGTCAACATTGAAATCTCACGAAAATATAGGCTAAGTTTTATGCACAGATTTCGTTAATAATCAATCGTAAAACAGGGTCGGAGTAGTACCGTCTCAAAATGATCGGAAAACTCTGAACTTTCTATTTTTTTTCAACTCACCTCGCAAAAACTTGGGGCCAAAACTTGGCACGATCTGCGCTGCGCATGCTGGGTACAATACCGACAGCTCGTAGGCTACTAGTCTCGTTTCCAGACTTGAGGCTGGCCTTTCAGGCACGTATACTGCGAATACTCACGCAACTAGTTATGTGTAGGAGACTAGTAGACTACTCGAAAACGATCTCGTGAAATCTCGAAATCAGTTTCGCTGGAGAAAAGTTCGGTGACCTCAGGACGATCACTCTGCGAGTGCATGAGTGACCGGAATAAAAATTAAATAGTTGTTTTGAAACGCACGATTTCGACATGATTTCGACATATTTTCGACGCGACCGGTAGTGGCTTCGATGTCACATCACCTGAACAAACAAGGCGACCGATTGGATTCGATGTCACATCACCACAAAAAACAAATTACTCGTCAAAGCTTCACACATTTCATCAATTTGTATAGTAAAGCTTCACCCAATGAAGAAAAACGAATGTTAGGACTTCACTACAACAACAAATAGGTCAGGGTCAGGCTTAGGCGTCGAGTCGACGTCGATATTTGGCAACCTCTGAGGAGGGTGGGTCCAGGCCACAGAGTGACCCTTGCATTAAGCTTAATCATGGACTGCGTCCCAAGTCCAAGCAACATTCTTTTGAGACAAGTCATTACAGGGTTACATCACATCAGCCAGCTTGGAGAGATAGCGGGACAGGTGATTCACCATCCCTCTGAGGCGATCTATGTCATCCTTGTTAGTTGAAGTGTTCATCTTCGAGATGGCATCTTCCTTGGACAGGTTAGCTTCATTCCAGCACTTGAAACAGTGTGTCCAAGAAACACAATCTCCTTGACCCAAACTGACACTTCTCCTTGTTAAGGACAATGCCTACATCATGGCATCTCTGCACCAGATTTTGTAGACGAGAGTCGTGTTTCACTTTGTTATCACCCCAGACATTGATGTCATCAGCCACACAACTTACTCTGTCAAGTTCACCTAGTGTACTCTGATGTAACCTCTTCTGAAATATCTCACTGCTCACCTTGGTTCCAAATGGTAAGCATTTCCATCTGTATCTTCCCCAAGGAGTAGCAAATGTTGTCGGATGATTAGATGCTTCATCTAAGATATAATGTAGGTAACTATACTTCAGGACACAAACTGAAAAAGGCTTGCGTTGAATAACTCTGGCAGTATGCTGTTGAGGACTGGTAGTAGGTAATGCTCTCTCTTTAGCACTACATTCAGCGTTCTCGGGTTGAGACATATCCTTATTTTGCCCGACTTCTTCCGAGCTACGGACATCTGGTTGACCCAGTCTGGGCTTCTGCACCACTTCAATCGCACCCGACGCTGAAGACTGTCCAGTTCCTCTTTCACTAGTGACTTGAGGGACGGATAACTGGCTGCAATCCCTCTTAACTAAAACAAGTGCATTTCATCCCCTGCTAGCACGCTAACACGTAATGATGAGAAGACATCTGAGAATTCCTTCACTAGATCAACCTGTCTAGTTATGTTGCCCTGCTCAGTCAACCACCGACCATATTATCATTATTAGCAAGTTGAGAAGATTTTGAGGCACTTACCCCTTCGGCGCCTTTGGCTGGAAGACTAAGGCGGGTGCCTATTTCCTCCCCTGATTTTGTCGATAGGGTTGGAAGTGCTTCCTCTCTTTTGCCGACTTGACCGCCGCTGCTGTTGGGGTGTACGTTTGAGGACACTATGAATATGACTGACAAAGAAAGCGGACAAAATATACAGTTCCTCAGGTAGACAAAGGAAAATCCCTTCACTGCTATTATGTAAAAGGTGAATACCGGTATGCATGTGACACCTGTTCTACACATTTTTTACATAATAGCAGTGAAGGGATGTTCCTTTGTCTACCTGAGGAACTGTATATTTTGTTCGCTTTCTTTGTCAGTCATATTCATAGTGGGAGTGAAGGTCTTTCTGAACGTGTTCCCCCTCCATGACTTGTACCCTAAAAAAGGGCGCCCCGAAAATCCAGGCATGACATGCGCCTGTGATGGTGACCAGCCTGCCTGTTTCATTTTTTGTCTAGCATCGTCATATCTCTTGTATGGATGATACTGTTGAGTATGCTGATGGCCTTGTTTGGGTCTCATCATGACCCCCTCAGTTACTTTTAGCTGGTCCTGCAGATCTTTAACTTGCTTCCCAAGATTGTCTCCGAAAAGAAGCTTGATTACCCTGTTAGAGGGCTTGCAAAAATGACGGAAATCATTGTGTACTTCAGGCTTTATAAAATCCTTCCTAAGAGATTTCACACTGAAGTTGGCGTCACAAAGCAGTGCCAAAGCATTCTGCTGTTGATCCGTCATTGTGGCTGGATCTAGTGTATTTGCGAAAGCACAAATTCCCTTAGTGAGCGACTTTTGCACATTTTGCAACTTAAAATCCCTCGTTCTGAAGGATGTAGACATACGTTCCCAAATGGTGTTGTTTACTTTGGGTACGTCTAGTAAGTCGCAGTTTTCTGGGGAGGGGTCCTTATCGGCTGCTTCAGCTAAGGATTTATCCTCCATTTTCTGCTCCAGCATGTAGTTGATTGCGTCAGCAATCTCCCCATTTAGTGGTCGCCCTAGGGTCGACGGCACTGCGAATTTTGCAGCTATTTGGGGAATTTTAACTTCCTGCGTAAAATCTTCTGTCTCATGCTTTCCTTGGCTATACTCATTAAAGTCCAAGTTGGAGCCATCATCCCTGTCAAGGAATTGATTGTCGGGCTGACCAGCACGTGGTTCAGGCTCGGTCAAATCATGTATAGATTGAATCTCAGTGCCGTGGCTGCCGACAGCAGTCCCAGACATCGGTAGAGCCTCTACGACGCGAGAGAACATGACTTCCAATTTCTCAAGTCGTGACATGATTTGAAAATTTTCCACCATCCCAGGGCTTGGCTGAGCCTTACTCTGAGGATTAGTTGTACAGCTTGGCTTTGCCTTGCTGTTTTTATTCTTGTTTGGCGCCGCCGAGCTTGGCTTAGCCTTGCTCGGTCGGCTAGGATCGCCGTCCTTACGG